ATTTGCGGACAGAGGAAACACGAGCGAAGAGCGACGAGTCTTCGGCTAAATTTAAACTCTGAACGCCAAAACAACCGTGTGTACATCTGTGTGTGTAACTGTGTGTGTGTAACTGTGTGTGTGTAACTGTGTGACTGTGTGTGTGTGTGTGTGTGTCCGTTTACATGTCAGTCGGGGGTGAAGGGGTGACTTCCCAGGTTGTGACTGTTTTGAGGAAAACACTGACAGGAGTGTGTGTGTGTGTGTGTGTGTGTGTGTGTGTGTGTGTGTGTGTGTGTGTGTGTGTGTGTGTGTGTGTGTGTGTGTGTGTGTGTGTGTGTGTGTGCGTGTGTGTGTGTCCTCACCTGTTGAGAAAGGAGTTTCCGAAGGCGTTGAGCTTCCTGAACGGTTTCTTAGGGTCGACCACCAGAGCGTTGCCGGGGACGACGCCTTCGTTCTCGCCGTACATCACAGCGATGAAGCCGTCCGTGGTCGGCTCCGGTCCGATCCGCATCCCCGGGAAATCCTGCTCCAGGAGGTACCTGTGAGGAGAGAGTTTGAGGATGAAATGACCTTCAAAACAAACGTTTCCAGCTCGCTCACAGTCACACCGACCCTCGCCGACCTTCGCCAAGTTTCCCCGTCAAAGAAAAGTGAGAAAGGAAGGAAGAGACGGAAGAGACTGTCCGCTCACTTCCTGTTTGTCAGCGCCAGAGCAGGACATCAAAGAGAGACGGACGCAGAGACTCAAGATCACAGATCCACATCCATCAGGAGGTCCAGGAGGAGGATCTGAGACACGGAGATCAGCTGGAGGAGCAGGACTGTGGGGTCCAAAGAGAGGAGAAGAAGAAGAGGAAGAGGAAGAGGAGGATGACAAAGACGAAGAAGACGAATAAAGAGCAGAGAGAAAAACAGACAGAGAAGAAAAAGAGGAAGAATTAGAGGAAAACAGACGAAGAGAAAATAAAACTCAGAGACATAAAAACAGAGGAGTTGATGTCAATGTGAGGTAAAGTAAGAGGAGGTCAAAGGAGCGAAGGAGGAAAGAAAAGACGGAGAGAAAAGAGAAAAGAGAAAAGAGGAGGATATTTAGAAAAAGAAAAAGTTTTAAAAAGTCAAAGAAGAAAAGAAAAAATATGTCGATTCTGCATTTTACTGGCAACCTGTTCCCATAATTCTCTGCATTCTTTTTAGTTCCCATGATTCATAGCATTCCTCAGGGCAGGGTGGGTCTGAAGTAGTGGAGAACACACACACACACACACGCACGTTTTAGCAGCAGCAACAATCACTCTGCAGCTCGTTCTGGATGTAAACTGATTGCAGGTCATTTCTGCTGGTGTGCTGCCAAAACCTGTGACACACACACACACACACACACACACACACACACACACACAGTCTGCAGACTGGAGATAAGCCTCATGAACCGTTGCTGAAGTGTAATGACCTCAGCCCAAAGTCAGTCTGACCCGTTGTTGTTTTCTTTCCTTCCAGGCCACCGTACAGTCTCCTGGTTTGACTCACCGAGGAGTGAATATTTCTGCTGATCAATAATCTATTAGAGTCTGTGTGACATCATCCTGATATTTTTGTTTGTTTAACTCTGTAACCTCCCCCTCTGTAAACTCTGATCATCACTGTTTGGCTCGTTGTCCGTCAGTTTACCAAACCTCATAGAAAAATCTGCATATTTTAAGTTCTTTGGCCTTCTGTGAGAAAAGCCCCGCCCACAAAGATCAATATCAGATATCAAACACATGTATTGAGTGTTTTGGTGAATTCAGCTGATAGAGGATGACTCCAGCAGGTTGTTATAATCCTTATCTGTACCCTCCCCCTCTTTGCTGCATTCATGAAAACTCTGATCATCACTGTTTTGCTCTTTGTCCGTCAGTTTACCAAACCTCATAGGAAAATCTGCATATTTAAAGCTTTTTGGCCTCCTGAGAGAAACGCCCCGCCCACAAAGATCAATATCAGATATCAAACACATGTATTGAGTGTTTTGGTGAGTTCAGCTGATAGAGGTTGACTCCGGCAGGTTGTTTTAATCCTTATCCACACCTGTGTTATCTCGACAAGCTCAGTCATCCAGATCTGCAGGTAACTCCCCACACCTGTCAGACAGACAGGGAAGGGTGTGTGTCAGGACTCCCAGCTGCAGGAGGGGAGTGAAGTAAGAGTACGGTTTGACCTAGATCTCAGAGGGACGAGCTGAGACCTGCTCAGACTGTGTCATCCTGCAGCTCCGGGCCTCAGCAGACACACTGACAAGAACTGTAAATCACAGCAGAACTAGGTTACATTCAGAGAACGTGTTTTTGTATAAGGGGGCTTAAAAAGGAGGATTTTTCAATGGGGTTTGGTTAGGGTTTCTGTCAGGGTGACTCGGCCAAATGATTATGAACAGGTGTCATAATTATCAGTCAGACTGATAGCCGAGGAGTTGAGGAGGTAATGATGGTGGACAGGAGAAGGGTGAGGTCCAAACTGCTTTACAACATGACGTTATTGTTTTCACAGTATCAGCTTTAAAAACAGAACGGTAGACATGCAGCAAATTATCATAAAATCCACTCGTTCTGTGAGACCGACAGCTTTCCAGAAATACACGCTGAGCAAGATGAGAGTTTTTGCCTGGATTAGAGATTCACTGATCCAATTTTTTCTGATCCAATCCGATATCGATACCTGAGCTGAGCGTATCGGCCGATACCGATCCAATCCTACTGTCGAAATTAATGAATGAACTGTTTACCTGTGAGGAAAGGCATCAGGCTTGATATTAGCCTTGTTAAAAAAAAAAAAATGTCACAAATTAACACAGATATAAATTTACTTAATATTATTTATCAACAAATAACAAATCGTACATTAACACACAGCAAAAAGAAGTCGGCATCATTCATCAGATATCCGATCCCGTTAATTTGTCAATATCGGAGCCAATATCTGATCCAAATATTGGATCGGTGTCTCCCTAGTCTAGATCTGGTCCCTCACAGCTGAAGGTATCTGTACTAGATTATGAGTTCTTGTGTAATCGAGTCGTTTCTGCTGTCGGGGTCGGACAGACGCCGCCTCCTTCGTTTGAGGAAACGAACACTTCCTCACTTATTTCTGTGTAATCAGATCAATCAGAGAAAAACCATCAATCATCAATAACAGAGTCCACCTTCTCATACTGTCCGACAGTTATCGGCTTAATTACATCATCCAACCTCCGCACAACAACAGGAAGTGATGTCACAGGTCTGACTGAGATAACGAGGAGTTATTGAGGCGAGCAACAATGTAAATAGAGTGTGTGTGTGAGTGTGAGAGCGCTGCTGGAGACTGAACACAACAACGATTAAACACAACCAGGATTAAAGAGCACATTCATGACGCGTTTGAGTGTTTGTGGGATTTTTCTGTGAAATCCTCACCTCTGAGTGTGTGTGTGTGTGTGTGTGTGTGTGTGTGTGTGTGTGTGTGTGTGTGTGTGTGTGTGTGTGTTTAAGTGTGTGTATTAGTAAAGTGTGTTTGTTGTGGTATCTAGCAGCATAATGATAAGCTCTGGGCCTCGTGACAGCCTGAGAACCTTCAGGCAACAATCAGGGTAAAAATAAACCCTGAGCTCATGAGGAAACAGGAGACTTTAAAACTATGAAGTGTGTAGAATCAGGAAGATTTAAGTGTTTTATTAATTAATAAGTGTTTTAATAATCTACTCAAAGGTTTGAACTAGAGTCTCCAGCTTGTTAACGTTCAGATCTTTTCAGAGTTGATTTGCAAAGACGCAGGATGAATTCTGTCACTATTTTCAAACCAAAAAACCGACGAGAAAAAAGGACTAAGAAGTCGGTGTTCCTCCTGCTTTTGCTCTCCATACAGACTGGTTTTTCTGCAGACTCCCAGTTGGTATTGGGCGTCGTACAAGTTCACGCACGTTTGTCATGATCTTTGAAATCATGTTTACTAAAGACCGTCAGCTCCAGCTCGGACTGATTCAACAGGAACAGAAACTCAGGAAACAATAAAACTCTGAGCTGCAGAATAAAACGGAAAAACACACAACAATGGACGATCGATTACACACAAGGAAACACAAACATGAAGCTCTGATCCTTTTCATCTGAGAGGCGGTGGTGTTTGAGTGGACTACAGTACCCACAAACCTCAGCTGGTGCCCACAGATGTGCCAGTCCCTGCAGCAGTCCGGCTTTATGGACACAGTTTCTAACATGAGTCACAGCAGACTTACACACCACACATGGCATCAGGGTGGAGCTGATGGAGCTCCACAACTGTGACACAAATGTCTCCCAGAGGACCAGAATGGTTAAAACCAGAAAGCCCTCCTGTTCCAGTTAAAATGAGTCAAGTCACTCTCATGTTAAGCACACAAATGTTAAGAGTTAGGAACAGAATTGACTGTAACCTGACACTTGCTCTTGTATTACAGGAAGTCCCAGTGAAAACTGTGTTTGCACAATACAGTTAGATTTCAATTAATTTGTTTTTCGTGGAGGTGGATAGTAAAAACAGTACCATAGCCTTCTATTGTGCACTAAAAAGCATTGTTTCTCTCGGTTTTAAAAGAATTAAATAACTAACACTCTTTTGGGGAACCGCTGTCCAAACTCCATTCAGAATATGTCTCATTTACCGCTCTTTTCTATTCCGTAAAGTTTTACAATTCATAACAAAAGCTGAAGGGTATTCCGTTATAAGACAGAGCAGACTGCATAATTCGGGCTCAGTATAATTTCTCAAAAGGACATCTTTTAATAATAATTAAAGTATTTCATGTTGCTCTTCCAGCCGCTCTCGAACAGAATGCACTGAGGAGACCCTGCACAAACGCATTAAGCCCTATCTTATCTCCGCTCTTTTTCTACTTCACCGCCCAGCTTTGGTTTGTTTTATTTGGCCGATTTATTTCTGTAAACCTAAAGTCTTTATCTGGAACCATCAAATCAACGCTTCACTTTACTATTGAAATCTGTGTGTCAAAAAGTTTAAACACGCACATTTTTCAATGAGGTTTGGTGCGAGAAAAGTAAAGCGGGTGTAAACTGATCTAACACCTGATAAAGGTGAGTGTACCACATGTGGATTAACCCCCCACCCTCCTGGATGACTTTTATCTTTTCAGTCGGTTCAGCAGGCCCAGACAGGCCTCTCTTCAGGGAACACTCCTTACCTGATGAAGGTGGTCTTCCCGGTGGAGTACTGGCCGACCAGCAGCACCATGGGCTTGCTCTGGAAGTCGGCGGCCTCCAGCGCCGGAGAGTGGAAGTCATGGAAGAGGTAATGTTCCTCTAAAGGCAGCAGCTTCTTGGTGTAGAGGGTCTGCAGCCCCTCGGTCACAGTCTGGTACATCTCTCCCTCCTTGTTGCGGCCTCCCTGCTCCTGTTTGACCCAGCTGAACATGCTGATGAGCGGATCTCCTTCAACACTCACGCGCTCCGATCCAACTTCCCTGTTTCGATATTTCCAAATCCTCCTCCGGCTGCTGCTGCTCTGCGCTCCTGCTCTGCGCTCCGTTCGTCCTCTGGCGTGTGTGCGTGTGTGTGTTTAGTGTTGTGTGTGTGTGTAAGTGTGTGTGTGTTTGGCCCCGGGGAGTCTCCGCCGTTATGAGCACAGTGCCTCCTCTGTGCCTGACTCTGCGCGTGTTTGTGATGATGATGTGACCGCTGCTGGTGCGCCTACCTGCGGGCACCGCCCTTCCCCTGTGACGCAGCAAGGACACACACACACACACACACACACACACAGACACACTCATTTGTTGATCATTAGAAACACACAGGACCCTTTACCAGCAGACTTCCTAAAGTTAAAGTGAATCTGTGAGTCTGAACATCTGAACAAGTTCCAACAGGCAAGTTTTCACAACAAGAACCGGATAATAGGCTAAACTAAAATATATCATATTTTATCATATATTATCATGTCATTATCGAAACATATATCATATCGTGTCACATCATATCATATTTCATATTATATCGGTCATTTACACAGAACTGTACCATATCATTCATGTTTATTCTATCAAATCTTATTGTATATCATATCATTATCATATATTAAGTATCGTATTGTTCATATTTATTGTAGTATCATATAATAATTTATTGCGTCATACCAAAATATTTTACATCATATCAAATCTTATTAAATCATTTCATTTTCATATTTTATAAATCTGCTGTTTTCATCAATATTATTGACAATTTTATTTTATTACATTGACTCTTATTTAATGTTTTAATAGATCTTAAAAATGCTAATATTTAAGGATATTAATGCTTTTTATATTTTGGTCAGTGTCAGTCTTCTCCCTCTTTGTCCTGTAGCGCCCCCTGCTGGTCATAGTGCAGCAGTACGTTATCTAAACTGAAGAGGATTTGCTTTCTTCCTGTTTTATGAGAACATGAACATAAATTAATACTTCACAAAGACTTCATAGACGGTATTTTAATTCTGTTTACTAATTTGCTGAATTTTAAAGTTACTGTTTGTATGAAGCTACTTATTGAAATAACTGAGAGATGGAAGTCCTCAAACACCAGCGAAGAGGTATATTTATAATTTCTCAACACTAGAATAAATTTAATCCAAACTGCCAAAATAAAAGAGATTCTATTGCACACGAATAGATCATGACACAGCTCTGAGAAAGAGCCGCCATACAGGACCAAACCAACTGAGAAAAAAAAAAAATAAATATATATATATATATATATATATATATATATAAATATATACATATATATTTTTATATATATACATATATATATATATATAAATAACTTTAATTAGCTTATCTTGTCGTATATTTTCTGAAGTAGTGTCCTCTTACAAAAAAAAAATCACTTACTGACTTTTAATCATCAGATTCATCATTTGTTGTCATTATTATGGTCAAACGGGTCTGTTTCTCCAGCTGCTCAGCTGACACCATCTCCCACCAGGTTCCGACATAAAAAATTATTATTAAAAATGTCAGTTTTTATATACGAAAGCAAACAACAATCTGATAATAGTTATTATTATTATTATTATTATTGTTGAATATCCCAATTTTCTTACACCAGACCCAAATATCTTTTTTTACCTCCGTAAAATCAGCAGATTGATAAAGATGGTCTCGAACAGTCGATTCTGTCTTAGCTTGCAGTCTGTAGTTTGGACAGCAGGTGGCGCCACATCATTATCAAGCGTTAGTTTCATGAACTAATGTCAGTGGACAAGGTGTAAAAATAACTAATCTTTATCTTTATTGATAGACATGAAGAGAACAGGTAATAAATACAGAAAAGGACAGATCATGACTTTACATCCAAATGACGGTTTCATTTACACAGAGAGAGAGAACAGCCGGTCCGTTTACTGAATATCCAGATTCTGCAGCAGCTGCTCCTGCGAACTTCAGGTCGACAAACACATGAGGACTATTTCACCAACATGTAAGGAGTCATTTTAGGAGTATTTTAGCTCATGTTCGGGTTATTTTCAGTCTGCTCAGCTGATAATTTCTGTTTATTTTCATGAAAACTCACAGCAGAGTTTCAAAAAAGTGAGTTTCTCTGACATCAAATATAACTTAATATGTTCTCCATCATGAAATATTCACTTATATCTCCTCTCCTGTAGTCAGATATGATGTTTATCTTTGGACAGAAATATGAGTTTCTGTGTTTCTATCACCTCTTTGTAAAATGAGCCGACTGAAGTTTAGGTGGAAAAACATATTTGGTGATTTTCTGCATGAAAAGTTTATGGAAAAGACAGAAAGAGAGAGGTCTGCAAATGTACATCAAGATACTTACAACATGAAGAAAAAAGGAGCACAAAACTTTAATAAAAAAAGAAATATATTTATGATAACAGGACGAGTGTTTATGATTAAAACCCTTAAAAACAGGAAGAAGGAGGTTATTATTTCAAAGCTGTCAGTGCATTTACAGGATCCTCACTTATGATGATAATAGGAACTAAAAGGAACTACATGCTGAACTTAGGCCCACTAAAGTTTTGGATATTTAACTCATGAAAATTTTCAGGGTCAAAAGAAACAAAATTGTCAAGTTTTTGATATTTAACTAAATTTTAATAAGAATTTCATCTCCAATGTCTTTTTCTTACATAAAAATCAGTTTTGACCACGACACTGTGATAACTGAAATTATCCTTGTTATTACAGGGAAAATATTAACATTACAATTTTGTTATTTTCAAAAAAACAGGAGAATAAGGGCCTGTGTCCATCTTTTTTTTTTTTTTTACACTGGCAGCTCCTGTTCACTACTTCGGCTTGTTTTTTTGTCTCGTTGCTGCTTTAACTCTGAATACAGGAGAAACATACTGGTATAAAAAATGATGAAGAGGAAAACGATGAAAGAAATGACTGATTTTGTCTTCTACAGTTCTTGATGGTGATTGGTTAATATCCCGATGTCTCCGTCATTAAATAGAAATATGTTTTTGGTAAATATATATGTGGTTTTGTAGGCTGTATGTCTTTTATGTACAGGTGTTTCTATATGGATATATTAGTTTGGTTATGGGTCAGTATATTTACAGTGTGTGTGTTTGACTTGTTTTTCAGCCTTTGTGGGGACTAAGCCCTGAATGTGTAAAGTGAGGACCTTTTTGGATTTTACTTTTACTCGCCCATCAGACTTTGTTTCAGTCGAGGGACTTTCAACGAGCATAAGACAAAAATCTGACAAGTTTAAATACACAAAACTGTGTATTTCTTCATTTTTGTGAGGTTGGTTTGTCTACCTTCAAAGTGAGGACAGTAAATGCAGTCCTCTAAATTTTGTGGTTTCGATTTTACGTCATAAATTAGAATTTTGGGCCGTTAGTAAAGAGATATTAACATATTTATACATGTGGTTGGTTGTGTGTGTGTGTGTGTGTGTGTGTGTGTATGGCATATTGTGTGTTTGGTGTGTGTTTGTTTCCTCAGTTATTCTCTGTGAAGTCTCGGCAGATTCCTTGGACCACTTGAGGGATGAACTGCCCGAGGCCGGTGAACTCTCTGGTGAAAAAGGCGTGGCTATTTTTTGGCTCTGATGCCATCAGTTTGAGGTCTTCCAGGGGTGCCCAGGCCACGCCCACTGAGTAAACGGTGATCCCTGGTGGTGAGGTTGTGAACAAATCCCCAACAGATGAAGATTTCAGAGAAACACAAATCATAAAATTGTTTGATACTAGTTTGAAAGCTGTCACACACCTTGTCTGTGCGCCGCCATCGCTGGTCCTCCGATGTCATCGTAAGATTGGCCGTCTGTCACCACAATGAGGAAGTTGCGGCCTGGTCCGGTGCGTCTGCAGGATAAAAAGACGAATTTATCTAAGAAATCTATTTAATTTATTTAAGAAATCTAAACGTCGGCCAAAGATTTCACAACAACATTTTGTCTTTGGACCGTCGAGTCTGTGGATGTGTAGAAAATGGGTGACTCATTAAATATTTTATTCAGATGTTTTTATGTTTTTTAAAATGAGGGCACTAATTATTCATTTTATCTTTTGGCTCCTTTAATGTGTGAAATATTATAAATACCCCAATTTAATTCAAAGCTAAAAACAAGATGTAAAACTTCATTAATTTTATTTTCTTTTAAGAGCACTTAAAAAAAAAAAGCCACAAACATTTATTATAATGCTGCATTCAAGTCACTTTGGATGTCAGAAGTCCGAGCTGAAAATGACGTCCCAGCGTTTCAGTTACCAAGTCACAAAAAAGCAAAAATCAGAGGCGGAAACAAGATGGCTAAATCTGCTAAAGTTATTTTAGCGCTTGCCTTGTTCGAACATAGGCCAAGCGTAGATGTTTCGTAGATGCAGCCATCTTCTTTCCGCCTCCGATTTTGCTTTTTTACGACTCACACTGGTAACTCAGGTGTGACGTCATTTTTAGCTCCGACATCCGACTTCGGAGGAAACTTGAACGCAGCATAAGTTTTCACGTTTTAATGAATTCTATTTGCTTAGAATTCTGAGATCAAGGTTCGGAACTCTGGCTTTGATCTTGGAATTCTAAGAAATCATTCCGAATAATTGAGATAAAAGTTTGTTGTTTGCCCCGACTCTATTTTAATTCCTTTTTTTTTTAAATGAGTCATTTCTGGTCGTTCTCTTGTGATCTTCTACTGTTGTCTTTCTATTTAGAGATCAGCTGGGTTGGTGTTTTCTTGTTATAATGAGGTACATTAATCTGTTATATTAGGAAAACCAACTTTGTTTTCCAAGATGGCAAGAAAAATAAGACCAGATTTAAGAAAACAACAGGAAATTGACTTGTTTTCACGGTCAATTTGAGGCATAATTGAGTAAATGACACGCATATCCGCTTACAGCCTGTTTGTTTGGACAGCTTTCTAACTTCATGACTGGGGCTCACAGCTCCAGTCCTATTCAGCTCTTAAATCTTTAAATACTCTTCAGAAAAGTGAGGTTTCCTACAAAATAAAAGCTCAAAAATGTCGTTTAACTCAAGACGATATCGAACTAACAGACGGAAACTGTAGATTTCAGACGGTGAAGTTTGTGGGGTTTACCTGAGTGTAAATAAGAACCTGGAGGGTTTTAATTCGCTGAAGAACACTCAGGTGTGTTGTTACCTGAACAGGTTCTGGGTGGTGTAGGTGATGGCTGCCCCGGTGGCGGTTCCTCCGCTCATGTAGGGGATCCTCCTCAGAGCATTGATGGCGTCTTCTTTGTTGTGGTGATCGAACAGGCCGAACTCCAGCCTCTGATCGTAGGTGAACTGGACCGCACCTGGACATCAAACACAAACTATCAGCCAATCAGAGCGACTCTTTGACTTCTGATTGGACCGTTTTCACCGGGTGACTCTCACCGATACGAGCGCCAATATCTGAGATGTCAAAGCTTTGTGCGATTCCTGCCAGGAACTCCAGGACCAGCCGGAAGTTCCCGTCTCCAACGCTGGATGAGCCGTCGATCAGGAAGCCGATGTTGGCTGAATTGTAGCAGGTTTTACCTGATAAAACAAAATAATAAATCAATAACTTCATCATCAAAACTCCAGACAGGGACACTCTGAGAATAATCTTTGTTTCAGTGTTTTTGACGTCGTAGAAATAAGGCTGGTTTTCACGACATGAACAGGTCTGGTTGGACTTCAGGGTCCCATCTTTGGGCCCAGAATCCAGATCAGATTAACGAGTCCATTATTTTATTGAAGGGTTCAAAGAAAGAGGATTTTGAACTCTTCCTGTTCAGCGTTTTAGCCGCTGTTGAGATCGATGTTTAACCACACAGTGACAGATGAACCGAGCTGTGTTACAGTGAAGTATGAGCGGTCTATTGTTGTGGTCAGAGTCCAGTCTTACTGCAGAGCAGACCGTCCAGAGAGCAGATCCTCTGGGTCAGAGGTTTGACGTGTTTGGTGGTGCTGAACCAGCTGGGGATCAGATAATTGAAGAAGCCGTTATCTTTACACACCGCCTGAAGGAAACAGAGAGAGAGACTCTGCTAGAACGAAAAAACACGACGTCTGCAGACACAAACACGCCGACTTAGTTTAGACAGATCCATAAAGAACAGATGTGAGAGCAAAGGTCCACCTTCTTCATGTAGTCCTTGTCCCGGACCAAGCTGAGCTCCTCAGGTGCTGGTTTGGCCACAGACACCAGGAAGACGTTGATGCCGGACTCTCTGGCCAATATGGCCGCCTGCTCCAGGTCATCAGAGGGCCAGCCGTCTATCAGCACCATCATGACCCGGGGGTGACCCCGCCTCCCTCCGTTGTCCTGGGTGAAGAAAGACTCTGCCGTGTGCATGATGGCCTTACCTAGACCAGATCAACGACCAGAACCAGAACCAGGTTTATTCATATGGACACCACAGCAGTTTGTCCCCCAAAGACCAGCTGAGTCAAAGTGAACCTTAAAGGGATATTCAGCATAAAATTAAGTTAGGGTCAGTTATAACGACCGCAGGATAGCAATACATGATCATAAATGTTCTTCCTTGAGCTGCGGCACCCCGCTGTAGTCTGTAATGGACTGGCCTGAGGTCTCTCTACAAACAAGCGTCTGCTGGAAGAGAGTAGGTGAGTTGTGTTTAGTCAAAGTTAAAAAGATGTTTGGTGTCTAGTACTATGTCTGTGACCCTATATGTACTAACCTCAGTAGATCATGGTGTAGTTTTGTTCAGTAACAGAACCTCATTGGAAAATTAGCTGATTTAACTTTACTGTGCTCTTGTTCAAATATATTAACTCAACAGCACATAAATCCATACCTGTTAACAAAATCATGATTTTATTGATAATTCGGCTCAATAAAAACACCTTTACCTTATTATTTTACTACAGTAGAAGTTTATTGGCCCAGAAACGCTCTGAATATAGTACTATGTCTGTGACCCTATATGTCCTGTTGATGAAGTTCTGAGCATTATTTGTGCCTATAGAGTGGCGTTTTGGTTGGGGGCGTGTCTCTCTGTATTTCTATCCTGCGGTCGTTACTAAAGTTGGTATAACTAGAGAAGCAAGCGGTCGACAACATTCATCTCTGGAGGCGGGGTCTAACTCGGTGTTACGGTGGGTTTGACCCTAAAGTAATTTTACGCCGGAGTATCCCTTTAACTGAGCCTTAAAGGGATTACCTGTGTTGGTGTCTCCGCCCAGATAGGACACCTCCTTTATGGCGAAGAGCAGCTCTTTAGGCTGAGTGAAGTTGGTCAGTAGAAACTCTGTCTTTGGGGAATCACTGAGGGCACACACACACACACACACACACACACACACACACACACACACACACACACACACACACACACACACACACACACACCATGACAGCAGACAGTGTTATATTATATAATCCAGTAACTGAGTTCGAGCGTTTAGATGTTTGATTCCACGAGTGTTTGGGGGTCTGACCTGGCCTGGATCAGACCTACATGAGGTCCTAGTGGTCCAACTTTCAACATGGCCGCCAGTTTGGTGACAAAGTTCTTCTGCAGGTTGAACCGCCGCTGCCCGATGTTGTTGCTGCTGTCGATGACGATGGCGATGTCCATCTGACAGTCTGTGAACGCCACAACACATGAGGACCGGTTAACCCTTTAATGACATCGTCGTAATAACAGCGTCCTCTGAAACGAGCACACAGAGTACCTTTATTTCCACTTGTCGGGACTTTCTTCACGGGCTTCTTCAGGGGTTTCTTCACTGCAAAACACACACACACACACACACACACACACACACACACAGGGTCGGGGGTGAGCCGGGGTAACAGTCTGTTGGAAACATCAAACTCCTGCTGATCCTGGAGGCTGTGGAGGAAGAGGAAGACCTGAGAGCAGCAGAGAGGACTCCTCATGAACCCCAGAGTGGGTTTATGTTCCCTGAATAATTATCGTCTTATTCCGATTAAGACCCGACAACTGAAGGTCATGTAAACACCTTCGTCCGAACTCTGACTATAGTCGGAGAACTTCGATTAAGACACCCGGATAACGCGATTGGAATTCGATTTTCTCTGAGTATGATCAGACGATGCATGTGCGCCACGTCCCCGTAACCCCGTAACAAAAACCAAAAAGTAGCGCGTCCATCATGTCGGACAAAAACAACGCTGTACGATGCTCCATCTTCTTGTTTCTCCAAAATGCCCAGCAGCAGTTGTAGACACTTCTGACGTCTGACACCGACCTGCTGTTGTTGTTGACGGTTGTCTGAAAAGACCCATATCGCCCCCTAGTGTTGGGGAGGAGGACACGTTCTATTTTCTCAGCTGCATGTAAACGAGGACAAGGAGAGAAGTCTGATTCAGAGAAGAAGACGAATTATGAGTTTAGTCGATTAAACTGAGACTGTAAACGAACTGACTGAGGAGTCCCCACTTACAGGTGAACAGGTCAGAGTCAGCGTTCAGAAACATAAACAAGTGTGTGTGTGTGTGTGTGTTCACCTGGCTGTCCGGCTGCAGGTAGAGCTGTTGTACTGGTCTCACTGGTCAGCTCCATGGGAGAGCTGACGGGCTCTGATGACAGAAACAGAGAACAGAGATCTGAGGTCCATCTGTAACATCTGTAACAGTTTTAACGACTGTGACGACTTTTTAAAGTTCAACAGAATCTGAGAAAGTGGCTCCACCTACTGGTGAGGCTGAAGGAGGCGGTCCAGCGGGAGAGCGCCTGTGATTGGATGCCGTTAGCGTAGTAGCTCAGGTAGTTGTACCGACCGTGCAGCTTGTGAACTCTGACCGGACCTCCTGACGGACCCAGAACCCCCCTACAGGACGGAGAAGAGGACAGATCAGATCTTGAGGCTCTGATAATGTGTCAAGTTTTAACCGTTAAAAACATCAGTGATACATCTTCTTTACGGCGGCCGACACAGACGTGGATCTGCTCCTGTAGATACTGAAGTCTAAATATCACCCAGTGTATCTTTAACCTGCAGCGTTACAGTAGCTGAGGTTTTGTTCTCTGTGCAGCGTATCAGTGAGTAAAGAGGATCAGGAAAAGAGCCGAGCTGTAACGGAGTAAAATAATCCTGCAGGGATTAACAGGTAATAATAATCTGAAGCTGTGATTATGATCGATTAAGACTCAGAGCTGAACTGAGACTCTGATGAAGACCTCAGAGTCCAGAACCTTCAGGTTCTGTTAGACCACAGAGGTGAAGAAAAACCAGCAGAGAGACAGAACCGAAGAACCGAAGAACCGAAGATCTGGATTAGGGATCCAGAGGAAGTGGACTCTCTACAGTTCTGGGTTTTTCCTCTCCGGGCCCCGCAGAGGAGCGAGGGGGTCAGGCAGGGCTGAGTCCTTAATCCGTCACATTCCTTCATGGTGTTGGTGTTTAGTCCGGGAGGAGGAGGAGGAGAGGAGGAGAGAGGAGGAGGAGGAGGAAGAGAGAGAGGAGAGGAGGAGGAAGAGAAGGAGGAGAGAGAGGAGGAGGAGGAGGAGAAGGAGGAGGAAGAGTAATCCTGCTGCTGTGAGTTCGGACCTCTAAACTAAACACTTCAAAAACTGTCTGTGGTGCTAGTCCGGGCAGGCTGCAGAGTGAAGCTCAACCCTTCATCAGAGGAAGGAAATTAGGAGATAAGGAGATAAGGAGATAATGAGATATGGACATAAAGAGATAAGGAGATAAGGAAATAAGGAGGTAAGAGGATAAGGAAAAAAACAAAAAAGTAAATAAGGAGATAAGGAGATAAGGAAATTACAAGACAGAAAATAAGGAGATAAGGAGTCGGACTGGATCAGATCAAACGTTGGTGAGCAGACTCATGAGTCCACTATCAGCGGACTAAGTTCTGTTCTGGTTCCATCCAGTCCAGACCCTCTTTTCTACCATCAGGCGGGTCGGTCTGGTCCTGGTCTAAGTTCAGGTCGGGTCGGTCTGGTCCTGGTCTGAGTTCAGGTCGGGTCGGTCTGGTCCTGGTCTGAGTTCAGGTCGGGTCGGTCTGGTCCTGGTCTGAGTTCAGCCCCACCTGTGTATGGCGGCTCCACAGACGGAGGAGACGGCGGCGTAGATCCCCGTCCCGAACACGGACAGTCTCCACTGGAGGCAGTCCGGAGGACACAGAACCACCACGCCGTCCTCCAGCAGGTCGGCCCCCCGGGTCACACAGGTCACCGGATACGGCACTGATGAAAAACACGAAGGTTCGACAGGAAGTCAGAAAACGAAGAAACGACGGTTCACTGTTACATAATCGAACCCCGGAGAGCGGCGGCGCTAATGTATGAAAATAAAGTCGTAAAAACAAAGAGGCTCTTTGAAGACAGGAAGGAGGAAACGCTTCATCTGTTTCATCGTTCAGAGGAAGTCCAGTTTTCAGGATTCAGGATCAAAATCAACAGACGGGACGGTTCTGGGAATCCACAGAAAGTCTAGAGTTACCTCCAGAGACGGCGAGGGACACGTCTGAAAAACACACGGGCTCGTTTATCAAAGTGAAGACAGGAAGACGAGGAGGAGGAGGAGGAGGAGGCGCACGCCGTTGGCACATCATAAAAGTCCGATTTCAGGGTGAATTACAAAGAGACGTGTCAGGATGAGATCAGAGAGGATTTATGTTTTATCCTGCTCCTCAGAGGACGAACCGTCGGCCTTCTAATGACCCTGAAACCTTTTAGTTTTACAGTGTTTTTATTTTCTGATCAGGAAGTTCGAGTCCAAACTGAAGATCAAAAATAAAACACAAACCTGCTCCTTTAACTTTAGACCGGGGTCAAACATTAATAATCAGAGTAAACACAGATCATCGGGGGAGGGGAGCTCGGGTACGAGGACTTCACTGAACCATCATCTGATATTTAAGAGTCCAAACTGAAGACGGATGTTTATAAAACACAAACCTGCTCCTTTAAATTTAGACCGGGGTTTAGGGAGTCAGACAAACATTAATCAGAGTAAACACAGATCATCAGGGAGGGGAGCTCAGGTACAAGGACTTCACTGAACCATCATCTGATATTTAAGAGTTCAAACTGAAGGACTGCTTAAAAAACTGACTGACTGACTGACTGACTGACTGACTGACTGACTGACTGACTGACTGACTGACTGACTGACTGACTGACTGACTGACTGACTGTTGAAAGTCAAATAAACGAATAAATCAAAATAAGAGTGAAGATGACGTCTGAGACTTACCGTTGGATTCAGAGGCAAATGTGGACGAGATGAGGAAGAGGAGGCCTGAAGAGGAGAGAGGGATCACATTAACAAGGTGTCAAACAAGGAGGGAAGGAAGGAAGGAAGGAAGGAAGGAAGGAAGGAAATAGAATAGGATAGAAAACAATAGAATAGAACAGACAAAAATAAATTAGAATGCAACAAAATAGAATAGAGCGGTATAGAATAGAATAAACTAGAATACAATAAAATAGACTAGAACAGAATAGAATAGAATAGAATAGACTAGACTAGAGTAGAATAGAATACCTGTCAGAGGCAGCAGATGAGACATCTGAGTCATTTTTCTGCACCTGTAACATGAACCAGACTCTGGTTAGTCTTTATAAACAGTCAGTAAATCAGTCATTTAGTAAAAGGATGAGAGACAAACTAACCGAGTTAATAATCAAACTAACCGAGTTAACCCGTCAGTATGTTATTATCATTTAAGTCGATTTGTTTCATCAACATTTAACTCATTAAACTTTTCCACACAGACAACAGCTTCAAATATAAACTAGTCAACTAAAAAACAGCTTAACCAGTCAGTTCAAAGAACCAGTCAGTCAAACACCGCTGTCATTAAGACTCCTAAACAGCTAGTTAGTCTGAATCTAACCAGTTATAGTTCCCATCACTGCTACAAGAACCAACACCATACCAGTTCACCAGTTAACCAGTCAGTAAACAAAGGTGGTAAAGAGTGTGTCGACAGGCTGTTTCTACAGTTTACAGGCGAGTGAACGAGAATAAAGTCAGCAAGACTGAACTAATTAACCAGTTACAACTGTCAGTCACATTAAAACCAGAAACAGACGACAAACAGTCAACAAACAGTTATGTAATCTGAACAGCATCTATTAAAAACTACCTGACAAACCAGCTGACAAGTCATATAACTGTGTAAACCTGTAAAATCAGCCAGAAACTCAACAACACAAAAAACTAGAAATAATCCAGTCAACAGTTCAGCAGCCAGTAAATCAGTCAGCCAGCATCAGGTTAAAAAGATTACTTCATAACTAACCAACTACACCCAAGAGTCAAACTAGTCTGTAAGCCCAGAGTGTGCTGACTGTTTAGGGTTAACTTTGATCCACATGAACCAGCTGGTAAAAATAAAACAGCCTGTCAACATAATTACTTAATTTAACCAGATGGCAAAATTTTTAACCTGATAAACGACTCAGCCGACAAGAAAACAGTCGGTCAGCTGCAGTTCTTCTCACTTTGTTTGACTATTAATCAGAAAATCAGTCTGTAAATAAACAGTTAATCAGTAAGACAGTAAAACAAGCATCAAACAGAGTCCTCTTACTGACTGTTTCTTTCTCCAGCAGAAATACTGGTCAGAGTTTAGATCCTGGGAGCAGCAGGCGGTAAACGGAGGATGCTGAGCCGCTGTTGATCGCCCAGTGAGAGAGAGTCAGCCCTTTAAATAAGCTCTCAAACACACACACACATACACACACACACACACACACACACACACACACACACACACACACACACACACACACCTTACAGAAGTGACAGAGAGAGAGAGAGAGAGAGAGAGAAGAGAGAGAGAGAGTCGAGAGAGAGAGAGAGAGAGAGAGAGAGAGAGAGAGAGAGAGAGAGAGAGAGAGAGAGAGTCTGAAGAAGTTGAGCAGTGACTGAAAACTCACTTTTAAACAGATTATAAAAGTTCATGTTAATATTCTTAATCCCTTCTGTAATCTTTGAATGTTAGTTTATAAAAGTGTCCAATCGTCTCTCCGAGAGCAGCTCACTCACTCACTCTCTCTCTCACTCACTCACTCACTCTCTCTCTCTCTCTCTCTCTCACTCACTCACTCACTCTCTCTCTCTCTCTCTCTCTCACAGACTTCAGCCTCTGTAATTTCTCCAATTTTAACGTCCCGTCTCGTTTGTTCCTCAGTCTGAAATTAAAGCTTTAAGACTTTTGGTCGAACTTAAACCAGGACCTTCAGATTTTGCACCAGCAGCTTCAAACTAAACTCAAAACTCTGTTGACCTTTTAATTATTTTAATAATTTGGTATCACTTTACAATAACCATAACTTATAAATGGTAAATAGATTGTTTATTAGTATTTAATTATTATTTATAAATAGCATATAGACCATTAATAAATAGTAAATTTCACAATTTTAAAAACCCTGACCCTAACTTTACTAAAACCATCTCAGTAATGTTTAAAGATGGTTTATAAACCACTTATTAAGCATTTACAAAGTGCTGCTGACACAGATTTTAATCTGGATGTTTTACAACCAATATTTAAACCCTATATAAACCTTTAATAAAAAGTCCATAAATAATTAATGAAAATTATTAATCATAATTTCATTACTTTTTAATGGTAAATATTAACTTACATTTATAATAAACTATCTATTTACCATTTATAAATTATGGTTATTGTAAAGTGTTACCAATAATTTTAATTTATTTTAATTTATTTTTGATTTATTTTAATATTGATTATTTTAATTGGAGTCTCTCTCACAGTGTTTGGTCGTGGTTAACTCAGTCTAAGTCTCTAAATTTAACAGAAGCTCAAATCCTGTCTACAGAAACTTTGTCACAGTTTCACGATCATTTAAAAACTTTGATCATATTTCCGTCTTTTTAAAAAGTTTTTGTCCCTCTGAAAGAAGAAACTCTGGTTTCCTCCTTCAGTATGTCAGCCCCTCTGAGACAGTGTGTTGGCCGTGTTATAGAAGAACATTGTTCGCTTTAATAAACAGTCAGTCGTCTCGACAGTCTTCTTTGTCCTCAACTCTGAACAGAATAAAAGACTAAGATGTTTTTTTCACTCCTCTGGAGACAAAACGATCGTTTGTCCAGATCCTGAGAGGACGCTCTCCAATAAAGAAATGATATTTGATATAAACTGAAAAACATTTAACCATAAAAACCTGTAAGTGAGCGCAGATGTAAACATGGATGTGAAAGGATTCGTCTTTCTGCAGACGATGTGACGATGTTCATGAGTAAAAATCAACTAAAAGACCAAAAAACAAAAAACCGTCTCAGCAGCCGCAGCAGGAAACTCTGGCTCCTGATCGACTCATTGTTCTCCTCTGCAGACCTCACTCTGGATCAGGAGCTTAAGCCTGAAAGACTAAAGTCCTAGATACACGAGAGGTAGATGTTTGTTTTCTGGCATTAAGGTCGACTCTATTTCAAACATCTATACCGCAAAACAAAAACATGAGCTGGAGTTACAGCTCCTCAAATATCTGTGTGATCATCCACGCTGTCCAAACACACGGGACAGAGGACACACCCTCTGTGACAGTGTGTGTGTGTGTGTGTGTGTGTGTGTGTGTGTGTGTGTGTGTGTGTGTGTGTGTGTGTGTGTGTTTATGAGTTTTTCTTTTACAGCGTTTCATTCAGGGATCCTGTAATCGCCTCATTAGCTCGCTGTACCAGATTAAGTGATCAGTAATTAAGACTTTTCACAGCTGGGCCAAGAACCAGATTAGATGTTGTTCCTCCATCCAGGGTGTGGGTCTTGGTTGTGGTAAAGTGGAGCGATGATAGGACTCAAAACGAGGAACAAGAGGAGAAACTAAACGGAGGATCTGGACGACTTTATTTAGACTCTGTGATTTTGTTGTTTCAGCAGGAACAGACTGTTCTGAGTGGAAACAAAAACATCAAACAACATTTCAGCCAAGAACTCTTCATACTAATACAGTCAGTTAGACATGGAGATGTTTCCTCTGCCAACACGGACTGGACAGGAACCAGCTGAACAGGGACAACTCTGGCAAAGACCAGCATGGCGAAGGTACGAGGTACAAAACAAACAGTAGACATGACCGGGGTACGGAACGCCAACCTCCACCGCCAAATCAAACTCAGCTTCTTCTACATGACAGTAGAGTCCGTTCTCCTCTATGGCAGTGAACGCTGGACCCTGAAGACAACCCTGGAGAAACCCCTAGATGGTGCTACACCAGGATGTACGTGTGACCAACAGAACTCTGTCTGAGGGGATACCAAGGGTGAGCGAGAAGATCACTGTAAGGAGAATGAGACGAGCAGGACACTGACAAAGACATCGGGAACTGTGGGAACCAACACACGGACATCGGTCAAGAGGACGTCCTCCACTAACATACGTGGACATACTCAAGAAGGACACAGGAGCTCAGAGGACCAACGAACCGGAGAGATGTAGGAGAATCGGGACGACTGGAAGCGACGATGGAAGACTCGTCTGAAGACAAAGGAGGCGTCCTACGAAAAAAAATATCGTCACCCTGGTGGATACGCTGTTTGAGCCGAGGGTCATCACAGCGACTCTGCCGCTGAATGCGCACAACGCTACTGCGCAATGTTGGTTTCAGCAAGAGGAGAAAAATCGCGGTATTACCAAGAACTTTTCAGCTTCAAATTCGTAAACTGGCGGAATCAAGTTGTCCAAATAAATACAGTCTGTGTGTATAACCAAAACTTGACTTAACACTCTTTTTGGGGAGGACAACTGTCCTTGTCCTTTCAACGAAGAATTGGAAATCCTAGATGCTGCATCCCCAGTCTTAAACAACATCTCCAGGTTTAGGAGGAACATCTGCGTCCATCCAGGCAAAGACTTTTTCAGGGAAGACCTTTATATGATCCCAAACCAGATTCTGACAGCAGCATGGCTCTGTAGGAGAAGAGTCCTACCAAGGAACTGGACTGATCCAGGCCTAAATTGGCCCCCATTGAAAACATTTGGAGCATCAGGACCCCAAAAACAGGACCAAGAAGACTCTAACCTCCGATCTCCACCTTCATCCTGATCATCTCCTAAAAGGTTGTATGTTTGGAGAATCAGGATGACTGGAAGCGACGCTGGAAGACTCGTCTGAGGACGACCTAGAGAGAGTAGGGGACCAGGATCTGATCCTTGGGGTACACCCACAACAAAACAGAGATGAATCAGTCTTCTCCTCGGAGAACAGACCCCTGACAGTCTCCTCTGTGTGTTCGTGGTGAAAGTGTAATTTCACGCCGGCGTCTCCTCTCGTTCTATCGCCTCTGCAGATCTGGTTATTGTCGGCGCTCGGGGTCAGCTCGATTGGGTTACCGTTCACACGGAGGTGGACCTGTGCAGGTAAACAGGTGGACCAGACGGCAGCGCTCAGGAATTCGGCTTGGCCAGCTCCCAGCATGCAGCTGGTGAAGAGAAACGGTCTGAGAGAGGAATGTATGGTGAGCAGAGGCGTCTCAGTGTCTCAGTTTGTGTGGTTATTTGTTTGGTCCTCAGACTCTCGTGGTTCCTCTCAGCAGAAGCAGCTGTCGCTCCTCCTCCAGAGTCTGTTTGGAGTTCAGCTCTCAGGAATAATCGTCTCTCTGTGACTGAAGCTTCAGTCCAAACATTCCTGTTTCTTCTCCTCACAGCTGATCCCTATCAGGAGCTCTTTGTCTGGAAGCTCGACAGCTCTGTGAAGCTCCGAGGTGCGATTGTAAAACACTGTTAGATGGAGAAACGGGATAATGATTCTCTCTGACCGGGGGGGTGTGGTCATGTGACCCGCGCTGGCTCCTTTTCCCAGAAGGAAGGAAGTTCTGATCTTCATGAAAACAGTTCGTGTTCCTCTCTTTAAGCCTGAGTCACAGAGGGTAAGATCAGCCGAGGTCACGGCGAGCGGGAAACAACCACGGACTGTATCTAGAACGGACGCCGTCTGCCTCCTCCCTGGGAGAGGCCACTCTGAGAACAGCGCCCTCTGGTGACGGGCTGCTGTATAGGTCATAAACCCCGCCTCCTCCATCGAGCGTCATCGTCTGTCGGGTTTGGAGATCCAGGATTGTGATGATGTTCTGTTCGATGTACAGAGCTGACAGCCCGCGCTCGGCTTGAGCGTGTGATGACGTTTCAAGCCTTTCTAGCCAATCAGAGGCGAAGGAGGCGGGACCTTCTCCTACCATCCTACAAAAAAAAATATCGCCATCCCGGGGGATACGCTGTTAGACCAAGTTGTCCAAGTAAATACAGTCTATGAGTAAAACCAAAACTCGACTGAACACTCTTTTGGAGAGGAAATCTGGACTTAGTTGAGTCCAGTTGTCCTTTCAGCGAAGAACTGTAAATCATAGATGCTGCATCCTCAGTTTTAAACAACATCTCCAGGTTTAGGAGGAACATCTGCGTCCATCCAGAAGACCTTCATATGATCCCAAACCAGATTCTGACAACAGCATGGCTCTGTAGTAGAAGAGTCCTACCAAGGAACTGGACTGATCCAGTCCTAAATTGGCCCCCATTGAAAACATTTGGAGCATTAGGACCCCAAAACAGGACCAAGGAGACCCTAACCCCCGATCTCCACCTTCATCCTGATCGTCTCCTAAAAGGTCGTATCCTCCGATCGTAGCTGATCGTAACCATTCAAGTTAACGTGTCGATTTACACCGACTTCTTTCCGCTTTTTAGACGTCATTTCACCCTGATGACACCATGGATGAGGAGATGCTGATTCTAGAAGTCTAGAAGTAGATTTCCTCCTCTGGAAGGACACAATCTACTGCTTATATGTCTATGTGTCTGTCTTTAGAGAGACAACTCGTTATCGAGCGATTGAACGTGAATCCACGGGGTCTTGCGAGTTCTAGCACCACGAGATTCGTCTCACAAATGGATGCAGTAGGAATTGGGGGACGGATCGGAGCCTCTGTGCTGAGATCCTCAGTGAAACTCCAGAACCCGGTCTGGTGGGTCCACTAATGAGGACTGTAAACCTTGTTCTAATGAACCCTAAATATATATTTAATCTAACGTTATTTGCCGTCATGGTGATATCTGTTTTTTTATAACCCCCCTCCCTCGGTATCATCGGCGCTCACTGAAGGAGTCGGGGTTATATAACTGTTTGTGGGTTTGACCCTGGCTGCAGCACAGAGGGTCAAAGGTCAGACTGAGCTGTTAGGTTTGATTGAAGTGATCTGATGAGAGTGTTTTTTTCTTCGTGGTGGACTGATGTCTCCTTATTACCTTTATATAACCGCCTCTCAGCTCTCTAATGGAGATCCGGAGCAGATGTTTGGTTTCTTTGGAAACCCTTTATCTGATGGGCGTCCGGCGTGATGAGCAGGAATGTGATCTGTGTGCCGGGACGCTGATCTCCCACAGAGCTGCTCACCCAAACTGACACTTAAAAACACCGACTGTAGTCTAGGAACGTTTTTAACCGCAGTGACGACCACCAACGGTCAGACCAGGGAAAAGGTGAAGTCCGAGAATATCTGACAGGAAACTGAGCGACAGAAACGACGGGAATTTGACCTCAGACTCTAAAAATGAAACGTAGTCTCAGAGTCAAAACGTCTTTGAATAGTTCGAGTTTTTTAATCGACGTAAAGTACAGATAAAGTAACATATCTAAGTTTTCTGTTTAGAGTTTTGAGGATTTTTACAGCTGCTTTAGAAACTGAGTTCAAGTGTTTGGAAGAAAAAGCTAAAGATACGTTAAAATCCTCGTGTAAGAGGGTACAAAAAACAAGATGAGTGACTAAAGAAACAGAGAGAATAAGAAAACGGACAATAAAATATCATATGGTATGATATGATATAGGATATGAGACAATACAATAAGAGATATTATATATGTTACGATACAAGATGATACAATATATTATACAATACGATACAAAACGATACATGATGTATAATATAATACGATATGATACGATATAGAATATATAATGCGGTTCGGTAAGATACGATACAATACACTATATGATACGATATGATTTATGATACAATACAATATATATGATCCGATACGATACAATCCTGTATGATAAAATACACTATGATTCAATACGATATATGACATGATCCGATACGATACGATACAATATGATATGATACAATACGATTTATGATAAGGTACCATATGATATGATATGTTACAATACATGATACATGATCCGATACGATACAATACGATATGATATATGATAAGATACAATATGATACATTATATATGATTGAATACCATACAATACGATATGATACAATTAGATATTTGATGTGATACGATGAGATACGATACATGATATATGATCCGATACAATACGATATGATATGATATATGATAAGATACCATACAATACGAAATGATACGATACAATACAATTAGATATTTGATATGATCCGATTCGTTACAATACGATATGATATGATATGATATTAAACCACCTCAGTTTGACTTCCTGTCTCCTGCTCATGAATGCATCACTCTCCAACAGCCACATCACTAACCCTGGTTCTCGGCGTGTCCTTAAACGCACCACTCACACAGGGTCAGTGAAGGCAGCAGCTGACTCTCTACAATAAGGAGCAGCTTGATGCTGACCTGAGAACTGAGACCAGTACCTGCCTGTAGGGACAGTGACCCCCCTCCCCCCCGACAGAGTCTGAAAACTGGTCCAGGTATTTTCCTCCGAGTGAGACCTCTGAACACCGGTATCATCTTCCACCTGGATTAGTGTAAATGCTCCAAATATCTTCTTCTCTTTCTCTCAGAGCTGCAGACACCTGATCTCTGAGTGTCGGGTCCTCCCAGAACAATCCGCTCTTTGTGTGGTCCGCCACAGGAGGACCATGTTATCTGGGCCTGCAGAGACCCGGGACAGACAGGTCAGACTGTTGGGTGTCTGTGGGCTGTAATACTTTAGACTAACACGGTTTATTCTGTGACCCATCGGATCAGAACCATCAGGTCAGAACCACACATTCAGACCCAACAGCTGATGGTCATCTGAGGTCACAGCAGGATGGGAACCAATCAAACAGCTGCTGTGGTACCAGAACATCCTGATATGAGACCGCACACTCACCATCATCATCATCATCATCATCCTCTCACATGTAGTCTTGAGTTTTCTTCGGCGCCTCTCTGACGGCTCTAACCAGGACAGGTTTTGGATTTCTCTCTTCTTTTCTCTCCGGTGTCTTCTCTCTCTCTCTCTCTCTCTCTCTCTCTCTCTGTCTCTCTGTCTCTCTCTCTCTCTCTCTCTCTCTGTCTCTCTCTCTCTCTCTCTCTCTCTCTCTCTCTCTCTCTCTCTCTCTCTCTCTCTCTCTCTCTCTCTCTCTCTCTCTCTCTCTCTCTCTCTCTCTCTCTCTCTCTCTCTCTCTCTCTCTCTCTCTCTCTCTCTCTCTCTCTCTCTCTCTCTCTCTCTCTTCTTCCTTTTCTTCCTCCTTTTACCTGAATTTCCCCCGAGAGCTCCGGAGCATGAGAAAATCAACACCTGAGAGGAAACGAGACGTGTATCACGAAGAAGAAGAAGAAGAAATGTTGGCTCAGCTGTTAAACACCTCTGAGATCCACACCCAGAGGAAAGGACAACACCGGAACCGAACACACCTGAGATCAGAAGTTAGAAGTTCTGAGAGTCTGGAGACAAAAACATAAAACTGTCTCTGTAGACCTCAGTGGACCGGGAGACCGGATGGAAGCGGACCTGATGAAACGTCTAAAATAAGTTTGAATGAAACTTTATTTAACCAGGAAAAAAACCTCATTGAGATGAAGAGTGTCCTCGTTCAGACAGACAGCAGGACATTTACAGAGTTACAGACATAAACAAGTACAGACAAAAACAGACAGAACAATCAGCTGAGAGCAGAACATCTTCAGTCTAAGTTCTTACAGTCTTCTTCATCCTCCTCGAGGACCTTCAATCTGCATCTACAGAGACTTAAAGAGTCACAAACAGACTCAGTTCTTCTTGGAGCAGCAGATCGAAAACTTCTTTTGTTCGTTTCAAGACGAACTTTAGGGACAGAAAACAAAAGTAGATTCTGTGTCTGAGTCACAGATCGAAGTCTAGAGCTTCAGAACTTTGAACATGAGTATTATTATACAGGTTTGGTGGAAACAGGCGGAGTGTAGACGTATAAATCAGGATGTTCCAATGGTTCAGTCTACCCATGGTTAAAGAGGGCCATCCAACATGACACAGAGTGAGTTAAGGCCTGGAGGTTTGTTATGAACCGTAGATGATCAACAGTTTCCAAAGATTGAAGTCTTCGAGCAGAAACATGCATGTATGAAACATCAACATAATCTATCAGAGACATGAAAGAAGCAACAAGAAAAACAACTTATGTATGAAGTCAAAGCACAGCTATAATCTAAACTTCTTTACAACCTGATCAATATGACAGAGAGTCATCGATCACAAACCAAAGATATTGATAAGAAGGTTCAGACTCGATCAGATCAGCCTGAGCTGGAATCTGTGACTCTGATCATCATCTCAGAACTCCAAACTGACTTCAGGTCCCTCAGATTCTCTTGAACAGTATTTAAGTTTTCCTGCAGCAGATAAAGGGCCTGACTCTGTGTGAGAGCAGAGCGATAAATAACAGGATCATCTGCAGATAAACGAAGATTAACATCAAGAACATCATGAGAGATTCTGTTCATATACTGAGTCAATAAAAGTGTCTAAAGACTTTTAACAGAAGGTCAGATCCTGATCCATCAGACCTCAGGACAGTTCTCCTGGTCCCCTCAGTCCACCTTAAACCGGCTCAGGTCCAGAGAAGTCTCTGGTGGTTCTGGTTCTACCTGGTCTCCTCTCTCATGGTTCAGTTAGAAGATGCTGTTTGTTGGTTTTTGAGGTGATCTCCAGAGTTTGAAATGAGCCGAACTGTCGGGTTGATCAGGAGAAGGGTTGGAAGTTCTGACGGTCAGCTGCGTCTCTAATGGACCGGACCGTCTCTGGAGTTTAATGAGTGTTGACTGTAGATTCTATCTGATGTTTGTCCTCGCTGAGATCTAGATGAATGTTTGTCTTCGCTGAGATCTAGATGAATGTTTGTCCTCGCTGAGATCTAGATGAATGTTTGTCCTCGCTGAGATCTAGATGAATGTTTGTCCTCGCTGAGATCTAGATGAATGTTTGTCCTCGCTGAGATCTAGATGAATGTTTGTCCTCGCTGAGATCTAGATGAATGTTTGTCCTCGCTGAGATCTAGATGAATGTTTGTCCTGCTAATGAAGAGGAAGAGCGATAAACCCCCCCTGAGCTGGTTTCACTGGGACAGGTTTGTTCTGCGAGGAGAAAACAAACCAAGAGGAGGTCAATATTATCCTGAGGAGGAACAAACTCTTCTTTGTCTTTTCTCTGCCTGCAGTAACCATGTCAGCCTGCGGGGGCAGCAGCGCTGAGCCTCTGGACTCTTAATCGGAGTTTCTTTAACCCCGGGACCCTTTTTTGTTCCATCTGTGTTACATAAGAGGATTATGACGATCACAGTTAATGAACCTCCAACACTGAAGCTTTAACGGACAACTGAAGACTTTCTGAGGAGGAGGAGGAGGAGGAGGAGGAGGAGGAGGAGGAGGAGGAACGTCAGAGTGTTCCTGAAGGCTTCCTCTCAGAAACACAACAAACGAACCCCCACGTCGAGGAGCAGCAGGGTGCTGACTGTCACGAGGAGGAGGAGGAGGAGCCGGGCTGATGTTCTGAGTCCGTCTGCACGTGGAGATCCAGAGAGTGTGAGCGGACTCTGGAGGTGGTCCTCAGTCTCAGGTCCAGGTCCTCCTTAGCTGAGCTGAGCAGGTGGAAACATAACGTAGACCTTCAGACCTCCTCCAGGAACCCAGCAGGAGGAGGAACCTGCTCCTGGTTCTCCTCCGTAAACCAACAGTCTGACGTGGACAGATGAGAGTGTGGGTGACCTTTGACCTGAGGTTCAAACACTCAGAAGTGAACGAAGTCTAAGCCCGACTTCCTTTCCAGCACGGGTTCATCTGTGCTGAATTTATCCGCCATGCTCCGGCGTCCGACGGAAAGAAGTCGGTGTAAATTGACACGTTAACTTGAATGGTTACGATCAGCTACGATCGGAGGATACGACCTTTTAGGAGACGATCCATGTCTTTAACATGGATCTCTATAGAGACTGACTCACTACAGGACTCAGCCCCTAGTGGACATTCAGGGTATTAAACACTGAAGTTTGTTAAGAACAGAAATAAACCATCAAAGGTCACAGCAGGTCAACACTCTTCATCCTTCATCTGGTTTCTTTTCTTTTCTCCTCTTCCTCTCTGTTTTCACTCGTTTTTATCTTCTATCTTTCTTCTTCTTCTTCTTCTTCTTCACTTCCTCTGTTTCCTCTTCTTCATCACCTCCATGTGAAAACCTCCCTCCTCCTCCTCCTCCCCTCCTGTTTTTGCTCCTCATTATTTCGGCTCTCGGGTCATTAAGTCAACATAACAGAGTCGACATCAGTGACACTGAGCCCGGATTAACTCTGTGTGTGTGTGTGTGTGTGTGTGTGAGTGTGTGTGTGTGTGAGTGTGTGTGTGTGTGTGAGAGAGGGCGGGTGGTCTCTGCAGTAGAAATAATAGAAACAGAAGCACGTGTTGTCTCACACGGAGCTGAACTAACAGTCTTCGGTGACGTTTGTTATCGGAGAGTTTCCGTCTTCGTTTCTCTGCAGCTTCAGACTTTTTATCCGTTTATTTAACAAGAATATTTCTTTAACTCTAAAGTGAATCCTGCTTTTCCAGGAGCCTCAGTGGTCAACGGAGCTGTCAATCAAATCTTTTTAACAGCATTTAAACTTAATTGACTGATGGATTTATTTTGCAATGAAAGGACCTTGAAGAACACAGAAATACGTTTAAAACTCAGATTATTATCATCATTATTAGTATTAATAATATCTATTTGTCATAGAGGTAAAAGCAGCAGAAGTTGTAAATGTCTCTGTTATGGGAAAAGTCGGTTAAAGAGTCAAAAGCTGCAGAAATATTTGATCTTTTTTATTTCTGTCTGTTTAAAAGGAGGTAAACACGGTTGTTTTTTGGGGTTCAGCCTCATTGTTTCACCTTCAGGATCAAACTGGAGAGTTTCGACCTGATCACAAACTCAGACACAGAGAGAGTAAAATACCTGTGAGACCTGATCCTCAGGTTCTCCTCTTCAGGTCTGGACCACACTGATCCGGTCCACCTTTACAGGGGTCTGAGTTCATTCCTCGACTGTTTCGTTCTGTAAGAAAATCAAAATTCGGAAACTTCAAATCAAAAATCGAGATCTGGTTTGATCGTACATTTGTCAAAAACATACAAAGCTTTGTCTTTGAACGCCTCATCCTTCTCCATCCTGAGGTCCGAACTATCAGAATCTCCTCCTCTGTGACGAGTAGAGGGTCACCAGACTTGTTCTCACTCTTCAACATCTGTGAAGGCTCCATTAATGCTGAACAAGATCTACTTTAGGAGCAACAGGACTCTGGAGTTGAGGTCACCGCATTGGCTTAAAGGGATATTCCGTCAATATTCTCCACTTCTGTCGTCTATAAGCTGGGCCAATAAACTTCTACTGTAGTAAAATGAAAAGGTAAAGGTGTTTTTATTGAGCCGAATTATCAATAAAATCATGATTTTGTTAACAGGTATGGATTTATGTGCTGTTGAGTTAATATATTTGAACAAGAGCACAGTAAAGTTAAATCAGCTAATTTTCCAATGAGGTTCAGTTACTGAACGGAACTACACCATGTCCTACTGAGGTTAGTACATATAGGGTCACAGACATAGTACTAGACACCAAACATCTTTATAACTTTGACTCATTTCTTTAGCAAAGAGACTAAACACAACTCACCTACTCTCTTCCAGCAGACGCTTGTTTGTAGAGAGACCTCAGGCCAGTCCATTACGGACTACAGCGGGGTGACGCAGCTCAAGGAAGAACATTTATGATCATTTCTTCATGTAAATACAATCAGACCGAGACGCTGAGACAGAAGAACTACTGTGTCTGTAAAATGATTAATATGGTGATTATTACTTCAAGGAAATGATAAAGAAATGATCATAAATGTTCTTCCTTGAGCTGCGGCACCCCGCTGTAGCAGGAGCATCACGACTCTGTAGTTGGAGTCACTGCATGGGCTTAAGATCACTTGTCCAGTAAAGTCTGATGACTCAAAATCTAACACTCTTTTGGAAAGGACAACTGGGTTTATTGAGATGTTTCGCCTTCAACATAGAACTGGAAATCATAGATGCTGCATCCTCAGTTTTCGACAATATCTAAGTGTCTATGCTCCTCTGGATCTATACACGAGTAAATGAAGAGCGAAGCTGCTGTGAGTTTTAGAGTTTATCTTTATTAGTGCGGAGAGACAGAAGTTACAGTGAAGACAGGAAATGTTTGAGTCCATTTACAGAGAAGAGATAAAAAACAAACTGGAATAAAGAGGGAGAGGGAGAGAGAGAGAGAGAGAGAGAGAGGAGAGAGACAGAGGGAGAGAGAGAGAGAGAGAGAGAGAGAGAGAGAGAGAGAGAGAGAGAGAGAGAGAGAGAGAGAGAGAGAGAGAGAGAGAGAGAGAGAGAGAGAGAGAGAGAGAGAGAGAGAGAGAGAGAGGGTTCACATGTCGTCGGTGTCCGCCTCACTTCTGACCGAGCTGGGACAGCTGAGGAGAGAAGTCGACGTGTTAGAGAAACGAAGACTCCATCAGAGGAGGATCTGAGCGCGCTCAGAAGCGTTTGTTTGTTTACGGTCTCACCTGTCGGATGAACTGAGAGGCGTTGAAGAGTTCACTGCAGCCGTAGACCACCTTCTTCCCCTGTTTGAACTGAAACACACAAAAACTGATGAGCGTGATGAAGAACCAGACGACAGGATCTACAGAGGACCCCGCAACAGTACCTTAGTGTAGTCCACCAGGTTCTGATACTCGATGTAGTTTCCTCCTCCGACCACGAACACGATGGCCTGAAACAGAAACCGCCACATATCAGAGACCATCACAGACCGGACTTTTAAAGTGAGGAGGATCTGTGACATCACTTCCTGTCCTCATGAGTCCGGAGACTCTCTGCTCACCTCCTGAAACGGGTTCTTGTTCCTGGGGATGGAGCTGAGGAGGAAGAGCACAGAAAGAGAGAAGAAGATTAAAACCACCTGAACTCAGAGGATCAGAGAAGCGTGTCAGAGTGAGACCTCTCACCTCTCACTGCCGCGGAGCAGCTTTGGGTCGAAGTATCGATAATCGTCGGTTTCCTGGAAGAAGAAGAAGAAGAAGAAAATCTGTCAGAAAATACGACCTCTTCACCGTTCATCATCCATGTGACTGATTTAACACACACACACACACACACACACACACATACACACACACACATACACACACACACACACACACACACACACACACACACACACACACACACACACTGCTCTCCGTTTCTTTCATCTTCGTCCCGGTTCTTCCTCCCTCGACCCGAAACAACAGAACCTTTGTTTGTCGTCTGAAACTCCAGACTCTGAGAAACACGTGTGTGTGTGTGTGTGTGTGTTGTGTGTGTGTGTGTGTGTGTTTCTGTGTGTGTGTGTGTGTTAGCATCTCTCTGATGAGTAGACCCGTCCTGGTCTTTGTGGACCGGTTCAGGTGAGTTTACCTGTGTGTGACATCATTTAACAGACTGTCACACACACAGGAACTAACATGGACTCGATTACCCAGAATTCCCTGCGGTGTGTCCGTCTCAGTTGAGGTGGTGTAACGTTATTTAAGCAACAGTGAGACTTGTTCAGAGGACCGACCAGAACTCAAAGGTTCTGAGAAAACCCAAATAAAAAAAAGTTAAACTGGTTCATTGGATTATCAACAAAAATTATTATTATTATTATTATTATTGTTGTTGTTGTTGTTATTATTATCTTTATCTTTATTATAATTACTTTTTTATTATAACTATTATTCAATCATCCACCTAACTCTTTATTTTTATTGTTATTTAATTTATTATTATTAATATTTTTTTTCCACTTTTTATATATTTCTGTTAACTCCATGTTGTATTATGACATTAATTGTGTGTTTGTGTTCTGTATTACTTTTCCCTTTATTTTGATTATACATTAGTTTGTACTCTCATACAGTCATAACTATGATGACTCTAATTTTAGTATTATTATATTTATCTATTTTTTGTATCTTTTCCAGCACTTCTGGTTGTGTAAAAACTGAGCAAAAACTGTTGACTTTATTTTCACTCTTTAAATTAAATAAAAAAATATCATTAATAAATAAAAAAACTGTCGACTCACAGGATGAGACTTCATCTCCATCAGGTTGTCGAGGATCCGAGTGACCGGAAGGTTCTGGAAGAGAAAACGAGACATGAGGACAAAAAACGACCCGGAACATTTTCATTTATTCAGTTTGTTTGTTTTTCTTCTTCTCTGATTAAAACACGTCAGAGAGGCCGCCGTCATACGACCTTTACAAACAGGAAGTATGAAGAACCAGAGAGGTTCCCTTTAAAGAACACTCAGCGACTCTTCAGCGCCGTTGTTTTGAAACCGTCGAGTTTCTGTTTTCGTCTTTTTGTCTGTTTTTTTTTTTTCGTCTGAAATTTGGTGAAGATTCGATTTTTCCATCAGAGAGAAACTCGGTAAATCAGCCTCATCGACTCGACCGACTTCAGCGGCTGGATGGAGAAAACAGACGCTGTGTGTGTGTGTGTGTGAGTGTGTGTGTGTGTGTGTGTGTGTGTGAGCGTTATTAATGACTCCATCTCTGTGCCAGTTTCACCCTGAAACACCTTCATCATCGTCATCATCGTTATCTTTGGAGTCCAGGAGCGGAGCGTCCGTCACATTAGAGCGTCTGATTTAACCTCCTGATACACACACACACACACACACACACACACACACACACACACACTCAGAGGTGGGCGGAGTTTGGTGTGGTGGTGTAAAGTCTGGTTGCCAGCGGTTACAGGGCCGTGCAGACATGTTGGAGGAGGAACAGAGATGAAGATGACAGCTCCTCCTCTTCATCACTTCAGAGTCGGTGTGTGAGGATGAAGTGGTTCTGCAGATGGTCGTGACGGTGATGTCATTTCTCTGAACCAATCAGCTGTGAGGGGGGAGGGGCTGACCAACCCAGCAGGTCTGATCTGTAAGTCCTGGATCCTCAGGTCTAACCTCAGAGGAGAAGAACCTGATCATCTGAGTCTCAGAGTTAAAGTCGGTGTCACAGAGGGTCGACCCCCACAGAGGTCACGGGTTCAGGTTCCTCTGAGGACCTTCAGTTAGTGTGAAGTGATGAAGATCAGAGTCTGACTCACGTGCTGTTTGAGGACCAGGTTCTTCACCCCCTCCATCACAAACTGAGAACCTGAGTTCATGACTCTGGAGAACAACCTGAGGAGGAGGAGGAGAGGAGGAGGAGAAGGAGGAGGAGAAGAGGAGGAGGAGAAGGAGGAGGAGGAGGAGAAGGAGAGGGAGAGGAGGAGGAGGAGGAGGAGGAGGAGGAGGAGGAGGAGGAGGAGAAGGAGAGGAGAAGAGAAGAGGAGGAGGAGGAGGAAGAGGAGGAGGAGGAGGAGGAGGAGGAGGAGGAGGAGAAGAGGAGGAGAGGAAGAGAGGAGGAGGGGAAGAGGAGTGAGGAGGAGGAGAGGAAGGAGAGGGAGGAGGAGAAGAAGAGAGGAGGAGGAGGAGGAGAGGGAGGAGAAGAGGAAGAGAAGGAGGAGGAGAGGAAGAGAGGAGGAGGGGAAGAGGAGTGAGGAGGAGGAGAGGAAGGAGGAGGAGAGGAGGAGGAGGAGAGTGAGGAGGAGGAGAGAGGAGAGGAAGAGGAGAAGAGGAAGAGAGGAGGAGGGGAAGAGGAGTGAGAAGGAGGAGACGAGGAGGAGAAAAGGAGGAGGAGGAGAGGAGGAGACGAGGAGGAGAAAAGGAGGAGGAGGAGGAGAAGAGAAGGAGAGGGAGAGGAGGAGGAGGAGAGTGAGGAGGAGGAGAAGAGAAGGAGAGGGAGAGGAGGAGGAGGAGAGGAAGAGAGGAGGAGGGGAAGAGGAGTGAGGAGGAGGAGGAGAGGAAGGAGAAGGAGAGGGAGGAGGAGAGGAGGAGGAGGAGGAGGAGAAGAGAAGGAGAGGGAGAGGAGGAGGAGGAGGAGAAGAGGAGGAGGAGGAGAGGAAGAGAGTAGGAGGGGAAGAGGAGTGAGGAGGAGGAGGAGGAGGAGGAGAAGAGAAGGAGGAGAGGGAGAGGAGGAGGAGAGAGGAGGGAGGAGGAGAAGAGAAGGAGGAGGAGGAGGAGGAGGAGGAGAAGAGAAGGAGAGGAGGAGGAGGAGAGGGAGGAGGAGAGGAGGAGGAGGAGGAGTACAGGGTTAGTCTGGTAATCTTACAAACTCATAATAATCTTCTCTCTAAGAACAGATTAACAATCAGACTAACGAAAAAAAAATTATGAATTAAAAAAATTAATTAATTAATTAATTAAATAACTAACTTAATAAATAGATAACTTTATTAACTGACTAATTAAATCAATGCATTTATGAATAAACCGAATAAATAATCAACTAACTAAATTAATTAATTAACTAACTAATTAACTAAATAAATAAATGTACTAATTAACAATCTAACTAACTAAATTAATTAATTAATTAATTTACTAAATAAATAATTGAATTAATTTATTTCCTAAACAAACAAATAAATAAAAAATATATTAATTAACTACAAAAATAAGTAAATGTATTAATTAACTAACTAATGAACCTGCTCCTCCTAACCCTCAGACCCTCAGCAGACCTCAGCTCTTCCTCTCAGTTCTAGTTTTCATGAGGAGATCTTCTCATGTGGATCAGACTCTCACACAGACCCTCTCCTCTCTATGATCTACAAACTTCTCTGACACTGACCCCATCGGTTTGACTCCACTGTTGCCGTAGTTCGCCGGAGCGGCGGCCATCTTTGTAAACGTCCTGAAAATGACAGAGAAGAAGAAAAACATGAGGGACTCTGAGTGACGTCGTAAACCCTCAGACTCACTGAACCGTGATGGTGGACTTACTTCCACTGCCTGATGTAGTTCAGAGGTGAAAGGTCACAGCCTGCGTCCAACAGCGCCGTCTTATACTGGTCCAAGTCCGACTGAAACACACGGAGCAAAGAGACGGTTAGAAAATGGCGAAGGAAAGACGGCGAGACGCTGAGGCAGAAGAACTACCGCGTCTGTAAAATGATTAATATGGTGATTATTACTTCAAGGAAATGATAAAGAAATGATCATAAATGTTCTTCCTTGAGCTGCAGCACCCCGCTGTAGTCTGTAATGGACTGGTCTGAGGTCTCTCTACAAACAAGCGTCTGCTGGAAGAGAGTAGGTGAGTTGTGGTCAAAGTTCCACAGACCTCTCTGAGGGTCTACCTCCAGATCCTGGTCTTCTCTTCAGGGATCTCCTGACTGTCGGCTCAGCAGGAACTTCTGACACGTTACGTAAGAGCGGCGGAGCAACGTGAGAGTGTGTGTGTGTGTGTGTGTGTGTGTGTGTGAGAGGGAGAGTGTGTGTGTGTGTGTGTGTGTGAGGGAGAGTGTGTGTGTGTGTGTGTGTGTGTGAGGGAGAGAGTGTGTGTGTGTGTGAGTGTGTGTGTGTGAGGGAGAGAGTGTGTGTGTGTGTGTGAGGGAGTGTGTGTGTGTGTGTGTGTGTGTGTGTGTGTGTGTGTGTGGAGAGTGTGTGTGTGTTTGTTTTCCTGGGACGGAGATCCACCACATCAACGTCAGGAGGAGGAGGAGGAGGAGGAGGTCTGAGAGATCAAAGAGGGGGGAGAAAAACAGACGGGAGGCGGCGATGACAGGAGGAGAGGAGGAGGAGAGAGAGGGAGGTGATGAAGGCTGAGGAGGTGAACCCGGGCCGATCCGTCACTCAGGGGGGAGAGGAGAAGAAGAAGAAGAAGAGGAAGAAGAAGAGGGCAGACTTGGCGAAGGTTGGAGCTGTCACGCCGTCTGTCAGCGGAGGACCTCTGAGAAGACTGAGAACCTTTAAATGATCTGATTAAAATAACGATGATCTAATTTCCCTTCAGGGATCAATAAAGTCATCGATCGATCAATATTCAGAGTCTGATGATCTCATCCAGTCCAGATCCTCCAGGACTGTAAAGACCGTTGAAGTGGTTTTGAGTTTGAATTAAACATGTGACCACAGCCCCGCCTCCTGACCTTTGACCCTGAGAGAGACGGCGGTGGTGGCGGTCTGTATTGTTCAAACCCTCAGAGAAGACGGAGGGCTCCTGTCCAGGTTTCTTCTTCTTCAGTTTGAGGTTCTGTCAGACCACATGATCGGGTCGCTGCTTTTCATTTGGCGAAGGAAACTCTCAACACCGCCATCACCTCGCCCTGAGCGACTGTCTCTCTGGTCCTTCCTCCTCCATCACTCAGACTTCTTCAGAAACCACCACAGACCAGTTTTTGAGGGTCTGGATCTGGACAGACTCTGAGATGATCTTCTCGGTGGATCAGAAACGGTTCCTCTGGTTCAGGTTTTTCTCAGAAACTGGTTCCTGATGACCAGCTGGAGAACTGGGAGGGACTATCTGACACAGACCTGAACCAGATTCACACTCAGAAGGATCATTATTACTTCGAGGAGATGATCTTAAATGTTCTTCCTTGAGCTGCGGCGCCCCGCTGTAGTCTGCTGTGAACTGGAGGTCCATCTTCATCCTGATGAACCTCTAATGATCTAAACCCTGCAGTGATAGGACAGACCGGTTCTTGTTGTTCCTCCTGGACCCACATGACTCACATTCAGGAGAACAGTGAAGACCTGAGAGCCAAGTCCTGAAGGATCCAGATCTGAGGACATCCATCAGAGCTGCGGTCTGGAGACCAGGTTTTGGTTTAGAGTTCCTGGAGATGCAGAGTGACGTCTTCGCGGGTCTGAAGTGAAAACACGTTTAATTTAGTTTGGAAAAAAAGAGGATCTGAGCGCTCCAGGATCCAGACTCCAGGATCCAGACTCCTGGATCTGATTAGTCACACTGACTTAGACCGCCGTGAAAGGACTCTTTGTCTGAGTCCAGACCAACCGGAGGACTCTGCAGGACCTCCAGGAAACCATGAGGAACGAGACACAGGGGAGGAGCTTCTCCAACGTGAGGAGAGCTGTCATGACGGGGGGGACGTGTGTGTGTGTGTGTGTGTGTGTGTGTGTGTGTGTGTGTTACCTCTGAAGGAGCCTGCTGAGCTGTGATGTAGTAAATCAGGAAAAGTCTCATTTTGTCTTCAGGAGTCCCCGCTGAGAAACACAAACATCAACACACACATCAGTTTGTCGGATCTCTACAGCATCAAAGTGTGTGTGTGTGTGTATTAGTGTGTGTATTAGTGTGTGTTAGTGTGTGTATTAGTGTGTGTCTGTGTGTGTGTCTGTGTGTGTACCATCGGGGTCGCTGATGATGTCCAGCAGGGATTTGTCTAAAGTGGACTTGCTCATCAGTTTCTCCTCGTACTCAAAGTAAACGTCCAGTTTACGACTCTGAGGACACAAACATGATCGGTTAGAACACCAACATCTAGATCTTCAACATCTAGGTTCAGGGACTCTGCTGCACCTTGATGTGGTCCAGGACGGCTGTGGCCACGTTGGTGTGAAGGTCGATCAGTCTCTTCTTCTCCAGGAGCTCGGGCAGAGAGCTGCAGAAGAAACAGGTTAGAGATTTAACACGTGTGTGTGCGGGATCTATCAGGACCGTGTCTATACCAGGAGGACTAGACCATCATGATCCTCCTCAGAGTCACTGACTGGAGCTTTAACTCTGTCAGAGTCACTGACTGGAGCTTTAACTCTCAGAGTCACTGACTGGAGCTTTAACTCTGTCAGAGTCACTGACTGGAGCTTTAACTCTGTCAGAGTCACTGACTGGAGCTTTAACTCTGTCAGAGTCACTGACTGGAGCTTTAACTCTGTCAGAGTCACTGACTGGAGCTTTAACTCTGTCAGAGTCACTGACTGGAGCTTTAACTCTGTCAGAGTCACTGACTGGAGCTTTAACTCTGTCAGAGTCACTGACTGGAGCTTTAATTCTCAGAGTCACTGGCTGGAGCTTTAACTCTGTCAGAGTCACTGACTGGAGCTTTAACTCTCAGAGTCACTGACTGGAGCTTTAACTCTCAGAGTCACTGACTGGAGCTTTAACTCTCAGAGTCACTGACTGGAGCTTTAACTCTCAGAGTCACTGACTGGAGCTTTAACTCTGTCAGAGTCACTGACTGGAGCTTTAACTCTCAGAGTCACTGACTGGAGCTTTAACTCTGTCAGAGTCACTGACTGGAGCTTTAACTCTGTCAGAGTCACTGACTGGAGCTTTAACTCTGTCAGAGTCACTGACTGGAGCTTTAACTCTGTCAGAGTCACTGACTGGAGCTTTAACTCTCAGAGTCACTGACTGGAGCTTTAACTCTCAGAGTCACTGACTGGAGCTTCAACTCTGTCAGAGTCACTGACTGGAGCTTTAACTCTGTCAGAGTCACTGACTGGAGCTTTAATTCTCAGAGTCACTGACTGGAGCTTTAACTCTCAGAGTCACTGACTGGAGCTTTAACTCTGTCAGAGTCACTGACTGGAGCTTTAACTCTCAGAGTCACTGACTGGAGCTTTAACTCTCAGAGTCACTGACTGTAGCTTTAACTCAGCAGACTGATGGAGAGCGACGGTCTTACCTGACAGCTGAGGTGAGTTTGGCCGTGTTGTCTGACAACATGCTGATGGCTCCTTCATCTTCTCCTTCTAGACCCTGAAGACACACAGACCAGAGACCGGACCACTTTAGAGGGTTAGGAGGAACAGACCCTGCAGAGCTGGACTCAGAGGAGGTTTTCTGTCCACTCAGGAGTTAACCCTTAATCTGAACCTCCCCTTTAAACCCTGATACAGTTTCTAAACGTCTCAGACACTTGAGGACTCAAATATGGAGGACGGTTCGAGACTTTGGTACCAGACCTCAGGACTTGAACTCGTCCTTCACTGAGATGAAAGTCTAGAGAACTAACCCTGACCCTTTGTGGTATCAGAGACCTAAACCCGGGTCATGTGGACCTTTAAAGGCGGGTTTTGTTGGCGCTGTGGTTTCGTTAATCCTCCTGACTCAGCTGTTCTTCAAGGTTCTCGCTCTGATGTGGGCGTGTCTCTCACCATGATGCTCTTCAGCCGTTTGACCTCGTCCTCCTGGGCTCTGTACGTGTCCAACTCCTGCTGGACCGACTCCGCCACCTCTGGAAACGGACTGGAACACAAAAAACCCTGTTCAGGTCCAAGACGGGTTCTGATCTTTGACTGGATCAGGTCGACAGGAACCAGGATCCAAACCCGCTCTGTGGTCTGTCTCACCTGCCCTTGTGTTTCTGCCAGAACTTGTCTGCGGCCGTCAGGTCGTAGGTCTTCCTGGGCTTTTTCTTTGGTCTGGCGCCGGCGGGAGATGGCTCCGCCCCCGCGCCCTCCTCCATCACCACCCTGTTCAGCTGGAAGTCCTGGTAAAGAGAAGCAGGGTTAGTTCAGATCAGATTTAGAGTCCTGCTGATCGACTGACTGCAGAGAAAAGGTTTAATATGTTGTCATGGCGCCGTAAACACACGCTCAAAAAACACGTTTTTAATGGAAGTCTATTGGCCGATTTGAGGACAAAGGAGGGTGGGCGGAGCTAAAATGACGGAGAACTACAGGAGACAGAGAGTTTGTTTTTCAGCTCAGAATAAAGAGGAAAAAAATGACAAATATCCTCAAAACGGACGGAGGAGGAACCGAAGGGTGAAGAAGACACATGTCCTGAAGCTTCTCCAGGACGTCGGCGTCTTTGGATCGACCTTCATTCTCGTGTTGGATCTTCATCTTTAACTCGACGCTGACGTCAGTTTTTTCATAAATTCATTTCTCTGTTTTGAAACTTTGTCAGTCGACCTTCAAATGTTTGAAATCCACAGAGAAAAAACAAAGATCTCATCATCGCCTCACTCTGCCTCCACTTTTACAAAAGACACTAATCGACCACAAAACCAGGACCAGATCCAAGACCAGGACCAGGACCAGGACCAGGACCAGAGTGTGTCTCCTCAGTCTGAGAGTCTTCGGAGGATCTGCGCCCCGTCTCCAAGAACAACAAAGAAGTGAATCCTGACAGCCGATCGTCGCCCAGAACACAGAAGCCGATCACAGACCATAACACAGCCGTCGCCGTGGTAACAGGAGAAGGATGAGGGCTCAGATTTAGAGCCTGGATCCTGTACCCCGCTGAGTCTGCGCTGGCTGAGCTCAGGAACTTTGACATGTTGAAGGAAAGAGAGGAGAAAGATGGACGCCGGTGTGCAGCCAGCAGGTGGCGACGCTGCCATCTGGACCGACATCCAATGAGCTCAACCTCCCAGCATGCATCACTGCAGCAGAGTGGAGTCAGGACTGAGAGCAGGTGTTGGATCAGGGTCTGAACTCTGCTGCAGGTCTCCTTAGAGGACCTCTAGACCTCTAAGACCTGAATCCACAGAACCAGGAAGAACAAATCTATCAGAGTCAACGACCTGAAACCATCATGTGACCAAATCAGAGATCTTCTCTGAGAGGAGACGCTCCACTCTGTTATCAGAGATCTTCTCTGAGAGGAGACGCTCCACTCTGTCAGATCTTTGATCTCCATGATTCAGATTCATCCTGATCCTTCAGGACTGCAGACGTCTGAGAAGATCGAGTCTGAAGGACGAAAAACACCTCAGAGGACGACAGGAGACAAACGGCTGGACTCTGCCAAACTTTAGAGTGTGTGTGTGTGTGTGTGTGTGTGTGTGTGTGTGTCTGTGTGTGTGTGTGTGTGTTATGTAACACATCCACATTCCTGTGCTGTCATTATTAACCTCAGCACCTCAGCAGCTGACAGCGCTCTGGCTCTGCATGAATAACTGTGTGTGTGTGTGTGAGAGTGTGTGTGTCCTGGGAATCCCTGAGACACACACAAACACACACTCACAGGTTGGTTCTGTTTGATCCAAAGGTCCATGTCCTGATCTGAGCGGCTCTCACGTTAATAAACTCTTTTTCTTCTGTTTTTGAAGCTGATGAAGAATCTGATTTTATATTTTAGTCTCTCCTCAAACTCGACACGAGTACAGATGAATTTACTGATCAGCTGTGATTACATATATGACATGGAAGTGTGAGCTAAGTGGGCGCTTACTGATCACCGCTCATCTCAGGTGTTTAAACTTCCAGGATGTTTGATGAGTACGGTGGCCGAGAACGGCCACTGCTGCAAATAAAAAAAGAAACAGTGAAGATTTAAAAAAAAAAAGCCACAACAGACGTTATGACGCAAAAAAAGTGGTGATGCAAAAAAAAAAAAAAAAGTTACATACTGCAAAAATAAAAGGATGCAAATAAAAAAAAGCCACAAGGGAAATTAATGAACCCCCCAAAAAAAAGTGGCGTTGCAAAAAGTAATAAGTAAATTTTTTTTTTCCATTTCCGTTGTGGCTTTTTTTATTTGTATCCTTTTATTTTCACAATAAGTTACTTTTTTTTGGGGGGGGGGGGTCATTAACTTCTATTGTGACTTTTTTTTTTTTTTTATCTGCACCGTTTCTTTTTTGTATCTGCAGCAGTGGCTGCTCTCGGCCCCCGTACATGAGGACACAGCTGTGTAAGAAGTAAGACCCTGAACTGTGTCTGGTTCTCTCTCCGTGTGTCACACAGAGGCTGCAGAGAGTCCAGTCCTCAGTCTTCAGTCCTGTTGGTGTCCCCCCTGGTTCTGTCCCGGGTCCTGATCCTTTTCCCCTCTAAGTGAAGTTAAACTGTTTCCTGTTTCAGAGTCTGAATAAGGAGCTCGAACGTCGCTGCAGCTTTAAGACAGAGAATATTCCAGAAACATCCATCTTTGTGGGAGGAGCCTAACCCAGGGCGTCACCGACAGAGTAAATCTGAGGAGACTCCACCTCACATTTTCACGATAAAAAGGTCAAAGGTCATCAGTTAAAGCTCATTTCAGCTCACCAGGACGTCGTGGATCAGCGCCTGATAGGTCCAGGTGTGGTGAAGGGGCGTGGCCATGTCCACGTTACGATCAGCCAGAACGAAGAGAGGCCTCTGGAAACTACAAAGACGGAGTCAGAGTCAGGAGGTTCTTCCTGATCCGGCCACACTGCATCATGGGTAAACGAGTCCCGCAGCCGATTACCTGAACTGTCCGGCAGCCATGTTGTCTCCGGTGAAGAGGCTGTTTCTGGCGTCCCGCAGGTTCTCACGGAGCTTCTTATCCAACTTCTACGACGAGAAACCGACAGAGACGTCAGAGGAGGTCAGAGTGTCTGAGCGTTTACAGACGAGTTCGGAGGAAAAGACGTTTTTAACTTAATTCTCTTGAAAGTATCTAAAAAAATTATATTAGAGGGACCAATATCATCAAACAGTTGGTGGAGGTAGATTAATCCATTTTCTGTTTTTTAAAACTGTTATCCAGAAAGAAGTTTTTTTTTTATTTAACCGATAAATCAAAAACGAAAAACATCAGAACGACAATAAGAGTAAAGAAGGAGGAACTCACCACGGCCACCATCTCTGCTGCGTTTCCACGGGGACAGCGAATGATTGGCACCGCCCCTGATCAACAAGAACATCGACAAAAACAGATTTTATTAAACTGAAGTGAAGACGGGTGAGAAGAAACCAGGAACAGCTACTGGTCAGGGTTTTCCTCCTCACTGATGGATTAATCACACTGATGCCTCCATCTAGTGGACAGCGTGAGTACTGCCTCCTCATTCTCCTGAGCCAATCATCACACATTTCTGTCAACATCCAAGTCCAGGTATCAGAGTCCTGACTCAGAGTCCTGACCTCACAGTCCTGACCTCACAGTCCTGACCTCACAGTCCTGACCTCAGAGTCCTGACTCAGAGTCCTGACCTCAGAGTCCTGACCTCAGAGTCCTGACCCCAGAGTCCTGACCTCAGAGTCCTGACCTCAGAGTCCTGACTCAGAGTCCTGACTCAGAGTCCTGACCTCAGAGTCCTGACTCAGAGTCCTGACCTCAGAGTCCTGACCCCAGAGTCCTGACCCCAGAGTCCTGACCTCAGAGTCCTGACTCAGAGTCCTGACCCCAGAGTCCTGATCTCAGAGTCCTGACCTCAGAGTCCTGACGGCGGACCTGAGCGCTCCAGATCAGCTGACCGACTCACCCAGAGTGACGAAGAAACAGAAGAGCGAGTCCACGATGTTGTCCATGATGGCCTCCATGTCCGTGTCCTGGATGTCGGCTCTGTTGATGGCTGCAGGACCGACACGCAGGTTTAGAGGTTTGTGAGAGAAGACGGCAAGGAGCGAAGGAGGTAAGGAAGCAAGGAAAGGAAAAAGGACACGAGAGAGGACAGTCAGTAAAATAAACAGGGAAAGAGGAGGAAAGAAGGGAAGGAGGAAGGGAGACAGGGTGGAGGAAAAGGGACAAGGAGATAGGAGAGGAGGACAATGAGGAGAGAAGGAGATGAAAAGTCGAGGATTCAAGGAGACGAGGAGGAAACATCACCGTGGTACGAGATGAGCTCCTTGTTCTGGTGGCTGAGCAGGAACATGTCGTCCTCCAGGGTGATGAAGTTCAGGTACTGATCGTAGACCTGAACCACAAACACCATCAGAGGTTAGAGTCCTCATCCTCTAAATCTACACTCATAGGTCTATCTGAATCACAGGGTAACCATGGTTACCTTGGTGACTTGGCTGACGGCGTTGGCGGTCAGAGCGGCGTTGGCGATGTCCTCCAGTTTACTCCGGCTGATGGCTGAGATGAAGTTCAGGTAGTAGGACTCGTAGAGCTGACTCCTCAGGTCCTAAGACAGGATCACATCTACATCATCTACATCTACGCTGCACACACTGACCGAGGAGAGCGAGGAGAGCAGAGTGTGAGCGGAGGTTACCTGACAGATCCTGTTGATGTTCTCCTCTGTGGGCATGACGAAGTAGATGGCAGGAACCTCCGGGATGGACTCTCGGTCCGAGTGAAGCAGGCTGGGAGACAAAGACGGAGGTTTAGAGGGTCAGACATGATCTGGGGGTCGGAGTAAATCAGGGTCAACGGAGTGACGGGATCTTCACTACGACGCTAGGACAGAAAAGCATCATGGGAAACCAGAGGACTCTTACAGGTGAAGGGTGATGCCCATGTCTCTGAGCTCTTTGACCGACAGCAGCGGGGAGATGATGTCCTGGCCAAACCGGTCGTAGATCAACACCTGAAGACACACACACACACACACACACACACACACGCACACACGCACACACACACACAAACACACACACACACACACACACACACACACACACACACACACACATTAAACACACACATGAACTTTCACTGCAGCTGAGGAAAGAAACGCGACTCTAAAACTCAACAAAGACGCTCAGGAGTCCAAGTCAGGGTCTGACAAGTTTGTAGTTCAGATAAACACTGTGTGCGTGTGTGCGTGTGTGTGTGTGTGTGTATTTTACCTTCCATACTGGCTCAGCTGTTGTGTTCTTCAGAGGAGGAGCGTTAAAGTTCAGCATTCGCTTCAGAGCGACTGAAAGAGCAAACACACACACACACACACACACACACACACACAGACACAAACACACACAAACACACACAGTTTACACACACACTTATACCAACATCTCTACTGTACTTCTAGACAAATAGATCAATATCTAATATTGTAAGATTCTGTAATACAAATCTTATTTTTATTAGTTCTGAATTAGGGCGATAAAACGATAACGTTATTGAAATCTAATTTTCCTCAATATCGATATTAAACATGATCAATATCCTTTTCAATAGTCGTCATTCTGACAGGTTTTGGTCGACTATACGAACAGCCAATGAAAAGGGGAGTTTCTCTGGGTCTGAACCAATCATGTTCTGAATTAGAACCAAGTATCAACCAACTGCAGCGTCGTAGCAGACAGCAGCTCCACCCAACCATAGCACTTTAACAGGTGAAGCCGACAGCACTGTTGGTGAGAAACAAAGAAAATGAGTGCTACCCCCGACAGAAATGACCATGAAGGCTCAACAGATGACCACATCAATGTCAACCACAACACTGGCGTTAGGAAAACGTCGGTGGTGTGGAGGTATTTTGGTTTTTGGAGGTCGGACATGAAGCAGAGTAATGTGGACTGTAAATTATGTCGAGTACATGTTCTCACAAAGTCGGGGAATACCTCAAATCTTTTTCACCACCTGAAGCAGCGCCACGCCGCAGAGCACGCGCAACGCAAAAGGTTACAAACCCCGAGAGGAGCGAGGAGCCCGTGGCGCCTGAAACAGACGACCATTCAGTCGGCTTTCTCTAGAGCAACGCCTTACGACAAAACGCCAAAGAGACACAAAGACATCGCAAAAGACATGCTACCAATAAGCACTGTTAAATTTCATTTTTTATATTGTGATATTTATCGATATCGACTGATATGAAAACAATATCGTGATAAAGTTGTCCACATATCGCCCAGCCCTAATCTGAACATTTCTGCCTCCATGATCAGCTGATTATTAACTGCACGTGCACTGACATGAGCTCCATCATGACTATTAAACTAGCGCAGGTGATAACTGCTGTTTGTTAAGATTAATACAGTCACGTGGAGAGAAACAGGTCAACTATATATAATAATAATCGGGTTTCTATCGGTATCGGTTTTGGTATCGATATCGGCATCAGCCCATTTGAGTCTAAAAATATCATTATACCAAATACATCATTATCACCGGACAAAACTAGACATTTTTAAACGGCAGAAGTATAATTCCGGTTACATTCGACGTCTTGTTGATTTAGAGGTTTTAAAAATTCAGATTTTAACATTTAATCCGGTAAAACTGACCGATTTTTTTCACTGTCACCATCCGGCTAACTTCACCGAGACTTCACAGACTGTCTGAACCGTAAACTGACCGTCTAACAGGCCGGTGAGTCCTCTAGTTAACTGGTTATCAGTCTGGTTAGTTAGTGAGTTTCTGAATCTGAAGTGAAACCGGATCAACTGATAACCAGCTAAACTAACGGCTGGACAGAGAGGAGGACCGGTTAGTTAGCCGGTTAGAGGAACGACAGGGTGGAGAAACTCTCTGCTGTTAAACTGGGATCATTTAAACTCTAAACAGTCCGTCTGTATCGCTGTCTTAATTAATATTTAACCGATAATAGGAGAAAATCCAGTTTGACGAACCTGTCTGCTTCTCCCGGACGGACGCCGCCATGTTTGATGTTGTTGGTGATGACGGAGCGTCCGATGACGTGGCGTCAGCAGAGAGCGTCAGAGAGGCGGGAAAAGAGAAGACGTCTCACACCGACCTTTTTTCAAGAAATCAAACACTTTCTTCTTCTCCTAATTTAACTTACGAACAATTTAAATAGAGTAAGTGGGTAAAAAAGATCAAATGACCAGAACTACAGAAACATATAATCAAGATCATTTTACTGCCAGAATGAAGAAAAGGGAACAACAAGCAGAGTATTTAAGTTTGAGGTCTCACTCTGCTGCTTTTTTAGGAACCAAAAAGAATCAAAAGATCAGAACTACAGAAACATATAATTAAGATAATTTCACTGCCAGAATGAAAAAAACGGGAACAACGAGCAGAGTATGTGGTTCTCAACTGGTGGGTCCCGACCCAAAAGTGGGTCGTCGACATGTCCTGGATGGGTCACAAACAGCTGGTCAAAAAAGTAAATATTTAAAGGTGGTGTAGGCAGGAATCAGTTAAAGAAGCATCTTTTTTGAGGTGTTTATACAAAAAAATCTTTGAATATCAGTCAATAGTTATTAGTTATTGATGACATTTGGTAATATAACGATATCTCTGTGTTCTCTTATGTCTGTGTCGTCAACATTTGAACATTTTTGAGCGGTCCGCTCTTTCTGACTGTAAACAAAGCCGTTCTCCACCTCCTCTAACCTGATTGGTTGTGAGGCAGACGCTGCTCCCCCGTGTCGTTCAGGAGCCCAAACAAAGTTAGCGTGCTACAATATCGGACAGTAGAAACCAACCAGAAAGTTCGGAAAATCGTCTGAATCCTCCTTTGGCCACGACTGCCGACACAAGCGAGAAAACAAAGTAAATACCGGAGACTCTGGAGGAATAACGGGCGCTTAAAACGGAGGTAGACCGGACAAGAGCTAAAAAGCTGGGTCAACATAAACGATGGGGGACGCTTGGGGATCTTGGTGACCCTGTAACCTTTCTGCTGGACAGGTAAACCGCTTTAACAAAGTAAGACAAGTGGGTGTCTGTTTGTGGGCGGGGCTTGAGGGGAGAGGAGGAGCTGAGGGGAACTGGCACTAACTCAGATCCTGACTACCCAAACTTTAATGTGATATTTATTAGCTATTTGATATTTCTTGTATACGAAACTTCGGTAGTTGTCGTCCTCATGTTGTTCCCTTCATGTGCTCTGAAATATCAAAGATTAGTGCTTTAAAGGTAAAAGACAGCAGGTGACAGAAGAGTTTGTTTTTGTCTCAGTGTTTATAATCCACCAAAGAGGACTGACCTCACAGCACCAAACAGGAGGAGCAGATAAATAAGGACAAAATGAAAACAGGTTTGAAGAGATTTAGAAATCTGATAGACAGGAATAAAGATCAAACTCATCATTAATGCTGTAATCAGGAGTGTTTCTGACGGTATAACAGGAGGATAAGTTCAAAATAAAAACATGTTTGAAAAAGACACCTTCTTTCTTTTGAGTAACACAGAAACTAACAGAAGACTGAGACGGTATTTTGGTGTAAAAACAGAAAACTGATCATGAGACCTGACTGTGGGTAACTTAACGGACTGAATCTGAGAGCTCTTCAAACCCTCTCCAGGATAAAACTGAGGAGTCCAAACTCTTCAAACAGGAAACCTCATCTGTTCAGAACGACTTTGTACAACATGCAGAGCAGCTTTAAGACACGTTTATACAGACAGCACCTTTTTTTTTTTACTAAACTATAAAACATCAGAGAGAACGGTTCACGCTCAAACCTGATTGGATAGAAAATAGAAATATTTCTGTATAATAACTGAAGTTTGACTTTAAAAAAAAAACTTTTCCAGGCGTTTCAAAACCTCAAAAACAAACTTTTCAAGGACCTGCATCATAATCAGTCCTGTAACCAAAGGGGGCGGAGCTTAAAAGAGTCCGCTGACCATAAAAAAAACCCCAAAGTAAAAAAGGTGTTAATGTTCGTATTTCTGAGCTCCTCGCCTCCTCTAGCTCTCCGTAGGGAGGAGGTGAACGTGGTGGCTGACCGCCTGCTCCATGGCGCTCTTGAAGGTCTGATAGGAGGAGACGACGGGCAGGAGGAGGAGTCTGGAGCTGGGCTTGCTCTGAGGGAAGAACCCGCCGTCCCTCCACGCCTCCTTCTCCACTCTGAGAGTCTTCTTCTTCTTCTTCTGCTGCTGCTTTCTTCTTCTTTGTGTCGGAGTCTCCTTCGTCTCTGTTGGGGGTGAGGAGGCGGAGACAGGGTGGAGGAAGGAGATGGACGGAGGAGGGAGGAGGCCGGCTGCTGGGAGCTCCTCGGATCCTGTGGCGAAATGGAGGAGGTCCTGTAGAGAGATGGAGGTCCTACCGACTGAGGAGAGGAAACAAGGGAAGAGGAGAGGAGAGGAGAGGAGAGGGAAGAAGAGGAGAGGAGAGGAGAGGAGAGGAAAGGAGAGGAGAGAAAAGGAGAGAAGAGGAAAGGTGAGGAGAGGAGACAAGGAGAGGAGAGGAGAGGACAGGAGAGAGAGGAAGAGGAGAGGAGAGGAGAGGAGAGGAGAGGAAAGGAGAGGAGAGGAGAGGAGAGAAAAGGAGAGGAGACAAGGAGAGGAGAGGAGAGGAGAGGAGAGGAGACAAGGAGAGGAGAGGAGAGAAAAGGAGAGAAGAGGAAAGGTGAGGAGAGGAGACAAGGAGAGGAGAGGAGAGGACAGGAGAGAGAGAAAAGGTGAGGAGAGGAGAGGAGAGGAGAGAAAAGGAGAGGAGAGGAGAGGAGAGGAGAGGAGAGGAGACAAGGAGAGGAGAGAAAAGGAGAGGAGAGGAGAGGAGAGGAGAGAAAAGGAGAGGAGAGGAGACAAGGAGAGGAGAGAAAAGGAGAGGAGAGGAGAGGAGAGAAAAGGAGAGGAGAGGAGAGGAGACAAGGAGAGGAGAGAAAAGGAGAGGAGAGGAGAGGAGACAAGGAGAGGAGAGAAAAGGAGAGGAGAGGAGAGGAGACAAGGAGAGGAGAGGAGAGAAAAGGAGAGGAGAGGAGAGGAGAGGAGAGAAAAGGAGAGGAGAGGAGAGGAGACAAGGAGAGGAGAGAAAAGGAGAGGAGAGGAGAGGAGAGGAGAGAAAAGGAGAGGAGAGGAGACAAGGAGAGGAAAGGAGAGGAGAGAAAAGGAGAGGAGACAAGGATAGGAGAGGAGAGGAGAGAAAAGGAGAGGAGAGGAGACAAGGAGAGGAGAGGAGAGGAGAGAAAAGGACAGGAGAGGAGACAAGGAAAGGAGAGAAGACAAGGAAGCAAAAGGGGATGGGAGGAAGAAGAGAAGAGGAGAGGAGAGAAGAAGAAAGTAGAGCAGAGGAGAGGAGATGACAGGAGAAGGGACAAGGAAGGAGAGGAGAAAGGGGTATAAGAAAGGTGAGGAGAGGAGACAAGGAGAGGAGAGGAAAGTAGAGGAGAGGAGAGGAGAGGAGAGGAGAGGAGAGGAGGAAGCAAATCCAAAGTTAAATTTCGTGCGTCTCTTTTTTGCAGATTTTAAAAACCTGTTCAGGTGTTTTTGGATCTTCTGACTCGGCTCAGGAGGTCGTACCTTCACACTCCAGCAGGAAGCGGCTCCAGAAGGAGCTGACGGGGGTCTCCATGTTCAGTTTCTCCTCCTGGGTGGAAAAGGTGACGGTGAACAGCTGACCCAGAGTCTGAGCCGTGAGCTGGACCGTCGCCTCGCAGAAAACCCCGAGAAACACGGAGGGGAAGAGCTGCACCTGGATCAGAGAGGAGGGGAGGTTTAGAGGAGGTCAAACATCTGCTGGTGAGGTTCTACAGTGAAGGGAGGAGGTCAAAGTCACCTGATCAAAGACGCCTAAAGTCTGCAGACCCTCCCTGAACCTGGAGGAAACAAACCAGCTGTTAGAAGACCGGAGACTCAGACCGTGAACATGAAGATCTGAGCAGGGTCTCTACCTCTGCAGTGGGACCTGCATCCTGCTGATCATGGTGAAGTTGACCAGATCCTCCACCAGAGCCTCCCTCTCCTCCAGGCGGCTGATTGGTCGGTTGCATCCGGCCAGCTCCAGGTACTCCCAGCTCTCCGCCATCACTTCCCTCAGCTCGTCTAGAGACTCCGCCTCCGCCATCTGAAACCAGCCAATCAGTCACTCGCTCACTCAGAAAGAGACGCTCATGTGGGGCGTTTTTACTCACCCGGCTGACTTGGCGGGTGAAGTGCGTGTCGGGGGTCATGTGTGAGAGGGTGAGCGGGAGGTTGGGGGGGTGGTTGAACAGACACTGGTAGAGGGCGGGAGAGAAGAAGCCGACAGGAGGACCGCCGTGAGCCAGAGCGAGGGCGAGCAGGCAGCCCACGTCGAAGTACAGGTCGTCACGCAGAGCTGTGTAAACACACACACACACACACACACACACACACACACACACAAAATTAAAAAAATGTTCCTGCAGACATAGACTTGTCCATTTGAATTGAATTGTTGCACATGTCTCCTTAAAGCCACCAAACCCCATTCACAAAACAACCGATTTAAGGAATGGAGGAGTTGAAGGAGCTGCTGATCTTCTGCTGCCTCTTCTACAGTTTTTTAACCCTTGTGTAACCGTCGCAATTTACACCCTTTGGTAACGCTCAGTGGCTAAAAAAAATGGCAAAGGCAAAGAAAATGCGAGTATCGAAAAGACATGAATAGTGCAAGTGTTTTTATGAGGGTTTTCTGAAAGTTTCTATGAAAATCAGACATTACACAAAAATTCATCATAGTTTCTGAGGTTCCTAATCCTTCACAAGGCCAAGACTATGCAACATGTAAAAAAATCACCTGTTTCTAATGTTTTATGATGAAAATAGGCCATTTTTGTGTATTTTTCTAACATATCAGTGACATTATGCTTTGAATGGACCCTCAAAGGGTTAAAAAAAAATTTTTACATGAAAAATTTACTATTTTTGAATAGAGCAGAAGTTAATTAAGAGATATATGAAAAAAAATCTGGAAAAAATATGAATCCAATATGCTTTTTTTAGCCACTGAGCGTTACCTAAGGGTGTAAAATTTGCCGAGCGCCTATTTTTGACCTGGTGAAAATTTTGAAGTAATATTTTCAAAGTGTCCATCAATATAAGCATCCACAAAAAAAATCATCCCATTTGGTGCAGTAAAAAAAAAGTTAGGTGGAAATTGGTGGCTAAATTCTGTCCCTAGTGGCTCTTTTTAGCCACACCGTTACATAAGGGTTAATCACAGGAATATCAGGCTGAAGGAAAACTTGATGTTCAAAAGACTTAAAGTCTCACAGGAATGGAGTTAGTTGTCAGGTCTGTGCAGAAAAACATCAACAGGTTTAAGAGACAAAATGATTGTTTTTGTGAATGAAGTTTGGTGGGAGGAGGACATAGATGTGTTCTCTCAGAAACAAGGACAAGGTTCGGGACGGGGAGCAACAGGCAGGGATTCAAAACTACCTTGGGAGTCTAGCGCCAGGTTCTTGGATCCCTCTGGTCCCTCAAACACCCCGCAGTCCTGGATCTGCTGCATCAGCACCTTCAGGAAATAGTGCCTGGCTGTGTTGTTCTCCCGGAGGCTGCTGGGAAACGCGGTCTGCTCGCCATCTTTAAAGCTGGGCGGAGTCAAACAGAGAGATCTGTGGTCGCCCTTTCTGATTGGAGGATAAAGAAAAACCCCACCCCCCCAGTGTGTGTTCGTCCTCGTCTCACCTGATGGACAAAGTGTGTGTGGGGTCAAAGTCCGCCCTCCTCACCAGCTCCACACCTGCAGACAAAACCTGGTCCCCGTCCACCTCCACCTGAACCGTGACCGGACTGAGCTGAGGGGCCAGAACCTGCAGGAGGTCCTCAGGTGACCCACACCCGACAGGCAGAGATGGTCTTTGAGACGGACGGAGAAAGACAGATTTAATGTCTTTGTCTTAAAATCAGACAAAAGACAGAAGGTGTGTTTGTTTTGTTTACCTCTTACAGCTGATGGAGGAGTGGATGGGAGACGAGCGGCGTTTGGACGGCAGACTCCGCCTCTGAGGAGACGAAACCAGGGAGGCTGCAGGACGGGAGCAGACACGTTAATCTCAGTTTTCTCTCACCGTGGACATCTCTGAATTTTGAGTCTCGGGTCCTTTAAGAGTCTCAGACCTATCCCGTCGGACGTCGGCGTGCAGTCGCTGCAGGACCAGTGTCTGGTACCCAACCTCAGTCCAGAACACTTCCTGTGAGTCCCTCTGGATCCACACAGCCGGCAGCGGATCACCTGGAACCACCTGAAGAAAACCGACACGCAGCGGCGTCAAAAACAACCATGAGGAGGCGGAGGAGTGAGCGTGTAACGTCTTCAATAAAGGGTCAAATTACCCAGACTCTGCGGAGTGCGAGCGCCCGTCCACACACAGACAGGTGAGGGCGTCGCAGCGTCTGTAAACCTCCAGCAGCTCTGAGAACGCGCCAGCCTCCAACTCCCAGGATGCATCTCTGCAGATCAAACAAAAACACAGACGTGACTTTTGGTCTCTGATGGAGAAGCTCCTGAAGGTCACGGGTGTGTGTGTGTGTGTGTGTGTGTGTGTGTGTGTGTGTGTGTGTGTGTGTTACCGCTCAGGGATGAAGACCCCCATCCTCAGCATCTCCTCCTGGAAGTCCTCCTTGTTGTTACACAGAGTACATCTGAAGAAGAAGAGGCCGGCGCTGTGGGCCTGACGCTGACACACAAACAAACAGATCATCAATAATCCAACAATCAATCGACTCCATGATCGACAGCTGAGTGTCGTTGTTGTTGTGATGATGATACCTGGACACAGTCTCGGTGGAACCAGCTGGTGTGACAGGAAGGACATTTGAGGACGGAGAAGCCGAGGACGGGCTCGATGGAGTCCAGACAGATGGAGCAGGACTGAGGCAGACTGAGGTCTGGGTCCACACACAGAGACTGAGAGGGACTGTGGTCCGGACAGAAAGACCTGCACACAAACAGGAAACCACGATGAAGATGATGTGTCTGTAGACCTCCTTGGGGTCCGTGTGTGAGGTGGGTCACTCACGGGAAGAGTCCCATAAACTGAGAGATGAACTGGTGTTTCCTCCCACAGGAGAAGTGGAACTTCTTCCTGCAGCTACGGACGACACAGCCGACACACGCCCCCTTCTTCTTACAGCAGCAGCATGTCTGAAAACACACACAATATCAACGCAGTCAATACACACACAAGAGGAACGCACACAGAGTAAACCGAGGGTAGAAATGTTGAGTTTAAAGAGCGTGAACACAGATTTGGACTAAGAGTGAATCTAAATGTCTGACCAGACGAGACGAGCGGCGGATCTCCTGTTTGATGTCCTCGATCAGGAACCCAAAGACGCCCTCGGTCTCCTCTCCTCGCTGGTAAACTCCACAAGACGTCAGCTGAAGCAGAAACATGCAGAGGATTACAGAAAATATCCTCCTTCAGAGGAATAAACCTCCTTACAGATGAAGACATCTACAAAGATTTATAAATCTAGAAGAAAACTCAAAGTTCAGGATCCTCAGAACACGATTCCAGAACTTTTAGACTCACCAAACAGAAGTAATGAACGGAGAGCTTGTGCTCTTTCAGAGTGACTTTTTCTCCAAACATGGCCGGATCATCATCCCTGAGACCGCAGAGAGCACAGCCTACACAACAACAACAACAACGACGACAAAGATAACAATCACTTTATTTTTATATCACTTTTAAAAACATCAGTTTACAAAGTGCTTTGACAAAGAGTCGTAAAGCACAGATCATCAGCACATGGAAATAAAATAAAATAATAAAACAAAAGCTCAGTTAAAAACCTCTGGAGTGAAGAACAATTTCATTTGTCATAAGAAACTCAGACAAAACAAGAACTCGACAACATGAACTGAGACCATGAGGACCGAAATAAAAACATCAAATAGGAAAGAAAAAGAAACGTAATAAAAGGAGAAACAGGATAGTAAATATTAAACGACAATATTAATAATGATAATATAATCACAATAAAATAAATATGATGGTAATTATAATGATAAAATGGAAGAACAAAAATGAGCAGGAAAAAAAACCCCAATAAAATTCAGTTCAGATGCAGCAGCAGCTCGGCTTTTTCCTTTTTCTTTCCTATTTCATGTTTTTATTTCGGTCCTCATGGTCTCAGTTTATGTTGTAGGTTCTTGTTTTGTCTTATAAAAATAGTCTTTAATTCCATTTTTACTGAGCTTTTTGTTTTTATCTGTCTTTGTATGACTATGTGTCAAAGCACTTTGTAAACTTCTGTTCATAAAAGCACTATAAAAATAAAGTTATTATCATTATCATTATTATTATTAGTTATTTTCATTTGTTCCAGTAAAACTTTGATATCAGATCGGTGATCCGTTCAGACTCAGGGGGGTTTGTTCAGATCACTCACAGTCCTCAGATCCAGACTTTGACCTCCTTCCCGTCCTCTTCTTCATGTCGGTGTGAAATGACCCTGAGAGACACACACATCAGAGAGGTCAAATACAAACAAAAGAAAAGGAGAATATTTTAATGTCTAATCAAACCTTTAACACACATCAAACCCAGGAAACCGTTAAAAACAACATTAACTGTGTAATAAGAGTTTTTTTTAAGGAAAATTCAGCATTTAAAGTCCAAACTTCACCTGATAATCAAAGTTATTCTATCGATCCGTAAATAAACCATATAAATACAAGAAAGACGCCGTTAGATACAGTAAATATATATGGATTAATCAGCTTTATAAATCTGAAGTTAGTGTTTAAGGTGTAATAATTCACAGTTATCTGAAAACTCTAGACGGCGCGTTAGAGAACAAAATAACCTCCAAATTCAGAGTTTATTAAAGTCAAACTCCGACAGAGAGTCAGTAATTATTCAGTTTATAATACCTACTTTATACTCGGTGTTGAAAACTCTCAGTTTGTGCTCATTTTCCTCTCTTTTTTAGAGTTTTTATCCCCTCTTCCTCCTCCTCTCTCTCTTTATTCTCTAACGTCGTTTCCACTTTTAAATTTCCCTCGTTCAAAACACATGACGTCATTTCCGCTTCTTCTCCGCTCGGTGCAGTTTTCCGCCACAGCGCCTCCTGCGGCCAACGACCAAACAGCGCAAAATAGAGTCATTGAAAAACCGGACGGTGAAACAGTGAGGAGCGGTTACCATGGAGACGGAAAACAAACACTGTCCACCGGCTGGTGAAGACTGAGGAACTCTGGACGTTTTTTTGAAGGTTTTTAAAGGTTTTCCAGGTGAGTTACGGGTGTTTTATTGAGCCTTTTAAACCTTTTTATATGTCTGTCTGATAAACTTCAGCTCAAGGTTCGAGTTCTCTGACCGTCAGGTAGTTTAAACGTTCATTTATGATCTCTGACATCGGTAACACTTTACAATAACCATCATATATAAATGCTAAATAGATAGTTTATTAATGTAAGTTAATTGTGACTTCACCATTAAAAAGTAATGATGAATAATTTTCATTAATTATTTATGGACTTAGGGTTTAAATATTGGTTGTAAAAACTCTAGATCAAAATGTGTGTCAGCAGCACTTTGTAAATGTTTCATATTTGGTTATTAAATCATCTATAAAGATAACTGAGATGGTTATTGTGAAATTAGGGTTAGGGTTTTTAAAATTGTAAAATTGAAGATTTATTAATGGTCTATATGCTATTTAACAACCAGGATGAAGCTGAAAGTGAATTCATGTCAGATTTAGAGGACATTAAAATCAGTTTGTCAGGAGAAAACAGGTGTTTTCACTCACAGGTGAGCTGGTTTATTAAAGCTGCAGAGCGCTGTGAACATATTAATAATAATAATCCTGTTTTCTATTTGTGTTTAATGTTGAACTGCTGGAATTTATTTTTTACATTTACAAGGCCTTGAATATTGTTTTTAAATTCCAGGCTGTAAATATTCAAATGTGAAGAACTGTTTAAAAATAATTCAAACAGCTGCTCCAGAGTTTTTTTTAATCTGCAAACCTGATACTAACACCGATAATTCATTATGATTACTAATATTATTATTACTGTTATTATGATTGTACTATTATGATAATATTAATAATAATAAAATAGCAATAATAATTACAACAAGATAACTGATAATAATAATAATATCAATGGAAATAATTATTATTTTTATTATTATTAGTAGTAGTAATGGTAGTATAATTATCATTATTTTTGTTGTTACTCTTATTATTATTATTGTTGTTGTTTTTTTATTGTCTTCATATAATAATAATAATAATAATAATAATAATAATAATAATAATAATAATAATAATAATAATAATCAAGATTTTATTTCCAGTTCACAGATTCCTAAGCTCTGAGTTTTTTTAGGTTTAGGACATTAAATTTAATGATTGATGTAAAGTTGATTGAAGCATCACCTGATTCATTAACGTCATTAACACTGCTGTGATAATTAGGCCCAGGTGTGGTCTCTCTCTCTCTCTCTCTCTCTCTCTCTCTCTCTCTCTCTCTCTCTCTCTCTCTCTCTGTGTTTCAGGTATTTTAGAAGGGAGAGAAAGAAGAAGAAGGAGAGATGCCGAAGAGAGTGAAGAAAGGAGGAGGAGGAGGAGGGAAGACGGAGGGAGAGAGGCTCCTGTTCCTGCAGCAGAGAGCTCAGGCTGAGGAGGAGATGGCCAAGAAGAAGGAGGAGATCCTCACGCTCTATCTGAAGGTAACCCTGAATCAGACTGGACTCTGAACCACCGAGTGGACTTCAAAAGTCTGATCTGTGTTTCCTCTGTGGACCAGGACAAGCTGCAGAAGGAGGAGAGGAACACGGCCATGAACCTGATGAAGATCAACGACGGTTGGAGGTCCATCCTCCGTCAGAGTCGAGCTGCAGAGCTGCGGAAAGACATGGAGGTGTTGATGCCGACGTTTGAGACGCAGCTGGACGCCATGGACGACCTCATCAAGGTCTGAGTCTTCTCCTCAACGTTCAAACTTAGATCATGAAGACCTGCAGGTTTACAGTTTCTGAGCGTGTCCCCCTCCCTGTGCAGAACCTGGTGACGGCCCTGCAGGAGGCGGAGCGACACTCGGCTCGGGTGCGGCGTGTTCACCTGCAGCACCTGGACCGTCTGCTGGTTCTGCAGCACAGACGTCTGGGGTTGGTGCAGCAGCAGTGGGAGGGCGGTCTGCAGCAGCTCAGCTCCAGGTTCAGCTCTGACAGGTGAGTCCGGGGAGACACGGCGCCCCCTGCTGGCTGCAGTGAGGAGTACAGAGCTGTGGTACAGGTTTTTTTTTCTGTCGCTAACAAGCGTAACCACGTCGTTTTCAGTGAACACGTCTCCTCAATATCTACAAGCCACAACAGAAGTTAACGACGCAAAAAAAAAGTGAGGATGGGAAAAAAAAGAGTTACTGCTAAATTAAAGGATGCAAATAAAAAAGAAATAGTGCAGATAAAACAAACAAACAAACAAAAAAAAGCAACAAAGGAAGTTCACCTTCCTATGGACTCAGGCGCTACACGGTCTAAAAAAAACGACAAATTAAAAGTTTACGAAGTGAAATTAAATAACCTTTTCACAAACTTCTTTTCTCGTCTTCTCGCCGTCGTCTTCTGTGTCTAGATCGTAAAACAGCGGTGCATCATCATTATTGTTTTATTTGCATCCTTTTATTTATTTTTTTGCAACATTGACTTCCATTGTGTGTTTTTTTATTTATTTTATTTTTTTTTATCTGCACCATTTCTTTTTTATTTACATCCTTTTATTTTTTCTTTCTTTTTTGCATCATTAACTTCAATTTTTTTTTATTTTTTATCTGCACCATTTCTTTTTTAATTTTCCCTTTTATTTATTTTTTTTATTTTTTATATTTTATCTGCACCATTTCTTTTTTATTTACATCCTTTTATTTATTTTTTTATTTTTTATTTATTTTTTTATCTGCACCATTTCTTTTTTATTTACATCCTTTTATTTATTTTTTTATTTTTTATTTATTTTTTTATCTGCACCATCATTTACATCCTTTTATTTATTTATTTATTTTTTATTTTTTTTTTTATCTGCACCATTTCTTTTTTATTTACATCCTTTTATTTATTTATTTTATTTTTTATATTTTATCTGCACCATTTCTTTTTTATTTACATCCTTTTATTTTTTCTTTCTTTTTTGCATCATTAACTTCAATTTTTTTTTTTTTTTATCTGCACCATTTCTTTTTTATTTACATCCTTTTATTTATTTTTTTTATTTTTTATATTTTATCAGCACTCTTTCTTTTTTTATTTGCACCGTCTTCAGGAAGCAGATCCTGGAACAGTCGGAGCAGCGGACAGCTCACCTGGAGGACGTGGAGTTCGCCATGACGATGGAGGAAGAAGACGTGACCAGAGAGATCCAGACGCTGTTCGACGCCGTCATCCAGTCCTACAAGGAGGCTTACCCCGACACAGTACCTCAGAGACACACTCTGTCCTCTCTCTGTCCTCCTTCTGTCCCCTCTCTGGTCTTTGTCCCTGAGTCCCCCTGTCTCTCTGTCTCTTTGCAGAAAGCGTCTCTGCAGGTAAACCAGAGGGATGAGCTGAAGGAGGAGAGGAGGAGACTGGAGAAGACCAAGAGGGACTTTGAACAGTTGGAGAGTAAGGAGGACAGACTTCTGGACCATCAAAGACACGTTCAGACTGTCCAGAAGAACAAGGAGGAGGTGAAGAAGACGCAGGTATGAGGACGAAGAGCTGACAGCAGCAGTCTGAGACACAGTCCAGGTTTTTGGGTTTGACTGTTTTTAATAAGACCGTGTCTCATGAGTCCTCTGATCTGGTCCGATCAGGTCTGGTCTGGTTGGGCTCCTGTTTTTCAGATGAGGTAGAGCGCCCCCTGCTGTTTCTTTAAACTCTGATCCTCTGTCTCAGTTTTTTCTGGTTGGTTTTGGTTTCCTCTCTTAGGAGACCGTCGTCCATCTGAAGAAGAAGCTGGTCTCCAACGAGGCCAAGAAACAGTCCATGGAGCAGGATCTGGTCGCACAGAGAAACCTGAGGGGCCCCAAGACGCACGAACTCCAGAACCAGCTGGTCCAGACTCGAGCCGCCGCCAGGAAGAAGCTCAGCGACCTCACCATGCAGAGCGACGCCGCCACCAAGAAACTGAAGGCCGTTATCGCCAAGGTGACCGATCTCCAACTCTGATTGGCTCTCAGGTGGTCTCCGGTCCTCCGCTCACTCTGGTTTCTCTTTGGTCCTGCAGGGCGAGAAGGTGGTCCGGGCGGGCGAGATGTGTCAGAAGATGGAGGATAAAGTCCGACTGTTACTTCGTCCAGAGGAGCTCAGACAGGAACCTGGAGCGGACCCTCAGGAACCAGCTGAGGTAGGACCGGACTGGGGGGTCCCTCAGACTCCTTCTGATCTTGATGCTCCTGGGTCTGTCAGAACTTACTGAAGAAACGGGCGTGAAGAGAAGTTCAGGGTGGACCATGAAACAGACTGAACACTGGTGGGAGGAGTCACCAGGACTTCCTGTTTCTGACCTCTGTGTGTCTCTCTGCAGAAACCCGAGCTGCTTCATCTGACACGGCGCGTCGCCGCCGCCGCGCTGCAGCGAGAAGTTCTGAAGAGACACAAAGAGGACCTGAGCCGAGAGAACCAGCAGCTGAAGCTCCTCCTACGTCAGCACCTGGACGCCGAGACCATCGGCGGGCAGCAGCTCACCATAGACCCCGCCCCTCTCTCCGGCAGCCCGCTCACCACCAGAACCCACATAACCGTTATCGAGGGCGTCCACGCCATGAAGCACGCGCTGAGGGACTGAGCCGACACGAGGACGTCCGACGTCGAGTCGAGTTTAGAGTGACGGTGATTTTTGTACAAATTCTGAATAAAGATGAAACTGATGAGTCAGCGTCCGGATGGTTCTGGAAAACCCGGAAATGTGGATCATAACAAACCCCTTTAAGAACCGACTCTGGACCTGCTGAGTCAGCTGACTTAAACGTCTGTTTCCTGTCTAATAAACCCTGAACGTTTATTTCAGACGTAAACATCGAACAGTCGTGTTAGAGTGGGTTAGATCAGGCGTCCCTCAGGGGTCTGTCCTCGGTCCACCACCGTTTTTAAACATTCCTAACACGACTTACGCTGCGTTCGAGTTACCTCGGAAGTCAGAAGTCTGAGCTGGGAATGACGTCACACCTGAGTTACCAACGCCAAGTCGGAAAATAAACAAATTTAGAGGCGGAAACACGACGCAGCATCTATGAAAGTTATTTTAGCGCCTTTTTCCGAATATTAGGCAAGCGCTAAAATGACTTTCGTAGATGTAGCCATCTTGTTTCCACTTTCTTCCGACTTGGTAACTGAAACGCTGGGAACTCAGGTGTGACGTCATTCCCAGGTCGGACTTCTGAGGTAACATGAACGCCGCAATAGTCTGACAGCGACCTTTCAGTCACAGTAAGATACCGTGACCCGGACTCTGATGATCCTAAAACTGTGTCAGAAATTTAGTTTTTTATTTTTCTTCTTTCATTTAAAACTTTCATTAAATGGAGTAAAGTGCGTTTCAGAAAACAGGAACTGAGGACGACAACTGATCAAGTTTCATGTACAGAAAATATTTCATAAAATCACCAAAAATGGAGACCATAAAAAAACGTGTAATTTTTCTGCATTCAGGCCACATTAATAGGAAGGACCACAACATAATGCGTGCCTTTCAAAATACGATATTTTTCAAAATAAAAGACATGTCAAACATCAGGTGCGCATTAAATATTTACTTTTCTGACCAGCTGTTGGCGACCCATCCAGACCGTGTCCGTGACCCACTGCTCTACATGATCTTTCATAAACGAGTTTAAACTCGATTTTCAGGGGTCGTCTGTAAACTTTTCGCCACAATGACTCAAAGTTTTACGCTCTGATGTCACTGAACATCCACAGGACTTTTATTTTGATAGTGCACTTCCTGGCAGTGTGGACAGAATGAGCCGTGGAGCAGCAGCAGCAGCAGCCTCTGTACAGGTACACCATTTAATAGTTATTATAGACATTTTATATACAGATGTTGTATTCTGCTATGTGGTACAATCTTTAAAATCTGCTGTTTCATCGTCTGTAAATCAAAGAAGAAACAAAAACATACAAAACTCATCAAAACTCCAAACTGATCAGAACTTTTTTTTTCCATTTTCTGGAAGACTAGAAAAAATACTTTTTTGTTGTTTTATCGTATTAATCATCATCATCATCATCGTTTTCATGCATCATTACACAAACAAAAGTCTTTAGTTACACAGGAGGGGAGAAAAATAAAGAAAAATAAACTTCTTCTTCTTCTTCTCTGTGAGCCGCTCGCCTCATCCCTTCAGTTAAAAACTTAAATTAATACAAACAAGAGCAGGAGGCCGGGCGGGCGGGACGTTCGGCCAATCAGGCGGCAGCTGTGTGTTTAAAACCCGCCCCGGGAGGCCTCTGATTGGACAGTTTCTCCCAGAGCGCAAACAGACTAAAAACACGTTCAGTGATAAAAAATAAACTCAAACTCTGCTTGTTGGAGGAAAAGTGAAGTGGACTCAAACTCACACAGTGATCTAAGAGGAGGAGGAGGAGGAGGAGGAGGAAGATGAGGAGGAAGAGGAGGAGGACTGAAGAGGGTTTTCTGAATCCCCAAACTCTCCTATTAAAGACTCTGTTACAGTTTTAAAGCCGAAAAGATCAAACTGAGACCAGAGACTTTTCTAGACCTGTTAACACTTAAAGGGATATTCTGTCGTAAAATTAATTTAGGGTCAAACCCACCGTAACACCGAGTTAGACCCCCCCTCCAGAGATGAATGTTGCCGACCGCTTACTTCTCTAGTTATACCAACTTTAGTAACGACCGCAGGATAGAAATACAGAGAGCCACGCGGACGCTTGTTTGTCCATCGACTACAGCGGGGTGCCGCAGCTCAAGGAAGAACATTTATGATCATTTCTTCATGGAAATACAATCAGACCGAGACGCTAAGACAGAAGAACTACCGCGTCTGTAAAATGATTAATATGGTGATTATTACTTCAAAGAAATGATAAAGAAATGATCATAAATGTTCTTCCTTGAGCTGCGGCACCCCGCTGTAGTCCCTAATGGACTGGCCTGAGGTCTCTCTACAAACAAGCGTCTGCTGGAAGAGAGTAGGTGAGTTGTGTTTAGTCTCTTTGCTAAAGAAATGAGTCAAAGTTAAAAAGATGTTTGGTGTCTAGTACTATGTCTGTGACCCTATATGTACTAACCTCAGTAGAACATGGTGTAGTTCCGTTCAGTAACAGAACCTCATTGGAAAATTATCTGATTTAACTTTACTGTGCTCTTGTTCATATATATTAACTCGACAGCTCATAAATCCATACCTGTTAACAAAATCATGATTTTATTGATAATTCGGCTCAATAAAAACACCTTTTAATTTTACGCCGGAGTATCCCTTTAAGGTGGACTGAGAAGGGGAGGAAAAACACGTCACCCCACCCCACCTGGTCTTCTTGATGGTAAACACGACCCGGTTCTGACTCGAATCGTTGCTGCTGAGTGAATCTTTGAACGACTCAGTGAAGCTTCAGTTTCGTCATTTCACGATCTTTGTGTTTTTAAACAAAAATCGACCTTAACGACGAAAAAATGTCAAAATGGGATTTTCTTCACGTCACACGCTGACTCTGCGTTTTTGGAGCTCGGGTTCAAAGTTTCCTGGTTTGATCCGGTTTCTCGTGTCGATTGTCTCGAACCGTCAGAACCGCAGATGTGACCGCAACAAGAAGAAGAAGAAACCTGAGGGACTGATCCTCCTCCTCCTCCTCTCTAAAGAACCAACGCTCCTCCATCTTTATACGTCAAAGGAGGAAGGTGGGCGGGGCCTGTGAGCGTCATGACGGCAGGACTGGACGGGACTGAGGGACGAGGATCCTCCATGTTTATAAAAACGATTATAAAAACTAGATTTATTTTACACAAACAGAAAACCTCCGCGAGGAACTACAGGAACGCTAACCCTCGCCATCCTTCGCTCCTCGAACGCAGGGCTCTGATTGGCCCACCAGGGGCTGAGGTGAGGGTGACTTTAACAGTCCTCAGGAGCCGCTCCCGCCAAGGTCGTCCAATCAGCTCGCAGGATGTCAGAGAGGACGCAGAGGCCTGACGTTTGACCGTGACTCGGATCGTGAAGATCCGATAAAAACTACAAACAGAAAAATCGGAGGGTTCAAAGGTCAAACCATCTGTGCGTCTTCTGGGACCCCTGCTCCAGGTCCAGGTCTTAAAGGAAAAACCCCCTCAGGTCCTGCTGCTGGTGGAGGAGGAGGAGGTCCAGGAGGTTGGAGAAGTCCTCCTGACTGAGGAGAGTCTGTTTCTCTCTTCACTCATTGGTCAGTTTAGTGTCTCAGATGTTTGTTCGCTGACCTTCAGATCCTCCTCAGATCTCCAACCATGGGAGCTGGAGGTCCTGATGGAGGTCCTGATGGAGGTCTGTTCCTCCTGACTGTTTAAAACTCCTCAGACCTGAAGACTCCCCTTTAGATCTTTGATAATCTGGAATATTTGAACGATAATCCAAACGTTCCTCAGAGCAGCAGGAACCAAAAACTGGACCTGCTGGACCAGAACCAGCAGCAGGTTTTTGGGGGTTTTTCCTTTAAGAGCTTCGTCCGCTCCGTCTGAGGGTCAGGAGGTCAGAATAGTGTTATGATGGGGGGGAGGGGCATGAGGGAGGGGGCGGGGCTTCATGTAGTGTCATCAGGAGACAGACGGCGAGATGACATCACAGGAGAGGGGAGCTGCTCAGAGTCGACCTTAAAAAACGACCACGACGCTGAACGAGTGTGTGTGTGTGTGTTTGTGTGTGTGTGAGTGTGTGTGAGTGTGCGTGTGTGTGTGTGTGTGTGTGTGTGTTCAGTCATCCTCTCTTCTCTCTCAGACCTGAATACTGTTTGTTAGTTTGTGTCTCACAGACCAGCCCGCCTCTCTCTCTCTCTCTCTCTCTCTCTCTCTCTCTAAGTCTGTCTCTCTGTCTCTCGCCCTGCAGTCTTCTTCTTCTTCTCCTCTTCCTCGTCTACACGTAGACCCTGGCGAGGGCGTCGGCTCCGGCGGAGGCGATGTAGGCCTTGGAGGGGTGGAAGGCCACGTCGTAGATCGCCTCCTCGCTCTTCTTCCTGTGAGCCGTGATCTCCTGAACGCAGGTTTTACTGTCCAGGTTCCACAAACGCAGCGAGCAGTCGTGACCTGAGGAAGAGAAGAAGAAGAAGAAGAAGAAGAGGTTAGAAAAGAGATGATGGAGAGAAGAAGAGGAAAAAGAAAGACGGAGGAACAGATGGAGAGAAGGAGGAGTTAGGAAATGACAGCGAGGAGAAAAAAACGAGGAAGGAAGGAAGGAGAGGTGACAACGAAGGTGAGGAGGAGAAAATAAAGAAACACTCACTGCCGGACATCAGGTAGATCCCGTTTGGATCCACAGCCAGACTGGTCACTGCGTCCAGGTGAGCCACCATGGCGTGGATCACTTTACCTGAGACATCAGAACCAGAGGGGGGCGGGGTTAGCTTTAGAGCTGAGTCAGGACTCCTGAAAATGACCCTCACCTGTGGTCACTGACGGACAGGTGAGAAACGGAGGGAGGAGTCTGTGTGTGTCTGACCTCAGTCACACCTGCAGGAACAAACTAGGGCTGGGCGATAAAAAGATAACAATATATATCCTGTAGATGGCGCTACAGTGACCTCCTGACGATCTTTATCCACTAACTACCTCACAGCAGAGTGACGGATCTGAAGCAGCAGCTCAGGGACACGGAGGAGAGTGGTCCGCCTCAACGGGAAATAAACCAGTTTGATGATGATTTTGAAGGTTTTTCTCCGCCTTTAAAAACGGCGATCTGAAACATTAATCTGGTTTCTCTACCTTTAAAAACGCCAGTCTGAAACAATAATCTGGTTTCTCCACCTTTAAAAACGGCGATCTGAAACAATAATCTGGTTTCTCCGCCTTTAAAAACGCCGATCTGAAACATTAATCTGGTTTCTCTACCTTTAAAAACGCCAGTCTGAAACAATAATCTGGTTTCTCTGCCTTTAAAAACGCCGATCTGAAACATTAATCTGGTTTCTCTACCTTTAAAAACGCCAGTCTGAAACAATAATCTGGTTTCTCCACCTTTAAAAACGCCAGTCTGAAACAATAATCTGGTTTCTCCGCCTTTAAAAACGGCGGTCTGAAACAATAATCTGGTTTCTCCACCTTTAAAAACGGCGGTCTGATACATCAATCTGGTTTCTCCGCCTTTAAAAACGGCGGTCTGAAACAATAATCTGGTTTCTCCGCCTTTAAAAACGGCGGTCTGAAACGTTAATCTGGTTTCTCTACCTTTAAAAACGGCGGTCTGAAACATTAATCTGGTTTCTCTCCTCGTCTCCGTTTCTTTGATCAAACTCAAACCTCAGACCGTCAGATAAAGATGTTCTCTGACAGCCCACCTGCAGTTCCCTCACAGCCCACCAGGGGGCCACAGATGACGCTCTTTAGGACAGGAAGTGTCTGAGAGACGACCTGAGATCAGACAGGTGGGGGGCGGAGCTTACTCACCTGACTTGTTATCGTAGAATTTGATGTGTCTGTCTTCATGAGCGGTGATGGTGACCGGCAGCGTGGGATGACTCACCACCTTATTGATATGATTGGACCCCGGGAGGGCTGGGGGGGCGGGACAAAGAAGGTCAGAGGTCAGAATGATTCAGTCTGTGTGTGTGTGTGTGTGTGAGTGTGTGTGTAAGTCTTACTGCTCTCTCCCTGCCCCTTCAGCACCAGTGCATTCTGGGAAGTCTCCAGGTCATACACCACCACGTCGCCGCTGTTGAAGGACGCCACCATGTGGGCGGGGTCACAGCCGTTGAAGTCCACCGACGTGGGGACGCCGTGCTCTGTGAACACACACAGAATGGTGGTTAATGAAGCGTAAGGAGAGTCTGCGGTCTCAGCGGCGGCGTCCTCTAGGGGGCGGCGCCCTCACCTTTGTTTGTGTTGAAAGTGCTGATGCAGGGGTTCTTCTCCGCCGGGTTCCACAGTTTGACCGTGCCGTCCGCCGAGCAGGAGAGGAGGCGGTTCTTGATGCCGCTGTAAGCCAATCCCCACACGGCGTCCGTGTGACCGAGCCACGACCCGGCCAGGACGCTGGGATCTGATTGGAGGAGAGAAAACAGAGGGGCGGAGTCTATTATTGATGAGTAAGTTCTCTTGTCCCTGATTGGTTCTGTTTGAAGTCAGTGGACCTGGTTCTGGTTTGGTGGATTTAAAAACAGAACCAGATCCTGTTTGGACCGTGTGAAATGAGGTTCTGAACTCAATCAGAACCAGGTCCACAAGACCCCGCCCTCAAACCGTATGAAAAAGGCAGGAACTCTGTGGGGTCCCAGCAGCTGGTTCTGGTTCTGGTTCTGGTTCTGGTGTGTTTGTGTACCGTAGGTGTCGTAGGGGTCCACGTTGGAGCTCGGGATGTTCCACCACTGGATGGTCGAGTCGATGCCGCCGCTGAAACACTGTTCGCCGCTGGAGGTCATCGCCAACGACAAAACCGGACCGCTGCAGAGGAAACAAATAAATACATTTTTTAACTTAAAAAAAAAAGACTTTTTAATCTTTTGAAAAAACTATAAACTTTTTAATAAAAATTTATAAACTTAAAAACACATTTAAAACTCTAAAAAAACTTAATAAACTTTTAAAAAGAACTTCATAAACTTTTTCATAAAAACAAACTTTTACAAAAAAATTAAAATAATTTTTTTATAAACTTTAAAAAAACTTAAACTTTAAAAAAATATATTTAATACGCTTTTTAAAAAAAATTAAAACTTTTAAAAAAAAGCTTTTTTACCTCTTTAAGAAAACTTGATAAACTTTTTAAAAAATCTTTATAAACATAAAAAAATGTATAAACTTTGTAATAAAATTTTATAAACTTAGAAAAAAATTAAACTAAAAAAAAAAAAAAACTTTTTAAACTCTTTAAAAAAACTATAAAACGTTCCCTCCGCTGAGGGTGAGAGAGTGTGTGTACGTACACATGAGCTCTGAACGTGTAGATGGGTTCAACATCAAAGGAGGCACTTCTGAAAAACAAGAGAGAGAGAGAAATGAGAAATCCAGACGGTCCCTGAACACAACACCAACATCAGCTTCATCATCAGCTGAGGAAGAGGAGCTGCAGAAAATCCTGAGTTCAGAGAGAGGATTAGGGGGAGGACACCGGTGTGTGTGTGTGTGTGTGTGTGTGTGTGTGTGTGTGTTTGTGTGTTTGTGCCTGACTGTGTGTAAGAGTGTGTGTGAGTGTGTTTGTGTGTGTAAGAGTGTGTGTTTAAAGTCTGGATGAATAGAGTCAGGAACGCTGCTGTGAGGAGAAAATGAGATGTAAATACTGACAGATCCCTGAGAGAGGAGAGGAGGAGGAGGAATGGAGGAGAGGAGGAGAGGAGAGTAAAAAGGAGAGGAAATAGGAGAGTAGAGGAGAAGAGAATCTTCCTGACTTCCTGTAGTGAAGGAGGAGAGTGAATCATTAGAGAAGGAGGCGGAGTCTCTGCAGGACTGTGACTGATCTGACAGGTGGATTCTAGATCCTCTAGATCTAGACCCACTGAGGGGTTCAGACAGAGTTTGTTTCCTCAATTGTGTGTGTTTGTGTGTGTGTGTGTGTGTGTGTGTGTGTGTGTGTGTGTTTGTGTGTGTTTGTGTACTTTTTGGCGGGGACGGTCTTGGTGAGGTTCCACAGTTTGAGGGTGTGGTCCTCGGACACAGTGACCAGGCAGGGCTCGACGGGGTGGAAGGCCAACGCTCGCACGCCGTCAAAGTGGCTCCGCAGCGTGTACTTTGGGTTCCAGGTCTTCCTGAACGAAGACTCCTTATTGGACGGCAGCTGAGGTTAGGAAAAAGGTTAAAGGTTAAATCGTGACATCATAATCAGTGAACGGCGTGCTGAGCTGAGGTGTCCTCCTTACGTCGTAGCTGTAGTCTGTCTCGTCGTTGGTGACGGTGAGGTCAGCGAGGTCGCCTAAACCCAGAACGCTCTCCAACACGTCGTCTGACCCGCCCAACAGGAAGGACTTCCCCCCGCCACGAGGAAACGGTAGCGGCTCGGCTGCGGACACAAACATGTGACTTTGAGTCACCATCTTTTTCTGTATTTGAGTTTAACTTCAGTGACCCGGTTCTGAGTCTTGGTCCGGTTCTGATCGGATCACCTGCACTAAAACTTGGTTCTGGTTCAATTAACCTTTATTTATAAAACGTCCAATCACAGCAGTCGTTATCCTGAGACGCTCTGGACCACACTCACTGTCTGGTTCTGGTTCTGACCCGACTCTTTAAGAAGCCCTGACTGAACACAGAGAGCAGATAGAACCTGAGATCTCACCCCACTCCGTCCCGTCTCCGGAGCTCCGGGCCTCTCCGGCGCCCTCGCCGTCCTCCGCCGTCACCAGGAAGTCAAACTCCTTCAGCGCCTCCTCCGTGTCGGCGTCGTCCTCCGACGCCAAACCCTCGTTCCCGACCTGCAGGAGGAGGAAGATGGTCAGGGAGGAGGAGGAGGAGGGAGCAGTGTGTGTCTGTGTGTGTGTCAATGTGTGTGTTGTTGTGTGTGTGTGTGTCAGTGTGTGTACCTTGGTTTTGTGTTTCTTGGCTCTGTGGTGTTTGTCCGTGGCGATGTCGTCCATCAGGTCTCCCTCTTCGTCCTCGTCTTCGTCGCTGTCCTCGGCGTTCTCCAGGAAGTTGAACGTCTCTAAAACGTCCCCTGGACTCCTGAACACACACACACACACACAGAGATGTTGACCTCTGACCTCTGGTTGTTTACACTCGTGTCAGTGTTCAGGTGAGTCCGTACCTCTTCGTGTCCTTGCGGCGCTCCGTCCCGTTGATCAGGTGCTGCAGGTTCTTGTTCTCCACGGACCCGTTCTGCTCAGAACCCGACAGACCGAGCAGAGAGCGGACCCTCTGAGTACGGACGTCCAGGATGGTGTCTGTGTAACCCACCTCCTGCAGGTACCTACAGACACACACAGACCCAGTTAGACCTGCACCTGGTTCTGGTTCTGATCCACAGACACAGTCCTGAAGAACTGCTGAGTCAGTATCGCAATATTAAACTTTATTACAGAGGAGAATTGTACATATAAAAAAAAAAATTAAAATACATGAAAAATAAAAATATATTTTTTAAAATTAGTAAATAAATGAGAAACCATAATAATTATAATAAAAGGAAAAATAGTAATATTAATAATAAAATTATAATCATTATCTTTATTATTTAAAAAAATATTATAAACAACAACATTATTTTATTATCATAATTTTTATATCATAATTATTATTGATAATTATTTAATTAATGATAATAATATTATAATGATAGTAATAATAATAATAATTATAATAATTATAAAAATAAATTATGAATATTATAACGAATATTTTTTAGAGACTCTCTTACTGTCTGAGTAGTTATATTGTTATTATTTTTATTATTATTGATATATTGACAAAGCCCCTTTTTACTTTTTGAGTATCATTAATATCCTTAATAATATTATTATTATTATTGTTATTGGCATTATGATGACAGACGCTCTTACTGAGTATTGTTAATATTCTTAATAATAATAATTTCATTTTTATTATTATTGTTAATGTTGATATATTGACAGATGTCGTCTTACTGTCTGATTTTTTTTAATATTCTTAATAATATTTTTATTACTGTCTGAGTAGTTCTATTATTAACATTATTATTATTATTGATATATTGAAATTCTCTCTTACTGTCTGAGTAGTTGTATTATCTATATTAATATTATTTTAATTATTATTATTATTGATATATTGATGGACGCCCTCTTACTGTCTGAGTATTATTAATATTCCTAATAATATTATAATAATTATTAATAATAATATGTTCAGGGACGCCCTCTTACTGTCTGAGTAGTTGTCTTAGCTATATTAATATTATTTGTATTATTATTATTGTTGATATATTGACAGATGCCCTCTTACTGTCTGAGTAGTTGTATTATCTATATTAATATTATTTGTATTATTATTATTATTGATATATTGATGGACGCCCTCTTACTGTCTGAGTATTATTCATATTCTTAATAATATTATAATTATTATTAATAATAATATGTTCAGGGACGCCCTCTTACTGTCTGAGTAGTTGTCTTCCTTGTTTCCAGGTGAGCTGACTGTTGGCAGGAACAGCTGAGACCTCGGAGTCTTTGGTGTCTGAAACACACAACAGATGTGAGGTTCTCCTTTTTTCCCATCATGCATCAGAGCAGAGGAGGAGGTGATCCTGGTCTAAAAGCAGATCTAAGAGGACTCCCTCTCACCTGATTCAAAGCTCGGCATCTTCATCTCTCCTTGGTTCAGCTCGGTTCCGTATTTTAACTTGTGATATTTCGCTCTGTGGAGGAGCAGAAGAAGAAGAAGAAGCAGGTTAACCCTGAACGTCACGGTCCCAGGTCTTCACTCAGACTCAGGATCAGCACCAGTTCCTCACCTTTCCTGTTTTAAAGCGTACTCTAACATTTTTATTCTTCTAACCAGGTCGTTCTTCAGGTTCTCCTGACCTTTCCTCTCACCCTGGAGGAACGCTATCCTGGCCTGCAGACACACAGAGAAGAAGAAGAAGAAGAAAGATGGATTAGTCAGGTTGTCATGGATGAACATGATGACGGTGACACCACTTCCTGTTTGGACTTTGATCATAAAAAAAAAAAACACACACAGAAGAGTTACAGATACAGAAACGCTGACGCTGAGCTGTGATTGGTCTTTGATTCAAACAGGAAGAGCTGATGTTCAACAAACACGGCGGCGCCGGCGTCGGTTTGATTCCTCAGACACTCTGAGCGTTTTTCCTTTGAAGGTATTTCTTTGACGGAGCCGTAAATCCAGCCGAGAGGATAATCGGGATTATAAAAACTCATCAGACTGCAGACGCTCTTCTCCTTCTTCTTCTTCTTCTGTGGTGTTTTTAAAGGAAAACAGCAGAACTAACAAAATGTTTGTTTTTGTTTGTTTGGTCAGATCGTCACTTCTGATGCATTCAGGGGAGTCTGTAAATCTGAACGCTGACAGTAATACAGTCATTTTATGTCTCTCTGTGTTGGACGAACATGGCCACAGTGAGGGGCTCGGACCCCCCTCATGGACCTGCAGACCTCCTGTCTCTCCCTGATGGACAAATGGACGGACAGTGAGACAGGTGTGGTCTCTCCATCTGTCCGTCTGTGAGCAGCTGCTCCTGAAACCCGACACTGATGGAGGCTGACGGCTATTTATACTCGGAGAGCTCTGCCAGGGTGTCCATGGCAACAGGGGGGACGAGAGGCAAACTGGGGGGTCGAGACTTCCTCGAGTAAAGGTCGCCTTGACGACAGGGAAACCAGAAGCCCCCCCAGCCCATCCCGGGAGCGCTAAAAGAGACACACACACACACACAGAGGGGGATTACATAACACAGCACTCTCATCTAACTCTGCTCTGATTGGCTGATTCTGTGATTGACAGCCACAGCAACACGCCCCCCTACATACCAGAAGGAAACAATCCAACATGGAGCGGGTCCAGGATTCAGACACACACAGACTTTAGTCCCTGAAGAGGGTTCCTGTCTGTCCTCCCCCACGACCATAAAAGGATCAGTGATGTCACCATGAGTCATAGACAGTAACAGGAAGTCGGCCATGACACATACGACATGACATAAACGTATATTTAACGGCCGTTTACGGTGACCTCTGACCTCTCTAATGAGCTGACACTGTCCTCTTCAGTGTGTGTGTGTGTGTGTGTGTGTTCGTGTGTGTGTGTGTGTGTGTGGTTCATGTCTGAGAAGAGGTCGTGTCGGTCGACTGTGATCCTCCATGAAAACTCTCAGCTGTTTGGACGTGAAGATCTCAGTCCGGTCTGGGGGAGGAGATCCTGGTCCACAGTGAAGACCTGGAACAGCTGTAGACCCCATCAGAGGAACAACCAGAGACCTCCAGAGTCTTTGTGTTGGACCTGAACGGGTAAACCCTCAAACACCTGAGGAGAGTCAGACCAACGACACGCTGAGACAGGAAACAGTCATGTTCTCAGGACCGGAGCTGATGACACGGTTTTATTCTCCGGGCTGATCTCAGGGGTCAAAGGTCACACCTGTTGGGTTTTTACAACCTGGGTTTGGACTAATGTGATCCTGATCCTGAGGTTCCAACAGCGAGCGGACCGCTCATTTAGAGCTTAGAGCTGAGGTCACGCAGCCCCTCCCACCCTGTGCACCTGGCGAGCATGAATCAAGCGCTCCTTTGGGGAGTGTGAGTGAGGTCAGAGCGCCGGGTGATGGTGATGATGATGATGAAGGAGCGGTGTGTGTGTGTGTGTGGTGAGCTCACTGGCCCAGATTTACCAGGATGACATATCAGGCGGTCTGAGCGGCGGCCTGAACCGCCATTCCTCTGGACAACTGCGTCATCGACACACGAGTGGACACGCCGCTGACACACTCGCAGTTTTTAAACCCTCGCCGTGATGACCGAGTCGAAACTTTGACAAACTTCAGCGTGTGTGTGTGTGTTGGAGTTATTTCAGGCCGCTCTTCTTTTAGCGCCCAGCTGGGATCAGGCTGTCAGAGCAGGGCCCAGTAGGCCAGGACGCCTAATTACAGCCGGCCCCCCCACAGCAGAGTCACTAAAGCGCCGCTTCAGGCCCCGCCCACGTCCACACACACACCTCTTTATTAATAGATACTGAGTAAAAACAACAACAACAACAACAACTCTGAAGGAGGCGATGAGCAGCAGTCAGGAAACATTACTCCACTTTAGAAGGTCAGAGGTCAAGGTTTGTACCTGCTCAGCATCTTTCCTTCAGACTGAAACAGGAAGTGGAGGCTCCTGGCGTCTCCTCACATCCCCCCCCCCCCAACACAAACATCTAAGAGCTCAGATCCTTTTAACAAGAAGCAGAGACCGTAAACCTCCAACAGGACCAAACATCTGAATCAGCAGGGAGATCCGCTGGTTTTAAACCAGAGCTGAACTGGTTTCTCAGTGGACACAACAAACAAACACAGCTAATGAGTCCATGTCAGGGTTCGAGCAGAAACGACCAAAACAACCTCACATCCATGGTTTTTATATCACTGACACACACCTAACACGGATCAGAGTAACGGCTGAGATATCAGGGCGCCACAGGGCGACTAAAAATAGACGAGTGTGAATAATAAAATGTATTTAGGGTCACATGTGCGAATAAAAAAAAACAACACGTTTTTTTCCTGTAAATACGGCGGTGAAGTTAGTTTCAGGTTGGATATATTTTCCTGTAAATACGGCGGTGAAGTTAGTTTCAGGTTGGATATATTTTCCTGTAAATACGGCAGTGAAGTTAGTTTCAGGTTGGATATATTTTCCTGTAAATACGGCGGTGAAGTTAGTTTCAGGTTGGATATATTTTCCTGTAAATACGGCGGTGAAGTTAGTTTTAGGTTGGATATATTTTCCTGTAAATACGGCGGTGAAGTTAGTTTCAGGTTGGATATATTCTCCTGTAAATACGGCGGTGAAGTTAGTTTTAGGTTGGATATATTTTCCTGTAAATACGGCGGTGAAGTTAGTTTCAGGTTGGATATCTGACGGACATTCTCTGAGGATCTACAGGTGTCTTCTCACTCTCCATAACCCGGAATAACAACAGCAGCGCGGTTAAATCTACTCGACACCCTCACTGTCAACGTCGGTGTTGAATAAGGGACCGTCAATAAATTACCGGTTGATGTTCTCAGAAAAGGCTGTTTTCCTTCAATAGCTTCACTGTCATGTGACCAAAAGACCTCAAATTGATTTCTAATAATAGTACTAAGGTCGATCAATAAGACAAACATTATTGATTAATTTTCATTGTTCCCCTGAAGTTCTTTGTGCTCCTTGCGTAAAAAGTTCATGTCAACCCCCGGATATGAAAATAAATCCTTCAGGTTAACGATGGAATTTAAAACAGATCATAAATGATCAATAATCCTGATCAATAATCCTGATCAGAGACACAGAGGCCTGTTTGAATCCTCTCGAAAACTGATCAGAGTATTTAGTTTGAGTTTCCACCTCATGAAGAAGCAGGAAGATTAGGCAAATTAGACCAATCAGGGATTAGAGTGTGTGTGTGTGTGTGCGTGTGTGTGTGTGTGTGCGATGGTATTTTGGAACAACAGCACAGTCACGGTGCTGCTGGTGTTCCTCTGAGATGTTACAGGTTCAGAGAATAACCATAACCTGTGTTCTTTATCCTGATTGGCTGAGAGTCATACTGCATGGTCATCACCGCCATAAAACCCACGAGTCTGTCAGGTGTCCGAGGAAATAACTGACACTATGTGCTGACCTTTGACCTCTGTTAAATCTCACAGGTTAGTTTCAGTCACTCTCCTCTGACGCTGCTGTAAAAGTAAAGACTAGTGAAGTATAGATCTATAAACCAAACCCCATTTTAAAAAACTCAGATTTTGACTTGTTTTCTTCTTATTCTTGATCAATCCTACATTCAGACTTATTCCAGACCAGCCTCCTCATGGCGGTTATTTCAGCATCCGTTCAGCCTGTTTATCCTCATCACATCACTGTCAAATCAGGGCGCCGCCGGCATGGCGGTCTAAGGGCGCTCCGTATACAGAGGTCGTGCCTTCCCTGCATGTCACTTCTCTCCATCCTGTCCTCTCTAATAAAGACAAAACAAGCCTGGAGAGCAGATCAAAAACTCTCAGTCAGATCTGTTTGTCCTGGTCGCTCACATATGGGGTTGGACAGAAACTAAGATTACAGGCTTTTACTTTGAAAAGCTTTTTATATATACAGAAACACAAGAAGATCCAGGTCGACCGAACTAAACCGAACCAGGACCTTTAGTGGAAACAAAAACAGTGAAACTGAGACTCAGTTCTTCCCATCAAAGCAGGACCTGGTGAGCCTCAAGTATCTGGGAGGACCAGAACAGAGGACAGACACGGGTTCTGGAGGAGGAGGGAGATAAGCCCAGCTGTGTGCTCCTCCCTCTGATGGTTTCAGGACCGTTCTACGTGTTCTGAAGAACCTAACTATGATCCCACGAGCTGTGTCTGCATGTGTGATGTGGAGTGAATTTAATAGGTCAGTATATTAGGAACAACCTTTAATGGAATTAGGTCACAAATGAAGGATCTATCCTGGAGGATTGGAGGAGATTTACTTTGAAAAACTTCACAAACAGAACCGAACCAAACCTGAAAGCTCTCTGTCCTGATGTAGCGATAACACACTTCCTCTGACTTTACTGCCCCCCCCCCCCCCCCCTTACAGTAAGGAATGCGGACACCTTGGCGGGTTTGTTCTCCAGCAGCAGTTTGAGTTCGACTCTTATCAGGAACTCTGACGGAGTCATGCTGAAGGCATCCAGTGTCACCCTGCAACAAGTCAGAGCAGAGCAAACACTGTGTACTGAGAGAGCCTGTCATTACACACACACACACACACACACACACACACACACACACACACACACACACACACACACACACACACACACACACACACACACACACACAGAGCCAGCAGCCTGCTCTTCAGTCCGCCTGCTGCAGGGTGTGTTATGACAAAGACATGAAGTGTCCAACATTTCACACATTTCAGCACTTGATTGCAACACACACACACACACACACACAAACACACACACACACACACACACACACACACACACACACACACACACTCTTGATTAGGACCCTAACAGCGCTGTAATGATTCATTAAGATGTCTTTTTATAAAACGAAGTCAGACTCTGTTTTCGCTCTTCGACACAATCCAGCGGCTCTGATGAAGACTTCCTGACACCAGCCGCTCTTCATGGCGGTATAAACACTTCATGTTTGCAGAGTCACTCAGAGATTCAACTAAATGGACTGTCTATTGCTTTTCTGCTCTCTGTCCACTTCCAGCCACTCTCCACAGTCACCCATTCACACACAGACTGCTGCCAAACTCACTAATTCCACTTAGATGCATTAACACACCGCCGACTGAGTCACACAGAGCAATCAGAGTTCAGCGTCCTGTCCAGACACACTTTGATGAGCGGGAATCAAACTCTCAACCTCTCAGCGGAGACAGGACCCGCTGTACCGCTGAGCCACAGCTGCTCCATCACGCTCAAACATCTTCAGGTCCTCTCAGAAGAGCACAAAGTTCCTGGATCCTCACCCTGAGGACCTTCTGCTGCCCTCTGGTATCATCTCAGGTAAAGTCCAGGTGAGCTCATGTGAGAGGCAGCAGCAGCAGCAGGGGGTGTTGGTGTTTTAAACCACTCTGGACCACAGCACTACTCTCTGATCCTCTATTACACACTTGAATTCTGAAAGAAAGGTGCACCTATCTGTCTCTGTATGAATGTTTATATATGTATGCAGGAGTATAAGATTGTATTTCATCAAGTGCAAGAGAAAAATAAGGAAACACTCAGTATGTTTACGTGACACTCGAGAAAACCGAATTATCACCTTACTCCGATTAAGACCGGACAACTGAAGGTCATGTAAACACCTTAGTCCGACTATAATCAGAGTTTGAGAACTCCGATTAAGTCACCCAGATAATACGATTGAAATTTGATATTCTCTACCATGTAACCAGCGTAGTCGGAGTATGATCGGACAATGCACGAGGGCGTGCGCCACGCCCCCGTAACCCTCGAACAAAAACACCAGAGAAGAAGTGGTGCTATCATTTAAAGAACTTTTGAACGTCCACTTTTGGAACGACGAGGAGAGCGCCGTTATGCTTTCCGTCCTGACAGAAATGGACATTTTAAGATATATAGATGGTTGCAAAATGAGGAACGGAGACATCCTTAAAAAAGGACGGAAACAGCGCCGCTGAAAAGACCCATATTGCCCCCTAGTGTTGGGGAGGAGGACACGTTCACGTCAATAATTCGACTTTCTGCATGTATACAAGGACAAGGAGAGAAGACTGATCCAACTAACTGTGCATGTAAATGGACTGACTGATATTGGTTTTATATATCAGTTATCAGCTTAGCTGCTTTCTTTTTATCAACCTTTAAAAAAACTGATATCAGTTTATTATTCTCCTGCCAACAACAAAAAGAAGTGGGCTCAGTCTCAGGCAGGACTTCCTGTCTTTAGTTGAATAAAAGACTCTGAAATGTTCCTTTAATCTCCTTGTTCAGTCAAATATGATCCAAACCGGACAGATACAGACACCTATATATGTACTGTGAACGATTCTAGACTCTTCTGACCATAATTCAGACTTTCTCACAGACTCTTTAGCCGGTTTGTAGGTTAATCGACACAAACTCAGGCTAACAGCACCGCTAAAGCAGAAAGGCTAAATACAGAAAAGTGCAGACAGTCAGCTATTTTCACTTCTTCTTCTTTATCCACCTCTGACTCCAAGTCCACAATAAACCCTGAGAGTGTTTCCACAGTTCAGTCGGAGAATTAAATCATCGACTAACCGGCTGAAGTGACAACAACAGAGCGGCTAACACAAGGCTAGGCTACCTTCAGACAGCAAACAGCGCTTTCCTCTGTTTTCACATTAAACACCAATTCAACGACGTTAGAAACATTTACTGTACACATTTAACGGCCGGCAGTAGTTTAAAGTTCGGAAATGTAGATTTCATGTGTTTAAAGGGGTTGAAAATGTGATTAACTGTGAGTAAAGTTCTGTTCTGACAGCGCTGTGAAGCTAACGGTTAGCCTAGCCTGCTACACATGAAGCACGGCGCTGAAGTTGGACTCACATTCACACTGACTCAGCTTAGACTGGGAAGGTTCGGGAGAAACAAGGTTCTGATCCAAAACCACTAAACTAAGACATCATAGATCTGGACAAAACAACACATTTATATCTACAGTTCCTGTAAAACACTGTTTCAGTTTTATAAAACCCTTTTTTAATTTGTGAAAAGCAAAATGAGCGACTTCACTGTGCATGTTTTTTAATATTAGAGCATAATGGGACAGATCTAAAATCAGAAGAAGTTAAACTTCATACATTTAGACTCTTTAGGCTATAGTCTGTTTACCTTATTATAAACCCACAGTTTTAAATCTTGGTGTAAAAGTTGACAATGATTTTAATTCCACAAATCAACTCTTTAGTTAAATCCAGTTTTTATCATCTGAGGCTTTTTTCCAACATTATATCATTTTGATCTTTTACAGATTTTTAACGAGTCATTCCTGTTTTTATTTCCACACTTTGGTTGGACGACTGTAACGTGTCGGTGTTAATCAGGTTCGTCCAAAATGCCGCTGCTCATCTTTTAACAACGTAAACATGACCACATCACTACGATTCAGATGTCCCTCCATTGGCTTCACATTCATTTTAAAATTTTATTGTTTGTTTTTAGATCTTTAAATGGATCAGCACCACAGCACCTCTCTGACCTTTCTGTCGTGATTGTACTTGTACATTTTAACTGTCCAGCACTGTGGTAAACTTGAAGGTGTTTTAAAATGTGATATATAAATAAAGTGGATTGGTCTGGCCTTTGTCAGGACCAGATTCAATGTGGTCTAGAGTAGGGCTGAGCGATAAAACTTTAACGATATATATTGAACATTAATATCCCCCGATATCAATATAAAACATGGTCAATATACTTTTCCATAGTCATGCCATGTTTTGGTAGACTATATGAATAACTAATGAACATGAATGAATAAATGAATGACACTAAGACCTCACAGATGCAGAAGATTACTGTAATGCAAAACACATGAGACCAATAACAACTGTTAACTTTCATTTAAGAGTAACAGGGAACATCTAAGATTGACAAGTGATTTTTTTTATATCGGAACATATATGGATATCGACTAATATAAAATGAAAATGTCATGAGAAACTTTTTCCCATATCGCCCAGCCCTACACCAGATATACCGATGTGGTCAGAATTATGTTGGTTATTGTTGTAAACTTCAGAGCCAGTAAATTTTTGGTTTATCACCAAGTCCTACATCAGATATGCCAATATGGGCAAAATGACGCCAGTTAGTGTTTTATACAGATATTGGCGGATATGAAATAAATATATCGTGATGAGCTTTTTCCCATATCACCCGGCCCTAGGGTAGATGTGAGTAAAGCTCTGAGATGACCCTTTGTTTTATTTATTATTAATGGAATAATTATTCTCCGTGTCTAAAACTGAATCAAACACAGTCTAAGACTTTTTTTTAGGAATATTTAAGTCCAGTTTGAGAGGTCTGTCTGTGTCGGTTCTGGATCAGGACCTTGTTCCCATAAGCCGAGTCAGAGACGACGAATGAGAAACCAACTTCAACCTTGTCAGTGGCTCCCATAATAACCGTTATGTTTAATTTAAAAGGTGATATAAAATAAAAGGAACAGGTATGAAAAGGTATGAACATGTGAGGAGGAGGTGCAGCCTTCCCTCCTCTAAACCATAGCTGTTATTGTCATTATTATTGTTGTTAACCTGACTAATTTTCAGCGCTAAGCTAAGTGTGCTAACCTGGAGCTCGGCCCTCTCCACCTCCCAGTGCGCCCTCTCCATCTCGAACCGGGCCCACTCATGCTGGATGTAGTGCAGGATGCCGGGGATGGTGTACTGCTGCTGCGGCCGGGGCAGCTCGTCCGGTTGGTGCGGCACCATGACTCCTCCACCTCCACCTCCTCCTCCGTTACTGTTAACCCCCCCCTGCTGCTGCTGCTGCGGCGGAGGCTGTCTCGGGGTGCCCGCTCCTCCGGCCCCCCCTCCTCCGCCGGGGTGCTCGTCCATATTTTTTTTTTTTTTTTTTTTTTTTTTTTAGAAAAGTGGAAGAAGGAGGAGGAGGAAAGTCCCAGGCAGCAGCAAAGGTCCACTAAAGGATCCCCCCCGTCCCCCTCAGGTCCGTGTATCTCCGCTCCGGCTCAGTCACGCTGGTTCCGCCGCGGTCTGTGAGGCTGGTTCCCCCCCGGAGGGCTGCGCTGAGGGCGGCTTGATTGCGGACGTTCGCGGTGTTTGGATGTGGATCTATCCGGCCGCCATTACTGCTCTCTCTCCTGCTCTCCCTGGATGATCACGGAGGGAGAACCCACTCGCGCTGCATGATGGGAAAAAGATATCCTGCCTTTCCCCCTGTCATCCAAATACACGGTGTGAGGTTTAGAGGACAAGGACAGCGTCGGAAATCACAGCTCCGAGGAGTTTACTGAGGGGGCCGAGGACCGCCACTGCTACAAATAAAAAAAGAATGTTAAAAAAAAAAAGCCACAACAGAAGTTACTGATGAAAAATAAAAAAACAAACAAACAAAAAAAGATGTTAATTAAAATTAAAAGCCACAATGGAATGCCGCATTAAAAAAAAGAAAGACACCGAAGCCTGCTGCAAAAAAAAAAAAAAAGTTCAGATTAAAAATTTTAAAAAGCCACAGTGGAAGTTCATGACACAAAAAAAGTGGAGATGTAAAAACAAAATAATAATTTAAAAAAAGGGTGCAGATTAAAATAAAAAAAGTTACAACAGAAGTTATTAATGCAAAAAAAAAAAAAAAAAAAAAAGAACTGAAACCCACTACAAAAGAAAAAAACATTCAGATTAAAATAAAAAAGAAGCTACAACAGAAGTTACCGGTGAAAAAATAAATAAAATAAAAAAACGGTGCAGATTAAAATTTTAAAAAGCCACAACGGAAGTTAATGACGCAAAAAAAAAGTGGCAATGTAAAATAAAGAAAAAAAAGGGGGTATTTTACAGAAAATATAAGAATGCAAATAAAAAAGAAATGGAGAAAATAGAGAATTTGTATTTTTTGTAATAATTATAATTTGTTGTCGTTGATTAAGTTTCATGTTATTTCTAAATGTCTTAAAAGAACCTAAAACTCAAATCTCTAGACGATTAAGTCCCTGTATTATATTTTAATACAAATTAAAGCCTCTTGATTTCAATCCAGTGAAACTGAGTTTGAAAATCTGTGTCGCCACCTGCTGGTCTTTCAGATGAAACACAGGTGAAGATATAAATAGAGTTGAGAGGACAGGAAGTATTTTGTTATTTTAAAAACTACGAACACAGTTAGGACCTGAATTTATTACATGTATTTCAATATTATATAAATGATAATAAAAAAATAAACGAGTTACTGTAAAAACACTTTTTTTTTGTGACACTCCGATTTACGAGTCATCCACTGAACGCACCAGTTGGGTGCCCTACTGAGCATGCGTGGGACGCGCTGGTAACCCTGGCTAGCTTGAAAACTGACACCTCTTTGTAGTTTTAATGTCGTTTCTTGTAGTTTTAATGTCATTTAGCTGACATATAGCTGTTATTTAATGAAGTATTTAACAAGTTCACCCGTTCCGCTTTTTAACCAATGAGCGCTGTTGTTATAATATGATAATATCAGCTTAATTGCGCTTGTTGTTGTTGTTGTTAGCCTGTCTGATGGGATTCATTGAACTTTAGTCACTTTAGCGGCCGGTAAGTCTCATAAAAATTCACAATATTAACCGAACAATAACACCGTTGACCCGGAAAATAAAAAATGTTTTTTATATATTAAATACATGTTATTAACAGTTATTAAAAAGCTTGTTAGCCTTTATGCGATTGTGTTGCCTTCACGGTCTCCTCGGACATTACGGCGCTCAGTCAACGAGGCCCTGAAGGCGACTTCAGAAGTTTGCGGTTTATTTTGTACGTCAGTGGCTTTTAATCTTAGATGGATAAAATTAAAACATTGTTTAATAGAATAAAGAATATTTTCAAGAGAAAAAGAATTCGATACATGAAAGAATAAATTAGAAAATATTGATTTAAAAAGAATGAAATTTATCAAAATTAAAAGTATTTATACTTAAAAAATATTTACTTTTAATTAGTATAATACCAATTATTTAACTGTATGCATTGTATTAAAATAGTCATAAACATTTTTTTCTTTTCTAGATACCTGCATATACAATGTGTGTGTGTATATATATATACATATAATTTTTTTTCTCCCTTGCTTTTTTTATTCCTATGTTTATTTATTTTACTACCAGGGACCAAACCAACTACTTTTTAAAATTATTATTATTATTATTATTTGTACCATAAATATTTAGTTTTATGTTTCCCTTTTGTGAGATACAGATAAGAAAAAAATGTATGAATATGATTTTGATATTGAGCAGACTGACAAACCTGCGGTACACTTTTGGTGTTATTTATTTATGTATGCACTTTTTTACTTTTTTTTTCCTGCTTTGTCCTGAATTTATGTGTTTATGTAAATATGATTTTCGTTTGACCACATGAAAATAAAACTAAATATTATGTTTAAAAAAAAGGGAATTTTTTATCAATACTATCTGATTAACGATTGTTTTGTGTTCCCGCCGATGAGTCGGCCGGTTTCAGGATGATTAAGTTCATACTGATGGTGAACCGTCAGGGTCAGACCAGACTGTCCAGGTATTACACACCTGTGGAGCTGAGCAGGAGAGCTCTTCTGGAGGCTGATGTGGTCCGCTGCTGTCTGAGCCGTAAGAAGGACCAGGTAACTGTCAGAGTGCTCACCTGTGACAGGTGTGTGGGTGATAACAGAGGTTAATCAATACTGTGTCTATTTCAGTGTTCCTTTGTGGAGTACAAAGACTTTAAGCTGGTTTATCGTCAGTACGCCGCTCTCTACATTGTGGTCGGAGTCACAGACAGTGAGGTGAGAAACACACCTGTACCTGATCCAAACTTCAACACGTGACAAAAATACTTTTACTTAAAGGAACAGTACGGATTTATTGGAGAACAGTTTGTAAAATGTTTTTAAAAATCTGTATAAAAAAAAAGCTTTGATCAGTTTTTAGTAAATTTTTTAAATCCCACCTTTAGAGGAGCATCATGGGTAAATGTTTAATGTCGGGTCTGTTTGTGTCTCTGCAGAACGAACTCTCCGTCTACGAACTGGTTCACAACTTTGTGGAGGTTTTAGACAAATACTTCAGCAGAGTGGTGAGTTCAAATGCTTCAGGATTTTACAGTTTCAGTGTTCGCAGAGTGGGTCTCTAAATCTGTGTGTGTCTGTGTCTCTGCAGAGCGAACTGGACGTATCCTTTAAACCAAACTTACATGATCATCGTCGGGTCGGAAAAATCTCTGGAGATCCAGGAACACTGGAGATAAAAAGTTTGTCTTTTAGTTAAAAAGTTAGTGTTTTTAATTTAAAAGTTTGTTTTTTTAGTCAACAAGTTCGTTTTTCAGTTAAAAAATGTGTTATTTTAGTTAAATAAGTTAAAAAGTTCATTTTTTTACTTGTTAAATTTTGGATCCAGAGGAAACGTTCAGAGGTCCGTCAGAGAGGAGGAGAGTAAAAACGGACTTTGAGGACAAAAACAAACGTGTCCTCATCAGATATTTCACCACAGCGCCCCCTTCAGTTTCTAACGGTCCTGTTCTCTGCGGTCGTACCATGTGTGTCTTTTCTTTGACTCCGCCCCCTTCATCAGATCATGTTCAACCTGGACCGAGTCCACATCATCCTGGACGAGATGATCCAGAACGGACACATCGTGGAGACCAACAAGAGCCGCATCCTCGCTCCTCTCAACGCCCTCGACAAGATGGCCGACGGCTGAGACTGACAGGAAGTGATGTCACAGACTGTGTTTACGATTTACTGGAGTTCAGAATCAAAGTCAACGTGCCAAAAAGTGAACTTCGATGTTTCAGTTTGTAACCATGAAGAATCGTTAAGCTCCGCCCCCTTCTTCGTTATTTTTCTATCAAATAAAAATTTAAAGACTGAAAAACAAACAATTCTGGTTTTCTTTACAAGGTTTACACTAAACTGTTCAAGTTCGAGTTTCCTCAGAAGTCAGAGCTGAAAATATCGTCACACCCGAGTTCCCAGCGTTTCAGTTACCGAGCCGGAAAAAAGCAAAATCGGAGGTGGAAACAAGATGGCTACATCTACGAAAGTTATTTTAGCACTTGCTTTATATTCGGACAAGGTAAATAACTTTCGTAAATGTAGCCATCTTGTTTCCGCCTCCGATTTTGCTTTTTTCAGAATTGGTAACTGACGTCATTTTCAGCTCCGACTTCTGACTTCCAAGATAAATCGAACGCAGCAAAGAAACGTCAGAATTTTATCTAAAATAGATTTTTGTTAACCAGTCGATTATCCGACATAAACTCCGATCTCTGCGTAAAGTCAGAAAACAAGTGACCTAAACTTCACAAACAGGATCCTCCTCGAGTCTAAAATATCTCTATTACACTGCAGCTCAAAATTCCGGTTTTTAAGTTAAAAAGTTTTTTAGTGTAAATGTTTACTAGTTAAAAAGTTCCTTTTAAGTGTAATAGTTTTTTAAATGATAAAGTTTGTGTTTTCAGTGTAAGAGTTTGTTCTTTAGTTAAAAAGTTCTTTAATTAAAAAGTTAATTTTTTAGTGTAATAGTTTGTTTTCTAGTTATAAAGTTTATTTTTTCAGTTAAAAATAAGTGTCCTTAACTTTACGAGGTGAACACTCAAACTCAGGTTCGGGTCTCTCACCTGTGTGCAGACATCACCGCCCCCTGCTGGCGGCTCGTAAACACGCCCCCCGACCTCCTCCCCCACAGACCACAGGAGGCGCCTTTTAACTTCATACTTTGCAAACATTTTAATGATTATTTTTTGGAGCATACACATTTGAAAATATCTGTTTACCTCAAACTGCAACTTGAGTTAAATAAATGTTTATAATATACAAAGAAAATACAAGGAGAGAGAGAGAGAGCGAGATAGAGAGAGAGAGAGAGAGAGAGAGAGAGAAAGAGAGAGAGAGCAGAGCTTTGACGTTTGTTTTCTTCACATGTGCCTCGCTCACACAGCCAGTGTTTGTCTCTACAGCTTCATGTAAATGCACTCCGACCTTTGACCTCTACAGCCGGTTTGAAACAACCCAAAAAACTGTCGCGCACACACACACACACACACGCACACACACACACAGAAACGGAAGCAAAATAAAAATTAAAACAAAAGAAGAAGAAGAAGAGGAGGAGGGATGATTGTTTGGAGGAACTGAAACAGAAACTACGAGTCAAACCAACCAGGAGGACACACACACACACACACACACATGTACACGCGCACGCACGCACGCGCACGCAGCAGCTCAGGTGAGGACGATGACGGAGATGATGGAGGAGGCGAGGCGAGGAGGCGGCGGTTAAGGGTGTGATTTTCTTCTGCAACGTAAACCCTCCTCTCCGCCCTCCGGTCAGGCGCTCAGTCGCTCGCTCAGTCAGTCAGTCGGCTGGTTTGTTTTCGATTGGCTGGCTGAACTGTCAATCACGCGGCGGCGGCAGCGGGTGGCGACACGGACTCTTGGAGCATGCTCAGTGTGGCGGGCGGTGGCGGCGGAGGAAGAGGAGGAGGCGGTCAGTTGAGGTGGAAGCCTTTCTCCATGGTGGCGGCTAACAGACGCTCCCTCATGATGTCCTCGGAGGAATATTCCGGAAGCTTCAGGTAGTGGACGCACGTGTTGACCGACGGGTAACTCGAGTCTGTGGCGTCCACCTGAGAGAGGCGAGAGAGAGGGGGAGGAGCCAATCAGATTCACAGAGCAAAAAGAACAGCTGTTTTTTTTCACGGACGGTCCGCTCGCCGTGCGACAGACTCACCTTTCTGACGATGGTGAGGCGGGGGTGCAGGTTGGCGAGACCACCGGGGGGCAGCGTGGAGCAGCCGGTGGTGAACTGAAGGAACGCTTTCCTCTCATCAGACGACATCCCGCAGAGGACTCTGACGAACCGCAGGAAGCCGGGACTGAGGGGGCGGAGTCACAGAGTCAAGATTTAACCCTTTATGAACAGCACACACACACACACACACACACACACACACACACAGACACTGACACACACACACACACACACACACACACACACAGTGACACACACACACACACTCACACACTCTCACACACACTCATACACACACTCTCACCTGTCTCTGGTGTAACACACACACACACACACTCACACACACACACACACACACACACACACACACACACACACTCACCTGTCTCTGGTGTATCCCAGCTTTGGCTCTGTGTAGTTGATGATGTCATCAGCGGTCCAGGAAGGTGATTGGTTCCCGCAGAGGATCATCTGGACCTCCTTATGGCTGAAAGAACTCAACTTCTCCATCGGGAACACGCGGTTAAAACCCTCTGAGGGAAGGAGACGAGGAGAGGAGGTGAGGGAAGGAGGTGACGGAAGGAGGAGAGGAAAGGAGACGAAGAAAAGGAGACGAGGAAAGGAGGCAAGTAAAGGAGACAAGGAAAGGAGATGAGGAAAGAAGATGAGGATAAGAGACAAGGAAAGGAGGAAAGGAGATGAGGGAAGGAGATAAGGAAAGGAGACAAGGAAAGGAGACAAAGAAGGAAAGGAGGCGAGGGAAAGAGACGAGGTAAGGAGACAAGGAAAGGAGATGAGGAAAGGAAAAGAGGGAAGGAGACAAGGAAAGGAGGAGAGGAGAGAGGAAATGTATATACACGTGTGTGTGTGTGTATATATGTGTGTGTGTGTATATAAATATATATATATATATATGTGTGTGTGTGTCTGTGTATTTGTGTGTGTATATAAATGTGTGTACATATGTGTATATAAATGTGTGTATATATATGTATATATGTGTGTGTGTTTGTGTATTTGTGTGTATATAAATGTGTGTATTTGTGTGTATATGTATACATGTGTCTATATAAATGTGTGTATATAAATTTGTGTATGTGTGTGTATGTATACATGTGTATATAAATGTGTGTATTTGTGTGTATGTGTACATGTGTGTATATAAATGTGTGTATTTGTGTGTATGTGTGTATATGTGTGTACATGTGTGTATATAAATGTGTGTATATAAATGTGTGTACATGTGTGTATATAAATGTGTGTATTTGTGTGTATATGTATACATGTGTGTATATAAATGTGTGTATTTGTGTGTATGTGTATACATGTGTGTATATACATGTGTCAGTCGTACCTCTGAAGGCCTCCATCTGTTTCTGGATCCCCGTGTGCATACAGAAGTCAAACATCAGCTCCACGTACTCCTCTGCGTTCTCCATGGTCACCATCTGAAGGACAGAGACACACACAGTCTGTCGTTAACCTTTGACCTTTAACAGCGTAGAAACCCTGAGTGTCCCCTCTGCGGCGCCGCCGTCTTTACCTCGTCGTCTCCGTTTGGTTTCAGATCCACGGCTGAGAATCCGTGAACTTTGGAGGACGGACAGAACTGGAAGTTCAACCTGGAGACAGAAGACAAGATCAGGACCAGGTCCTCAGAGTCCTCAGAGCCCCCCTCTGAGTCAGAACTCTAAATTCAGAGGCTCTTCTTGGTCCTTAAACGCACCGTCAGACTCAGACTGATTTTCAGCCTCAGGATGTTTGTTCAGAGAGAGTCAACACAGAAGCTGAGGGACCGCCATGTTTGTTTACAAGTGTGTGTGTGTTTCTGTGTGTGTCTGTGTGTGTGTGTGTGTGTGTGTGTGTGTGTGTGTGTGTGTGTGTGTGTCTGTGTGTGTGTTTCTGTGTCTGTGTGTGTGTGTGTGCGTGTGTGTGTCCTACCCGAGGTCCTCGATGCTCAGCGGCGGTCCGGAGCCCAGCGGGTTCCTCAGCATCAGATCCTGCAGTCTGGTGTTCTTCTCGTCTTCACTCAAACTCTTACTGGACAAAATCTGCCTCCTCTTCACCGCCAACTCCTTCACCTCCTTCAGGAAACTCGCCCTGCAGACGAGGAGGGAGGAAGAAAGGGAGGAGGACGGAGAGAGAGACAGGCGTAGGTGGGGAAGAAGGAAACAGCAACGATGGAGAGGTGAGGGGAGGAGAGTTAAGAGAGAGAAGGAGAAGAAAAAGGAATCAAGGTAACGAAGGAGGAGGCAGAGGAGGCGTGAGGAGATAAGAAAGGAGGCAGAAAAGAAGACAAGAGAAAGAAAAAGGAGGCAAGAAAGGAAAGGAGAGAAGAAGCAGCAAAGGAGAAAAAAGGAGACGATAAGGAGAAAAAGGAGAAAGAGAGGGGGGAAGGAGGAGGAAAAAGGCGGAGAGAGAGAAGGTAGAGAGGTGATAAAGAGGAGGAGGAGGAGGAGGAGCATAGAAGGAGAAAAAAAGAGACGATGAGGTTTTTATTTCCACCCTGATGTTCATCAAAAACTCTCCAGGTGATCCCTCTCCTAAGCCCCGCCTCCCTGTCTCACCTGTGCGGTTTTTTTTTCTTTTCTTTTTTAAATTAAAAAAATATACATATATATATTTCTTTTAAAACTTTATTTAATTTTTTTCTTTTTTAAACTTTTTTAAATTTTTATTTAATTTATTCTTTTCTTAAAAAATTTTTTTAGTATTATTTTATTTTTTCTTTTCTTTTAAATTTTTTTTTTATTTTTTTTCTTTTTTAAACTTTTTTTCTTTTTATTTAATTTATTCTTTTCTTTAAATTTTTTTTTAGTATTTTTCTTTTTTCTTTTCTTTTTATTTCTTTTATTTTTTATATTTATTATTTTATTAAGTGATGCAAACAGTGATTTTTTTTCCACCCCCTCTCTCTCCTCCTCCTCCTCCTCCTCCTCCTCCTCCTCTATCTCATCGCTCCCGTCGCTCCCGTCACTCCTGAAGTCTCACCTGTGCGGGTTGACGAGCTGGAAGTCGTCCCAGGTGAGGATGCCGTGGTACCAGGCGGGGGGTTTGGGTTTGGGCGGGTCCATGATGAACTCGGACTTGGAGTCCTCGTCGAAGCTCCCCACGGAGTAGGTCTCCTGACTCTCCTCGGTGGACGCCTCTGATTGGACCTCGGACAGCAGCAGGAAGGGCGTGAGGTGGGGGCGCTCGGGGTCGTGGGGGGCGCTGCGGCTCTGGTAGAGCAGCTTACTCATGTTGGACTTGATGTCCCCCATGCAGAGCAGCTTGAAGAAGGGCTGGGAGACCGGGAGGTCCACCAGACGGTTGTCCTGGATACACTTGGCCAAGAAGATCCCCAGGAAGTGGAAGAGCTTGGTGATCCGCTCCAGCTCCTCGCTGTCCTGAGGGAAGGGGGCGGGGAACAGGCCGCAGGAACGCTGGACGTAGTACCCGGGGGGCTTCAGACCGCCACCCAGGTCCACCTGTCTGGACTCGTCATCGGGGAAGTCGTCGTCACACAACCAGATCCCCAGAGAGGTCCTCTGAAACTCCGCCGCCACCAGAGCGTAGAACTCCAGCGTGGGACCCAGACCGGTCCCCTCCTCGCCCTGAAACTCCACCTGAAGGGGGACGAAGACGTCAACAGAGAACCGACACCTGAGGACAAACCAACGAAGAAGAAGAAACAGGAAACTCCACCGCTCACCTCCAGCACCGACTTCCTGTCGGCGTGCAGCTGCATCACAGACTCCGCCCACTCCATCATGGCTTCACCTCGGGGGACTTTGACTCGCTCGTGTTTGAGCCGGCCCACCCTGAACTCTCCGGGGTCGTCCCTGCGGACCGTGGTGGACGGTCTGGAGCGCTCCATGGTGGCCTCCCGCCGGTTCTGCAGCCAAACGATCGCCCTGCAACGCCACAGGTCAGAGGTCAGAGGTCAGGGGCGTGTCTCAGCGGAGAGGGGTCAAAGTGAAGGTCACAGAAATGAGTTTAAAAAAGTGGATTTTTCTGTTTCTGAATTAAAGATTTTAACTCCTCGGTTCCTCCTCAGGGTCTCCGGGTCGGTTCCCGGACTCACCTGGACGCTCCGAAGGCCGTACAGGTGAAGTAAAGCTGCCGGGTCTCAAAGGGGATGAGGAAAGGACACTTAGAGGTCAGCTGTTCACACCAGTCAGGAAGAGCGCCGCTCGCCAGAGCCAGAGGTTCCTGAGGACAGAGGAGAGGAGGACACGGTCAGACCTGCAGAGTCCTGATCCTACAGTGAGACCAGAGACCGGGGTGGGGGGGACACGTACCTCGATCTGCTGCAGGATCTTGGTGGTGATCTTCTTACTGGTGAACTCCTCAGGAGACGCGTTAAACTGCAGCTCGTCGAAATCTGAACAAACAAACGAAGAACTTTTTAAACTCTGCGGTAAAAAAACACGAGATCCTCAGAGATAAAACCTGAACCTGTGTGTGTGTGTGTGTGTGTGTGTGTGTGTGTGTGCACGTGCACGCTCACCTTCCTGAAGAGTGCGAGCGTTGGAGGCGGAGTCTCCCCCGATGATGTAAAGAATACGCAGCAGCTGCAGGACGTCCTCCACCCCGCAGGCGTTCTGACTGCAGCCCGCCTTCGCCTGCGCCACCTCTCTGGCCACGCCCAGAATCTCGCTGCTCTGACTGGCTGACACCGAGCTCGGGCTCAGACCGCCGGAGCGCCCGCCGACCACGATGCTGTGTTCACACAAGTCCTGCAGGAGGGGGAGGTCAGAGGTCAGAGGTCAGGTCTACAGCCTAAAATAAACATCTGAAGTTCTGATGAACCCGGTTTGGTCTGTAGGAGGTCCAGACTCAGTAAAGAGGATCAGAACAAAGACCGGACTCTGAGCTGGACTCTGAGGGTCCCCCTTCACTCTCAGGTCTCAGTGTTCTCCTCACCATCTTCCCGCTCTCCTTCTCCTTGTCGGCGTCCTTCAGCTCTCGGTACATGATCCTGCAGGAGAAGAAGAAGAAAACAGACGCCGTCAGACTCAGATCGACCTTCACACCCAGACTCCGCCCCCTCCACTTCCTCCTCCCCCTCTTACGTGTAGGTGGGCTCCCAGATGCGTCGGAGTTTGTCCGTCTTCACGGCGCCGTTACAGGAGAGCTGCAGCAGCCGCTGGACGTAGTAGAAGATGGTGGACTTGTAGTTGGACAGAGGAAGCTCCACCTCCCGCGTCGTACCGAGACCCGCCACCTGAAACCGCAGAGAGGCTCTTTAACGAGGCGTCCAATCAGAGGAGGGTTACATCAGACTTTTATTTTGAAAGGTAATCTTCAAACTGACCTTCAGCGTGAGAGCGAGGTGAGGAGAGGGAGCGCACTCCACCTCCTCCTGAACCTCCGAACGAGGAGTCCCTGAGGAGAAGAGGAGAGGAAGAGGAGAGGAGGAGAGGAGAGGAGGGGAGAGGAGGGGAGAGGAGAGGAGGAGAGGAGAGGAGAAGAGAAGAGGAGAGACGAGGAGAGGAGAGAGGAGAGGAGAGGAGGAGAGGAGAGGAGGAGAGAGGAGAGGAGGAGAAGGGGAGAGGAGAGGAGGAGAGGAGAGGAGAGGAGGAGAGAGGAAAGGAGAGGAGAGGAGAGGAAGAGAGGAGAGGAGAAGAGAAGAGGAGAGACGAGGAGAGGAGAGAGGAGAGGAGAGGAGGAGAGGAGAGGAGAGGAGAGGAGAAGAGAGGAGAGGAAGAGAGGAGAGGAGAAGAGAAGAGAAGAGGAGGAGAGGAGAGGAGAGGGAGAGGAGGGGAGGAGAGGAGAGAGGAGAGGAGAGGAGGAGAGAGGAGGAGAGAGGAGAGGAGGAGAAGGGGAGGAGAGGAGGAGAAGGGGAGAGGAGAGGAGGAGAGGAGAGGAGAGGAGAGGAGAGGAGGAGAGGAGAGGAGAGGAGGAGAGAGGAGAGGAGAGGAGAGGAGAGGAGGAGAGAGGAGAGGAGAGGAGAGGAGGAGAGAGGAGAGGAGAGGAGAGGAGAGGAGAGGAGGAGAGGAGAGGAGAGGAGGAGAGGAGAAGAGGAGAAGAGAGGAGAGGAAGAGAGGAGAGGAGAAGAGAAGAGAAGAGGAGAGACGAGGAGAGGAGAGGAGAGAGGAGAGGAGAGGAGAGGAGAGCTGTAATTCATCGACTCTTAAAAACCTTTAAATGTGTGTGTGTGTGTACGTCTACGTGTGTGAGTGTCGTACCTGGGGGCGGGATCTCCAGGTCGGTGGTCTGCTGGACGTTGGTTCTTCCTGGTCGGGGGTCAAACGCAGGAACGAGCGCCGAGAACTGTCTCTTCAGGACAAAGTCGTCGTCCCACGTCCTCCTGCGTCCTCCTTTGGTCTCGTACTCCTCCTCCTCCTTCAGGACAGCAGAGACACACACACACTCAGCGCCCCCTCTGTGACCTCTGACCTCACGGTGCCGCTGCCTCAAACGTCATTTATCTAAAAACAAGAAAATCAAATTTACCAGGACCTCCTCGTACTCCTGGTCCTCCTGATTGTCGTCTTCGTTCTCGTCGTCGTCGTCGTCCGGCTCGGGGAGGTCCTCCTCGTCGTCCAGCTCGGCCAATAGGGTGTTGGCGCGACAGCTGTCCAGGAAGTCTGCGGAGAGGAAACAGGAAACAGGAAGTTCAGAGTGGAAGGAGCGGGAATCAAAGATGTCACCTGAGTTAGAGAGCAGGTTAGTGGAAGCAGCTGAGAGTGTGTGTGTGTGTGTGTGTGTGTGTGTGTGTGTGTGTGTGTGTGTGTCTGCGGTCACGAACCATAGAGCGAGAACTCGGCCTCCTGGCCCGTGTCGCTCTCGCTGGACGTGGACGTCAGGCTGGTCGTCAGGGTGTTGCTTAGCAACTGTCCCACCGACAGACCCGTGGTTGCCGTGGCTACATTATTGCTGCTGGTTACTATGGAGGTTGACATGGTAACGGTGGAGCTGGTGCCGGTGGTGGTGAGGTTAGGAAAGCTCTGAGCGCCCATGAGAGGAGAAGCTGCAAACAAACACACACACACACACACACACACGCGCGCACACACACACACACACACACACACACACACACACACACACACACACACACACACACACACACACACACACACAGGGAGGTTAGTGTGTCAAAAAACCAAAAAGACGAAGCAGCAGGTCAAGCCGACAGGAAACAGCTGCCGATTGGCTGGTTGAAGCTCATGATGTCATCCATGCAGACGGGACTTAAGAACATAGATATCTATCAGAAAGACTAGATGACTCTATGAGGCGGAGTCACTATACTCCAGTATACCATTCTGATCCGCTCTATGGTCGCTGACAGGAGGTGAGTAATCTGATCAAAAATCCTCTGAACTCTCTGAAATCTTGACAGATTTATAAATTTAGTTTATTACAGACTTTAATAACGAGGCTCTGAGTCGGGATGTTTGGACAGATTAGAATATCAGAATTACTTTGAGAAAAAATGATTTAATCGTGAAGAACTGTTGTTTTACGGCTATTTACACGCAAGGACTAACTTTAAGTCCCTTTGTCAAAGCTGAGACCACAATTAAAATTTTAATTTATTGTGTGACAGACTATATATTTATTTATATCTTTATTTACAGGGCTTGAGACCAACTTTTTTCAAGTGCTCCTAAGTTGAAAAAGTTGTCAATTGGTCACATGACAGTGAAGCTCTTGAAAGAAAACAGCCTTTTCTGAGAACATCAACCGGTAATTTATTGACGGTCCCTTATTCAACACCGACGTTGACAGTGAGGGTGTCGAGTAGATTTAACCGCGCTGCTGTTGTTATTCCCGGTTATGGAGAGTGAGAAGACACCGGTAGATCCTCAGAGAATGTCCGTCAGATATCCAACCTGAAACTAACTTCACCGCCGTATTTACAGGAGAATATATCCAACCTGAAACTAACTTCACCGCCGTATTTACAGGAAAATATATCCAACCTAAAACTAACTTCACCGCCGTATTTACAGGAGAATATATCCAACCTGAAACTAACTTTACAGGAAAATATATCCAACCTGAAACTAACTTCACCGCCGTATTTACAGGAGAATATATCAAACCTGAAACTAACTTCACCGCCGTATTTACAGGAAAATATATCCAACCTAAAACTAACTTCACCGCCGTATTTACAGGAAAATATATCCAACCTGAAACTAACTTCACCGCCGTATTTACAGGAAAATATATCCAACCTAAAACTAACTTCACCGCCGTATTTACAGGAAAATATATCCAACCTGAAACTAACTTCACCGCCGTATTTACAGGAAAATATATCCAACCTGAAACTTACTTCACCGCCGTATTTACAGGAAAATATATCCAACCTAAAACTAACTTCACCGCCGTATTTACAGGAAAATATATCCAACCTGAAACTAACTTCACCGCTGTATTTACAGGAAAATATATCCAACCTGAAACTAACTTCACCGCCGTATTTACAGGAAAATATATCCAACCTGAAACTAACTTCACCGCCGTATTTACAGGAAAATATATCCAACCTAAAACTAACTTCACCGCTGTATTTACAGGAAAATATATCCAACCTGAAACTAACTTCACCGCTGTATTTACAGGAAAATATATCCAACCTGAAACTAACTTCACCGCCATATTTACAGGAAAATATATCCAACCTGAAACTAACTTCACCGCCGTATTTACAGGAAAATATATCCAACCTAAAACTAACTTCACCGCTGTATTTACAGGAAAATATATCCAACCTGAAACTAACTTCACCGCTGTATTTACAGGAAAATATATCCAACCTGAAACTAACTTCACCACCATATTTACAGGAAAATATATCCAACCTGAAACTAACTTCACCGCCATATTTACAGGAAAAAATATCAGTTTTTCTGTTTTCACCGAGTCAGACCTCACAGGGACCCGGTTTTATTACAGCCGGGTCACTGCAGTCCTGGTTCAGCAATATGACAGTACTCCCTGGTCTTCGGTCAGCAGTACTGCGGTTCTATAGTACTACAGTATTACAGTACTCTCTGGTATCAGGTGAGCAGTACTGCAGTACTCGGGTGCGGTGGCGGTACTCACTGGCGGTGCTCATGACGTTCCTCCCCAGCGTGTTGGTGTTGTTGTCGCTGCTGCTGCGGCTCAGGTTCATGTTGTTGGTGGCGTTGGTGCGGGACATGTTGGGGGCGCGGCGGACGAAGGACTCCATGAGGCTGGCCTCTCGTGACGACAGGTTAGGCACGCTGGCGCTGGAGCTCATGGGAGCGCCGGCGGCCAGCAGGGAGCTGACGGACAGCCGGGCGTTTGTGGCGAGGGGTCTCTGGGAGGGGGCGTCTTTGCTGGAGGACTCCGACACCGAGCTGACGTCGGGGGAGCTCACGCTCACCAGTCCCATGGAGATGGCGGTGGCCGGGTCGGTGCCGGCCGCCGCAGAGTCCTTGTTTCTGGGGTCGTCTCCTGGAGCGGGGGTGTCAGCTGTTAGCGTGCCAGAGCTGGACGCCGAGCCGGACCCTCCCTCCACAGCAGAGGACAGGACCACGATCGGCTCCTGCGGCTGCCCGTCGGGGCCGACTCCGCCCCCCATCAGTCCTCCGACCCCGGGGCCCTGATCCAACAGCAGCCCCTCGGCCCTCCTCTCCAGTCGCAGACCGCCGGCGCCCGGGAGCCCGACGGAGGAGCTCAGGCTGATGTCGGAGGAGGAGGCGACGCTGCAGACGGAGCTGCTGCTGCCCTTCCTGCTGGAGGAGCTGCCCCCGCCCAGCGAGGTCGCCCCGCCTTTGTCGGGACAGTTATTTTTCACCAGGCTGCTCCACGACTGCTGCTGCGAGGACGAGGAGGTGGAGGACGACGAGGACGAGGTGGTGGTGGTGGTGCCGCCGCTGGCAGCCGGCGTCGCGGAGGGTCCCACCGCGGAGGAGGCGGGGCCTGAAACAGTGGATGAGACAGGTTTGGGTGACGGCGCTGTGGCAGCCGACTCAGGGTCGTACCCTGGAGCAAGCTTGAGGTCAAACTTCCCTTCAGCGCCCATACGGTAAGAGTTAGAGCCGCCAGAGTCCCAGGTTACATCAATCCAGCCTGGATGGACAGAGAGATAGGAGGGAGACGGACGGATGGATGTCAGAGACCCGGCAGAGAGAGAGAGAGAGAGAGAGAGAGAGAGAGAGGGAGGGAGAGAGAGAGAGAGAGAGAGAGAGAGAGAGAGAGAGAGAGGTAGAGGGAGGTAGACAGACAGCAGAGAAGCAGCTTACAGTCAGAGCAGCTCCACACGGCTCCACACTGGACCAGAACTTCACTCATTCTGTTCACTCTTTACCTCTAGACTCTGACATAGATGTTTTACATAGATGTTTTCTGCTCTGTTTAAATTTACTCCTCCTCACTGAGTTTATGATATTCTGGCATAAAATTAATTTAGGGTCAAACCCACCGTAACACCGAGTTAGACCCCCCTCCAGAGATGTTGCCGTCCACTTGCTTCTCTAGTTATACCAACTTTAGCCAATAAACTTCTACTGTAGTAAAATGAAAAGGTAAAGGTGTTTTTATTGAGCCGAATTATCAATAAAATCATGATTTTGTTAACAGGTATGGATTTATGTGCTGTTGAGTTAATATATTTGAACAAGAGCACAGTAAAGTTAAATCAGCTAATTTTCCAATGAGGTTCTGTTACTGAATGGAACTACACCATGTTCTACTGAGGTTAGTACATATAGGGTCACAGACATAGTACTAGACACCAAACATCTTTTTAACTTTGACTCATTTCTTTAGCAAAGAGACTAAACACAACTCACCTACTCTCTTCCAGCAGACGCTTGTTTGTAGAGAGACCTCAGGCCAGTCCATTACGGACTACAGCGGGGTGCCGCAGCTCAAGGAAGAACATTTATGATCATTTCTTTATCATTTCCTTTAAGTAATAATCACCATATTAAACATTTTACAGACGCTGTAGTTCTTCTGTCTTAGCGTCTCGGTCTGATTGTATTTCCATGAAGAAATTATCATAAATGTTCTTCCTTGAGCTGCGGCACCCCGCTGTAGTCCGTAATGGACTGGCCTGAGGTCTCTCTAGTTCTATGTCTGTGACCCTATATGTCCTGTTGATGAAGTTAGGTGCTGTTCTGAGCATTATTTGTGACTATAGAGTGGCGTTTTGGTTGAGGTTTGTTTATGGCTCCTCAGACCGCTGTGTATTTCTATCCTTCAGTCGTGAACTTCCTGCTCTTTGTTTGACACTGACTCTGAGCTCCTTGTCCTCCTCACATTCCTCTGACTCTGACTCTGACATTACTGGTCCTGGATGTTCTAACCTGACTTTGTTAAAAAGGTCCAGGTGGAGCGATGAGAGAGAAAAATATGAACACAGTCACAGAAAATGACAATCAAAGCAAAAGTAGAAAATATTTAATCTGGCAAAAAGCGTCAAAGAAGCAACAGAGAAAGAAATCAAACAACAATCATCATCCTGGATCATCGTGATTATTATCTGAGGAACATCAACAGAGCTGCAGGGGGCGCCTCCGAGCTGACTGACAGAAAACAACAACACTGGATCTGAGGAACGACACAGAGACACAGAGAGGAGGAGGAGGAAGAGGAAAAGAGGAGCAGGAAACAGGTGCTCCTGGTCACCTGGGTGAAGGATGGACAGGTGAGGCTGCTGAGACAAAGAGGCGTGAACACTCGTGCTGCGTTCAGGTTCAGTCAGCTCTGTTTCTACTTTTCAGAGAAACACACGGAGCGTCATGTCGGAGCGACGACGATAAAGACGAGTTCAAATCAGCTGATCCTCACAGAGTGGAGAGTGGGCGTGTTTTGGTCATGTGACCCGAGGGTCAGCGCGTCTCTCCTTATTCAGAGTAAATAATCGATCAGACTCGGAACCAAAAATCTTTTTCTAACTGACATAAACTCTTTGATTTTGGGAATACTGTCTGATTATTACCATTTAATCCAGGAGGGAGCTCTCTGCGTCACCTGACAACTGAATGACACTCCTGACAGTCGACTTTGATTTAATGATATTTGAAGATTAAAACTTCCGACTGAAGCTTTAAACCAAAAACCTGAAACTCTAAATCTCCACCTTCATCCTGATCGTCTCCTAAAAGGTCGTATCCTCCGATCTTTTCTGATCGTAACCATTCAAGTTAACGTGTCGATTTACACCGACTTCTTTCCGTTCCTCTGCCGGAGCATGGCGGATAAATTCAGCACAGATTAACCCGTGCTGGAAAGGAAGTCGGGCACAGACACAAAATAAAACATCCAGCTTCTTTTCAAAATAAAACACTCGAACAGACGAACAAGTGAACGTTTTTTTAGACGTCATTTCACCTCGATGACTGTGTTCAAGTTGAACCAGAGCGATGTTTACAGTAAATAACTGTTGTTGTTAGAGGAGGGAGAAAAACATCGATTCACAAGTATTGAGATTTTTTGTTTTACAATTTTTAAATCGATTTTTACAAATCTTAAATACTGATTTACATGGGATGTGTATTTTTTGTGAAAATATGGTTCCTGTAATAGTCAGTAGACGATCGTAATCATTCATGCAGATTAAAAATCGAGAAACTCGACAATATCGTAGAATCGAAATTTAAACTGAATCGGCATCAAAAAAATCGTCGAAGAATCGAATCGTGAGAAAAGCAGATCGTCCCACACTGTCTGTTGTTGTTGTTGTTGTTGATCAGCTGACTGTAAACTGAGCACAGCTGTCACTCACACCACACACTCATTTAACCACAGAGGTCGTGTCAAAGGTCGAGTCAAAGGGAGAAAAGGTCAAACAGAACTGTTCTGGTGGTTTAAACCAGAACCCGCAAACTCCAGATCCTGGATCAGGAATAAAACAGGATTAGAGATCAGGAATGAGGACTCTGGGAGGACATCTGGACCAGCAGGTCATGAACCCGAGGAGGGTGGAGGTCAGGGTTTGGAGCTGGACTCATGTTAGTCACTGTATCTCAAGTTCTGTCCGGATCTGTCTCTGCTGGACCTCAAATCAAACAACTGAAGTTCTGAAGACAGTTCAGACCTGCTGACCCAAATACCCGCCCACATCCGTCCTCTGAGGACACAAACAGGAAGCTGGGACCCTGTAAACCAAACCATGAACCAGGAGAAGAACAGTGACGTAAAGAGAACCCGGTCTCTGTGGACCCGGGTCCTCTGAAGGTTCTGGAGGACTCAGTTTTTAGTCTCTTACCGTTGTGAGCCTCTCCTGTGACCGTACCCTCTCCAGCAGGGTTCCCGTCCTGGTCTCGCCACTTCCAGTCGATGCCGCGGACGACCCGCGCCCCCGGGACGATGTACTTCATCACCTGAGAGCGGAACAGGCGGCGCTGACGACGGAGGTTCGCCTCCGCCTCCTTCACAGCTTTACCTGAGGGAGAGGAGGGTCAGAGTTAGAGGACGGGAGGGACTCAGAGAACAGAGACGGTCTGGACTAAAACCTGAACCTGAGAACAAACTAGAGGAGCACAGGTTTGATCTCAGCATCGAACCATCGAACCATCGAACCATCGAACCCGAGTTTCAGATTTTAACGTTTATTTATTTTATTTACTGTTATTAACGTCTGCAGGAAGAAAACATCCCGGTACAAACGTCCTGCAGGGGGCACTGTCATGTGTGAAGGTGTGTAACCATGGCGATGGCGTACCCAGCTGGTCCTCACAGACGGCGGTGACGGTTCCGTACAGCTCCAGTCCGGACAGGGACAGGTAGTGAGTCTGTCCGCTGGCGTTCTTCCCCATCTGTTTGATCCGGATGTGTCTCCAGCCCTGCTTCTCCTCTTTGGACGGGTCCAGAGGCCAGGTGGCCGTCGACCTGAGACACACACACACACACACACACACACACGTCACGACTCTGAACCTGCTTTATTGATCATTGATGATCGATCAGTTCCAGTCTCACCCCGGTTCATTCAGGCTGCAGTCGTCCACATGTGTGTAGAGAGTGGTCCAGTTCTGACCGTCCTTCGACACCTGGAAGACCCAGTTCCTCAACGCGGAGCGACCGTAACCCCTGCAGGAGGAGAGAGGAGAGAGGAGCAGACAAAGGAGGAGAGAGAGGAGGAGACAAAGGAGGAGAGGAGAGAGGAGAGGGGAGAGAGGAGAGAGGAGAGAGAGAGAGAAGGAGAGAGGAGAGAGGAGAGGGGAGAGAGGAGAGAGGAGAGAGAGAAGGAGAGAGGAGGAGACAAAGGAGGAGAGGAGAGAGGAGAGGGGAGAGAGGAGAGAGGAGAGGGGAGAGAGGAGAGGAGGAGAGAGAGGAGGAGACAAAGGAGGAGAGGAGAGAGGAGAGGGGAGAGAGGAGAGAGGAGAGAGAAGGAGAGAGGAGAGGAGAGAGGAGAGAGGAGAGAGGAGAGAGAGGAGGAGACAAAGGAGGAGAGGAGAGAGGAGAGGGGAGAGAGGAGAGAGGAGAGAGGAGGAGACAAAGGAGGAGAGGAGAGAGGAGAGAGAGGAGGAGACAAAGGAGGAGGGGAGAGAGGAGAGAGGAGGAGACAAAGGAGGAGAGGAGAGAGGAGAGGGGAGAGAGGAGAGAGGAAAGGAGGAGACAAAGGAGGAGAGAGGAGAGGAGAGAGATGGAGAGAGGGAGAGAGAGGAGAGAGAGAGAGAGAGAGGAGAGGGAGAGAGGAGAGGGAGAGAGGAGAGAGAGAGAGAGAGAGAGAGAGAGAGGAGAGAGGAGAGAGGAGAGGAGAGAGAGGAGAGAGGAGAGAGAAGGAGAGAGGAGAGGAGAGAGAAGGAGAGAGGAGAGAGGAGAGAGGAGAGAGAGAGAGGAGGAGACAAAGGAGGAGAGAGGAGAGGAGAGAGAGGAGGAGACAAAGGAGGAGAGAGGAGAGAGAAGGAGAGAGGAGAGAGGAGAGAGAGGAGGAGACAAAGGAGGAGAGAGGAGGAGAGGAGAGAGAGGAGGAGACAAAGGAGGAGAGGAGAGAGGAGAGAGGAGAGGGGAGAGAGGAGAGAGGAGAGAGAGAAGGAGAGAGGAGAGGGAGAGAGAGGAGAGAGGAGAGGAGAGAGAAGGAGAGAGGAGAGAGGAGAGGAGGAGACAAAGGAGGAGAGAGGAGAGGAGAGAGGAGAGAGGAGAGAGGAGGAGAGGGAGGAGGCGACAAAGGAGGAGAGGAGAGAGGAGAGGGGAGAGAGGAGAGAGGAGAGGAGGAGACAAAGGAGGAGAGGAGAGAGGAGAGAGGAGAGAGAGAAGAAGAGAGGAGAGGAGGAGACACAGGAGGAGAGAGGAGAGGAGAGAGGAGAGAGGAGAGGAGAGAGAAGGAGAGAGAGGAGGCGACAAAGGAGGAGAGGAGAGAGGAGAGAGAAGAGAGTAGAGAGGAGAGAGAGAAGGAGAGAGGAGAGGAGGAGACAAAGGAGGAGAGAGGAGAGGAGAGAGAAGGAGAGAGGAGAGAGGAGAGGAGGAGACAAAGGAGGAGAGAGGGGTGGAGAGAGGAGAGAGAGAAGGAGAGAGGAGAGAGGAGAGAGAGAGAGGAGGAGACAAAGGAGGAGAGAGGAGAGGAGAGAGGAGAGAGGAGGAGGAGAGAGGAGAGAGGAGGAGACAGAGGAGAAGAGCTCAGTGATGTGTCTGTACGACTCTGTTTGTTCCTCTCAGCAGGTGTGTATCTGACTCATAAACACACATGTTGTGTGTTTGTTGTGTGTCTCTGTTGTGTGTTTGTTGTGTGTCTGACTCTCTCACCTGGCGTGTCGGAGCGTGTACGCCGACGGGATGACCCAGAGACCGAGGTCCACGGCGAACCAGGCGTTCTTGTCGTCGTTGGTGTGACAGTTGAGGGCGGAGCTATCCCGACTCAGGATGTCCTCCAAGCGTCCGTAGGGGAGGTTCCGCCCCTCTGATGATGTCACCACCACCAGGCCGTAGGCGGCGGGGTTGACCCACTCGTAGGCGGTCCTGAAGAGATGTTTGATTAAGTATTAATACGGCGTGCTGCACCAATGGCGTTCCCACTGAAACAACGCCTGAGTTAAGGTGAGTCGTCTACATGCGGCGGTTCTTACTTGGCGTTGGTTCCGACCCAGTAGATGATCCCGTTCTCGTCGAAGTCGTGCTGGTGTCTGAAGGTGAAGGTCTGACCTTCTCTCAGCTTCCTCACGAAGACGAAGGACGAGCGCTCAAAGTCGTACCACTGCTTCGCCACCTGAAGAAGAGGGCGGGGCAAGAGTTTCGGTTAGAGCGGGGACAGGAAGTGAGTCTGTAGGCCCAGAGTGAGACCTCCAGACGGAACCTCGGACCTCTACGGTCTGCTCACAAAGATCTCACCATCTTCAGCAGGTACTGCTCCAGAGACTCCACGGTGGCGAGCGGCTCCATCTTCAACATGCGTCCGGTCCGGTCGATCAGAGCCGTCTCGCCGGGCGCTCGCTCCAGACGGAAACGTAACCTCCTGGTCAAGATCTGACCCGGAAACAAAGACAGGTGTTTGGGTTTGTGGATTAGGGAGGGCGTGCAGAGCTGAAGCGGGTCGGTCTGGACCCCGGGACTCACCTGCAGGTTGTATGAGGATCCTGGAGTGTCGTACAGGTGCAGAGGTAGACGTTCGATGGACTCCAGGACAGCGATCAGTTTTCGGATTAAGGCAACAGCTGGTCGGCTGAGGGGACAGAATAACGGGTCTTAGACAAACGGGTCTTAGAACCGGTCCAGACTTTAGTGAACCCTTTGAGCGGGTCTGTGTTTACCTCTCGTCGTCTTCGTTCTCGCTGAAAGCCGCCTTAAAGACGTTGATCCTCTCCATTAAAGGTTTACAATCATGTTTCAGGTCCAGTTCCACACTCTGCACAAACACACAGGAGACAGAACACTTAGTGGGTCTGAAACCGGACTGAGCCGGGTCCAGGACAGACCATGAGAGAGACTTACGTTGTTGAGGACGGTGAAGAGCGCCTGGACCAGACCGCTGCTGCACATCTCATACGGAGAGATGGTGTTCTCGTCCTTCAGGACCACGATCAGGTTCTCCAGGGCGGTCTTCATCAGGTCCCTCCAGGTGTTCTCGCCCTCGATACACTGAAACCACAAACAGGTGAGACCCGGACCCTTTAACCCTTTACAGACCCTCGGTTCCTCCTCGGTTCCTCCTCGGTTCCTCACACTTTCAGAGTTCTTTTTCATGTGTACCTGTCTGTTGGTGTGCAGCTCCCAGGAGGACTCCAGCTGGGTGGAGATGTTCCTCAGAGTGACCACCACCCCTCTGGGCATGCTCTCCACAGCTTTGAAGTGGTCGTCGTACAGCTCCCTCGCCATGCTCTTCACCTTCTGCTTCGTCTTCTCCAGTTTGGACTTCAGCTTCCTGCCTCTCTTCCCCGTCCAGCCCGTCACAAACTCAGAACCTGGAGACACAAACGAGACAAGAACCGGGTCAGGACATGATCAGAACACCGACTCAGCTCGGAGGTTTTTGTTTCCGTGGAGACGAACCGAGAGAGGTCTCGGCGGTGAAGGAGTGTTTGGTTCCTCGGTTGGACTCGAACACGAAGCCCGGCAGGTCCTCCTTCAGGATGGTGGCCTGCTGTCCGTCCGAGTTGTGGATGGCGATCTCCCCGTCCTTCAGGCAGGTCAGAGACCAGTTCCCCACGGTCAGCTTAGTGGGACCCACGCTGGACAGGATGGGCTGACTGGCTGTGACCGGTTTGACCTGACTCCTGGCACGCTGCAGCTTCTCCAAGAACTCGCTGCGAGACTCTGAATGGGAGAAGGTGAGATGATGAGTCAGAGGGACACAGGAGGAACCAGAAACCAGCAAGTGTTTGAGGAGGCGGGTTTCCTACCAGAGCTGTCGGACCCTCCTTCTGGACTCCCGCTGGAGTACATGGTGGCCAGCTTCCCGTCCAGGATGAACCTGAACCATCCGTTGGAGCCGTTAGAGAGCTCCAGAGCAGCAGCGTCAGACCAGATGTAGAGACAGTCCCTCCCTCTGATGATGGACCAGTCTTTCCAGTGATACGGTTTCCCCTGCTGGATCTCCCTGGCGTCCTCCTGGACCTCCTCCTCCTGCTCCAAGAAGCAGATCCAGTTTGATCCAGTTTGATTCAGTTTTTAACTTTCTCAGAAAATGTCAGAATAAAAAAACAAACAAAAAAGTTTTTATTCGTCCTCTACCTTTACCTTCTCAGGTTTGGCCTCGTCCTCGTTCTCGTCGTCGGACGCCGGTCCGGCCAGAGTGGACACCTTGTTGATGACTCCCAGCCGAGCCAGCTGGTCCAGAAAGACGTCTCCGCCTTTGTCCACCAGGTCTCTGATGATCTGCAGAGCCAGCAGGTGACCGTCGTCATCGTCCTGAAGCAGAGGAGAAGAAAACTCTTAACTCTACTGCAGCCACCTTAGACTGAGCCTGAGGGTGTGTGTGTGTGTGTGTGTGTCTGTGTGTGTGTGTACCTCCTGGTCCAGCACCGTGGCTGTGATCTCCACCAGCACTGTAGGGAGGTTGTGTCCTGTCTCACTGTCACAGACCTCCTTCAGCAGAACTTCACTGCTGTAGTGGACCATCTTCCGGATCAGAGCCAGACTGGCTTTCCTGGAAAAACACAAACACAGAAACTCTCAGTCAGAGAACTTAATTATTTTCAATTATATTATATATATTTTAAATGTTACATATTACTTATTTTAATTTATATTTATTATTTATTTATATTAATTTTTATTTATTATTCATTTGTATTTATTTTTCACATGTATTTATTTACATATATTTTTTGTATATTTATTTTTATCTGTAATTTATTTATATTTATTATTTAAGATTTATTTTCATAATTTTTTAAAATATTTTTTATATTTATTTATTATTTTTTATATTTATCTATATTTATTTATCATTTATTTATTTGGATTTATATGCATTTTTATTTATATTGATTTATATTTAGTTATTAACATTTTCTCAGACAATCTAACTCATCTTCATCTTCACTCCACAGTCCACCTAAAACCCGGGACCTGAACCCCAGACTGACCCCAGACCCCCCTCGGTGTTACCTAATAGAAGGCAGCATGGTTTGCTGAAAGGTTTGTGCAAAAACAGGCAGGAGTCTCCTCAGGTAGATCGGGGCCATCTCCGGGTCTCCTTTAGGCTCGCTGCCCTCCTCCTCCTCTTTGTTCACGTCCTTCTTCTTCTTGTCGTCCCCCTTATTCACGGGACACATCCAGTCTCCTAAAACACACACACACACAGACAGGTTAGTTAGCCCCTCCCACTTCTTGTCTGTGTCCATCAGCAGCACTTTGATTGACAGCTCACTGAACTCACCAGGTGACTGCAGGATGGCCACCACCTCCGTGTGTCCTCGCTCTCTCGCCTTGTCCAGGGGGGTCTTCCCGTCCTCGTCCCTCAGGTCCGGGTTGGCGCCGTGTCTCAGCAGAGTCTAGACAAACAGATCAGAGGTTTTTAAAAGAGTCCAGGTAAACGGCATCTAGAACTGTAGATCTATGAGTGACGTTACCTTAGCCACTTGTGGGCGCCCAAAACAGGCAGCGTAGTGTAGTGATGATGACCTCTGACCCCTGTTGACATCCGCCCCCCTCTCACAGAGAAACTCCACCTAAAAAAAAACACGGAGGTTTTGGTCTCTGATCCAGAATCTAGAACTGCTCATAGATAAAGAGTGCAGATCTACACCGTTTATGTCTATACCATCTCTTGTGTTCCAAAAGCCGAGGCCCAGTTCAGCAGCGTCTGACCAACGTCGTCCATGAAGTTCACCTCGAACGCTGAAACACACGAGAAGAGTCAGGGGTGAGTCAGGACGCCCTCGCCCTCACTAACACTCAGAGAGGACTGTAGATGTTCCTCCTAGATTCCCTCTCACTCGGCGTTCTTACCTCCGGTGTCGATGGCGTCGATCAGAGCGTCCGTGTCTTTGCTGCGGATACAGTCGATGAGCTGTCGGTGCGATCTCTCTCCTGAACTGTCCAGGCGTCGCAGACCGGGGATCCGGCCCGTTGACCCCGCCGTGGATTTGGGCAGCGCCTTTCGACCCTCGAAGAGGAGAACCAGCAGGAGGTCCACCAGCCTCATGGTGTCCAGCACGCAGCGCTCGTCTCCTCCTAGAGCGGACTCCATGGAGTCGGGCAGAGCTGAGCGTAGGAGGTCCTGCAGGGAGCGAAGAGAGCGGGTCACATGACTGTTTTTTAAATCCCTGCTTGTTATTGCGCTTTATTTTGAAAATTCTCTGACTTCCTGTTCCCTGTTTTTTTTATTAATTGAAAAAAATATTTTTCCTTTTTTTATTTTTTAAAATTAATTTTTATTATTTAATTACTTTTTTAAATTAATTATATTACATTAATTTTTCTAACATAAAAAAATCATTTTTTAATTTGCTTTTTTTTTTTTATAAATTTTTTAACATTATTCTTTTTTTTATTTTTTCCTTTAATTTAAAAAAAAAAATTGAATAACTTTTTTAATTAACATTAATTTTCTTAAACATTTTTAATTTTTTTTCCTTTTTATTTTTTTTAATTTATTTTTTTTTTTACTTAATTTTTTATTTTATGTTTTTTACATTTTTATTTTTTTCCCCTTTTTTATTTATTTTTATTTTTTAATTAATTTTTTTTTGTTTCCTGTGTTTGCGGTGGGTGGACTTACATGTGTGACGAGTGGCGACCCCCGGCACAGCGTGGACAGCAGGCTAACGATGGTCGACACCTGGTTGCTCAGTTTGGAGTCAGGGGCGGAGGGGGCGGCGCCGGTCGAGGTCCTGCCGGGCTTACAGGAGGAGGCGGGGCCTGAAACGGTACCACCTGCCGCCGCCATACGCGACAGCAGCTCCTCCGTCAGGCCGTGTTTGGCTAAAGGGGCGGGGTCCACGCCGCGACGTGTAAACCTGTCGGCCAATGAGGCGAAGCAGCGCAGAGCTCCGTCTGACACCTGCGGGGCGGAGAGACGTTAGACGGGCTCGGACAGAGGGTTCTGGAAACAGACGGCGAGGACTCTCCTGAACTCACCTGGTGGTCCTCGTGTTTGAGGAGGCTGGACAGGGACTCCACGCAGGTCTCCAGAGACGAGTCCTGAGGCTCCATCTTACTGCAGAGGCGGGACACCACCGCCATGGCGGAGTGAAGGGTGTCTTTGTGGACCAGGTGACCGCTGTCTCTGATGAAACTCAGAACGCAGTTCAGACCGCCGGCCTCGAACACGGCGCCGGACTCTCTGGTGCAGATCAGCTCCAACACCTACGAGACAAGGACGCACAAACGGAGACGATCAGGACCGCAGGTCACAGGTCGACATACCGTACACATCATTACTCGACATCACTTTGGAGACACCGAACCATCGCTCACACAACCGACGGTGAATAACTTCTGAACAATAACATCTTCGGAGGACGACTCATGGTTGTGACGTTTAGCTCCACATTCGGTCATTCTGTTTACTTCTCTGGTAACTTACAGAGGTGAGCAGGAAAAGCTCGACTCTGATTGGCTGCTGTTACATTTCCGCCATGTTTGATCGAGTAAATAAGCTCACAGCTGATCACCGTGATTGAACTGAAATTTATCACGATCATATAATCGCCCAGTCCTATCTGCAGGTCCAAACTCAAGTTCCTCCAAGACACAGAGACCACATTCAGTCCTGACTCTTTGAGGATCAGACCTGATCCAGATCAGACCTGATCCAGATCAAACTGATTAAAATAAACTGATCTGAGACCAGCAGCAGGATCCTTCTGTCTCTATCAGAGAATCCAGGACACAACCGTCCTCTGATCTTTATTAATAAACCTCTGGAGCACATGATCTCAGGTCTGCTGACACACACACACACACACACACACACACACACACACACACACACACACACACACACACACACACACACACACACACACACACACACACACACACACACACACACACACACACACACACGAGCTCAGATCTGTGGTCCTCATTGTGTCCCGGCGTCTCTGACACACTAACCCCGTTCACTCTGATTAGAGAGTCTGAGTGAAGAGAAACAGACTCAGCTGATCAGACTGAAGACGCCAGAACCTCTGAAGACCAGAGACGACTAAACCACGAACTTCCACCGCGTCTAGAACAACATCGATCCCGAACGACAGCGATTATCCTCCTTCGCCTCTGGAAACGTCGTCACACGCTCGAGCCGAGCGCGGCTGTCGGCTCTGTACATCGATCAGAACTTTATCACGATTCTGAATCTCCTAACCCGACAGACGATGACGTTTCACAGCCATAAGGAATAACCAATCAGAGGCGAAGGAGGGCGGGACCTTCCCCTACCATCTCCTCTCACCTTGACACACTGCTCGGCGAGGTCTCTGCTGGTCCTGTTGTTCAGCTCCACCACCACCAGACGGTTGCAGAGCGCCTTGATGGCGCCGTCGACCCCGACGATCCTGCGGGTGCACTCCGCCGACACGTCCAGGTAGTAGGTGATGGCTCGGGCCGTGACCTCCAGCACGTTATCAGGAGCGCTCTCATCCAGGAAGATCTTACAGAGCGCCGGGAGGAAGGTCCGAGGAGGACACCTGGAGAGGGGAGGGGCAGAGGGGGTTTTAGTGCGGGGAGCAGTGACCTCTGACCTCCTAGACGTGGTTAGAAGACCGGCACTCACGTCTCGAAGCAGCGGTCCACGTTGTCAGACATGAGCAGCAGCATGCAGAGCTGCTCCAGGGCGATGAGCTGCATGTCGCGCTCGTCGCCCTGACCCATCTGCAGCCACTCCAGCAGGGTGTCCGGGTCCACGTCCGCCATGATGGCTAGCCTGCGGGGACAAAAAGGACCGGGGGGGCGCCTGTCAGAGCTGAGGGTTATCAAAAATATAACCCACTCCCACGCCGTCACCACCTGACCTCTCACCTGGCTACCCGTTGGCTACCCGCTCTGGCTCAGCGCCCAATCACTGCTCAAAGTTCTGCGTCTGTTTGGGACTCATCCAATCACCCGGACGAAGGGAGAGAGGAAACGAGGACGAGGGGGAGGAAGTGGCTCGCTCTCACCAGGGCTTCTGGGACATGTAGTCTCTTCACCTGCAGAACAAAGACAGGAAGTTCACATAACTGACAGCAGAAGAAGAAGAAGAAGAAACATGACTCAGCAAAATAAAACTTCCTTTATTTACTGTTTTCACAGGAGGGGGGAGGGTATGTCCTGGAGAACTACAGCTCTGACTCTGTCTAACACTGGAGAACAGACGGAACGACTGTTTACAAAGTCTGTGGGTAATTCCTGGATCACTGTGACTCTAAACTGAATATAGAGGGTACAGGATAATTCCTGGATCACTGTAGCTTGTAACTAGATATGGGGTACAGGATAATTCCTGGACCACTGTGACTCTAAACTGAATAAAGAGGGTACAGGATAATTCCTGGACCACTGTGACTCTAAACTGAATAAAGAGGGTACAGGATAATTCCTGGACCACTGTGACTCTTAACTGAATAAAGATGGCACAGGATAAATCCTGGATCACTGTAGCTTGTAACTAGATAACGGGGTACAGGATATTTCCTGGACCACTGTGATTCTAAACTGAATGAAAAGGGTACAGGATAATTTTTGGAGCACTGTAGCTTGTAACTGAATAAAGAGGATACAGGATAATTCCTGGACCACTGTGACTCTTAACTGAATAAAGAAGGTACAGGATAATTCCTGAACCACTGTGACTCTAAACTGAATAAAAAGGGTACAGGATAATTCCTGGACCACTGTGACTCTAAACTGAATAAAGAGGGTACAGGATAATTCCTGGACCACTGTGACTCTAAACTGAATAAAGAAGGTACAGGATAATTCCTGGACCACTGTGACTCTAAACTGAATAAAGAGGGTACAGGATAATTCCTGGACCACTGTGACTCTAAACTGAATAAAAAGGGTACAGGATAATTCATGGATCACTGTAGCTTGTAACTGATACTACACCCCTCTCTTTCTTTTTTCCCGTCGTTCTTTTATCTGATTTGTTTTTGTACCTGGTATGAATGTGTATATTGTGTGTACCGCTGCTGTAAACTATTTTAATTTCCCAAACGGGCCAAAATCGGCCGATTTAATCACCTCGCCAATAAATCGGTCGGGCCCTATAATTCATTTCACTCTGAGGATAACCCTCTCCATGTCGTTGTTTTACGGTGTAACTCAGATGAAGACAGAGGGGGACGGAGTCTGAGGAGACCAGCATCAAACAGACACACAGTAAAAGACATCTGTGTGTGTGTGTGTGTGTGTGTGTGTGTGTGTGTGTGTGTGTGTGTGGAGAGAGGAAGTTCAGGATCTGACAAACTAAATTAACTCTTGGTTGTCGTCACAGACTCAGGATCTGGACTCTGATGTGGTTTTGAACCTTGAACAGATCTGAAGATTTCCCAAACCTTCAGCCCTGAGTGTCGTCTGACAGGAGGGAGACGTTCTGAGCCGCCGAACCACCACCATGAAGACAGAGCAGGACTGTCAGAGGAACAGTCTAATAAAAATCTGATTCATTATCAGGAGAGAGGACCGTCAGACTCCTGCAGGTCTGATCCAGACCCTGAACTCCTCTGTTCTGCAGGATCACACTGAGCTGGGAGCAGATAAAAGCTCTCGAACCTGAGGATAGAGGTGAGATGGTGGGGCTGGGGTCCCCCTCAGAGGAGCCAACAGCGGCAGTAAGAGAAGAAGAAGACCTGAGTGTTCATGTTTTAGACGTGAGCTTTAGTTTTTACTTTGATGTGAGTGAAGCTTCTGCTCAGGTTTGACCTTAAAGAAGAGCTGATAGATGTTCGCTCAGATGATGGACTCATACTTCACTTGTTTGGTGTCACAGCCCTGCAGCACGGCATGCTGGGAGTCCAGTGGGTGTAGGCTAAGTTGATTAGGTCCTAATTTGAAGTCGAGCAGCTGACTGTGAGTCCGTCTGGATCGGACCAGGCTGTGGGACAGATCCTCTTATCAACAGATTAATCATCACAACTTAGCAGCTAGCCTCCTGTCCTCTACTCCTCCCTCTCTCTCTCTCTCCCTCTCCCTCTCTCTCTCTCTCTCTCTCTCTCTCTCCTTCTCTCTCTCTCTCTCTCTCTCTCTCGACCACAGCAGGACTGAGCGCCCAGCTCGTCCCTCAGTCACTCACAGGGTTTAGTTTTCACCCCTTTAACCCTTCCTGGTGTCTTGTGTCCTCCGTCTACGTCAAAATGACGTCAACAACGTCCAAAAACAAACTCGGCATTTTTCTCTACGCTCTGAAATTCAACAACAAAAGGTTAGGAACCAGGACTGAGACCGAGTCCAGGCCGGGAGCAGAACCAGGTCCAGTTTTCACCGGAGGTTGGACTCGGTCAGTCATCTGCAGAGAAACATGTTTCAGACGTTTGAGTCTTCCTCTCTGAGCCTGCAGGTCTGAAACATCAAACTCTTTCAGTCTCTGAAGACGTCATTAAAGACCTCCAAGTGTTTCTTCCTCAGTGATCTCCTCCTCTTCCTCCTCTCTGTAACCCTCTCTCTGCTCTGAAGAACGGTGCTCTCAGGTTAGCAGGATTATAATCCAGCAGCATCAGAATTTATCCCTCAATATCAATATAAAACATGATCAATATCCTTTTCAATAGTCGTCATTCTGACATGTTTTGGTCGACTATTTGAACAGCCAATGAAAAGGGGAGTTTCTCCGGGTCTGAACCAATCATGTTCTGAATTAGAACCAAGTATCAACCAACTGCAGCGTCGTAGCAGACAGCAGCTCCACCCAACCATAGCACTTTAACAGGTGAAGCCGACAGCACTGTTGGTGAGAAACAAAGAAAATGAGTGCTACCCCCGACAGAAATGACCATGAAGGCTCAACAGATGACCACATCAATGTCAACCACAACACTGGCGTTAGGAAAACGTCGGTGGTGTGGAGGTATTTTGGTTTTTGGAGGTCGGACATGAAGCAGAGTAATGTGGACTGTAAATTATGTCGAGTACATGTTCTCACAAAGTCGGGGAATACCTCAAATCTTTTTCACCACCTGAAGCAGCGCCACGCCGCAGAGCACGCGCAACGCAAAAGGTTACAAACCCCGAGAGGAGCGAGGAGCCCATGGCGCCTGAAACAGACGACCATTCAGTCGGCTTTCTCTAGAGCGACGCCTTACGACAAAACGCCAAAGAGACACAAAGACAACGCAAAAGACATGCTACCAATAAGCACTGTTAAATTTCATTTTTATATCCTGATATTGATCGATATCAGCTGATATGAAAATAATATATCAGGACAAACTTTTTCCCATATCACCCAGCCCTAGTCTCAGGTTAGCAGGATTATAATCCAGCACTCCTCCTCCTTGGTTAATCTGTGGATTATTTGTTATGAGTGAGTCTGTAGTTTAAAGTTCTGGTTGAAATGTTGATGATTTCACTCTCTGGACTTTTATTCTCCCTCTCTGTTATGATCTTATTTTTTTTAGACATCAATAAAATCATCTTTTTTTAATCTCTTTAACGAACTTCAAACAGACAATAATGAAGCTGATTAATCATCCGTCACTCAAACAGTCTGATCAGCTCAGTGATGAGATGATCAGAGACTGACTCTGACTTTCTCCTCCTGCTGGTCAGTCACCTTCTGCCCCCCGGGTCAGTTCCTCTGAGGTTACAGTCAGCTGCCTGAAAAGTCCCTCAGATTAGGACTCGGAGCGTTTCGTTCCTGAATGTCACAGTCAAAACTCTGAATTCACTCTTTGTTTGAACATGTTGTACAAATACAGCTCACTCCTCCACTCGATGTAAACTCTGGTAACTCCACAGGGTGGAGGACTCTGAGATATGACAGAAAGTTCCAGAACAGCTGAAGGTAGGGCCGCCCCGAGAGGAAGTCTGAGACCTTCATGAGGGTTTTCATGAGTCCAGAATCAAACTAAAAGGGGACAAAGCTGACACCAGAGTCTAAGAGGAAGAGTTCTGGTGAGATTTCCATACCGGCCCGTCTCAACAAACCTCCTTTGTTTGTGACTTCAAACTTACACAACCTCTGTGAGTGAGCGGCGAGGAGTTAATGTCACGGTTTCTCCACGCCCGACCCGAGTCACTGTGTGACCCACAGTTTCCTCATCTGTCTGGGCATAAGGAGCCTAATTATTTCATCAGACACAAATCAACATAAGAGGATCGAGCAGGGACGTGTTTCAGGCAGCTAAGCCCTCCAGCCAGCCTCCCAGCCGGGCACACGGGGGCCTGATGGCAGACTTAGACCGAGCTGCTGCTGCCAGTGAAGCTCACGCCTGTTAGTGAGGAAGGTAATGCTGATCAGCTGCTCCTGTGTTTCAGTCAGGCCCTTTAAAACAAACAGGAACCTCCAAAATACCAGAACCAGAACCCAGCTGGGTCAGACTTACATTTCAACTTACTATCAAAACCTGGAGCTGGTTACAAACACAAACACATGATTTAGTCCTTTACCTTGAAAAATACAGAGTATATGTATATATATATATATATGACATTATTTAATATAGTGTGCTTTTATTTAGCTCTACCATAGGATTCTATAGTGTCTACATAAGAGTAATCAAAGTCCTACTAAATGTACTGTTTATACTGCAATAATAGCCCCACTATACTGCTGTATAATATATATTTAAACTAAAGAATATTCTGTAATGTGTACATTGTCTCTAAATGTGTATCTGTAGCTGTTTGGTGTGTATTTAACGTTGTACACAGGGTTGTGTAGATGGTGTATAGTGTTGGTTAGGGTATATATAGAGTACTATAGGGTGTGTAGAGCCAGAAAATGTATATATAGTATAAATACATCTATGAGAAAACATCTAAACTCCTGACTAATGTGTGTCTTATATTTAATTACATGTAATTGTGTTCACAGTATCCTCGATGTATAAGCAATATTGTGTATACGTTGCTAGCCGGCTAGCACCACGCTAGCTACTCCGATCGCTAACGTTAGCTTTAAAAACACGACACTATCCGCGGGTTTCTGTGATCAAAAACGACGAATTTACCGACTGGAAACATTAAATCATTTATTTAGACAGATTTAAAGTACGGCAGTGTATTTTTTAAAGAGTAAAATAATCGGTTATGTCCTCTAACTAAGCCAGCTTCACCCGCGGCCTCTCTACCCAGTCCAGAGCCGCGGAGCTCGAGTTCCGAGAGAGCCGCAGGGCGGCGCCTCAAGAGCGGACACGCGCCGCGAGCGACACCGGCCCGAGCTCGCTTCCAACAGCGGTTATCAGCCACTCACCGTTTTTTCTCCTCGGCACAGAGACAGTCAGCAGAGGTAGCAGTTCCGATCCTTTAGGTCCAGCTGAAGGGAGAATATCTGTTTCTGTTGCGGGTTTAGTCAAGGCGTTCCCATGTCTTTAGTCCGGGTCTAAAAGGTCAGATGGACGGTGAGGTGATACACAGACCGGACCGGACTGAAATGGAGAGCTGAGCCGACTGTTGCTGCTGCGTTCAGGAGCTCAACCTGAGCTCGGAATAAACAAACACTTCACTGCTCAGAAATAAGGATTTGTTTGTACGGTGGCCGAGATCCGCTACTGCTGCAGATAAAAACGAATGTATAAAAAAGAAGTCACACGGTCAAGAAGTCAAGCAGTGAAGCTAATAAAAACTTCAACGGACGTTACGGATGCAAAAAAAAAAAAAAAAACCAAGCCCACAGCAAAAAAAAAAAAAAGAAACAGTAACCCGCTGCAAATAAAAAAGAAACAGTGTAGATTTTTAAAAAAAAGCCACAACGGAAGTTAACAATGCAAAAAAAGTGGTGATGCAAAAAAGAAAAAAGCTACTAACTGCGAGAATAAAAGGATGCATGAAGTTAAACTGAAGCTAACTCTACACCGACATCCTTCAGTTCAACTTCATATGGACTTAGGCGTTACACGGTCTAACCACATGACACATTAAAAAGTTTATGAAGTGAAATTAAACAATAACCTTTCCACTTACTTCTTTGTTCGTCTTCTCGCCGTCGTCTTCTGTGCCTCATCGTAAAACACCGGTGCATCATCATTATTGGTCCCCCAAAGCTCACTTCTGTTGTGGCTTTTTTTATTTGCATCCTTTTATTTTCACAGTAAGTAACTTTTTTTTTTAAACACCACTTTTTTTTGCGTCATTAACTTCCATTGTGACATTTTTTTTATTCGCAGAGGGCTTCTGTTTCTTTGGGGGGGTTTTTTGCATCGGTAACTTTTATTGTGACTTCCTTTTTTATCATCATTCTTTTTTTATTTGCAGCAGTGGCAGTTCTCGGCCACCATATCTTCATATTAGCCTGATATTAAATTGATTTTCACAGAACTGTGTATGTGGTGCTGTAAATACCTTTAAAAGATTGTCAATCACTTATATCCTTATATTGACATATATGCAATCATTCCTTATTATTGTTTTCTTTGTGTTGTTGTTAAAAAGAAAAAAAAAGGAGAATCAGAAATAATCCTAACCGTATTTATATTTATTTACAAAGTAAGAGGACAAGAGTTCACAAAATGTAAAAATCATAGTTTTTACTTTAATTAAAAATATGGACATCAGCAGCAATCTTTGTTTTAGGTTCTCTTTACTTTTTTTTTAAACTAAAATTAACTGTTTAGTTTGTTTTTTATGGTGTAAAATAAAGAAAATACGGTTTATAGTAGCCCAGATCCAAATAAAGTATCCTCCGTATTTTTTTCTCTTTAGACCAATGATTTTAACAGTCCAGCAGGATGGATCACCTCATATTTGTAAAACATAATAATTGGAATAATTGGGGCGTTATAAAAATTGTTGGCAATTAGTCCATTTATTCATTGCAGCTGAACCAACCCTTTATTAATTTAAAAGGATCCATTATGGAGTAGAATGATAAACATTTGTAGCTAAACGTTTATTGTAATTATTTGAAAAGTATTTTTTTAGGCTTCATGTTGAGTGTCCTTGATTTTCGATAGAACCTGAAGGCAACACCTTGAGGTGAGGGAGCTGACGTTAGGGGGCGCTGCAGCTTCTCTGTCTCTGTTAAAAAATAAAGTTTCCTTCAGCTGATGTAAGAGCTGATTTAAAAACACTAACATGCCGTTAGAAGGCGTGGTACATTATCAGTTTAACTATCAAATCTTTATTTTTAAAGGATTATTTCACAAAACTGTGTGTTTTTTTTCTTTCTTCACAGGAAAAGTTAAAATTTTACTCTTTAACTCAGAGTTTTTGTCAAACATCTGCTGACAAACTTGCATTTTAAATGGTTTTCAGTCATAAAATATCAAAAATTTTAAAGGTTGGAGGATTTTTACTGAATAAAACAGACCATAGATACAGATTTGTTTGTGTTTTACAGACTCCGCCTCTCTGAATGACCTTTTCAGACCCGGTCATGTGACTCACCTGCTGGAAAATAAACCCACAGAAACAGTTTGTGAAGAATAATCGTTTATTTTTTTATTCAGTCACAGCCGTTAAAAACCTGTAAACTCATTCACACCTGTACATGACGGTGGATAATTCACAGGTGAGCGCTAACTGCATTTTATTCTGAAATTATGAATCTGTGACTGTTCAGATTTTCAAAATAAAAGTCTTTCAAGTGTACATTCTTCACTGTGATAGACAGGCGTGGTAGATGATGATGATGACGATGAAGGTGTAGTGTGTTAAACTAAAGTGCTGATGACTAAACTGTCCCTCACAGGCCACCGTATCTCTCTTATAATCGGCTAAATCCGAACTTTACTACAAAAATAAAATCCTCTCGGTGAGGCGTTCATGGTCTGAGATCTTCTCTGTTTTTCACATTCACTCACAGGGTCACGGGAACGCCTGTAAACACGACCTTTGACCCGCTGACCTCCTTTCATGGTTAGTCACAGATTGTTTTTCTTCATAACTGATGATTATTGAGCCGATCACAGAGGACACGCCCCCTATTTGTTCAGGTGGTGACAGGTGGGAGGAGTCAAGGTGTTCTGTGAGCAGGATCAGGATGGTAGGGGGAGGTCCCGCCCTCCTTCGCCTCTGATTGGTTATTCTTAAACGTCATCGTCTGTCGGGTTAGGAGATTCAGAATAGCGATAATGTTCATTTCAAGGAGGCGGGACCTTCCCCTACCATCTCGTCCTGTGATTGGTCGAAGCTTCACGTGTTTCTCTACAACAAAGTTCCAAAGTAAATTCTCAGACTGAAGTTAAACTGACGTGTTTATTTAACAGGAACCTCTGAGCAGAAGTGGGCGTGGCTTCTCTCTCAAAGGCACCTGAACAAAAACAGGAAAATAAAATCTTCATAAGTGAGTTTTTAATCTGAATTTCCTTCTTTAATCTTTTGAGTCTTCAGGGAAACGTTTCCGAGCTCCAAAATACCCACACTCTAATTCCTCCTTCTGTTTCTTCTCGTCGTAAATCTGGACGTTCGTTTCGTCTCTGCGTGGTTAAAAATACTCGTCTGATTTTCTCTCTTTTGTTCCAGTCTCGGTTCGCTCTGACTGATCTGACGTCTGACGAATAAATCAAAGTTTTCATCCCAAAAAAAAACCTCCTGGACTAAAATAAACCATCAAATAAAAACGATAAAAGGTTCGAGTTTGAAAAAAGTTCAGAAATCGCTCTGTAGTGTTTTTATTAAAGCTCCAGTCAGGAACGTTCACAGTCTGGGATGAAAACTCGACAAAATGGACGCCGAGACGACGCGTCAGAGTTTGATTTTGGGATGAAAATCTGATGTGTGATTCAGTGACATGCAGCGAGCGAGGAGAGGACGCCACGGTCAGGAAAGAGGAAGTGATGTCATGATTGGACCTCTTTTCCCTCCGCTCTCATGGCGCCGAGGAGCTTCCTTTCAAAATAAGAGTCCTCTCTGATGAACCTCGTGTTTGTCCCGGGGGACAGTGAACGCCTCACAGTGATTTAGAGTGATGTCGTACGTCGATTGAATCTCCGCCGCCGCGTCTCACAGGAAGTTGGTTTTGAGCGTGATGCTCGGGGAGGACTTGGCGGCGCTGCGGGGGTTGGCGCCGCTCGCTTTAGCGTTCAGACTCTCCTGGTTTCCTTTGACGGCGGCTTCAAGGCGAGACTTGAGGTGAGGAGACGAGGAGATGAGGGACCTGAGGAGAGGAAGGAAGGACACGTCAGGGAGAGGTGTTTCACGGTAGAGGAGGGGCCTCTCTGATGTTTAAGCCCCGCCCCTCTGAAGGTCCGAAGTCTAAAGTCCTGAACCAGATCGGACCTTGACGGCGTGTTCAGACTTACCTGAAGACGGCCGAGTGCTGCGGTCCGAGACGCATCAGGTCTTTGAGCGCCGCCTCGTGCAGAGATCGGGACGCGGCGGGGGCGGAGCCAAGAGCGTTCTCATCCAATAAGAAGGAGATGAGGAGCGGTAATAAGACGGCCACCAGCTGAGGACCTGAAAGGAAACAGAGTCAGTATCTGAGGACTCGGATGTACCCCTCTGTGAAGACCTACTCTGGTCTGGGACTCACGCTGGGCCTCGTCTGCAGCCTGGATCAGAGCCTCCATGGCCCGGACCCCCTCCAGAACCCCCATCAGCTCCCCTGGACTCTGAGGGCGACTCCTCTCCACCGTCTGAGGAAACCAGAGAACCAGATCAGCTGATGGATCCAAGACCAAGACACAAGTCTGAGGAGTTCCCTTTCAAAATAAGAGTCTTTACAGGAGAAGATGACTCCTCTGAGTCGCTCAACGTCTACGTGAGGACGCCAACGAGGATCTAAACACGAGGTCCAGGTCTCGGTTCAGAACTTTGACTCAGAGGTCAACCTGCTGCAGACACGGTTCTGGTTTTTAGATAGAATCATCGGAGCTCAGATGAAACCAGACTCACCTGAAGGAACCGAACCAGCGGAGGTCCCAGTGCCTGGATGTACGGGACGGCCACAGTGGGCGGAGCCTGAAACACGGTGGTCAACAGCTGATAACAGCGACTCACAACCTGCAGAAGAGAAAGACGAGGATTTGAAATCACAGCGTAAACTCTGTTAACGTGGACCCTCGACTCTTTCAAACTGAGGATGCAGCATCTATGATTTCCAGTTCTACGTTGAAAGGACAACTGGACTTATCTGAGACGTTTCGCCGTCTCAACTGAGTCCAGTTGTCCTTTCATTGCTGGTGCACCGATCACAATTTTCAGGACCATCCAGTCCTGGTTTTGGTTACTGACCTGCGGGTCTTTGGCCTCCATGCTGGCGGTGAATCGCTGCAGACAGAGCGCGTGCAGAGGCTCGACGCCGCAGACGTCAGGACCGGCGGAGAGCAGGAAGATGGTGAGAGCGGTGAGCAGACTGACCTGATCCACGACACGGTCTGCTGGAGACACGCCAAGACCGGTTTAAACACGGGTATCAAAGACTAGAGAGGGTCCAGTGTGTGTGTGTGTGTGTGTGTGTGTGTGTGCGTGTGTGTGTGTGTGTGTGTGTGTGTACCAGAGTCCCACAGGCCCAGCAGTGTGTTCAGAGCTGATCTCAGCAGAACGTTCCAGGCTCCTCGGCTCTTCTCCTGTCGGCTCATCGGGGACGTCACGACACACTTCAGGGCCTGAAGAGCCGCCTGGACCACCGAACCCAGGCTGGCTCCGCCCACTGAGCCAAGGGCCAATCAGAAAAAGACACAAGGACAGAGTCTTTACGGTAAAATCAGAGAAATCTGAGAAGGTTGAGGTTTGCTTCTGTACCTGTGTGTGTGTGTGTGTGTGTGTGTGTGTGTGTGTGTGTGTGTGTGTGTGTGTGTGTGTGTGTGTGTGTGTGTGTTACCGGTGTGTGTGGTGGGCTGGTGGACGAGCTCTCTGAGGACACCCAGCAGCAGGTAGAGGACAGTGGGGAGGATGGACACGCTGCCTGGAGAAGGAGAGACGAGCACTGAGGTGTGGCACCAAACTCCATTCACAAAAACAAGGATTTTACCTCATAGAACTCGAGTGTCTGTGACCCGATTCATGACTCTGTTTGAGCCGCCGTGAGTCCAGGATGTTTGAAACTGTCGGTTCTGATCCGACATGGTGTTTTTAATCACACACACTAACACAGTAACAGTAACAGAGGGAATCAAACTACAGACTCCTGTCTGCTAAAATCAGAGCTTTTTTCACTGAGGTTTGGTGTGAAAAAAAATCAAACTCCACCTTCAGGAGAGCAGATGGACGGCAGCTCAGAGAGGACAAACAGAGCCGAGGACACCAGGCGGCAGTCGCTGTCAGTCAGACTCCAGACGGACCCTCCAGGACCACTCGGACTGGTTCCGGCCAGTTTGGGGCTGAGCTGCGGAAGTTTCCGGACCAGGACGCAGAGGCACAGCTCCAGCGCTCCAAACACCAGCGAGCGCCCGGGGATCAAACCGCCGGTGTCCCGCCCCTCTCCGAACTCGGGCAGCGTCTCCTTCTCCGCCGCTCCGTCGTCCACTGAGGAGGAGAAACGTTCAGAGACAGTTTGAGTTGAAACATCAGAAAATGGCGAGAGGAAAACGACCAGCGTTTCCTAAAACATCCGTGTGTTTCAGACGTGTTGTTCGTGGACCCCACAGGCTCCCCTACGGCGAGGATTAAAGCGTGCGCGCTCACCCTCGGCGCTGTGGCGTTTCTCTCGGACGTGCTCCTGCGCCGCCGTCACGATCTGCTGCAGTAAATCCAAGACGGCGAGCTGGACGCTCACGGACTCCCTGGTCACCATCAGGCGGTGGAGCACGCTCAGTAGCTCCACGCTCAGAGCCTGAAGATGAGAAGACGCCACGATCAGCTGGTCAAGTTCTCGGTTTGATCTGGATCCTGGTTCTAAAGTGTTAACGGGTCTGAACCGGGTTCGGATCGGCTCAGGTCTCACCTGGTCGTTCCCGATCTTCGCCCGGGGCCAGGAGACGTCCAGCAGCGCCTGCAGAGCCCTCAGACAGGAAGTGATGTTCTCCATCTGGTCCTCGGAGTGCGGCGAACACAGGAACTCCACGCTGATCCCTGAAGGACCCACAAGAACCGAGTCAACACTGAGGGGGTCTACGAGAGACCGGGGTCAATGGTTTCCAGTCCTGAAGGGTCTCCTTACCCAGTATGAGGTGAAGTCGGTCTGAGTTTAGGTCCTCTGGACTTTTGGCTCCGCCCACAGAACCCGTCTGACCCATGGAGGTGGGCGTGGCCGGTCTGGACAGGGTGGTGGGGGAGTCGTCTGACATCACGAAACCTGAAACCGAGACAGTCTCAATCAGCTGATGAGGACCTAAAGGAGGACTGAGGAGGACTGAGGAGGACTGAGGAGGACTGAGGAGGACTCACCGCTGCTGTGGAGCCACAAGGAGGTGGCGTGGAGGATGGGGGCCCAGGAGGAGGTGTAATGAGGTCTGGCCTGTTTCAGGGTCTCTGCGGTGTAGAAAGACCCCCCTGCATGAGAAAGACCTCGTTAGTCTGGAGTCTTTAGACCTCGTTAGTCCGGTCTCTGTCCAGGATTCTGACCCTCATCCTGATTGGACTCGTCTTTAAGATTCTAGAGCTCTGATTGGACAGAAAATGAGACCTAAATAAACTTGAGGAGCTGATTGGTTTATCTGTAAGCCCCACCCACCTGTTGCTGGTAGCTGTGATGCGTATTCCTGTGGGAGGGTCAGCAGAGCGTAGTCCTGCAGCGCCACCAACCACAGTCGGCTCAGCGTCGACAGGTCTGATTGGACCAGCTTTAGAAGCCCCGCCCCTTCTGACTCCGAGCTGTCGTCGGTCTGAGAGGAGAGTGACGGATCAGCCGTCCTATCAGGAGCCTTCCTCGGTCTGCTGCTCTCCACGGCAACGATGTAAACCTGAGAGAAAAGGGGCGGGGTTAGAAACTCGACCGTGCTCAGATGTGATTGGTCGGAGACGAGGTCAACAGACCGACACCCACCTCGGCCCACGCCTTCAGCACAGCCAGCGTTTCCATGGTAGCGGTGGCCTCGTTGTACAGGTAACTGGGCGTGTCCCTACCTGCCTGGACTTTAACCAATGAGGAGGCGAGCAGCTGATGGACCCGCCGCAGGTCCCTGAGGTCACTGACCACGCCGCTGGCGATCCAGGCGCTGCAGACCTGAGAGGAGAACGGACACAGGATGACATCAGCAGGGTCATCGGGTCAGGTGGTCAGGACAGGAAGTCCACGGTTAATCTGATGATTGATTGGTTACCTGACAGGCCTTGGCGGTGACCTCCGGGGAGGCGTTTGCGGTGAAGGCGGGTCTGAGAGCCGCTCCGACCTGCGGGAAGGAAACACAGACATTTATGACCATCACAGATCTCTTGGTGGTCTTGGCGGTCTACAGACTCACATGGCGGTCCTTACGTTGGCCTGGTACTGCTCCAGGATCACGTGACCCGGGAACTCGGGTTCAGGAATGGCTAAGAAGCGTTTGATGATCACCAGCAGGGTCTGAAGTCCCGCCAGGCGCAGCGGGTCGCTGTGGTCTGTCGCCGCCATGAACGCCATCCGGACCAGATCCCCAAGATGGAGGACCAGGAAGTCTGTGTGAAGACGGCGAGAAGATAAGGCGGTCTGCAGAGTCCGAACACCTGAGCGAGCTGAGGGGCGGTCTTACCTGTGGACTCATGAAGGCGTCTCTCCTGAGCCAGAGCCATGTCAAAGTGGGCGGGGTCGGCGCTCTCACACTGAGCGATGATACGACACACGCACTCCATGGCGAAGCGGCGTGTGGACCAGCGGAGCGCCGTGAACGGGCCGCCGGACTCGGTGCGGGCTCTGAACGCGGAGGAGTCATCGTCTCTGCCGGCGTCCGCCTCCTCGTCCTCCTGACTCGCCTCGACCGGAGCGGAGCAGTCTGAGGAGCGGCGGGGTCAAAGGTCATGTCAATCATCGGAACATTAACGAGTTTAACGAGCGACCTCATCCTCATAGATATAGATATAAACACTAGATGTCTTACACACGCTGTTAGCCAATGAAGATCAACGTCAGCGCATGGCAGCCATCTTGCTACAGGCAGACGCCGCTGACTCCGCCTCATAGAGTCATCTAGCCTTTCTTATATATATATCTACGCTCGTCCCGGGGTCAGGAGATGAACCCACCTGTGCTCGCCGACAGGACGTCCTTACAGAGTTTCAGCCAGTGTCCCAGTTTCCCGCTGGTTGCGCTGGACGCCATCATGTGGACCAGAGTCTCCTGGATGTCCCTCCTCAGACCCGGATCAGACTCCCGGTCCAGCAGAGTGAACAGAGCGCCCTCCAGACCCACTTCCTTTATGGTCACGTCTGCAGAGGAGGAGGAGGAGGGTTAGTGAGGTCCTCAGAACCCCGTACCCGGGTCTTTCCTCAGACCCCGTCAGACTCACCCAGCTGAGTGTTGTCCCGTCTCGGCAGCTCTTTGACCAGAGTCACGGCGTGTTCGGAGACCTCCAGAGCCTCCCTCTGGACCAGCTGACGCAGACAGGCCACCACGGCACGACGCAGACACAGGTACGAGCTGCACAGGTGAGCCTGAGAGCGCACGTACACACACACACATACACGTGTTAGTGCACGAGGACAGTCAAACTCTCTGAGGACTCATGCAGCTGAAGACGGCGTTTCATTCAGACTAGAAACTGAGTCAGCTGACGTCATGTTTGTAAACAGCTGTGAGAATTTTTATCAGGATTTAATCAATAATTAATCAATTCATATCTCCTGATCTATATCTATCTCTCTATATCTATATCTAAAGGTAATAATGCATCAATATTGGTCTGTACGGTGGCCCTGAAGGGAACAAATATTTCAGGAAGGTGATAAATATGTTTTTTATAAAACATTAAAAAAAAAAAAAAAAAAACATCTTAAAAAACTTAAATATTTAAAAAATATTATTATAAAATATTTGAGAAAAATCCTAAAACCTCAAAAATATTCAAAGAAAACAAAAACAGTCACTGAAACATGAAAATGTTTTAACATCCTCTGATCTACATCTATCACTTTACATCTATATCTAAATGTTTTCATGTATCCATATCTGTAAGTACGGTGGTCCTGAAGGTCAATGGAACAAATATTTTAGGAAGGTGATAAATATATATATTTTTTATAAAACATAGAAAAAAAAACACAAAAATAAATGAAAAAATAATAAAAAAAAATCCCAAAACATAAAAATATTTGAGAAAAATCCTAAAAACTCTGAAAAGCAAACAAAAACTGTCACTGAGACATGAAAATGTTTTAACAATATTTAAAACTTTTACGTGTTTTTTTAAATATTTTTAAGGTCTTCTGAAACGTTTGTACCTTTAGGGCCACTGTACAGCTGACTCTTCGATATTTATCTGCTTATTCTAATATTAACCCTTTTTTTCCTCCTTAGAATATTAATAAATACTGTATACAGCATTATGTTTGTGTTTTTAAACTTCCTGTTATTCTTATTATACTTCCTGTTTTTATTCGGATCTGCGGATTATTGATCCTTTATCTCTGAAGTTTTCAGGTCAAAGGTGAATAAAGTGAATCTTCAGACTCAGTTCCTGTTTCTGAGGAAACACCGACTCACTGTCTGACAGTCGGAGGTCAAAACAGGCCGCAGGGTTAAAACCAAAGAGGTTAAAAAGAAGAGTCACATGATCAGGTTAACTAAAAAAAAACTGAGTTAGTGCTTCAAGCAGCCAAACAGGAAAACATGAACAACAGAAAAGTGAGTCAGGGCGTCCAAATCCAAAAACCAGAGGGTTAAAAAAACATGTGAACAGAAAAGAAAAGAGAGTCAGGCTTTAGAGGAGACGTACCAACGAGGAATAATCCAACAAGATCTCCTGAAAGACAAGGACACAGTCAGAGACAGAGAGACGCTACAGAGACGCTACAGCACTCCGTCTCTGTTCACGTCTGATCATGATGTCGGCGCTCAGTTTGAAGTTTTAATATTTCTGCTTTATTATCGTCATTGAGTGAGGTTGATTTATATTATTGAAGTAAAAAAGGACCAAAAAGGACGAGAGCGTTTAAAATTACATCTTTAAAATCTCAAAATTCAAAGTTTGTTTCTCCAGAAACTAAAACAAACAAAGAGGAAAGTTAAAGAGATGATCGATTTTTAAGTTTTCAGTCAGCACATGTGGAAACAGAGTGACCTCAGGTGTGTCTCAGGTGTGTCTCAGGTGTGTCTGAGGTGGACTCACACAGAGCGCAGGTACCAGGCTGGCCAGGTTGATGTGAGGCGGGGAGAACATGTGGAGCTGCTGCAGACAGGAGATGGACCGGGCCTGAACCAGACAGTCCGGACCGTCCTGCATCACAGCACAACCCACCAGACAGCTGGAGCGCAGACCGGACACCGCCGCGCCTTCACCTGACAAAACACACACACACACACACACACACAAATGTCCTTAAAAATCCACCAATCCTCAAGAACCTCCTGGTGTCTTTGTCCTCAGGTGTCCTCAGGTGTGCTGTGGGCGTTACCTTGCAGGTCAGGACCCAGGCAGGTGATGAGGGCGTGCAGACAGCGTCCCAGACTGTGGTGAACCTCAGGGTGAGTGGGCGGAGCCGACAGCAGCAGGCGGAGCACCAGGGTGAAGGACGGCTCGGCGTGGGCGCGATACAGACCACCAGAGAGGTCGACGACCAGAGACAGACTGTGGAGGGACCAGGTCTGGACCGGAAACACACACACACACACACACACACTTGTAAAGGTTCTGAAGGTCGGACCAGCATCATAATCCCCCCGTCGTCGTTGTCGGGCGTACCTGGACCTCAGGTGAGGTGCTGTCCTGGCTCAGGGTGAACAGGACCCCCAGGCAGGTGGACAGGTGTTGAGGTGAGCTGATCCCTCCGGTGTAGCGGTACAGCGCCCCCAGAGCCAGAGCGTAGCCACTGCGGGACGCTGCGTCCCGAGCCGTCTTCAACCTGAGCGGATAAAACAGATCTATGAGCGGAGACGGGACACACTCATACAGACAGATCTATATTCACAGATCTATATTCACAGATCTATATCTGTAAATTTATATACAGATATATAGACATGCATATACACAGATCTATGTAAGTACAGATCTGTGAGCGGAGGCGGGACACACTCATACACACAGATCTATATTCACAGATCTATATCTGTAAATTTATATGACATGCATATACACAGATCTATGTAAGTACAGATCTGTGAGTGGAGGCACAGCACACTCATATATATATATATATATATATATATATATATATATATATATATATATATATAGGTCTATAATTGTAAATATACACAGATATATAGACATGTATACAGATCATATATGGATCTATATTTACAGATCTATATCTGTATATCTAGATCTGTGAGTGGAGGCGGGACACGCTCATGTATACAGATTATTGACATGTATGTAGATCTATATATCTGTACAGATCTATATCTGCATATATACACAGATATATAGACATATATACAGATCTATATTCACAGATCTATATCTGTTTAAACATACAGGTATATTACAGATGTGTATATCTATATAAACACATCTATATGAAGTTGACTTCAGCCCTCAGTCTGTGGTTCTGATCCGGTCTGTGGTTCTGATCCGGTCTGTGGTTCTGATCCGGTCTGTGGTCCTGTTGTTGTGGCTCATGTCTGACTCCTGAAGCTGTTTCCTGTTTTCAGTGAAGCTCTTAAAAATAGATTCCTCCCGTCTGTGTTTGATGCTGAAGATCTTCAGATATTTTTGGATCCTGCTGCAGCTCAGAGTTATTTTGGGCTTTTTTGGACTATTTCTGGTTCTGACCTGCAGCTACAGTAACACTCATTTTTTGTGATAAAGTCTAAATCAGAACAAAGATCTTCACACGGACCAGAACCGCTCTCTGACTGATCCAAAGATCCTCTCAGAACCGGACCTGCACCTGTGAGTTTAACCAACCTGTCGAAGCAGAGCAGGGACACAGAGACCGTGAATCCAGGATCTCCGACCACCTGAACCAGCCGGGCCAGACCTTCAGCAGCCAGGCAGCGCAGCAGAGGACTGGGGCTCTCCAGCGCCCCCGTCAGGAGAGACAGCGCCGGGGGTCGGATCTCCTCCGGGCCCACAGACCCTCGAACAGCACCCTGCTGCTGCAGAGCGAAGGACTGATGTTAGATGATACAAAAAAACCTTAAACTCTAACCAGTCAGACCCTGCAGTACCTTGAGCAGACTGCAGAGGGCAGCACAAACGTGGGTCTGAACCGTCTGCTGACGTTGACCCTTCAGCTGGTTCACGGTTTCCACAAACTGCTCCAAGATCTTCACCCTGACAGAGACGGAGGTCAGAGGTCAAGAAATGAAACCGCTAACAGAGCGACCTTGAGACTTTGACCTCAGTCACCCTGTGACCTGTGGGCAGGTGAGTTACCTCTGCGGGGGGATGATGTGTGGAAACAGCGCCCCAAAGAGGCGGACGGTGGCGGCGGTCAGAGCGACAGGAGGAGGAAGAGGGGCGGGAGCTACGTCGCTCCTCTCACACAGACTGAAGGCGTCGTTGTCCAGCGAGCCGCCGCCCACAGCGCTGCCGTGGAGCTGAGAGACGAACACACACACACACACACACATCATGACACGTGTCTTTGCTGAGGTCAGAGGTCAGCTCGACAGTTACACACCTGCTCCTCGATGTATCTGTGCTCTGTGTCGTGGAGGGCGGGGCCAATCAGAGGCAGGTCGTCATGGTGACAGAGAGGAGGCAGCAAGGTGAGCTCTGAGCAGGACTGGTTCAGGTTCTCCTGACCCGAGAGGTCCGACACCAGCTGGTTCATCACCAGACCGAAACTCTCTGGAAGGAGACAAGGAGGAAGGAGGAGTTAAAAAGAGAGGAAGGAGATAGAGATGAGGGAGGAGATAAGGAAGTAAGGAAGGAGAGGAGGAAGGAGATGAGAAAGGGGACAAGGAAGTAGATAAAGGAGATAAAAAAGGAAATGGGTAAGGAGACAAGGAAGAAAATAAGAAGGGAAATAAGGAAGGAGATCAGAAAGGCGATAAGGAAGCACATGAGAAAGGAGAGGGCAAAGGAGACAAGGAAGGAGATAAAGAAGGAGATAGGAAGAAGATGAGAAGGAGACAAGGAAAGAGATAAGGAACGACATAAGAAAGGAGACAAGGTAGGAGATAAAGAAGAAGTGAAGGAGATAAGGAGATAAGGATGCAGGATGTCACCTTGGTACGTGTGGGGGGGCAGCTGAGCGAGGAGTTCGTAAACTCTGAGTCTGTAAACGATCGAATAAAGACGAACGGAGGCGCCGTACGACCTGAGGAGAGACGGGAGCCTGAAACACACACACACACACACACACACACACACACACAGACACACACACACACACACACACACACACACACACACACACACACACACACACACACACACACATACACACACACACACACACAGACACACACACACACATACACACACATACACACACACACACACACAGACACACACACACACACACACACACACAGGTGTCAGTATCTCTCGTTCATTGATTGGATAAACTCTGTAAACATTCGTCAGACTCTGAGGGACTGACCTGGTGAGGAGGGCGACGGCGCAGGCCAACGGCGTGAGAAGTCGGCTGATGATGTCATCGGTGGCGAGCTCCCTGCAGTGAAGCAGCAGGTTCTTCATGGCTGTTCGGACAAACGACACGGAGAGTCAATCTGCTGCTGCGGTTTCACAGGTAAAGGTAAACACAGGTGTGACATGTGACGACACTGACCACAGAGCGCTCCGGCACGACCCTCCAGAGTAACCTGCCACGTGAAGTAGTCCCCTCGCCGCAGCTCCATTTCCTGTTCTCTGAGAGACGCCGGGAACACGCACCGCCACAGGAGGAGGAGACGGGGGAGGTGGTGCTCCACGACGGCGGGGCCTGAACACACACACACACACACACGTCATAGTGGTCCGGTCTAGGTTCTACAGTGAAGTGGTCCACAGGGTCCAGACTCACCCAGGGTGATGATGGAGGAGACCAGAATCCAGCCCGCCTGAGTCCTCTGCAGGGAGATCCGACTGTTCTGAGACGCTGATCTCAGCAGGTCTTCAGCCAGACCCAGAACCACCTACAACAAACACACACAAACATGCTGATCCAGGTCCTGTAGAACTCGGACTGGTTCTGGTCCAGAGCTCCATGTTCAGATTTTACCCACCATGCCTTTGGTGTGCGGTATCCCCAGAGGGCTGTGCTGGACCGCGGCCACCAGGGCGGCGACGGCGGCTCCATACCCGGCCACCGCTTCAGGGGACGACTTCATCGACACCAGACGCTCTGTGCAGCGATCCAGCAGCAAAGAACCCTGGGACGGCATCGCCATGGCTACGCAGCGAAGACACCAGGCGGCGGCCAGAGAGGCGGAGGCGGCAGGGTGGAGGAGGACGGAGATGACGGTGTCCAGGAGGGCTGTGGGGACAAATGGGAGGTCAGATCTTCACTCTTGAACAGGACTCTTGAGATCTGATGTCTCCTCTGAATCCACAACAGCTCCTCCCTGAGATCTGAGGAGGTTCGTTTCATTTTCTTCCGCTTCATCCTGGTCCGGGAAGCCCAGACGGCCCTCACCCCAGCCACTTCCAGGCCAGGCGAGAGATATAATCCCTCCACCTGGTCCTGGGCCGGCCACAAGGTCTCTCTCGACGTGGAGGAGCAGCGGTTCTCCTCTGAGCGCCTCCCGAGTGTCTGAGCTCCTTACCCTATCTCTAAGGCTGAGCCCGGACACCCTGAGGAGGAAACCCATTTCAGCCGCTTGTATCTGCGATCTTGTTCTTTCGGTCATTACCCAAAGTTCATGACCATAGGTGAGGATCGGCACGTAGATCGACCGGTAAATCCAGAGTCTCTCCTTACGGCTCAGCTCTTTCTTCACCACCACTGATCGGTTAATCGTCCGCATCACTGCTGACGCCGCTCCGATCCGCCTGTCGATCTCCCGCTCCATCCTACCCTCACTCGTGAACAAGATCCTGAGATACTTGAACTCCTCCACTTGAGGCAGGACCGCCTCTCCGACCTGGAGAAGGTGATCTACCTTTTTTCCAACTGAGGACCATGACCTCGGAGTTGGAGGTGCTGATTCACATCCCAACCGCTTCACACTCGGCTGCGAACCGCCCCAGCAAGAGCTGAAGGTCACTGCTCCACAAGGCTAGAAGAACCACATCACCTGCAAAAAGCAGCGACAGGATCCTCTGCCTGCGGATCTGGACTCCCTCCACCCCCTTAATAAGGAACCAGAGCGCCCCCCACAGGATTCCGCTGGGGACACAGTCGTAGGCCTTTTCCAAGTCCACAAAACACATGTGGACTGGTTGGGCAAACTACCATCTCCCCTCAAGAACCCGAGCGAGGGTGAGGAGTAGGGTTGGGTATCGAGTCTCGAGCATCGATGGGGACTGGGACTAACATTCCGATTCTTCCAGAACCGTTCAAATATTAAAATTTCGATTACAAGTGTCGATGCCGGAGTCCGCCAACCGGAAGAAATAACTGCCGAACACCCTTAAAACGAGGAATCAGAACCGGAATCTTTAAATCAAACAACATCCAACCCTAGTAAAGAGTTGATCCGTAGTTCTGTGACCGGGATGAAAACCGCAGTGTTCAACTATCGACCGGACCCTCTTTTTTGGTCCATGGCACCGTGATCTGAGGCTTTGTGTGGATCAGAGGAGGCATCAGATTCTCAGAGTAAATGAAGTCGTATCTAAGCTTCGATCTTCTCCGGTTCTCCTTCTTGGACTCGGTGGGTCGGACCTGTGCTGCTGTCGGTGAGCAGAGGGGCCGCTGTGGATCCCAGTCCCTGGATGAGTCCTCCCAGTTCCAGCAGGCAGCAGACCAGGACGTGCTGACTGGCCGAGAGGTCCGCAGATGAAACTCTGGTCTCCAGGTTCCCGTCAGTCAGAGCTGCGTCTGAGAACAGAGTCAGGAAACATCAGCGCTGAAACCGTCATGGCGGCTGTTCAATCATCTCTCGCTCACTTCCTGTTTACTCACCGATGGCTTTCTTCTGCTCGGCCACGGCGAGGCACAGCTGTTTGGCGGCGTTGGTCTGAGCCTTCTCTCCCAGCAGAGACCCCAGGGTGCTCCTCAGGATGAAGGAGACGCAGCGGCGGGTCACCGCGGCGTCGGCCGGCGTCTGCGTCGCCCTGCCGTGAGACGCCAGCTCCATCAGTAAGGACAGGAAGGACGGGAAGTTGGCCTCCAACCAGGAGGCGCCGAGGGTGGAGACGAAGACCACGCAGGCCTGAGGAAGAGGAGGAGGGATGAGTGTCTGTCTGCAAGGTTTCCATGGAGACCAACGCCAACGTGACCCACCTGAGTGACCCCGATCCGGACGTCCTTCCCGACCGAGCTCGTCCCCTTCAGCATGTCGCCGCTGGCTCTGAGGAAACCCGCCCCGCCCCGCAGGAACCCCCCAGACAACAAATCCATCACCTCCTCCAGGGAGCCCCTCCCTCGCCCGCCCGGCCTGGGGGCTGATGGGAAAAAAGAGAGAGAGAAAGAGATGATACCTGTACCTGTAGGAGTTCTGCGCTGGTACCTGTCCCTGTGGGGGTCCTGGTTCCAGTACCTGTGGTGGTTCTGGGTTCCACGGCGGCGGCCAGCAGAGTTCCCAGCAGTTTGGCGACGGAGACTCGGACGTCGTAGTTCGATCCCTCGAAGGCTCTGAAGCAGAGCGTGGCGACGTTCTCCAGCTCGCTGCTCCACAGGAAGACGGCGTCCCGCTGCAGCTCCAGCAGACACTGACACAAACACAAGATGGCGGTCAGCGGTTTTCTAGAATCATCATCATCGGGACCTTTCCTGTTCCTGCTCAGTGTTACCTTTGCGGCGGCGCAGCGAACAGCCATGGATCGGTCCGTCAGACACGCCCTCGCCGCCTTGTAGACGTCCCGATGACAAGACACGGCGCTGACACCCAAACCTCTCAGGATCTTCTCCAAACACAACATGATCTCATATCGACCCTGAGACTGACGCAGGAAGAGGAGAGTGACCATGAATCAACGCCGACCTTTGACCTGAAACGCCATGTCTTTCATGTTTGTCAGTAAATGTGACGTCAACTGAGCGGCGGACAAACCTCGGCGCTCTTCATCGCCTTCAGCAGGTTAGCCAGAGCGTCCTTAAAGCAGCCGGCGAGCATCCGACCGAGCTGCTCGAACAAAGCGCCGAGACACGCCACGGCGGCCCTGAAACACACGAACAAACATCCAATCAGACGGTTTGATTCTCAAAGACACGCCCCTCGATTTCCTGATGTTTGACAGAAACGACCCGCTGAACCTTTGATTCTCTAAACGCCATTTTATACAAGTTTACTGTGTTTTAATATCTGATGCTCTTTTTTCCGACACTGTCTGGGTCCCTGAACTCGTCCTGACTCACAGTCGCGTCGGGAGGCCTGACGGCGAGTCGTCTTTGCTGCGGATGATGTCGTTGCACCGGTCCACCATTAAACTGGCGGGTATGGGGTCTCCGAGGCGGTACAGCAGGGCCAAGCAGTGGGCCAGCAGCCATCGGGTCGGCGGGCCGGGGGAGCCAATCAGAATGCCCGACAGCTGATCGATGAGGCGGCGCTGGTTGTGTTTGACGTCGGCCTGAAGAAGAGAATCAGCTGTTAGAGACACTTTCAGGTTTAACCTTTGAGGTCATGTGACCACGGCGCTCACCCTGTCGGTGACGGGGAGGAGCTTCTTCAGGTGGTTCAGCCATTCGAAGATAAACTCCGCCCTCTGGTGTTCGCCCAGCTGACCGCAGGCGTCCTCGTTCAGCAGGAGGCTGTGAGCTCGCTCCATCCTGAGCCCTCTCTGACTCCTCCTCCTCTTCGTCGTCTTCCTCTCAGCGGAGGTTAGATCTTTGGTTCTGCTTCATCATCATCTTCATCTTCCTCCTGAATCCTGTAAGACACACATAGACGAGCTTAGAAAACAAAGATCCTGAACGTACGGGTCGATTTAAACTCCGAAAACACCGCGGACTACATTTCCCATAATGCATTCTGCAGCAATATTGATTTACAGCCAAACAGGCTGCTCCAAACTCAGCGGCTGCACCTCCAGGTGATAATCTGACCCATTATTACCTGATAGAACCTTCTACATTAAATCTAACGGGTCGGTACCAGAACCCCGGAGTGCTGCGTTCAGGAGAAACCCGACTTCTGCAGCGTCTCTGTTTTTAAACTCTTCACTGTCACGTGTCGTGTGGGAAAAACTGGACCTGCAAGACAAACAGTCCACCAAAGAAGAACTGACAGAGTTCCAGAGTCCAGAACAGACCGGCTCAGTGTTCCAGTCCTCATTCAGAGCCAGCAGAGCGGATCGGACCGGAACAGGACGCCAAAGACAGAGAGAGAGAGAGAGAGAGAGAGAGAGAGAGAGAGAGAGAGAGAGAGAGAGAGAGAGAGGAGCTCATCAATAATTCAACAGCTCAACTCTGTCTCCTCCAATAACACACACTTAAACACACACAGACACACACACACACTTAAACACACACACACACACACACACACAGATCACAAAGACGCAGAAAGACTCTATAAATAACTTCCTGTCCCGCTGAAAAAAACTCAGATCTGATCCAAACAGACACGTCTCTGCAGAGAGCTTCAACATTTAATGAAGAAAACAGTGTGTGTGTGTGTGTGTGTGTGTGTGTGAGTGTGTGTTTGTGATCCAAATATAAGACCTATAATCATGTATATTCCACTATAACAGAAATGCCTTTATTTGCCGCTGTTTCCAATAACCACCTGACCATCGATCGATCGGTCCTCTAACAGCTGTGGTGATCAAACGTTGACGTTTACCTGAGCGGATCAGTCTGAATCATTCAGGGTCTGTTTAAACGAACCCGAACACACACACACGCCCTACAGAACCCGGAGCAGACTTCGTCCATCACAGTGTTCTCGTTAAGCGGTCCACAATCTTCGCCCTAAAAGGCTGTTTGGGTTATTTAAAAGGGAGTTTTCAGCGCCGTATGAATCAGACCAATCAGTGCATCTGCTCAACTGGAAGGTTGGCGGTTCGATTCCCGCCTTATTCCCAATCTGTCCGCTGTGTCCTCGGGCACCCTGCTCTCTTCACTGGTGTATGAGCGTGAGTGAGGTTAGGTCTGAGAGGCGGTTGGCGTGGATTGGAGCAGCTGTACTGTGTAAACTTGGTCTGATGACCTCCAGATCAGACTCAGAGCGCTGAATCAGAGTCTGATCTGATCTGGAGTCAGATTAAAAACATCAACCAAACACTCGAACCGGCTCCTTTCAGATCCAGAAGCACACCTTGTTAGACCTGTAGCCACGCCCACTGATGATGTCACATGTGATCTGACCATCCCTGGAGTCCACCTGTACCGCACTGCAGTCAGGTGAGAAATGCAACACCAGCTGAGGGATAATATTTTTAATATAACTGAGCTGATATAACTTCTTATCAGAGTTTGACTCATATTAATCTGGCTAAAACGATAACAATATATATTCCCTCAAAATCAATATGAAACACAGTCAATATGCTTTTTGATAGTCGGCATTCTGACATGTTTTGATAGACTTTACGAAGTTGACCAAACGCTGGGAACGACGTCATTTTCAGCTCGGACTTCTGAGGAAACTCTAAAGCATCATTATTGTATTGGAAAAGACATGCTACCAATAAACACTGTTAAATTTCATTTTTTATATCCTGATATTGACTGAGATGAAAAATATATATATTGTGATGAACTTTGTCCCATATCGCCCAGCCCTACATGTTAATATTCATACTCATATTTTCAGGAGGAACCAGATTTATAAGGAGGTTTCACTCTCTAATCTAAACGGTCATTCAGAGGGACTTTATATGTGATTATCATTATTACAGGACAGCTACATTTCTCCAGTATTAACAGACACATCTGAGAATCTTTACTGTGCATTTATTCAGTTATTATTACAAGGTCAATAACAGAAATAAACCTTCAATTCCACATTAAAATCCTGCAGCCTTCAGTCACATACTGTAATAATAATAATAATATAAACCTGCACAGACTTACATTAACTTACACTGTTAATATTAGACTTCTTATTCCTCAATTTCACTTTTATACATGAAGTTTTCTGGACAAAAGACATTCCGACAGACATAAAACTAAGGAAAACATGTGTTTAAGTGTGTTTAAAGATAGTTTGAATCCACAGACAGTCTGTGTCCCGGTTTATACATTAATAAACTCTTAATTATCTTAATAAACTCATTGATAAACTCTTTATTTTCTCCTTCATTCATCCTTAAAAAACACCTCCTCCGCTGTTAGCATCGGGAGGCTAACCGGCTGAGCTAACGAGCAAAAGTTTACAGACAGACCGAGATAAAGGCGGGAATATTTACCTGAGAGTGTCCGGTAAAAGTCACCTTTTCTTCAGGAAGACTGTCAACGCAGAATATCCACAAAAACGAGTTTATTTCAGTTTTTTTCAGAGCTCCTTGAGGACGGATGAGCTGCCCGCGACTGAACGAAACCACAGCTAGAGAGGCTGTGAAGTTAACGGAAGTTAAGCAGGGATATAATCACTTCAAAATAAAAGACAAGAACTTGGAAAATAAAAAGATGAATTTCACACAGTTAGAGCCTAAAAGTAAAACATTCACTTAAAATAGATACGCTTTCTGTATCAACAAGACAATTGTCTCAGATTCAGGAGGTAGTGTTTACAGTACCACCCTGTAAAACAGATTTAATACACCTCAAAACAAACCTTATAGATTAATTAAAAGTGTTGATATGAAATTCAACAATTAATTTAAATATAAGACCACCCAATCTATTCATTATCGTGGCGTTGTAAAATGTCCAGATTACCAAAATGTAGTTCGTCACACAAAGATATGGAGGATTGTCGCTCTTCGATCGTAGTTAACGTCACTCAGTTTTATTAAAACGTTTCTTACGGTGTTTCAGGTATTTATTTTATTTTGTGTTCAGAATTCAAGCTTCCGGTCAGATTCGCGCTCATTTTTACTAGCTTGTCTGCTCTGCTGGCATCAGTTAATCGATTACCGAGTCACCGAACGGTACAGGACTGCCAACAACAAACCTGCAAGGTAACTATTTGCCCCGTTTACAATCTCACAGGCTGAAGGCGTTTTCGGTCACCACCCTGTTCTGTTAAGGACCTTCTCATTATAATAGTAAAGGTTTTTTTTTTTTTTATAACACAAAAGGTTATTTATTTCACAAACACAAATAAAGGTAGATGTTGACTCAGAGTCAGTCACAAAATTGGACTTTGATTTTGAAACACTTTACTCCAATAAAGTGTACATATTTTAAGTTTCTTTTCCAAAATTTGACTTTTTGAAATATTATTGCTTTGTTTTCAAACCCCATAAAGTTTACAATAAAAAATTGTCTATAATGTGACATATTATTAGGGACACATTAAGGAAAAAAATTAAAGATTTGTAGTTTTGTTCTTAAAGACTAAAATATTTTTTCAGGAGGATTACAGTGTAAGAGAATTGAGCCATAACTAAAACAGTGTTATGAGAATAATCACTGACTAAATTCAAACTGTTAAATATGATTTTTTTGACATTCAACTTTTCAAATTCAACTTTATTTTAATGGCACTTTTCAGACAAAAAAAAATGTATTTCAAAGTTCCTCACAAAGGCAAAAAACAACAATTAATAACAATAAAACCAGACCATCCCACCCACACATACACACACACACACACACACACACACACACACACACACACACACACACACACAAAGAAAGACTAAAACCTGATGGACTAAAACAAGAAAATAATATTAAATGAACAGATAAGTAGGAGCTCTTTATTATGTAAAAGGGGTAAAAGTACAAACCCCTATGATGGGAATTAAGGGAACAGAGATAATCAATAAAACTACATCAAATAAACACTAAGAACTTTTTTTAAAATGAACACTGGATAAAAGAAATATAAGAAGGTAATCAGTGAAAAGCCTGGTTATAAATGTGAGTTTTGAGCCTTTTCTTAAAAACATCAACAGTCTCTGCAGCCCTGAGTTTCTTTATATCAGAACATAAAACTGAAAAAATATTTAATTTGAAAAATTCTAAATAATCGAAAAAAATGATCAATGTTCCTGTCAGTCAGAGCAGAGGGAAGAATCTCACCGTAAAGCACACTCAGGACGTGAAGTCGATAGCCGAGCAGCAGATCATGACGGACGGTGCTGGAACTTTCTGTGAGTTCTGTTCGGACACTTTAAAGAACTGTTCCCGGACAGAGGAGCTTCTGTCTCGGACTGTAACCGGATAAAGTCCCGCTCAGTCCCCCCCTGAGCTCGTGTTCTCTCCCGCCTGTTTCCATTACTCACGTCTGCTAACAGTTAGCTAGCTAACGGCGCAGATGTTCGGCTGTCTGGTTGCGGGTCGGCTGGTCCAGACGGACCCGGTCCAGGTCGCTCCGGATAAGTTCGTGTTCAACCTGCCGGACTACGAGAACGTGAACCACGTGGTGGTCTTCATGCTGGGCACGGTTCCGTTCCCCGCGGGGATGGGCGGGGCCGTCTACCTGTCGGTTCCGGACCCGGTGAGCGGCGGTCCGGTTTGGCAGCTGCTGGGCTTCATCACCAACGACAAACCCAGCGCCATCTTTAAGATCTCCGGGCTGAAGGCCGGGGAGGGCGGAGAACACCCCTTCGGGATGATGGCCTCCAGCCCGGCTCCGTCCGTGGCTCAGGTCGGGGTCTCTGTGGAGGCTCTGCAGCAGCTGTCCCAGCAGGTCAGGTTCGGTTGGACCGGGTCTGTGGTGGGGGTCAGGTTCGGTTCTGGTGTCCCGGTATCAGAACCGGTGTCTGTTTGTTTGAGCGAAACCGCCGACAGTTGAAACTCTAAGTTTACGAACAGAATATATAAAAAGACACATAAACCTTTTTTTTTTCTCACTGTCGAACATTAAATCAGATTAAATTTTTCCTGTTTTTATAAAATTAGGATTACCAAAATTATTTTTATTTGCTAAATGTTAAAATAATGAGAGAGAGAATTTTTTTAGACAATTTTGTTTTATTATTTTCTTAGAGTCAAAAGTTTACATCCATTTCATTAGGATTTGGTCGCTGCCTTTGAATTCTATGACTCGGGTCAAATGTTCTGCAGGGCGGCCTCCAAACTCGGCTCAGTTAGACCGGTTCTGTCCGGAGAAATGGGCCAAAGTTCCTGTAAACTGTTGTGAGAAGTTTGTGGAAGATTATCCAAAACATTTGAGTCAGAATTTAAAGGCAGCGACCAAAAACTAATGAAATGAAGGTAAACTTTTGACTCTAAGAAAATAATAAAAGAAATTGTCTAAAAAATCTCTCTCTTATTATTTTGGTAATTAACAAATAAAAATAATTTTGATAATCCTAATTGACCAAAAACAGGAAAAGTTTAATCTGATTTATTGTTACATGGTGAGAAAAAAAAGGTTATGTGCCTTTTTATATGTAAATTGGTTTCTACTGTAGCTGAGGTTTTAACCCTCATGTTGTGTTCCGGTCAAATTTGACTGATTTTAAAGTTTTCTCTCTCTCCAAAATTAAAAGTCATTAATTTGATCCAACTGACCTGGAATTCCATGATTCTGTCCACAATTTCAACACACAAACTAAATTCTGAATTCTGGTCTCCTGGTCCTCCTCAGGTCCCCGTGTCCAGCGCCGCCGTGTCCACCGTGGACTCCTTCCTCCAGTTCACTCAGAAGATGCTGGACAGCCTCTACAACTTCGCCTCGTCCTTTGCCGTGACGCAGGCGCAGATGACCCCGAACCCGACCGAGACCTTCATCCCGTCCAGCTGCGTCCTGAAATGGTACGAGAACTTCCAGAGGAGGATGGCACAGAACCCGAACTTCTGGAAGAGCTGAGGGGAGGAGACGCTGAGGAGAACCTCCGATTCAGACCAAAGACTGGACCTGTCAGTGCCTGCAGGGTCGAATAAAGTCTCAGCTCAAGTTTTTAATCCAGATCAGAGTCTGCTTTAATCTGTGAACCAGAACATGACACTGAACCCGACCCGATCGGCCCATTTACACCAAACATGTTCACGATAAAACAGAAAAGTCCCTCTGATGATTTAGACCTCAGCTCACCTGAGTCCTCCTCTGCTCACAGAACCAGAACAAGAAACTTTGTTCTGACCCGTAAACACGACATTTAAAGAAACAATCAGGAGAAGGAAGAAGAGAAAAGAGAGAAAAAGAGTTTAATAAGGCAATAAAAAAAAAACTGATATAGATTAAAAAAGTCAAAATAACTGAATAAAAATAAAGAAATAAAACTGAATAAGTTTGTTTTTTTATCTCAATCATGACTTTTCTGATCAGTTGATGAGTTCTGGAAACCCGTCTCTGATACGATGGTTCTGAGGAAACATGTTGGTGCTTTTATAAAACATCATTTTCATTGTTCCTCCTTGATCTAAGGTTCGACTATCGATCAGATCCTGTTCTCCAGCAGCCTGGGGTAAGTATCTGAGTGACACAGCTCCACCACCATAAAGGCTGAAGAAAATCACCCTGACAGGATCAATAGTTCTGATCAAATCAAAACAAACTCTGATCAGACAGTACTGTAGTACCTCTCTCAGCCACCAGGGGGAGCCTCAGTTTACCCTCGAAGTGTTTCCCGTCTGTAAACATGTCTGTGATCAGACTGTTGGGTGTGTGTCGGTGCAGATTAAGCTGCAGCCCCGCGATAACTCCAACTGTGACTGTGAGACCTCTGAAAACACCTCAGAGCCTCAACATCAGAGGAGTCAGTCTGTGGACGAGGAGAGGAAATCAATCTGTGACTTTAAACTGGAAGTTTCCTGTTAGGAGGAGGTGGGGGGGGGGGGGGGGGGGGGCAGATAAGCTGTTACATAAAGAACACACACACTTATACACACACACACACGCTTAAACACACTCACAGTCAGACTTGTGAATAGCTGCTTTCTCCTTCGTTTAGCAGCTCTCTCTCTCTCTCTCTCTCTCTCTCTCTCTCTCTCTCTCTCCCTCTCTCTCTCTCTCTCTCTCTCTCTCGTTCTCTCCCTCTCTCTCTCTCTCTCTCCTTCTCTCTCTCTCTCTCGGTGTGTTTGCAGTCAGGATGCTGCAGCTGCTGGTTCTGGTCGGGGTTCTGGTTCTCGGACTTTACCTCCTTCTCCTCGTGACCGTTCTCAGAATGCCGAGGTGTAAAAGTGACGCGAGGTTACGCGGGAAAACTGTCATCGTCACCGGTGAGTTCAGGAGAACCTGAGACTCTGCAGAGTCACGGAGGAAAAATGAGAAATATGTGTTTGAAACAGCTGATGATGATGATGATGATGATGATGATGATGATGATGATGAAGAGACAGGAGAGGAGAGTGTTTTTCTGTTTAGAGTCTGAACTTTATGTTTCCACTTTAGGTTATAAAAACAGGACCAACAGCTGACATGAATAAACAGTCATGGTCTTATTGAGGTCTGACAGCTGCTGTAAGAGCAGGATTACCTCTGAATAATGCTGAGTCAGGTGTGTGGGATCTTGTTCTCCTTCTATGACCCACATTAGAGGGTCACTGAAGCCGGGTCCACTTCTGTAGAAGAACCGTTAAAGGTCCAAACTCAGGGCTGTTGTTCTGGAACAGGCTGTAACTTCTGCAGCGTTACCTCAGAGTCAAACACAGCTGGTCAAAGTGCGTCTGTGGATCAGGGGGTCAAACAGACACGGCTGTTACTCCTGATCAAACAGAGTCCTAAAGACACCGTATTCAAACATGACAAAGGTCGATCAGCTGACATGTAAAGGTGTTCTCAGGTTATAACAGACCACCTGTCATCTTCAGGAGCGAACACAGGCATCGGTAAAACCACGGCGATGGACCTGGCGAGGAGGGGGGCGAGGGTGATCATGGCCTGCAGAGACAAGGGACGAGCGGAGGGCGCCATCAAGGACATCGTAAAGGTGAAGACAAATACAGTCGAAGTTCATGTCCTCGAACTCTGAAGGTTCATGTCTGATGTAAACGAGAAGGTCAGATGTTAGATCAGGTGTTCCTCTCGGCTCTCTGCCCGGTCCTCCTCACTTCAGCGTAAAACTCTCACAACACAGAAGTTCATCTTTTTTATGAAGTACTGATAAATTGAACCTCATTTATTTCTCTGTTAATTTGGAGGTTACGTCTGGTGTACCTCAGGGTTATAAGCTGGGACCTTTTTACTTATAACAATATTAAATCTCTCTGAGGAAAAGAAAGAGAATTAACCCTCATTTTCAGGTTGAATTATTCATGTTTCAGCTCCGATTATCAGCCTGTTAAACCTTATTTTAAAATGTGAAATTCCACAGTTATATTTGGTGAACCTCAGGGACATAAACTCGGTCCTCTTCACGTCTGAATCCAACATCTGTGGACAGTTTGACCAAAGATGAGCTGTTGTGTGTTGCTCTGTCGCCGTGCAAGTTTACATTTTTTTATCATAGAGAGAGTAAAAAATAAAGTAAGAATAAAATAAAAATAAAGTTAAAATAAAATAATAATAAAATAACATAAAAACAAAGTAAAAAAAAGTGAAAATAAAACAAAAATAAAGTAGAAATAAAATAAAAATAACGTTAAAAATAGGATAAAATAAAATTAGAATTAAATAAAAGTAAAATTAAAATTAAATAAAAATAAAGTAAAAATAAAGAAGAAATAAAATAATAACATTAAAACATAATTAAAATAAAGTAAAAATAAAAATAAAGTAAAAATAAAATAAAGTAAAAATAAAAATAAAGTAAAAATTAAATGAAAATAAAATAAAATAAAAATAAAGTAAAAATAAAATAAAGAGTGTAATCACTAACAGGAACCTAAAACAGAGAAAAAACCCTTCCTCTGTTTTTTCATGTTTCTATCCCATCTCTCTTTCCTTCGTGTTCAGGAGACCGGCAGTAACCAGGTGATCTTCATGCAGCTGGACCTGTCCAGTCTTCAGTCTGTTCGCTCGTTTGCCGAGAACTTCCTCCAGTCTGAGTCCAGATTAGATCTGCTCATCAACAACGCCGGTGAGATACCCTCCCTCATGAGTGAAGGAACAGAAGGTCCTCTGTGTTCAGTGATTTTTGGACGTGTTCGTCTGCGACATGAATAACAAGGTTCTCTTTGACCAACAGTTATTAAACAGGGCGTCATTTGACTGTTTAATCGTGTTTCTTATATAAATCTGATGTAAGTTCTTATCTAAAGGTCAGAACCAGATTTCACAGCTAATCCAGAACGTTTCTTCACCTCCTCTGACCCCACAGACTCACACTGACTTTGGTTTCTGCTCCTTTAGTTTCTTTAATGTGAGGTTTCCTCTGAAGACAGCCTCCAGTGGACACTCCAGGTACTGCAGTTTACGACCCCCGCTGTCTCTGTCTCCAGGTATCATTTTGGGCGGGAAGACGGAGGACGGCTTCGGGACGATTTTCGCCGTCAATCACCTGGGTCACTTCCTGCTGACCGTGTTGCTCCTGGACCGGCTGAAGGCGAGCGGGCCGAGCCGGGTCGTGACGGTGTCCTCTACGGGTCACAAGGCCGGGAAGGTGGATTTCAACTGTCTGACGACGCACAAAGACTTGAGTTTGGGCGACAACGACTTCCAGGTGTTCCAGAAATACTGTCACAGCAAACTGTGTAACGTCCTGTTCACCGTCGAGCTCGCCAAGAGGCTGCAGGACACCGAGGTCACCTGCTACAGCCTCCATCCAGGTACGTTCACATCCACCCGTTATTCAACGCCGCCACAGAGTCCACGATCAAATTTAACACGTTAACTCTTTCCTCTCCTCTCTGCTCAGGAGTCATCAAAACGGAGCTCGGGCGTCACACCGGCTTCTGGTGGCGGTTTGTGGTCACGCCCCTGGTCTCCCCCTTCTTAGTGGACGCAGAGGCCGGGGCTCAGACCACGCTCCACTGCGCCCTCGAGCCGGGCATCGAACACCTCAGCGGGCACTACTTCTCCCGCTGCGCGCCGCTGGTTAACCTGAAGGCGAGAGACGAGGCGGCCGCCAAGAAGCTGTGGGAGCTCAGCGAGAGTTTCTGCGGTCTGTCCTGAAACTTTAGTTTGAAGAGATGACGAGTCCACTTCCTGTTTCAAAATAAAACGACTGTCCCTGAAAGCATCACTGCAGGGTCCAGAACTACGGGGGCCGAAAACTGCCACTGCTGCAAATTAAAAAGAATGCAAAAAAAAGAAGTCACAACGGAAGTTACTAATGCAAAAAAAAGAAACGGTGCAGATAAGAAAAAAAAAGGAAGTTAACGACACAAAAAAGTGGCAATGCAAAAAATAAATAAAGTTACTTACTGCCAAAATAAAAGGATGCAAATAAAAAGAATGCAAAAAAAGGCATCACAAAAGAAGTTACTGATGCAAAAAAAAAGTTGTAATGCAAAAAAAAAGGATGCAAAAAAAAAAAGCCACAACAGAAATGATCTGTCGGGGACCAATAATGATAATGCACTGGTGTTTTACAATCTTTTTCGCAGCAAGTAACTTTTTTTTTTTCCGTCGCCACTTTTTTTTTTTGCATCAATAAGTTCTTTTGTGGCTTTTTTTTTTTTTTTTTGCATCGGAAACCTCCGTTGTGACATCTTTTTTTTTTATCTGCACTGTTTCTTTTTAATTTGCAGCAGTGGCAGCTCTCGGCCACCGTACAGAACTGTCTGAATTCACAACAACATCAAAGTGACTCCATGTTTGATTGATTGACAGTCCCTCATGTGTTCATGTGTTCATCCTCTGTAAATCACTGAACTGTGTTTTTATCTCTGAGCTCCAGGTTCGACCTTTAACCTCCTCACCTGTTTGTTTAACAGTAAAAAAGTGTTTCAGATGTTGTTGTTACGGAAACTTTTTAATCTCTTTGTTTTGTTTGACACTTTTATGACAAATTTATAACTTTCATATTTTAATCAGATTTTCTTTTCTGTCGTTTGTAAAAACAGAAACTTTAAAATGTGACCACAGATGAAAAACAAATAAAAACTATTTCAAAATAAAAACGGCGTCTTCACTGACTTTGATTAAAAATGGCGGCGCAGCGACAGGAAAGAGTGAAAGTTTTACTATCGGGTTTTTTCATAAATGATTAATGTTCTTATTTATTCTATTTATGTTGTAGTTTTTTATATATAATTCTTCACCTTACTCCTTGGATTCCTTATTATTGTTCGTTTTTTTTATTCTATTTTTATTTTTACTTTTTTTGCTTCGTTTATTGTTTTTGTTTTTTTATATTCTCACCGGTTTGTTTGTTTGTTTGTTTTCAGTTTATTTTTGGTGTTTGAAAAAAAAAAAAATGAAAGGAATGAAAATGAAAATAAATTCAAAGTTAAGAGAGAGAATTAAATATTAATAAATTAGATTTTACATCATTTCAGCTCTGAAGACAGACGAACAGTCAGCTGTTTATCAAACACAGTTTAAAGCCTCACTGTCTGTCACACCTGAGTTTATGTGAATGGATGAATATTTAACAGTAACATGGAGTAACTCTGGGGGGTCTGGTGTCTCCACACTCATGAGTGGGTCAAAGGTCGACCCGCAGAGTTTCAGTTGAATCAGAGCTGAAGGTGAACACCTGAACCTGTCTGACGACTCTGAGATTTGACTCACCCGTTCACCTCCGGCAGGAAGAACCGGTCCGACAGGTGAGTCTCAGAGCGCCGCCGTGTTCACACACGGGGATTATCTGAGGAGGTCATCAGGTTTATCCATGAGGATGAACACATGATTCTAAATATAAACACATGATTCTGAGTGAATATGAACACATGAATCTGAACATGAACACATGAGAGTCTAACAGCAGTAAAACTCGGGTTATAATATTTTTGGTCCTCTGGATAAGAACTGTCCGCTCAGACTTTCTTCTCTGTTCTTCAGTTTGTCTGAATCCTGCTGCTTTTATTTTCTCTTCAGTTTGATCTGATTTTAAAGATGAAATTTTACTTTTTTAAATTTAAACTAAAATATAAATATTTTCTGACCTGTTTCTTCATTTCTGTTGATCCTCATTCTTAAATTTAACATTAATTGTGAATTACTTCATTTTAAAACTCGCTCATTTAAAGAGAATCTCTCACTGAAACTCCAGATTTCCGCCTCTTTTAGTTTGAGTTGAAGCCCCGCCCCTCCCCGGGCAGACAGCCAATCACAGCCCAGAGCGGTGTGACCGTGCTGCAGCTGTATAAGAGCGGCTGCTGTCAGAGTCCCTCAGAGACTCTCAGACCTTCAGAAAACCTGTTTTAAGGATGTTTCAGCTGCTGCTGCTCGCCGCCGTCATCTTCGGAGGATATTACCTGCTGACTCAGACTCTCTTCAAAAGAGCCAAATGTAAAGGAAACGCAGCGATGGCGGGGAAGACCGCCATCATCACAGGTGAGACACATTTACTGCAGGTATCACTGCCTTAGTACTAAAGGTTAAAGGGTTTGGACGAGTTTAAAGATGATTAAAGATTTTTAAAAAGTCAAAAAAATGAAAAGAAACAGAAAAATAATTTCTGTTTTTGTTATTTAAGTTTTTATTTTTTACTGTTAGAAAGTTTTTGGCCTCAAAGATTTTAATTCAGTAACTCTGAGAATATCACAGAACTAAAGAGTCAGGAGGATTTTACATCCTAACAGTTCAAGTATAGATATTTATTAGATATGTATTAATAGAGTATTGATGAATTATTGGACCAATAACAGGCTGAACACAGATGTTAGTACTCTGTATTTCCTAAGAACTAAAACATTTGAATAAAATATCAACATGAATTTAAGTTTTTTTTTTTTAATAAACAGATTTTGTTTTATTTTTAGTATTTAGTTAGAAGCAAAAACCATTTTAATCAAATAAGGTAGAAAATTATAAGAAAAGGAGAAAACATGAAGAAAAAAAAAGGAAAAAGTGGGTCAAATGTTTCTAATCGAAGTGTTTTACCCTGATATTATATTTATATTCTGATCATTAATAAACACAGAGGCTGATTTAACGTTTACTTCTGTTGAAGTTTAAGTCAGTTATTGATTTTTAGACCTGTGATGGCAGGTAACAGGCTGATATGTTTGTGTTTGGAGGGAATCAATAAAATCAAAGTTTATTATTAATAAAATCAAAGTAAATAATCAATAAAATCAAAGTAAATAATCAATAAAATCAAAGTAAATAATCAATAAAATCAAAGTTTATTATCAATAAAATCAAAGTAAATAATCAATAAAATCAAAGTTTATCAAAGTTAATAATCAATAATCAAAGTTAATAATCAATAATCAAAGTTTATCAGTTAATAATCAATAATCAAAGTTTAGAGTTGATCTTTGACTTGAACCCTCAGACCACCGTCTGTCTCTGACTCGGTCTCTCTGCCGCAGGAGGAAACACCGGCATCGGTAAAGCCACGGCTCTGCACCTCGCCAGGAAAGGCGCCCGGGTGATTCTGGCGTGCAGGAACCGGAACAAAGCGGAGGCGGCCATCGCAGAGATCCAGCAGGTTAGACCTTCGAAGGGTTAATGTGGAGGAGGAGTGTCAGGAGCTCCTCAGACGTGTGATCACTCGCTCTCTCAGACTCTCACAGGAACTGGTTTGGTCACTGGGATCAGGTCTGAGTGTCGGGGTGAAACCTCCAGGATCTGATCTGAGATAATCCCACCAGACTACAGAGTCAGGGACCAGAACCTGGACTTTAACTGTTCTTATGAAACTGAGAGACCTGCTGGTTTTTATTCAGATCCAGTTTGAGCAGGACTGGGAGAACCGGGACCCTTGAATCAGGATTATCTCGATCACAGTGGGGGGGGGGGGGGGGGGGGGATTACAGGATCTAAGAGTTAGAAAACAGGAAACAGAAACTTTCCCTTTAAAAAACTAAAATTTCAAAGTTAAACTGAGAACATCGTCTTTACTGTGAGACTCTGGTAGTTTTGGCGCCTCCTGTGGACAAAGTATGAAGTGTTCTATAGAGCTGTTGTATTCTGTCTATACATGCGTGTGTACATCTATATCTATATATCTATCTATCTCTCTATCTCTATAGCTATATCTCTTTATCTCTATCTCTATTTCTATCTATATCTACAATATATATCTAGATCTCTATCTAGCTATATATCTCTAGATCTACATAATCTATATCTCTATAATCTATATCTATTGATATATATCTCTATATTTATATATATCTATATATCTTTATCTCTATATTTATCTATATCTCTCTCTCTATTTATATATTGATGTATGAATAGATAGATATAGATATAGATACATAGATAGATATAAATATAGATATTGAGGTATAGATATCAATATAGATATACATAGATACCTCAGGATTTGGTTCTTGTTATACCCTTCATATCCCTCCACTCATTTCCTGCCTCTGTCCTTTCAAAATAAAAGCAGAGGTCCAAAGGTAACCTCTGGTCGTGTCGTTGTTGTCGTCACAGGAAACAGGAAGTACAGACGTCTTCTACATGCACCTGGACTTGGCGAGTCTGAAGTCGGTTCGTCACCTCTGTGAGAACTTCCTGAAGTCCGAGTCCAGACTGGATCTGCTCATCAACAACGCAGGTACGAACGAAACCGGCCAATGAGAACAGCCGATCTGTCACTGCTGAGGCGGGGGAGGGGACAGGTGTGTCTTCATTAAACTCTTAAATCTGGAGTTTTCTCTCTGGGGTTTGGTCTACAGACCTTCAGCAGACTGTCTAACATGGATGAAGGTTCGATCACGAGTCAGAGTTTACGATCTTTTCTTAAAGAGACAGGAAGTGAGCGTAGAGAGCAGCGATGGAGACCATGAAGTTCCTAAATCTCTGTCTCCTGCAGGTCTGGTGGCTGACGGACGGACTGAGGACGGATTCGGGATCGAGTTCGGGGTCAACCACCTGGGTCACTTCCTGCTGACCTGCCTGCTGCTGGAGCGCCTGAAGGAGGCGGGAGGAGGGCGGGTCGTCACTCTGGCGTCCATCGCTCACCGCTGGGGACACGTCGACTTTGACGTAAGATTTCCCACCGACAGAAACAAACAGTCAGTCCGTTTCCATGACGATCGAGAAAAAAACGAATTATCGTCTTATTCCGATTAAAACCGGACAACTGAAGGTCACGTAAACACTTTAGTCCGACTATAATCAGAGTTTAAGAACTCTGATTAAGACACACAGATAATGAGATTGGAATCCGATTTTCTCTACCGTATAACCAGCGTAGTCGGAGTATGATGCCACGCCCCCTTTAACCTCGTAACAAACCCCCAGAGTAGAGGAGTAGCGTTGGTCTCCTCTTTAGAAAAAGTAGCGCGTCCATCATGTCGGACAAAAACAACGCTGTACGATGCTCCATCTTCTTGTTTCTCCAAAATGCCCAGCAGCAGTTGTAGACACTTCTGACGTCTGACACCGACCTGCTGTTGTTGTTGAAAAGACCCATATCGCCCCCTAGTGTTGGGGAGGAGGACACGTTCACGTCAATAATTTTCTCAGCTGCATGTAAACGAGGACGAGGAGAGAAGTCTGATTCAGAGAAAAAGACGAATTATGAGTTTAGTCTGATTAAACTGAGACTGTAAACGAAATGACTGACATGAGCTGTAGGGGGCGCCGCACAGACTTCTGACACTTTTACAGTAAAACTGTTTCTGGAGCCGTGTTCTGACGTCTGAGACTGATTTTAGATTCAGATAAAAAAAGGATGTTAAAGGTTTTACTCTGAAATATGATTTAATTTCTAAAACTTCATTTTTTCTGATTTATTGATTTTAATCTCAGAGATGAACAAATAACGAATCATCGATCAGGTTTATTGATACAGAGTTTATCATCTCAGAGAGTTTCTCTGCAGACGTCGTCGTCGCTCCTCTGACTCACGTGTTCGATCTGAGGAGCTCTGAGTGTCTCAACAGGTGAGCTCCACGCTCAGGTAAACTCTCTGTACAGGTGTGCTCTGTGCTCACGTACACTCAGGTATGTTCAGGTATGTTCAGGTATGTTCAGGTGTGCTCCGTGATGTCATGTTAACTCGCACACTGACTCCGCCCCCTGCAGAGAACATTCCTCCTCCATTCACACCTGTGTTTATGATGTCATCACATGTGCTCTCCTGTCACCTGCGCTCAGCTCTGATCCAGGTGAGAGGTGTTAACGTGGCGGCGGCGGTGTTGTTGTTGTCGCCCTCAGGCTCTGGCGGCGAACAAAGACCTGGGGACGGGCAGGTACAGCTGGCAGTTCTTCCAGGCGTACTGTAACAGCAAACTGTGTAACGTGCTCTTCACGCACGAGCTCGCCAAGAGGCTGAAGAAGACCGACGTCACCTGCTACAGCGTGCACCCAGGTAAGACGCCGCCCCCCGACACACTCTCAGTTTTATTCTCTTTTACAGTTTTTCTTTGGCGTCCTTTAACCGTCTCCGCCCTCTCAGGTGTCGTCCGCACCGAGCTGTCCCGTCACGTCAGCCTGTGGCAGAAGGTCTTCATCGAACCCGTGGCCCGCCTGCTGTTCCTGGACCCTGAAGCCGGCGCTCAGACCACGCTGCACTGCTGCCTCCAGGAGGGGATCGAACCTCTGAGCGGACAGTACTTCTTCTGCTGCGAACCGCAGAACGTGTGCGCCAACGCCAAAGACGACGAGGTCGCCCGTAAACTGTGGGAGGTCAGCGAGAAGCTCTGTGGACTCTCCGAGAGACACTGAAGAGGGACGGACGTTAGAGAGCGGAGACCTGAAGTGTGTGTGTATGTGTGTGCATGTGTGCGTGCATGTGAAGGATTATTACGGCAGCATTTCTCTGAAGAAAAACTGTTTTTGTTTGTTTTTGTTGTAAATTTTGTAAATAAACTGAATCTGAAAAATTTTCAGAAAAGACAGAAAAGACTTTTATTTTGAAAACCTGAGGGACGTTTTTTTTTATCATTAAAACAGTTTATGAAATAAAATAAAATAAAAAGTCTGAAAGTCAAATATTTACAGTTAAATCAATAAAAACTGAAATAATAATAATAATAATAATAATAATAATAATAAAACAAACACTGTGGGCAGAAAACTGAATAAACAAACTGATTTTAAACGTTTATTTTTTTGATTTTATTATTTTTAAATTATGATTTTATCTGTTTATAATTATTCCCTTCAATCTAGTAAAGGAAAAACTAAAAAAAAGAGTCACTATTTTGTTTATTTGTTTTTCTGAATAACCAAAAAATAAAAGATTGTTTTTGTATTTTCAGTTTAAAACAGAATTTATAATAGAAAAGGAAACGAAAACAAAATAATTAATCTACTTTTTGTTTTTGGGTTTTTGATGTCCCCGTTATCTACGGTGCCTTTTCTACCGTTCGCCCATGGTCACTGTCGCTGAGGATCATGGGAAGGGCAGTTTAGCCTCCATTCACGTACGCTTAAAACAGGCGCACTCAAAATCAATAATCGTAAAGATTGATTATTTTGTTTTCGTTTCTTTCTCGATTATAAATTCTGTTTTGAGCTAAAAATATGAAAACAAACACTAAATTTTTTGGTTTTACAGAAAAACAAATAAACAAAATATTGACTCTTTTTTTGTTTTTCATTTATTAGATTGAAGAGAATAATTGAACAGACGGATATTAAAACACAGACCTTTGTGATTACATCTTTGTCATTTTAGGAGTTTCTGTTAATAAATATACTTGGAGAAACTCTCTGACTGTTCTCGTGAATTTACGACTTTATTTTTCTGAAATTATTGTTTCATTCATCGTCGTAAATTTGCTTCATTCTCTGAATGTCTGTTTTACTCTTTTAAACTCTCGTCTTCTCCTGCAGTTTTCCTCTCAGGTTATTAAACCTTCACTTTCATTGATTTGAACTCAAAGTCTCTCAGATCTTCTTCTTCTTCTACATCATAAACCTTCTTCTTCATCTGCAGCTCTTTCTGTTGTTTTATTGCAGAATATAAACTGATTAATAAATAAACTCTGAGTGACAGATTCACCCTCTCTGAGCCGCTTCAGTTGCTGCAGTTCTGTCTTTTCACCAGCAGGAGGCAGCAGACTCTCATTTATCATCTTATTGAACCTGAGCGGTCAGAGCAACTCGGAGTCATTAAATTTAAACAAACTTATAAACGTTTAAAGAAGTAAATAAACTGAAACAGAAACTCGTCCTCATTCACACGTTTTTTTAAACTGATTTTTCCTCAAAGAAATTATGAAGTGTTTCTTTTTTTTTGTCAGTTTGTTAAAATGTTTCAACATTAAAAAAACAAAAACTACGAAAGATTTTACCACATGTACTGAGAGAAGCTTTACAAAGCTCTGTAAAGAAGTGTGGTGCCCCCTGCTGGTCATTCTGTATATTACACCGCTGTAAAACTGAGAGCAGGTTTATTTCTGGTTGAATTTTGTTCTGATAAAAACTCAAATCTGTTCCCTCCTCTCAAACATGAACTTCTGTTATTTCTACAAACTAAAATCAGGGTTTGGTTTTCAGGTCAGTCCTGCTGCAGTGAAGCTCTTGATGTCATTTACAGTCAAACTGAGACTTTGGGTCCCGGTTTAATCTGGACTAACTTAAACCTCGTTTATTTCATGTTTTTCTTTTTTTAATCTCATTTGGCTGAAGTGAAGCTGAGCGAGGTTTTCACAGTGAAACTGAGACTTCATACAAACAGACAATGTGAATCCTCTGTGTAACTATTTACAATAAAACTGAGACTTACCACCAACAGTGAACTGGGGCAGACCTCAGCCTGTTAAATGTAAGAAACAGAATCAGTCTTTTTCAGGTTTTTACCACTAAGTGAAGCTTTAAAGAAACTGACTGTTCACAGTGAAACTGAGACTCACCACAGAGAGAAGGACGGACACCAATGAAGACCTGATAGTCGCCTGTAAATCAGAGGAAAATCAGTTAAAGTTTCAGTTTGATTTAATTCTGCTGAATGAATCCAGAGTGAATCCTCTGTGTGAGTGTTTACAGTGAAGCTGAGACTGACCAAAGACAGACGGATGAGCGGCGATCCTTTAAGGATGCGATAAACCGAGTCCAGTCTACGTTCAGTTTTTAAAGTTTCTATCTGAACACTTTTTTAACGTGGTTTGATTCATGAAACTTTTTGTCCTCCACTCAGATCAGGTCTCCACAGTGCAACTGTTTTACTGCGACTAAAAATAGAAGTGTGTGAATTCTCAAATGTATTCAGGGTCACATGTGTGAATAAAAAAAAAAACAACAAACGTTTTTTTTCCTGTAAATACGGCGGTGAAGTTAGTTTCAGGTTGGATATATTTTCCTGTAAATACGGCGGTGAAGTTAGTTTCAGGTTGGATATATTTTCCTGTAAATACGGCGGTGAAGTTAGTTTCAGGTTGGATATATTTTCCTGTAAATACGGCGGTGAAGTTAGTTTTAGGTTGGATATATCTTCCTGTAAATACGGCGGTGAAGTTAGTTTTAGGTTGGATATATTTTCCTGTAAATACGGCGGTGAAGTTAGTTTCAGGTTGGATATATTTTCCTGTAAATACGGCGGTGAAGTTAGTTTCCGGTTGGATATATTTCCCTGTAAATATGGCGGTGAAGTTAGTTTCAGGTTGGATATATTTTCCTGTAAATACGGTGGTGAAGTTAGTTTCAGGTTGGATATATTTCCCTGTAAATACGGCGGTGAAGTTAGTTTCAGGTTGGATATATTTTCCTGTAAATACGGTGGTGAAGTTAGTTTCAGGTTGGATATATTTTCCTGTAAATACGGCGGTGAAGTTAGTTTTAGGTTGGATATATTTTCCTGTAAATACAGCGGTGAAGTTAGTTTCAGGTTGGATATCTGACGGACATTCTCTGAGGATCTACCGGTGTCTTCTCACTCTCCATAACCGGGAATAACAACAGCAGCGCGGTTAAATCTACTCGACACCCTCACTGTCAACGTCGGTGTTGAATAAGGGACCGTCAATAAATTACCGGTTGATGTTCTCAGAAAAGGCTGTTTTCCTTCAATAGCTTCACTGTCATGTGACCAAAAGACCTAAAATTGATTTAAAATAATAGTACTAAGGTCGATCAATAAGACAAACATTATTGATCAGTTTTTATTGATCCCCTAAAGTTTATTTTTTAACTCAGGAGAAAATGTGAACAAAGTTGGTGGAGTGAAACTCTGAATCGTTACCGAAGAAGAAGAGTGGAGCACTTCCTGCTCCTGCTGCTCCTTCCTTCAGGAGGTGATCCGGAGCGCTGAGCTGTTTTTGGTTCCTGTCTCTTTTTTCTCTCTCTCGGCTTTAAATGAAGACGTTCGGAGCAGCTGATCCTCTCTCAGTCTCACCTTCGCCGTCTGATGAGGCGTCTGGTTCAATCAGGTGAGCCGTCGGATCACAGAGCAGCTTTGTGTTCACATGACAGTTGAACGCCGCCGCCGTAAAAGCTTTTCTGATCCGAACAAGACGATGGAGACGCCCCCCCACCCCCTTCTTCTCCTCCACGCAGACTCCATCGGGAATTCAGCGAGATCTGTCGACGCCACGAGGAGACGTGCCGCCGTTTGAACTCACGATTCAAAGAGAATAAAAGACGGTGAAGCCGATTGTTCCGCCGTCAGCCGACGAGTCTAGATTTGACTGTCAGCGGGGGGGCGCCGCACGGAGGCTGAACACAGACTGAAGACCCGGTTCTGTTTGGTATTCACTGTCAGACCACACACTGATCTACAGGTCAGGGTCTACTTTAACAGATCCTGATCCATCAGACCTCAGGAGAGAGTTCTCCTCAGTCCACAGCATCTAGGATTTCTAGTTCTTCGTTGAAAGGACAACTGGACTTAGTTGAGACGTTTCGCCTAAGTCCAGTTGTCCTTTTCATGTGTTGACTCCCACTCCAGAGTCCTCCAGTCCTGGTTTTGGTTCCTGTCCCTTTAGTCCAGAGACTTCTTAAGATCTTCCGAGTCTTTAAATGATAATTTGGACTGTAGATGTTTTAGGGACGAAGTCGGCTGATGGAGCTTCAAACGAACAGGAAGTAAAGGGTTAAATCCAGAGAGGAGAGGGTTAAACTCCCCATCCCTCAGATACCTGCAGTCCTCTCCTCTGGGCTTTAACTAACCCACTTATATCCACTCCAGGAAGTAGACAGACCCCACTCTGATCTGCTTAACGCCGCAGTGCTGCAATTGAAAATCAATTGAGAGATGATGAATGGCGGGCATTAGGCGACCACGGCGCCGGGCTGCGTTCGGTAAACAACGAGGGGCGATAAACAAGGTGGTCTGCGAGCGACGCGGGCGTTCTGCTGTGTCAGAGCTGATGAATGAATTTGGCTCGGAGAAAGACCCCCGAAGACTTGGAATTATATTTTCAATGTTAACGTAATAGAGGGACACAAATCATCCGCCGCTGAGGCGGAACAGAGAGGACGTGGATCTGAGAGTCCTGGACCAGGAGTACGAAGAGCACCTTCAGAAAACTACATGTTCCCACAAAAACACCGAGCTAAAATATATTAAATATTCTTTTGTTTGATGATCTACAGTTGAGGGTTTTATCTGAGTCTGCAGCTCAAGTCTAATGTCCCCGTTTTCAGTAAACTCCTCTGCAGGTCCCCATAACGCCTGTATGTAAGTTTAGATACACACAATCAAACCTGTTTTTTCATTTATTTGAAAAATTTAACTTTATATTTATGTGTATGAGACTTAATCATGTTTGTACCTTAAGTTTTAATTCTATGATTTATAAGGACCTGCAGAGACCAGCGTCCCTGAAAGGACTGACGTGAACCAGGTATGAGTCCCCACAACGCCCTGAAAACAAACACACATATAAACACATATAATGCATTTAGAAGACACGGTGACATCGTCAACATTTGGAGTGTATTTATTAATGTCAATAATAATAATCATAATCATAATAATAATGATAATAATAATAATAATAACGCTGTATTACCTTCAGATAGTCGAACTGATCTGATCGTCTATTGCAGAGAATTATCACAGTTATAAAAATATCTTTCTTCAGACGTCCAGAGTCGGGTGTTGGTGGAGTTCTTTAAACTTTATTCTATTGCCCACTTCACCCCCAAATAAAAACAGGTTATTAACATCAGAGCGCCAGGGGGACAATCAGAACAAACGAGGTTTTTCTTCGAGCTGAAGAGACTTTTTTAACAACGAAGAAACATTCAAAATGAAGATGGAGAACCTTTCAAAATAAAACTCTAACTCAAGGTAATTTAAACCATCCTCTCAGTTTTTAACGTGTGCGTGATTATGAGCGCAGTAAACAGAAATAAAAGGTTGTTTTTCTCTAAAATTCTGTTCTGGGACTGACAGAGATGCTCTTCACTGTATTTTATAGAATAAAGTCTTTATTTGTAGACGTGTTTTCTTAGATATCCGAACCAACGACAATCTTCAGTCTGAAACCAAAAACCCTCACACTGAAGAATCTGGGAGTTTTTAAACATTCGGATATTTTTGGTCCATTTCGTTGTTTTTGAAATAGATTAAATTAAGTTTGCTGCTTTTTAACTATTAGATAAAGTTCTAACGTTTGTGTTTTTCCTGATAACTTTCATCGTTATAAAGTCTTTTTGTTTTCAAACAGACAAAAATAAAATATTAAGAATCACTAAAACAGGAAGAATGAGGATTTTCGACGGATTATTAAAGCTCCTCTGACGGCCTTTGTGTGGATTTTGGCGCCCCCCTGTGGACAAAGTGGAACCCTTTATCTCTCTGCTGATTTTACCCCGTAGACGTAAAAAGTCGTCTTTCTTCTTCTTCTACACTCGACACATCAGAAATCCATTTTGGTAGCGAGCGTCCCCTCAGACTGGCAGTAATTACCGTAATGACCTGAATATAAGTCGACCCTGATTTTAAGATGATCCCCTTTATTAAGACTTATTTTGAGGGAATGACTTTATAAACAATAAACTAGTTTTTATATGAGAGCTTGTTTAATCGTCAGCCTCACAAACTGAGTAGATTTTACTGTAAATTCGTCCGTTTTTTTCAGTGGATATCAAGAGAAAAAAAAGTCCATCTTATGTTTTTTTATTCTGTCCGATCTTTCCCTCCGTTTATTCTCCATTTTATCTTCAGTCCAAAGTGACTCTGCCTCCGTCAGAGACAGATGGAGGCGGTCATTAGTTGGTGTTTGTGGAAGCAGCTGCTCGTTTGTGTGACCGGACTATAATCACCAAAAACGCACAGCTCTCAGATTTGTACATTTCCACAGGATGAATAATTGAATAAAGAAAGCCGCTGGTGTTCATCAGAGGCAGACAATCATCTCCAGAGATCCCGGCAAACAGAGTTAATGTGATAATGATGCAGCGAGGATAAACTGATACCCAGAGGAGCTTTAATAAAAATCTGATTATCAGCCGCGGTGGAAAAACACGCTGAGAGGAAAAGTGTCGCCGCAGGGAGAGCGAGAAAAATCAACAAAACATTAAAGAGGAATGATATTTATCTGCGTTATCTAACACTTCCTCTGAGTGATTCTCATCAAAGATTTATGGGCGTGTGCAGCAGAAAGATGAAATCAGCTTTTATCGTTAATATGTGGAGAGAAACCAGCTCCTCCAATCAGAACTCAGGGATTATAATCCAGAGAAACAGCCAATCACACGTCTATGTTCAATATCAGCCTGATCGACGTGAATTCAGTCCAATCCTGAAAAATTAACCCTTTACTAAACATCAGATAATTAAGAACAGAGGGAGGAGAAAAGCTCTTTACTGCGTCTTTAAATTAACTTTAACAGACGTTTTTAACAGAGTCTGAATCTGCCGCGACTTAAAGCTCCTGTGAGGAACTTCTGGGCTGTGTTGATTTTGGCGCCCCCTGTGGACAAAGTGTTTTTTTGCTTTCTGATATGAGTTTCAGTCTAACGCCTGGGCCCCCGTCAGAGTTTTCAGACATTAGAAATGATTTTATTGAAACTCTGTTTTGACGGTGGTCATGTTTAATCTCCTCACAGGAGCTTTAAATCCACTCAAATTTAACTCCAAGTTTCTTTTGTGTTTCTGTTTCAGTTTTCATGAAACTGTTTTAAATTTGGGGACCTGAAGTTTTTTCAGAAAGAGACTTTAAAGAAAAAAAAACAACCGTGTGGTGAATTCAGAAAATTCAGAATTTTGATGTTTTTATAAATTCAGAATTTTGACTTTTTCACAAGATTCTGATTTACATGAAAAAACCCAAAAAACACAGTTCAGAACCAGGATAAGGTGTTCTGGTTCTGATTCTGTTTATTACATAATTTTGACTTTTTTCCTGAGAATTCTCTAAATTTTCCAGGATTCTAACGTTGATTTTAGATTCTGACGACTTCATGATCTCTGAATTCAGAATTTCTTTTTTTTCTACATTCTGACTTCGATCTCTAATTTCTCTGAAACTGGGACTTTTTAGAAATCTCAGAATTTTGTCTTTATTACAGAAATCTCAGGAAAAAGAATCAAAAACAGATTTTTTAAATTTATTTCATTGTCCTTCGTTCTTTTCTGTTTAAAGTTTTAATGAAGTTTTAGAAAAATAACTTCTCTCTCCTCCGTGTTTTCTTTTACTGTCGTCTCTGTTTCTGAAAATGTTCAGACATCAAAATGTTTAAAATCTTTTATGAAACATGTTTTTTTCATTATTACTGACAAAATGATTTTATGAATGAAAACAAAAAAAAGATGTTTTGACTCCTTAAAACGATTAAAGAAACTCGGAGCAGAAACTTCGCTGTTTTCCGATGAAGCTGAAGGTCGGCGGTTCAGACGTGTGAAAATGTCGACTCGGATTATTTTGTGCTTCTTCGACTTCAGATCGTCGTCAGAAATGAACGAATCTTTTCCTCTTTGACTCAAACTGACGTAAACAAACATCAACATCCTCGACTTTAAACTCTTTTCAGCTCCTTTGGGTTTTTTTTCATAAATAACAAAATAAAGTCGTCTGCAGTAAAACGGAGAAAGTAAAGAGTAAAGATTTCTGCTGTCTTAGAATATCATAGGAACAATAGAAGATTTGATTTACAATACGGTCGTTTTTCTTCTTTTCAAAAGCTCCGCCTCCTTTTCAAAGTTTAAGGTAACTGATGGTCTCAGGTAGCGTCAAAGTCTCCGCCTCCTCCTGAAACTTCTGAAGTACTAAAATAGTTCTGAGAGACCAAATACTCCGACCCCGGCGGCGTTGGCGGCGGCTCGGGGCAGAAAAACGTCCCGATGGAGGTTCATATTTCTGAAACATCGTCTCGAACCTCCGATTGTGACTGCATGATGTCCGTTAAATAAACCAAAGAGCGTCATGGCGTCTCCTCTTTGTCCGTGGCTTCTTTGTCGCTGCTTCATTCCAACGCCATCCAACATGGCTTCCTGACGAGGATTTCTCCCAGAATCCTCCTCTTCCTCCTCATCTGAACTAAAAGGTTAAATCTGTAGGAAACTCTTCTCTGCATAATCAGACGAGGGGACAACTGTGTTCCCCCCCGTCTCCGGGACGTAAAGGTGTCCAACAGGTTGTCTTTTTGTTTCCATGACGACGACGACGGCGGTCCTCAGTCCGGCAGTCTTTTCCTCTGTGAGTCTGAAGGCACTTGATGTCATGGCGAGGGCGGAGCTTCCTCCTCCTCCTCCTCAGACAGACAGACGTCAAAATGAAAGTCGTTTTAAAAACACCGCCGTCTGCTGCGCGCTGTAAAAAGTGACCTTCCCCCCAAAAAGAGAGACTGCCGTCTGTCCGTCCGGCTCCGTGTACAGTACTGTTGATCTGTGGAGGGGGAGGAGGGGTGAGAGAGGGGAGGATGGAGGGATGGAGGGATGGAGGGATGGAGGGAGGACAGGAGGAGGACAGGAGGAGGACAGGGGGAGGACAGGGGGAGGCGACATTCAAGCTTTTATTTCCTCTCTTCTCTCCGACTAACGCGCCGGTTTTTCTCTGTGCTTTGTGGCGCTGAGCTGAAAACCAAAGGTCAGAGGTCGACCAGAGGGGGCGGGGACAGAAGAGCCATCAGCAAATCAACATTTGCACATGACCATCTGTGTCATCAGGGGGCGGAGCCAGATTTATGTCAACGCAAACAAAAATCTGCTACAACCAAAAAAGTGACGATCGAACCGGTTCTGACGGAGAACCACGTCTCCAACTTCTGAGGTGAAGGTCCGACAGGTAGGTCACATGACCGGGTCTAAGACGGACCTTCAGAGAGGCGGAGTCTCTCAGAAGGAAAGACTAAAGAGGTTCAGGACTCTGAGAGAGACGGCGTGAGCGAAGAGTTCAACAGTTTGAGAAGATTTCATCGTCTTCAGAAGATCAGATCAGAGGGTCTAAAGAAATCTCTGGACTAAAGCGGGACGAGGACGACTGGACTTAAGTATTTATCAATATCTAATAATTATTGATAAAGACCTTCTTAGATAATCAAAGTTCTAGTTTTTCACTCCCTCCCTCTGATAACCTTTGACCTTTAGTGTCCGCCCTCTTGACAGGAAGTCTCTCTGGAGCTCTGACCGAGTCTTTGGTAGTTTGTGGGGGGGGGGGGGGGGGTGATGATGGGGGATGAAGATGGAGGGTCAAAGGTCAAGGTTTCTTGTTCTGAAGGGGGGGGGGTCACCTCTGCCAGCCAATCACAGCCAGACTCAGAGTGACACACAGCTGCCATATATGGGGCGAGGAGGGCGGGGCGTTTGTCCGTAGATCTGAAAGAGAGAGAGCGGTGAGGAGGCGTGATGAGTCAGCAGGAAATATTTTATTTATTTAATCTGGTCTGAACATCTATGAACTCTAACTCTGTAACTCTGTAGGATCTAGTGTAGATTTTAACATCTATGACAGATATAGACGTTCTAGACTCAGACTGAGGGTCACTTACTTTTAGGGGGCGGGTCTTTACATTCACCCTCTTCAATTGTGACATCATCGATGGCGATATCTCCCTCGATACCCGCCCCTCGAACGCCCTCGATCACCAACTGTCAATCAAACACACAGAGAAAAATGATCAGCAAAAAAATAATGGACTTCCTGTGGCTATTTCAAAATAAAAGCCAGATTGAATTTAATTGTTGAAAAGTGGGTGTGGTCAGTTATATGGTGGGTGTGGTCTGTAATCTTGTGGGTGTGATCCTTGATCTGGTGGGTGTGGTCTGTTGTTATGTGGTATTGGTCTGTATTTTGGTGGGTGTGGTCTATTAAGGGTGGGCGTGGTCTGTAATATGGTGGGCCTGTCTTGTAATCCAGTGGGCGTGGTCTGTAATCTGGTAGGTGGGCCTGTCTTGTTATCTGGTGGGCGTGTCCTGTATTATGGTGGGCCTGTCTTGTTATCTGGTGGGCGTGTCCTGTATTATGGTGGGCGTGGTCTGTAATCTGGTGGGCGTGTCTTGTAATCTGGTGGGCGTGTCCTATATTTGGGTGATTGTGGTCTGTTATCGTGTGGGTGTGCCCTGTAATCTGGTGGGTGTATCCTGTAAATCTGGTGGGCGTGTCTTGTAATCAGGTGGGCGTGTCCCATACCTGGAAGGCTGCTGTCGGGTGGATGTTGACCTTGGCTTGTCTCCAGCGGTCTCCTTGGTTACCGGTCAGAGTCCAGACGGACGTGTCGGTCACAGTCTGACCTTTCTGACGCAGGAGGACGTTCAGAGCTCCTGCGGACACAAACAGGGTCAGGTTCTGGATCTGGACCTGGACCCGGTTCTGATCAGACTGACTCTAACCCGTGAACTCACCGATGTGTTTCCCGTACATGTGGTAGAAGAAGGCGAAGCAGTAGGTGGGGCTGTTGGCGGAGGGGGCGGGGTTCTTGGTGTTCATGTTGAAGGTCGGCGACAGGAGGCGGGCTTTGTCTCCCTCCAGCCTCGGCCGCGACGTTTCGATGTACATGTAGAAACCTGAGAGGGTCACAAACAGGAAACACTTTCATTAGTCAGAGAATTTAACCCCTGACCCCGCCTCGCTCCGCCCTCCCCGACCAGCGCAGATTAACCCAGGAGGGCAGCGGCGCTAAGAGCTAATGTGAGAGAGCGAGCTGCAGAAACGGCGGCGAGGACGACAAATCCGCCCCCGGCTGATCCCGCACAGAAACGTCACGAACGAAAGAGAACAGGAGAGAACAGACGGTCACGCCTGTTTCCTGTTTGACAGCAGATTCTAACGTTCACCCCGAGGCGCGCTTTAATGAGAGTCTACTGCAGAGCGAGGCGAGCCGCCGCCACCGCCGCCGCAGAAGAAGAAGAGGAAGAGGAAGAGGAGCGAGGAAACGAGGAGGAGGAGGAGGAGGAGGAGGAGAGGAGCGACAAAGTGCAGCTGTCAGACGTGGACGGTGGAGTTATTTGAACCTTTGTTTACTCCGATTAGACTCAGCGCTGACAGATCTGCTCCTCAGAGGGACAGGGACAGACTCTGAGATTAAACCCAGTTCACCTCAAACACAAGACCAGAACCTGGACATGACCCACTCAGACCCGGTTAGGGTTCTTCACTGAGTGTCAGGATGGTGGAAAAACAGCGTTACTATGACGACAGATCATCTTTTAGATCAGAGATGTTATTAAAACACACTTTTATTGTTTTTATTTACTAATATGGTTTGTTTGGTTTTTGTTATCATCTGTCTCCATGTCTGCTCTAAAGACTCTTCAGGGTCCCAAAGAATCTCCACCTTCATCCTGATCGTCTCCTAAAAGGTCGTATCCTCCGATCGTAGCTGATCGTAACCATTCAAGTTAACGTGTCAATTTACACCGACTTCTTTCCGTTCCTCTGAGGATCGCCGGACTCCTCAGCTGATCACAAGAGTTCTATTTTTTCTGGACGCCGGAGCATGGCGGATAAATTCAGCACAGATTAACCCGTGCTGGAAAGGAAGTCGGGCACAGACACAAAATAAAACATCCGGCTTCTTTTCAAAATAAAACACTTCCTGTTTCAGGAGGATCGTATTTCACACCATGCAAACGGGCGGAGACGAACAAGTGAAAGGTTTTTAGACGTCATTTCACCCCGATGACACCATGGATGAGGAGATGCTGATTCTAGAAGTCTAGAAGTAGATTTCCTCCTCTGGAAGGACACAATCTACTGCTTATATGTCTATGTGTCTGTCTTTAGAGAGACAACTCGTTATCGTGTGATTGAACGTGAATCTGCAGGTTCTTGTGAGTTCTCATGATTCCTGCGTCTCTTATCCACCACGAAATTCACCTCACAAACAGATCCAGTTGGAATCGGCAGACGGTGGAAATAATCTGTGGATTTTCTGAGTCCTGATCCTGGACCTTCATGTCCTCACTGTCTCTGTGGAGACACTCTTTCTGTCTTTCTTTCTCCTCGTTCTTGAACGTCTGTTCTTTGTTTCTCTTCTTTGTTTCTGTCGTTAAATCCCGACGTTCAGTTTTGAAGACGTCTGAATAAAACCCGTCGGTCCGTCTGTTACGTGTCTCCGACAGATGAAACTAAAGTCTCAGCGCCGGACTGTCAGGACTCTCCGGGACAGGATCTAAACTGATCTGGATCTAAGTGAGACTCAGCGGACACTTTGACGGGCCGGCTCACTGATCCAGAGTCGGTTCTGACAGAACAAAGACGACTCGCTCAGAGAGAGGCGCTCCACTGTCAGTTTGTGTTTGTCTCTCTGTGTTCGATCTGAGATGATTACAGATTATTTCAGATGAAGCTTTAATCTGATCTCAGGTCTTCACTGACGTCGAACTTCTCACACGTCTTCCTCCCTCAACGTTTCCTCCAGCTCAAACTTTCTGAATCTGAACCCGCAGCAGAACTGAGCGCGGCGCGGCGCCCTGTCCGTCAAACTGCTCTCATTCAGTCAGCCCAGCCCACTGCTTATCCAGCTCACAGTGGGCGTCGCCCGCCCGTGACGACGGTTCGAGACCGGAGCGAGGTTAAACTCTGTCTGTTTTAATCCCACTGTTCTATAAATCCATCCTACCCGTCCAGATGTCCCATCATGCCTCACTGCACATGTGCACAAAAACGTAATTTAGCGACTTTGTCATAAATTCATCGACCGACACACAGCTGATGGATTAAAGTCACAATGGGAGATTTTTTATCTCCTTTATCAGTTTAAACTAATTTACTGATTAAAGCTGTTTTTAAAGAGTCATTTAATCGTGTTAGCATGTGTTAGCATGTGTCGCTACGATTTACGATAAAATCAAAGAAAATAAATAAAAAGTCAAAAATTTATAAATTTTAAAAACTTTAAAAACTTTTAAAACTGTTTTAAATGTTTTTGTATCAGGCTGTAAACGTGTTTATTTCTGCTGTTCAGTTTTATATGGAGCTCTATGAGGACGGACTCACTGCAGGACACACCCCTAGTGGACATTTGGGGAACTGCAGTTTTAGGGATTTTTATTCATTTGTGTGCGTGTGTGTGTGTGTGTGTGTGTGTGCGTACCCTGTTTGGAGCCGTTGTGGTCCGAGCTCGGCCCGGTGTTCGGGGTGTATTTCGTGTTTCGTGTGGCGGCGCTGTGACGCGTCCAGTCGAACACGTCCGTTTTGTCCTGTGAGAATAAACACATGTTCTCGTCCTCGAAACCGCACTGGAACTCCCCTGAAAACACACACACACACATAAACACAGAGTTAAAATCACACACACACACTTTAACCTCTGAGGTCAGTGAAGCGGGTCTGTGTTCAGAGATACTCACTGAGGTGTGGGTTGACCGGAGCTGAGGAGGGACAAAAAGAGAAACTTGGTTAGAAGATCTGAGGAGACGAGTCACACATTCATGAACTTTAAAACAATCAGAGGTTTTTCAGAGTAAAACAGGAAGTTAAAGTCTCCCTTCAGAGTAAAACAGGAAGAGAACCCTGACCCAGCAGCAGATCTGACACAGTCAGCTGTTTTTTAATCTGATTTTCAGCGTGAAGGTAATTACACCAAACGTCTCACACACACACACACACACACACTCACACACACACACTCAAACACGGTGCAGCTGCTGGAGACCGAGTGTGTGAACAGCTGCTGCGTTATTTGGAAACAAGCTCGAGCTTCGTTATCAAGCAGCACTAATTGATGAGCTCTGGGTGTGTGTGTGAGTGTTCTTGTATCTGTCTCCTTGTGAGGACACGTCTTCAAACCTACGTTTCGAACTTCGGGACTTCATCGGAGATTTTATCGGAAACATAAATTCTTGACCTTTGAATTAAAAAGTAAATTTTTAACACGTAGAAGAGATTTATCTGTTAAACCTGAATGTTTGGTGAATCTATACTCTATTATCTATACTAAAATTGTTTCCTTTTTTTTTTCCTCTTTTTTGTTTCTTTTCTTTTCCCTCCCCTTTTATTTCTTCATCTTTTTTCTCCTTTTTCCTTTTTTCTTCCTCTTTCTTTCTCTTTTTCTTACTTTTTCTCCTCTTCTTATTTCCTTCCTGTTTTTCCCCCCTTTTTTATTTTTAAACTTTCTGTTTTTTCCTTTTTCTCCTCCTTTTTCCTTCCTCCTTTCTTCTCCCCTTTTATTTCTCCCTTTTTTTCTTCACCTGCAGACATTTTCCCTCACATTTCTTCTTCTCTGACCACTTCCTGTGAACTTCAACACGACTATAAATATCTACGACTTTTAAGTTCCAGCTGCAGTTAAACAGCAAACTGGAGACCTTAAAGTAAGTGTGTTATTGTGTGTATATGTGTGTGTATATAAGTGTGTGTGTGTGTGTGTGTGTGTGTGTGTGTGTGTGTGTGTGTATTAATGTGTGTGTGTATGTAAGTGTGTGTGCAGCTCCTCGGCCTCACACTGTCCCAGATACGCAGCGCGAACTCAAACCAGCTCTGCTAACTCGCCGTGACATCATCCACCACACCTCCTCTACTCTGTGGAGAGAGAGGCTGAGCCTGCAGGACACACACACACACACACACACTCACACACACAAACACACACACACACACACACAAACACACACACAGACACACACTTTGGGATGACTCTCAGTTTAGTTCGACCTGCAGAGAGAAAATCCATCAGAGTTTCATTTACTTTATTTACTCATGGAAGTGTGTGTGTGTGTGTGTGTGTGAGTGTGTGTGTGTGTGCGTGCGCTGCAGGCTGTCGTCTCCTCACTGCTGTTAAAGGTCATGTTGTCGGTACTCGGTGTCTCCATTTGTTCAGGTGAACTTTTTTACAAGCATCACTTTTACTCTGAAAATCTCAGTTTCCTGTTTGATGTTTCTAAGAAGCAGATCCAGGATCAGGTCTGCCTCTGATGGTCCCCGTACCATCAGGTCTTTTCAGGTCTTTATACCCGAGAATATCTAGACTGGAGACGAGTCATCTCCGGGAACTGGTAAATAAAAAACTGAAAACGAACAGTTTTTCATTTTGATCGTAAAATCAGAGAAAGAAAAAACAGCTCAGCGTTTGACCTCCTGAGACGCGGCTTTAAACGGAAATCGTGAAGCGTGGAAATCCTGCGTTGGTCTGTGTTCCTCTCAGACTCTCACAGGTAAAAGAAAAACTGCGGACTAACCCTTTAAATTCCCGCAGACACCTGAAGGCAGCGCGCTCTCACAGCTGCGTGTTTACTTCACTGACGCTCAGAACAAACAGCTGAGCTGACGTCTGACAGATGTCAGGCGGTGACCTGCAGAAGGTCATGTAACCCCCCCGAGCGCCGTCAGGTGGAGGTGTTTACCTTTGGCGGCGTCAGCTGATGAGCTGTCTGAACTTCCTGTTTGAACCCCGGCTGAGTTAATGCGAGGATCAGGGGGCGAGGCGTTCGCTGACAGTCTGTCAAACTCAACATCACAGAGCCCACGGGTTCACGCTCAGACCGCCTCTTCTTCTTCTTCTTCTTCTCGCCGTGAGTTCCTGCGTTTGTCGCCGTGGTTTCTCTTCTTCTTCTTCTGTGGTGTTTTTTGTTCTTTCAGACGTCGACGTGTCTCTGAGATGATTTTAGATTCCCGTCAGGATTTCTGTCTGACAGTTTTTATCTCTTTTCTTCTTCTCCTGTTTTTTTTATTTATTATTTTTTCATGTAAATAAAGACGAGCGGCGTCGGCGTTTGAGAACACAAACCGAACGACGAAGCAGAAACCGAGTCGAGAGGATGAAATATTTAAAGATCGGGTTTTTGAGGCGGAGGGAGCGCTCAGGTATGAATTATTCGTTATTATCCTCCATAAACTCACGTCTTTATGTCTCTGCTCCTGTTCACTGGTCCGGGTGATTATTCTTACAGCACTAGAATCAGAACCAGTGATGAAAACGGGTCAGGGACAGAATCCTGGACCGATCCGGGTCATGTGATTAAAGCTCCAGTCAGGAGTTTTACCTGATTATTAAAAAGACTAAAAATAAACAAACATGTTTCTACAGGAGCGACAAAAACTAATAAGACCAAAGATCTCTAAACCCTGACTTTATAAACCTGCAACCATCTCAGGGGGCGGAGCCAAGATCATCTCAGGGGGCGGAGCCAAGATCATAGAGAAGAAAAGAAGACCTCAGACCAGGTCTACAGAAGTCTAACCCCCAATTTCCTGAGCTGGATGGACGCAGATGTTGCTCCTAAATCTGGAGATGTTGTCTAAAACTGAGGATGCAGCATCTATGATTTCTAGTTCTTCGTTGAAAGGCGAAACGTCCCGAGTAAGTCCAGTTGTCCTTTCCAAAAGAATGTTACCCCAACTTCCACCTTCATCCTGATCGTCTACTAAAAGGTCGTATCCTCCGATCGTAGCTGATCGTAACCATTCAATGAAGAACTAGAAATCCTAGATGCTGCATCCTCAGTTTTAGACAATATCTCCAGATTTAGGAGGAACATCTGCATCCATCCAGCTGTGGAAATTGGGGGTTAGACTTCTGTAGACCTGGACTGAGGTCTTCTCTTCTTCTCTATGATCTTGGCTCCGCCCCCTGAGGTGATCTTGGCTCCGCCCCCTTGATGTGGTTGCAGGTTTATCATCTGTCCACTCCTGCTGATCAACGGTTAGGTTAGTCTACGACAGTCTGCCCAGACCTTCTTCTCCCTCAGAGGAACTCTCAGGTGTTCTCAGACCATCAGGATCCATAATCCCTCTGGACAGTTCTGGTTCTACCCCCCGGGTCTCCTCCAGGCGGTCTGGACCTTAAAGACCTCTGACAGGGAGGCGTCAGAGAAACGTCTTTATCTGAAGGAGCTCTGAAGGAACACCTCAGGGCTCATGACCCCCCTCAGACTCAGAGGAGGTCCGACTCCACCCATGACCACACCCACTTCACCAGGAGTCGGACGCTAACGAAGGCGAGCGACGTTCATGTCATAGAGGAGAAAGATGTCATACCGCTGTACATGATGATGCGTTCGGTGGCGTCCCCCTCTCCGTAGCGGGTGATGGGGGTGAGGCGGATCAGGTAGGACTCGGGTTTGATGAGTTCGGTCAGGTTGTAGGTCAACAGCTCCCCCTTCTGGATGTTCCCCTCCATGGGGATCTCCTGCTCCCACCAACGGGACTGAGTCATCTGAAAAACAAGAACACCTCCATCAGACCGCGTGTGTGTCTGTGTGTGTGTGTGTGTGACAGTAAACTTTGTGTATTTTGTCAAACACTTCCTCTTCTTCTTCTCTTCCTCTTTATTCTGCACACACACTCCTGCTCCTCCTCCTTCTTCCTCTCCTCTCTCCCATCTTCATTTTCTGTCCCATCAGCACTTCTCCTCTCTCTCTCTCTCTCTCTCTCTCTCTGCAGCACACTCGTCCGTATGAATGGAGAGACAGGCCGGTTGCCATAGCAACAAGCCCTCCTCCTCCTCCTCCTCCTGATTCTCTGAAGTCAGACTGATGCAGCAGGAGCCTCAGGTAGAATCTCAGCATCACGTCCAGATCTGTTCGTTCTAGATCGTCTTTGCGTTTTATCGTTAAAGAGTTTACGAAGAGACGACCTTTTTAACGGAAATAAAATCAGATCTGACCTGAGGGGGGCGACAGAGAGCCAATGAGAAGAGTCAGCTCGTTTAAAAGGACAACTGGACTTAGTGGCGAAACGTCTCAACTAAGTCCAGTTGTCCTTACAACGAAGGATCGGAAATCATAGATGCTGCATCCTCAGTTTTAAACAAGATCTACAGGTTTAGGAGGAACATCTGCAGAGTTCATGTGAGGAGACTCTGAAGCTCCTGAATCCAAACTGAGTTTATCTGTGAGTGTCAGGGCTTGACAGTTTCCCTGTAAACACGGCGGTGAAGTTAGTTTTAGGTTGGATATATTCTCCTGTAAATATGGCGGTGAAGTTAGTTTCAGGTTGGATATATTTTCCTGTAAATACGGCGGTGAAGTTAGTTTCAGGTTGGATATATTTCCCTGTAAATACGGCGGTGAAGTTAGTTTTAGGTTGGATATATTTTCCTGTAAATACGGCAGTGAAGTTAGTTTCAGGTTGGATATATTTTCCTGTAAATACAGCGGTGAAGTTTGTTTCAGGTTGGATATATTTTCCTGTAAATACGGCGGTGAAGTTAGTTTCAGGTTGGATATATTTTCCTGTAAATAAGGCGGTGAAGTTAGTTTCAGGTTGGATATATTTTCCTGTAAATACGGCGGTGAAGTTAGTTTCAGGTTGGATATATTCTCCTGTAAATACGGCGGTGAAGTTAGTTTCAGGTTGGATATATTTTCCTGTAAATACGGTGGTGAAGTTAGTTTTAGGTTGGATATATTTTCCTGTAAATACGGCGGTGAAGTTAGTTTTAGGTTGGATATATTTCCCTGTAAATACGGCGGTGAAGTTAGTTTCAGGTTGGATATATTTTCCTGTAAATACGGCGGTGAAGTTAGTTTTAGGTTGGATATATTTTCCTGTAAATACGGCGGTGAAGTTAGTTTCAGGTTGGATATCTGACGGACATTCTCTGAGGATCTACCGGTGTCTTCTCACTCTCCATAACCGGGAATAACAACAGCAGCGCGGTTAAATCTACTCGACACCCTCACTGTCAACGTCGGTGTTGAATAAGGGACCGTCAATAAATTACCGGTTGATGTTCTCAGAAAAGGCTGTTTTCCTTCAATAGCTTCACTGTCATGTGACCAAAAGACCTAAAATTGATTTCTAATAACAGTACTAAGGTCGATCAATAAGACAAACATTAATTGATCAGTTTTCATTGATCCCTTTAATTTATTTATCCCTATAACTTAAAAAAACATGTGAACAAAGTTAGAGTCGAACCCTGAGTGTCCTGATCGTAGAAGAGCGACAGTCGAGTTAAAGAGAGGAAACTGAAAACAAATTAGAGCTCAGTCATAATTCTCACACACACACACACACACACTCACACACACACACACACTCTCTGACGGTTCAATCTGAATATCTGTCCCGGATCATAAACCTTCTGGATCGGGTTTTACGGCCTCATCACGTTTTATCGTCTGAATCCGACGGTGTCAAAACAAAACAAAGATTTCACTCTCCGTGTTTATGAGCCCGGATAACAAACTCGTCAATCATCTGATCCGTTTAGAGTCTGGACCGGGTCTGGTACTGACCTGTCTGATCCCGAGTCTGTAGGCCAGGATCCGGTCCACGGCGTTGGGTTCCATCTGAGTCCACTGAAGCTTGAAGCCATAGACCCGAGGTTTGTTCTGCCACAGAGCGCTGTAGGTGTCGTAGTAAAACTCAGGGGGGTAGGCCTTACCTGAGAGGACACACACACACACACACACACACACACACACGAGCACACACACACACACACACACAAACACACACAAATGTTGAAGTCAGAGTGTTTTAATCTCACAGGCAGCAGGATTATGACACTCCAGTTAATATGACAGCAAACACTCTGTACGAGTGTGTGTGTGTGTGTGTGTGTGTGTGTGTGTGTGTGTGTGTGTGTGTGTGTTCTCGCTGATGTGTCAGTCGGAGGATTAAAACCACCAAAGAAGAAGAAGAAGAGCTCACCTGACTGGACACATTCAACACACTGAGGCTGACAGCACTAAGCTGCGCTCTGATTGGCTGACTCAGCCGACATCATCACAGCGCTGTGGTGACTCAGAAACGGACTCAGTAATCCAACACGGAAGAAAACCCCCAGGAACAAGACCAGATACTGGACCCAACCAGAACCAGAACAATGAAACAAGATGGCTGCATCTACGAAAGATATTTGAGCGCTTACCTTATATTTGGACAAGGCGAACGCTAAAATAACGCAGATCTAACCATCTCGTTTACGCCTCCGATTTTGCATTTTTTCCGACTTTGTAACACAAACGCGGTCTACCTCCGTTTTAAGCGCCCGTTATTCCTCCAGAGTCTCCGGTATTTACTTTGTTTTCTTGCTTGTGTCGGCAGTCGTGGCCAAAGGAGGATTCCGACAATTTTCCGAACTTTCTGGTTGGTTTCTACTGTCCGATATTGTAGCACGCTAACTTTGTTTGGGCTCCTGAACGACACGGGGGAGCAGGGTTTTCTTGTTGACTGTTTTGTGTTGACCGGTTTGGTGTTGACTGTTTTCTTGTTGACTGTTTTCTTGCTGACAGTTTTCTTGTTGACTGATTATGGTTGACTGTTTTCTTGTTGACTGTTTTCTTGCTGACTGTTTATGTTTGAGTGTTTTCTTGCTTGTGTCGGCAGTCGTGGCCAAAGGAGGATTCAGACAATTTTCCGAACTTTCTGGTTGGTTTCTACTGTCCGATATTGTAGCACGCTAACTTTGTTTGGGCTCCTGAACGACACGGGGGAGCAGCGTCTGCCTCACAACCAATCAGGTTAGAGGAGGTGGAGAACGGCTTTGTTTACAGTCAGAAAGAGCGGACCGCTCAAAAATGTTCAAATGTTGACGACACAGACAGAAGAGAACACAGAGATATCGATATATTACCAAATAATCAATAACTAATAACTATTGACTGATAATCAAAGACACGTAACCTAAAGGTAAAAACTGCGGACTGCTCCTTTAAATTATGCAGCGAGGACATCAGAACAACGGCGTGGAGGAAACGGAGCGAAGAGCGAAGATAAATCTGATGGTCTGTGTGATAATCGAAGAACAGAGGGGGGCGGGCCGGTATCAGAGACAGCCGCTCTTCTCACGGCCGACCTCAGAGCGTCTGTTTGTCGTCGCTGAAGCTCTGAACATTATTTATGACGCCTTCAGGTCTCCGGGGAAAAACGGCGCCGAGTCTGTCGGCGTTTACGATTTCAAGAGCAGATAAAGTCTAATTACTCGTCTTGTTCTCGTCCTCCTGATGTAAACAGTTTAAGATCGGCTCAGAGTTCCCATCAGGCCTTGGGGTGCACACACACACACACACACACACACAGGATCAGAGGACGGAGTTATTTCCTCTCACCTGTAACCAGGAAGGTGCAGCGCCCCGCCCCCGCCTCGTTGGTGATGTCACAGGTGTACTCGCCGTAGCCCTCGCGGTTCAGCGCTTTGACCTGGTAGTTGGTGTCGTCCCGCTGCTCGCTGAACTGTCCCACGGTGAGGAGGCGGGACCCCAGCTTCCACTCGTACCTGAGGAGGCGGGCCGGGTGAGCGCGCAGCAGGCGGCAGGTGAGGCTGAACGCCCGTCCGAGCGCCTGACGGATCTCCGTGAACACGGGCTCCACGACGGGGGGGACTGTGAGAGAGACGGGGGAGAGAGACGGGAGAGAGAGAAGGATCATCAGAACCGGGTCAGAACCGGGTCAGAACCGGGTCAGAACCGGGTCAGAACCGGGTCAGAACCAGGTCAGAACCGGGTCAGAACCAGGTCCAGGAGAAACTCAGACAGGTTATAAATCACCTGTTTAAAGAGTCGGTTTAGAGACTCGAGTGATTTACTCCAAAACTGACAGACCGCAGAGAACTTCTATAAAATATAGATCTATGTTTCTACAACAATCTCACATGAAGAGTCTAGAGGGTTTAGATCTGCGTTTTCATTCACACACACACACACACTCACTCTCACACACACACACACACACACAAACACACACTCACACACACACACTCTCACACTCACACTCACACACACACACTCACACACACACACACACACACACTCTCTCAGATAAAGGTCTGCGGTTCATCTCCGCCCCCCAGACTTGTTTCCAGAACCGTCCCCTCTGAGGGACTCGGTCCAGGAACATCTAAAGGTCAGCTGGACGCCTTTGCCGCACGCCGACCTTCAGCCGAGCGCTCTGATTGGTCGGAACAGACTTCTGACAGAGCTGTTGAATTCCCACAATGCACTGCTGAGGCGCCTGTTCCAGCTCATTAACGAGATTTCATCCTGATAACTTTAGAGGGTATAGATCTATGGTTCTAGAGAGGGTAGATGTATGGTTCTAGAGAGGGTAGATCTATGGTTCTAGAGAGGGTAGATCTATAGTTCTAGAGAGGGTATAGATCTATGGTTCTAGAGAGGGTAGATGTATGGTTCTAGAGAGGGTAGATCTATGGTTCTAGAGAGGGTAGATCTATAGTTCTAGAGAGGGTATAGATCTATGGTTCTAGAGAGGGTAGATGTATGGTTCTAGAGAGGGTATAGATGTATGGTTCTAGAGATTGTAGATATATGTTCTAGAGAGTGTATATCTATGTTTCTAAAGAGTATAGATGTATGGTTCTAGAGAGTGTACATCTACGGTTTTAGAGAGTATAGATGTATGATTCTAGAGAGTGTGGATCTATGGTTCTAGAGATTGTAGATGAGTGGTTCTAGAGAGTGTAAATCTATGTTCTAGAGAGTATAGATGTATAGCTCTAGAGAGTGTAAATCTATGCTTCTAGAGAGTGTAGATCTATGGTTCTAGACTCTAGAACATATATCTATACCCTCTAGAATCTAGAGGGTATAGATATATATGTTCTAGAGAGTATAGATATATGTTGCTAGATAGTATAAATGTATGGTTCTGTAGAGTGTAGATCTATGGTTCTAGACAGTTTTGATAAATGGTTTTAGATTGTATAGATGTATGGTTCTAGAAAGTATAGATCTATGGTTCCAGAGAGTATAGATGTATGGTTCCAGAGAGTGTAGATGTATGTGTCAGAGAGTGTAGATGTATGGTTCTAGATTCCTCTGAGGGTCTGTGAAGACTCTGTAACCTCCTCTGAAGTGGTCTTGGATTAAACTCTTTGCTAATCCGCGTTAATCTGGAACCTCTGTCGGTTTATTGAAGTGGTTTTTCATACTGGAGTCCGTGTTCTCGCTCCTCTTCGGCGGCGTCTCTCTGATTGTGTTTTTTTGCTGACTCGTCACGCCGCTGTCGTCCCTGTAATCCCCGTTGACTAACGACCTCGGTGGGATTTGGTCCAACAGCTGCTGTCACGGTTCCTCCGCTCTCTGAAGAGATCATTTCCAGCCCGGCGTGTCGGTAACCCCGGAGGAGGAGGAGGAGGAGGAGGATGTTCGTCAGAGAGGATTGTGGGACGTCACCTCTGCTCATCGCTGTCATCCCGTTAATCCAGAGCAAACCCACCAGACTGAGAGGGATTACGGTGGGACTAAAACCCCAAAAACTGCCCCCCCAGCTCTGTGTTCTGGGTACAGCTGTGATCAGCCTGGTCCTGGTCCTGGTCCTGAGTGGACCCCGTCACAAACATAGATGTTCATTCTTCCTGTTTCCTCTTAAACACAGTCAGGATCTATGTGTTTCGGCTCTATCTCAGTAATCCACCTGTAATCTGACCGCTGCAGCACTAATCTGCTTAGAGACGCTGGGAAATGACAAAAACACGCAGAGGAAGTTTAGAGGAGAACCGGCCCACATCTGTCAGAACCTCATCTGAGGAGAACCGAACCAGGTCTTAGTGCCGCCCCCCACAGAGGAGCGGGGATCCAGAGTCTCAGAACCGGGTTCTGGGGCCTCATTTATAAACGCTGATGGACGTGATCGACCGCATTTGATTTCTCGGCCTCGTCATTGATGGACGTGATCGCAGCACCGCCGCCGCCCTGCTGGAACACCCTGGAATTACGTCCAAATGCCTCAAGTGTATTCAGTGTATCTGTGTCCGCCTCCGTCACCACACCGTTCTCGATGATCCTCGCCAGCTGGAGGTGAGCTCCGGCGTGCTCCGGCGTGCTCCGGCGTGCTCTGTCGACCACCTGACGTAGAGGGTAACACGTCTTTTCTCCACCTCATCTTTTAGTGTTTGAATGAAGTTTCTCTTTTTCGCCCGTTATCCGTCTCGGTATCATTGATTATTCGTACGGGGCGTTCACCTGACCTTTTATAGGCACAATGTGGGCGGAGCAAAGCGTTCTCTCACGTGCGTCAACTTTAGAGTTAACTGATTTATAAACGGAATTCCTGTGTTTCCTCAGTTTTATAAAGGAGGCCCGGTTCTCCTCCTAGAACCCGATGTTCTGGTTTGTTCAGAGTTTGTAGAACAGCTGCAGGTTAGAGCGTGCTGAGTCAGCAGAAACATCCGCCTGTACTTGGAAACGCTGACAGATCCCCTGATACTCGCTCGCTCTCTCTCTCTCTCTCTCTCTCTCCCTCTCTCTCTCTCTCTCTCTCTCTCTCTCTCTCTCTCTCTCTCTCTCTCTCTCTCTCTCTCTCTCTCTCTCTCTCTCTCTCTCTCTCTCTCTCTCTCTCCCTCCCTCTCTCTCCCTCTCTCTCTCTCTCTCTCCCTCTCTCTCCCTCTCCCTCCCTCTCTCTCTCTCTCTCTCCCTCCCTCCCTCTCTCCCTCCCTCTCTCTCTCCCTCCCTCTCTCCCTCTCTCTCTCTCTCTCTCTCTCTCCCTCCCTCTCCCTCTCTCTCTCTCTCTCTCCCTCTCTCTCTCTCTCTCTCTCTCTCTCTCCCGTTTCTCCGCCGCTGTTCTGAGGTGCTGCGCTCTGATTGGTCCTCGTCCGTGGGTTTGTTTAGACAGCACCATCTGTGAAGACAGCGGCGTTGGCTGAGTGCAGCAGGCGGCGGCGTGTTCACGAGTGTGAGGAGGACAGTGAGTAAACGGCGAGGAGGATCCTCTGCAGGCGGTGACGAAGGCCAGGACGCCGCCCCTCCTCCTCCTCCTCCTCGCCGTCAGGCTGGTTGAGGAGACGAGCGTCCTCGGCCAAACACTGATACCCCTGAGGTGTTCCACCGAGCAGGAGGTCAGCGCCGCCCGCAGCCATCCGCCGGTTTGACTCACCCGCTCTGTCACAGCGCGGACATCAGCGGAGGGCGAGCGAGGGAGCGAGCGAGCGGGGGGGTTTCTGTCAGAACGCCGTTTTAGTCGTGTTTCTGCAGGATCGTTCTGAGTCAGCGTTCGTCACTCTGAGGTCTGCTGAGGCGGTCCGAGTCAGAGCGCCGACCGACTCATGATGATGGAACCGTTTTATCCTGGCACCTCCTCCTCCACCTCCACCTCCTCACCTCCACCTCCTCCTCCTCCTCCTCACCTCCTCTCTCTCTCTCTCTCCACAGGGAGTGGACGAGCGTGGACTCCAGACCTTAAAGAACCTTCATCCTCCTCCTCCTCCTCGTCCTCGTCCTCCTCCTCCTCCTCCTCACCTCCTCCTCCTCCTCCTCCTCAGAAGATCAGAGGCTGAAATCTGTCGGATCAGAACTTTGAGGACTTCCTGCTCCGTCTCCTGAGGATCGGTTCTGAAGACCGGATCAGACCGCAGCCTTCAGAGAGATCCTCAAAGACCGTTCTCCTCTCAGAACCGACCCGACCCGGGGGGAGACACCAGCCTGGGAAATACCCAGAATGCATTGTGACCTAAAGCGAAAGAGCTGCATCGTCCAATCAGATCTGATCTCATCCATCAGAGACGCACCTGAGAGGAAACACACCAGCTCAGAGTGTGTGTGTGTGTGTGTGTGTGTGTGTGTGTGTGTGTGTGTGTGTGTGTGTGTGTGTCAGTGATCGAGTCCGTGACCTTCCACTCACGCTCCATCTAACCTGCAGGGAACCCCGTCGAACGAAATACCATCAGAGGAGGTGACAAGAGGAGCCTCACACACACACACACACACAGACACACACACACACACACACACACGTGCGCGCTCCTGGCGTCCTGCTGCACTAAAAGGCTGTCAGACTGAATCTCCTCCTCAGATTCACTCGTTCTGATTCTGCGGAGAATCGAAGCAGAAACTGCGAGGAGGAGATCTTCAGACGAGGAGTTCGAGGAGTCGGAGCGACGGGGACTTAACACACCTGACAACACACTCACACACACTCACACACACTGATCTGAAACGTCAGAGTCGGTCAAACTCTGAACAGAATCATGAAATTAAGTCTCAAACTGCAGTTCCTCCAGTGTCCACCAGAGGCAGACTCTACATCCTTTATAATCTGTGGGGGCGAATAATTAACAACAGATTTGAGCAAAAGTTGTTCCAGAACAGGAAGCAGGATACGGGCGGAGAGGTCATGACCTGAACTCACATGTTTCCTGCGAGTAAAACATGTTTACAGAAGAAGTCACGTTCTTGGCGATCAGACACCGATGTGAACGCCACTTTCAGGAAGATAAGAACTACTGACGTCATGGAGAGTGTAAACTGTTCAGGACTGTTTGTCCTCTGCTGTGGTTGATGCTGTAACTGTCAGCTGGACTCTGTCCTCCTGAAGTTCATGTCTGAGTCAGTCAGTGTTTTAGACTGCAGTTCCTTCAGTGTCCACTAGAGGCAGACTCCACATCCTTCCTCGTCACACACACATTAAAAAAGTTCGTTTCGGTTTAAAAACAGTCTCCAGCTGAGTTTAGTTTGAACTCGTTAGTTTGAAGATATAATAATAAAAAGGGGGCGGGGCTAACTTGACTGACAGGCACTGTTACTGTTAGTACAGAGACCGAGGACCCGGTCCAACTCCACCTACATGTGTCAATCAAGAGTGGGAACCACCAATGACGGGCCTCAGAACTCCTCCTAGCTCCGCCTCCTTCCACTGGTGTCATAATCTGAGTTCATGGTCAAAGACTCCGTGTCATGTCCTTGTGTGTGTGTCTCTGTGTGTGTGTGTGTGTGTGCGTCACTCACACTGCACCACCAGCTGGATCAGCGCCTCTCTCGGTTTCACGTTGAACCCGTTGTACTGACTCGTCTGGCAGCGGTACGTCCCGCTCATCTCCCTCGTCACGTTGTTGAGCCTCAGGACGCCGTCGTAACTCTCGATCTGAACCGAGCCGTCGGGCATCAGCGACACCGTCGCCGCCGCCGCCCCGCTCTCCTCCACCCGCGACCACAGGATGATGGGTTTGGGTTTCCCTGAGACCAGGCACTGAAGGTCCACGGTGTCGCCCTCCTGAGCGATGAGGTGAGAGCGCCCCCTGGGGACGGTCAGCTCGGGAGGAACTGCAGGAGGAGACGCGGAAAAACAGAAGAATGTCAAACAGAAACAACAACAGTTTGAGGAGGTCACCATGACAACGACAACGACAACAACATGACCTCCTGCTGAGGGTCTCTGTCGGACTGTAAAGACCCTAACCCCCAATTTTCACCCAATCCGGTTCATCTGAGCTGAATTTATCCGCCATGCTGCGGCGTCCGACGGAGAGAGGTCGGTGTAAATTGACACGTTAACTTGAATGGTTACGATCAGAAAAGATCGGAGGATACGACCTTTTAGGAGACGATCAGGATGAAGGTGGAGGTCAAGGGTCATTGAGTCTTTAATGATCCGGGTTCAAGGAGGCGTCTTCATCTGTGGCCCGGCGTCCCCAGAGTCAGCAGTCTGGAGGCTCAGAGGTCAAAGGTCAGAGCGGTCAGAATATCAAGTGTTTCTATTTAAAGGAGTTCAGAGAGGAGACGCAGTGAGGAGGAGGAGGAGGAGGAGGAGGAGGAGGAGGAGGAGGAGGACTGATGTGGAGTTTGTCCTTCATTTAAAAGCACTGTGAGAGCTGCTGTGTGTGTGTGTGTGTGTGTGTGTGTGTGTGAGTGTGTGTGTGTGTGTGTTTTTATGTGTGTGTGTGTGTGTGTTGCCTGTTCTAACATTTATTCTCCTTATGGGAGCGACCCCGAGCTCGACCTTCTGCTTCAACACGAAACATCCGTCAGCGGGCGTTCAGGCTGCAGCGACGCCTCCATTAAAAACTCTTTACTTCCTCTCCTCCATCACCCCCTCCTCCTCCTCCTCCTCCTCCTCCTCCTCCTCCTCCCAGGCGCTCTGACTGTTTCCTTCCATCTGCCAAGGTCACAAACAAACAGGAAGTCAGCCGCCGCCAGCAGACGCTCGTCTGCATGACGTGGATCAGAAGGAAAAGTTCTGTTTGTGTTCTTCTCTGCAGAAAGAGAGAAAACCGCCGATTCCTACGGAGCCTGAACGCCACGGGGTTTTCAGAAGAAGAAGGAGGAGGAGGAGGAGGAGAAGAAGGAGTGCAGGTGCTGCTGCAGAGTCCTGCTGTTACAGGGACCGAGCAGGACCAGATCTCCTCCTGCAGGTCCAGGACTTTCAGGAAGAGTTTCTGTTTTCTGAGGAAAATAAGAAGTTCTTCTGTTTTTAGATCTGTGGTCTATCCTCTGACGGCGGTCTATCCTCTGATGGCGGTCTATCCTCAGACGGCGGTCTATCCTCTGATGGTGACACCTCAGCGTTTGAAGAACCTGAAGTTCTGTTCTAATCCAGTAAAGTCTCTCCATCTTCTCCAGCATGTCTCTGATAAACTCTGGGTCAGTACAAGCCCCGCCCCCTGCCTGACTCACCTGTAGAAGCCCCTCCCCCTGCCTGACTCACCTGTAGAAGCCCCTCCCCCTGTCTGACTCACCTGTAGAAGCCCCGCCCCCTGCCTGACTCACCTGTAGAAGCCCCGCCCCCTGCCTGACTCACCTGTAGAAGCCCCGCCCCCTGTCTGACTCACCTGTAGAAGCCCCACCCCCTGCCTGACTCACCTGTAGAAGCCCCGCCCTCCGCCTGACTCACCTGTAGAAGCCCCACCCCCTGCCTGACTCACCTATAGAAGCCCCGCCCTCCGCCTGACTCACCTGTAGAAGCCCCGCCCCCTTCCTGACTCACCTATAGAAGCCCCGCCCCCTGCTTGATACACCTGTAGAAGCCCCATCCCCTGCCTGACTCACATGTAGAAGCCCCTCCCCCTGCCTGACTCACCTGTAGAAGCCCCTCCCCCTGTATGATTCACCTGTAGAAGCCCCTCCCCCTGCCTGACTCACCTGTAGAAGCCCCTCCCCCTGCCTGACTCACCTGTAGAAGCCCCGCCCCCTTCCTGATTCACCTGTAGAAGCCCCGCCCCCTGCCCAGCTCACCTGTGGTGGATGAGATGTTGACGTCGATGCTGATCTCGGGGCTCCCGCCGTTCCTCAGCGACGCCACGCAGGTGTAGGTGCCGAAGTCGGTGAACTTGAGGTCGATGATGTCCAGGTTGGTGGTTCCAGGTGAGACCTCGGTGTCGGTGTGGGTGATGACCATCCGCTCGGAGCTCCTCAGAGGACGCCCGTTCTTCAGCCAACTGAACTGCAGCTCCTCAGGGGGCGTGGCCTCCACCTGACAGCTGATCTTCACCTCGCGGCCGATCTGGATGTTGTCGTCGTTGTGGTACGGGTCCGGAGTGATCCAGAACCGACCTTTACGAAGACCTGCAGGAGGAGAGGGGACAGGAGGTCAGGGTTCAGGTCTACGGATCTGAGTCAGTTAGATCTATGTTAGTTAGATCTATGTTAGATAGATCTATGTTAGTTAGATCTGTGTCAGCTAGATCTATGATAGTTAGATCTATGTTAGTTAGATCTATGTCAGTTAGATCTATGTCAGTTAGATCTGTGTTAGTTAGAGCTGTGTTAGATAGATCTATGTTAGTTAGATCTGTGTCAGTTAGATCTATGTCAGTTAGATCTATGTTAGTTAGATCTGTGTCAGTTAGATCTATGTTAGATAGATCTGTGTCAGTTAGATCTATGTCAGTTAGATCTATGTTAGTTAGATCTGTGTCAGTTAGATCTATGTTAGATAGATCTGTGTCAGTTAGATCTATGTCAGTTAGATCTGTTAGTTAGATCTATGTCAGTTAGATCTATGTCAGTTAGATCTGTGTCAGTTAGATCTGTGTTACATAGATCTGTATCAGTTAGATCTATGTCAGTTAGATCTGTGTTACATAGATCTGTATCAGTTAGATCTATGTCAGTTAGATCTGTGTTAGTTAGATCTATGTCAGTTAGATCTATGTTACATAGATCTATGTCAGTTAGATCTGTGTTACATAGATCTATGTCAGTTAGATCTGTGTTACATAGATCTGTGTCAGTTAGATCTATGTCAGTTAGATCTATGTTACATAGATCTGTATCAGTTAGATCTGTGTTACATAGATCTGTATCAGTTAGATCTGTGTTACATAGATCCGTATCAGTTAGATCACCCTCCTCCGTAGATCTTGGATGAACACATGAACCCTGGTAAACTCTGGACCTCAGAACTCTCTGGTTCTGTTTTCACTCTGACTCTCTCTGTTTTTTCGGACCTCAGAGAAACAAAGGCGGTTCTGAAGATGAAGCGGGTCGACCCGACATGAGCAGAACTCGTCAAACACGACATCTGAGCGTCGCTCCTCTGGTTTTTGGACGATTACAGAAACTCGTCCTGCTGTGGAGAAACTAATCCGTCCAAATGAGGCTTAATTATGACTGAGGCCGTTTGTCGGCTTTAATCCTCCAACTGTTCAACATCCACCAGCTGCTCCTCTTCCTCCGCCGCCATCACTTAACCTCCTCTGAGCACGCTCACGACCACGCCACGCCGTCAAACCCGCAGCTTCCTGTCAGCTCAGTGTGAAGGTCAGCTCTCCTGTTTCTGCTTCATAAATCTCTCCGTTTAACAGACTAACTGAAACATCCTTAGAAGGAGTAAAGGTCAGAGGTCACAGCAGAGGTGACGGTGAACGTTCAACCTGAGCGTCAAACAACGATGCGTCATCAGACTCAGAGTCTCTGACGGCGTTCCAAGAAACCGGCGTCACAGATCTGCAGCGGCGAAGGTTTCTGGAAACAAAAACTGACACCGCCGAACGTGTGCGCCTCCGTTTCTGCGCCACACACACTCAGAGGCTGCGGTTCGAATCCCAGATATCTGAGTGTGTGTGTGTGTGTGTGTGTGTGTGTGTGTAAACTAGTGTGTGTGTGTGTGTGTGTGTGTGTGTGTGTGTGTGTGGGTCTATTAATAGTCGTACTCCGTGAGGCGAGCAGCTGATTGTCCTTGTTCATTAAGATTAAAGCAAGAACGCCTCAAAACAAAAACCCTGTGAGTGTGTGTGTGTGTGTGTGTGTAAACGAGTGTGTGTGTGTGTGTAAACGAGTGTGTGTGTGAGAGTGTGTGTGTGTGTGTGTGTGTGTGTGTGTGTGAGAGTGTGTGTGTAAACGTGTGTGTGTAAGTGTGTGTGTGAGCGTTTCACTGCGTCAGTAAAAGGTCTGTTGCATAACTGGAGGTGGAGGCAGGCACTGCACACTCTCACACACACACACACACACACACACACACACTCACACACACACACACACACACACGGGTTGGCGGCGCTCCAGCTCTGTCAGCACGCTGTAGTACTAGAACAGAAACTGGTCTTTGTACGAGGCTGAAAGCTCCAGAAAAAGCTCCGCTGACCCGCAGGACCCACAACACCTTTCTGCACACGAGCGCAGGTGTGTACCAAAAAAGATCAGAGTCTCTCACACACACACACACACACACACACACACACACACCTACAGTGGAGTCAGAGATGAGTCGTCTTCACACTGATTTCTTCTCCTCATCTTCGTCTCTCTCACTGGACCTGCTGATCTAACCTGTTTATAAAAGGGACTTTTATTTTGGTGAACTGAGCATCTTAGTTTGAATTAAAAACGCTCTTATTTTGGTGACATAAGTGGCTCAGTTCAAACTAAAGGTGCTCTTATTTTGGTGAACTGAGCAGCTCAGATTTGAAGGCGCTCTTACTGAGCGGCTTAGTTTGAAATAATAACACTCTTAGTTTGGTGACATAAGTGGCTCAGTTTAAACTAAAGGTGCTCTTATTTTGGTGAAGGTCAGTTTAAATTTAAGGTGCTCTTATTTTGGTGAACTGAGGAGCTTAGTTTTAATTAAAGTTACTTTTATTTTGGTGTACTTAGGGTCTTCATTCAAGACGCTTTTATTTTGGTGATCTGAGTTAAAATTAAAAGGCGCTCTTATTTTGGTGAACTAAGTGGCTCAGTTTAAACTAAAGGTGCTCTTATTTTGGTGAACTGTCCATCCTCCTTATTTCCGCTCTTCCTTCTCTTCTTCCTCCTCATCTTCTCATCTCCTCTCTTCCTTCTCTCCTTTCTCCTTATCTCCTTTGTTCCTTCTCTCCTTCTCTCCTTCCTTCTCATCTCCTTATCTCCTTTCTTCCTCCTCTCCTTCCTCTGTCCCTCCTCCTCCTCTTTCATTTCTCTGTTTTCTTGCATCACCTCCTCCTCTCTCTTCCCCTGTCATCATCCTCTCCTCCTCACCCTTCATCACCTCCTCCTCCTCACCTCCTCCTCTTCCTCTGACCTTTTTATCACCTCTTCCTCCTCCTGATTTATTTCTACTCCTCTCTCTCCTCCTCTTCCTCACAGACCTCCAGGCTCCTCATACACCTCCTCTGTCCATTAGAATAACACACACACACACACACACACACACACACACACACACAGGGTCCATTAGCAGTCGTGTGTGTGTGTGTGTGTGTGTGTGTGTGTGTGTGTGTCAGACTGGGAGCACTGGCTGCCTGAGAGAGAGAGACTACTAACTAATATGACAGAGAGAGAGAGCGAGAGAGGTGCATGATGGGAGTTAAATAAGTTAGGAGGAGGGAGTCGAGCTGACAGGCTGCAGGGTCAGCAGCTCTCACACACACACACACACACACACACACACACACACACACACACACACACACAGAGGTGAGTCATGCGTATGAATAAAACGCAGCAGACAGAGGAGGGAAACACAATGAGGAGACAAACTGGAGTTAAAGGGACAGTACGAAATTTTCACACCTCTGAGTGTTAGCCTAGCTTAGCAGCAGAGGGAGTCTGTCTCAGTGAGTCACTCTAACTCAGGATCTGGTCTGTGAGGAGACCGCTTCAACCCACCAGGGCTCAAGACCAAGGCTACATGGAAGTACAAAGACTGCAGTTCCCTAAATATCCACCAGGGGCTGTGTCTCTCAGTGAGTCAGTCCTCATAGAGCTCCATGTTAAAAACAGGACACCGTTTTATCGTTTTAAAGTTTACAAAGAAAAACTTTAACGGAAACAAAACTAGATCTGTCCTGAGGGGGGCGACAGAGAGCCTATCAGAAGAGTCAGCTTGTTTAAAAGGTCAACTGTCCTTTCAACAAAGAATTAGAAATCATAGATGCTGCGTCTTCGACTTCCTTTCCAGCGTTGGAGATCAGGGGTTATCTTCTGCCTCTTCACGATTGGTCGATTCGGAGAACAGAGGCGGAGTTTTTATGACCTTTCAAACCGACTCCATCACTGAACATCTAAATAAACATGGATGCCTCACACGGGGCACCAAAATAACATTTAACTATTTAAAATTAGAATAAATGTCACAGTTCAAGATCATTAATCTTAAGACATTTATTATAAATTTAAACAGTTAAACCTGTTTGGAGCAGACAGTTTCAAAATAAACTCGTTTTATATCGAGGTAAATACTGAAATTATTTCTGTATTTTCTAACGTGACCCTTCAGAAAATCTTTCAGTTCGATTAAATAAAATAAACTTTAGTAAAAACTGTTTAAAGTATTTAAAGTATTTAAAGTGTCTGAACTTCAATCCTTCAGTTCTGCTGAACCTGACTGTCCTTTATCACTCTCCGCTGACTTTCTCCTCCTCCTCCTCCTCCTCTCAGAGTCCTTACAGGACGAATCATCAAAAGTCCACAAAGTGCTGATGATGTTCAGGACTCTTCATCATGACACAGCAGGGAGGAGGAGGAGGAGGAGGAGGAGGAGGAGGAGGGTTGGATTTAAAAAGACTGAAGCTCTGAGGGAGCTTAGCGTCTGCACACCGGCTGATAAACGCTCCGTTTGAGTCGGATCTATTCTGGTCTTTTCTGCAGCAGCTTGTTCATTCAGAACAACAACTACAGACACGAGTGTGTGAGCGAGCGTGAGTGTCTTTGTACCTGCAGGGTTTAAAGCTGGAGACTCACCTGAACACGGCGAGAATCCTATAAACACAGAGACACACAAAGGCGGAGAAAACACCTTTCAACAGGTCGGCAACCATCAGAGCAACAACCGGATCCCAGAGGAACGCCGGTCCCCAGAGACGAGCCCAATACTTCAAATACCGAGAAACATGCAGCTGTTGCATTTTCACCGAGATTCACATCATTAAAGAAACGAGCGGGAAAGAGAGAAAACTTCAGAGCGAGGGGGACGCACAGAGGACCGCACAGAGGACCGCACAGAGGACGGCAACACTGCAAAAAAAAAAGAAACTGCAACAATGCAATATCGCAACAAGGTAACACTGCAACACTGAAAAAAGAAAAAAGAAAAGAAAAAATAATTTTAAAACGCAACACCGCAAAAAACTGCAAAAAACTGCAACACTGCAATTCCCTAACACTGCAAAACTGCAAAAAAAAAAAAAATGCAACACTGCAAAACCGCAACAAGGTAACACTGCAACATTGAAAAAAGAATAGAAAAAATAATTTTAAAATGCAACACTGCAATTCCGCAAAACTGCAAAAAAAGGAAACCGCAACACTGCAATACTGCAACAAGGCAACACTCCCCCCCAAAAAAATAAGAAAAAAAATGCAACATGGCAACACCACAACACTGGAGAAAAGAAAAAAGAATAAAAAAATGCAACATCGCAAAACTGCGACACGGCAACACTGCGATACTGCAAAACTGCAAAAAAAGGCAACACTGTAAAATAAAAAAATCAGTAAATGCAACACTGCAACAACAAAAAAAAAACACTGCAACACAGAAACACCGCAACACTGCAAACTGCAACAACAAAAACAACAAAACTACAACACTGCAAAACAGCAACTAAAAAAAACGCAACACTGCATCATGGTAACACCGCAACACTGGAAAAATAAATAAATAAATAAATACCTGCAACACTGCAAAAAGAATAACATCACTGCAAAACTGCAAAAAAACGCAACACTTAAAAAATGAAAACATGAAAACAACCCTGCCTGGAAAAACTGCGACACCGCCGTGTCGTGAACAAAGAGTGTTTCTATAAACTCAAAAGTGTCTGGAGTTTTTTTCGTTCTCTGCTCTCCTCAGACGAATCACTTTGTCTGAATCTGAGCGACTCTGAACCTCAGGAGGTCCTCAGAGGTTAAACCCTCATATAAAATCAGGACCGGCTGCAGGTCCATGTTCGGTTCAGGTTTTAAGGTCCTCTCTCTTACCTCTGACCAGTAAGTTGGCGGTTTTCTTGGCGGGGTTTCCCACGTTGTTCGACGCCACGCAGGTGTAAGGCCCGCCCTCGTCAATGGTGACGCCGGGGATGGTCAGCGTCCCCGCCTTCACGATGCTCCTCTTCGGAAGCTCCTCCCCTCCCGGCCTCATCCACTGCAGGGAGGGAGGAGGGTCTCCCCCCGACGCCACGCACACCAGAGTGATGGTCTCGCCATGATTCACCACCAGGGGGTCGTCCAGGAGGAGTTTTATGGAGGGAGGAGCTGAGGCGTGGAAAGAGGAGAGCAGACAAACGTTCCTGAGTCGTGATTGGACAGTTTTCACATCAAAAGTCTGTTTTTATGTTATTCTTATATATTCTGTTTGACGAGCAGATCTGTGGCGGTGAAGTGAAGTCGGCTCAGAGCAGGTGTCGGTGTTTTTATCCAGACGAAGGATTCGGGTGTCAAAGTCTAAACTCCTGAAGTTGTTGGAGCTCCTCCACGGACACAGAGGAGGAGCTTCATTCATTATACATTCAAACACAAAACACTACTTTGGTCACAGCGCCGAGGCTGCAGCTGATGAATAATGAGTGAGATCTGTTCATGAATGAATCCGGAAAACCTGAAGAGTCTCAGCGACGAGAAAATAAACTGATTTAGTTTGATTTAGCTCCAAACCAGAGAGAGAGAGAGAGAGAGAGAAAGAGTTCGCTCTGATCCAGACTGACTCTGAAAATGCCCGAGCGTTCTGAGCATGCTCAGGAGTTCACCAGTCAGGCTCTGGCCCCTGAACCTGAATAACAAAAATGTGTTTCCAGGAAGCTGGACGGTAAACTCAGAGCTGAGACGGTGATGCTGTCTTCATCACATCAGCCAATCGCTAACATGTTTTGTAATCAGCCAATGACAACGCAGTAATGAGCTGAAAGGGGGTCTGTCACCACCTGCTGTCCTGGAGGCAGACCAATCAATTCATTTTAATTATTTATTTTTATGATGTATGTCAGTGTTTTAAATATCTGTGCTGCTGCGACCTGATTCACCCGTTTTTGGGACATAATAAAGTTGAAGTGAGTAAAAGTGTCAGGACAGGTTTTCATTTTAAAGTGTTTCGGATCAGAGAGTTTGATTCGTTTATATCTATATATGTATATATGTATATATCTTAAACCCACTGTTGCGTAGATTGTGATGAGCTGATTTAATTAAACTTGTTCTGACTCTGTGAGTGGATATTTGTCGTGTCTGATCTGGGGTCTGTTTTCAGAGTTTAAAGAGGCGAACGCTGAATCAAAGTGTCTCTTAATCCTCTTTAAAGTTTCTGGGATCAAACTCTGATTAACTGATGAGAGTTTATGTGACTGTAAAAGAAGAGCACAGCGGTCATTAATATTTAAGGCAGATTAAAGTTTGTAAATGTTTCGCTGGAAAAAGACTCACACTCCAACGCGGTTCCTGGAAGTTCCTCGTGTCTGCGGGGCTCATGCACAGGGGCATGATGGGATATTTCAGAGAGTCCCATAAATGTGAATTATGCTCTGAAAGGTTTTTTTAAATGACCCGTCATGTGTGAATAATCCAGAGTGATCTCTTTCCTGCAGCGGAGAATAAAAGCTTCCTGTCCTGCAGAAAGAAAAGCTGCAGAGCGACTCACCGCTGCACCAGCTGCAGGACGCCGCCGCCGCTGCACGCCGCAGAAAAAAAAGAGTTAAACGCAGAAATAATAATGAGGGAGATAAAAATAGCTGAGTCGACCTCCGTTAAGCTGACATCATGTAAATCCCATCAGCCCCTGGGGCGGGGCGGCAGGATCTACAGTACAGGTCAGAGAGCCGCAGTCAGAGCGCAGCAGAGCGATGATTTATTTATGATTTACATTCATCCCACTGAACGTGCCCAGGTACCCGGCGGATTAAAAACCTCACACGGAGAGAGAACATCAAATCTACGCGGCGCTTTATCTGAGGATGGACGCACGACTCTGACAGGACCGAGGAAACAACTCATGAGTCATCAAAACAAAAACAAACACAACGGTTTAAAATTCGACTTTTTTAACTGAACACGACTTTTTATGTTCAGAGTGAAAACTTTGATTCAGGAGGAACTTTTTTATTTAATTCTGTTTTATTTAATAAGAGCGAGAATCAGCGACACAAAAAAGAAAAAAAAGTTCTTTAAAATCAGGAACAAGAATTAAGTCCTAATCCGACAGCAATAAAGTCTCAGAAAAGCAGAAATTTAAGAGGGATTAAGAGTCCTGGTAGAATCAAAGTTAGGGAGAATAAATAAGGTTGAATTTTTACGGTAATAAAGCCGCAGGGAAGTTATAATATTAGAACTAAATCATTATAAAGAAAAAAATTTTTAGAGATTAAGGAAAGTGGTCAAAATTTTACAGGGATTAAGTAAAAGTTTTAAAGTGAGCCAAGACTGAGAGGAACCACTTTGTCCACAGGGGGCGCCAAATGAAAAAAAGAAGTTCTTCCGAGAATCTTTTACATTTTTAAAGTTTCTTAAACAACTTAAAGAGTCTTCAGTGAGTTTTTATGTTAGCGCTGTAATGACTCTGAAACGTCCCCGTGAGGACAGTTCAGAGGAGAGTCCCCACATGGACCTGTTTTAGTGTACGCGTGTGTGTGTGTGTGTGTGTGTGTGTTTGTGTGTGTGTGTGTGTGTGTGCGTGTTACCGGTCTTGTTGCTCAGAACAAAGTGGGCGCTCTTGTCTCCGATGCCGCAGACGTTCCTGACGGACGAGATGCAGGTGTAGTCGGCGTAATCCTGAGGACGGAGATTTTTCAGTTTTAGGATCTTCGTCTCGCCCTGAAATAAACACAGACACACACACACACATAAACACACACACATGTAAATCCAGAATTATCCTCAGACTGTTTTTTTATAAATCCTGTGAAACGTTTTTTAATAAATTTATTTCACAGTTTTAACGTTGTTTAATATTTAAACTCTTTAAGGTAAATTCAGGTTTTCAGTGATTTCTTTTGTCCTCCTCTGGGCCTCCGTACAAATGAAAATGAAGTCTTGGATCTAAAATCCAGCAGTGAGATTTTGCTGCTTTTTAATCCCAGATTATTGAACCAAACTAAAAAAAAAAAAAACAGCTGATCAATCCCAGCCCCTCCCCCTCTCTTTTCCTCCTCCTCCTCCTCCTCCTCCTCCTCCTCCTCCTCTTCCTCACGTCTTAACCACGCTGCCAAATCTCCGTTATCTCCTCTGGCAGCCTCGGCGCCGCCTCCCGCCTCACAGACAGATGAGATGAGATTAGATGACATTTAAATGGGTGTTTGTGCAAAGATGGCGGCCAATTTTCTGACCAATGAGGAGGAGGAGGAGAAGATAACTTCCTCATTACTGCCTGTGAGGAGGAGCGCGGCAGTTCTCGAGTCAACACTGTTCAGATCTGGCGTGGATGAGATCTGGGCCGTTGTGTTACAGGGTCACCGCCAGGCCAGCTGATCCAAACAAAAACAAAACCAGAAAGAGGGAGAGAGGAAGAACCAGGAGGAGGAGGATAATCAGGCCGCTGTTGTGATGAGAGTCTGAGAAATCGACCAATCAGAAAGGAGCGAACAGAGACAGATGTGAGCAGGTGTGAACTCGCACCAACGTCAGCGAGAGGAAGAGATCAAGATCTGCGCGAGTTACTTATACCGACAAGATATCGACATTTTTCAACGACCATAAAATCCTAAAAACAAGACGTTTAAATGTGACGATGAGAAAATCAAGATCATAGAAGAACAAGATAAAAAACCAGTCAAGAAATCAGCTGAAAAACAGACGGACAAGATATTATCAGGCGCACAAAATTTTGTGTAAGAAAGTCGAGATCATGTCTTCATGGAAATACAATCAGACCGAGACGCAGAAGAACTACCGCGTCTGTAAAATGATTAATATGGTGATTATTACTTCAAGGAAATGATAAAGAAATGATCATAAATGTTCTTCCTTGAGCTGCGGCACCCCACTGTAGTCTGTAATGGACTGGCCTGAGGTCTCTCTACAAACAAGCGTCTGCTGGAAGAGAGTAGGTAAGTTGTGTTTAGTCTCTTTGCTAAAGAAATGAGTCAAAGTTAAAAAGATGTTTGGTGTCTAGTACTATGTCTGTGACCCTGTATGTACTAACGTCAGTAGAACATGGTGTAGTTCCGTTCAGTAACAGAATCTCATTGGAAAATTAGCTGATTTAACTTTACTGTGCTCTTGTTCAAATATATTAACTCGACAGCACATAAATCCATACCTGTTAACAAAATCATGATTTTATTGATAATTCGGCTCAATAAAAACACCTTTACCTTTTCATTTTACTACAGTAGAAGTTTATTGGCCCAGTTTATAGACTACAGAGGTGGAGAAACGCCCCCGCTTAAGTTTGTTTTCTCAGAAGTGAGAACAACTCTGAATATAGTACTATGTCTGTGACCCTCTATGTCCTGTTGATGAAGTTAGGTGCTGTTCTGAGCATTATTTGTGGCTATAGAGTGGCGTTTTGGTTGAGGGCGTGGCTCTCTGTATTACTATCCTGCGGTCGTTACTAAAGTTGGTATAACTAGAGAAGCAAGCGGTCGGCAACATTCATCTCTGGAGGGGGCGGGGTCTAACTCTAACAATAAATTAATTTTAAGCCGGAATATCCCTTTAACTGTTAAAACCATCAACATCACACAGCTGAAGGTCACCTGATCCCTCAAACACGTGGACTTCTCCTCTGAAGGTTCTGGAGGTTCCTCATCTGGTCCAGGACTCAGGTTCATATAAATGTTTCCAGACTTGTTTGGACTTTCAGGTCATTCAACTGACCCGGCTGGAGGTTGACCTAAACCTCTGCCTCTTCACGATTGGTCAATTCAGAGAACAGAGGCGGAGTTTTTATGACCTTCAAACCGACTCCATCACTGATCATCGAGATAAACATGAATACCTCACACGGGGCACCAAAATAATATCGAGTGATTTGAATTTATAATAAATAATAATTGATTATTAATCTCAGGACATTCATTATAAATTCAACCTGCTACATCTCCGCGGTCTGAGTCATGAACACGTGGATCAAGATGGACCCCATGAACTTCTCCTCACCATCATGGTATCTCCATCCTCCAGTCTCAGAGGTCTTCAAACAGAAACTGAAACCTGCGGCTGTGGAAACCTGTCACAAACTCAAAACGGTTCTTCTGGCTGATGAACAGAACCTCAATCCCAACCAAAGATCTCCAGGAGGACTCACACGGAGAGTCAGAGTCAGACTTCAGACGTTCTCACTGATGGAGCTTCAGCAGGACGAGGAGCTCCAGGGACACACGGAGTGAAGAAAGAGTTTCTTCTGTTTGACGGTCTCACGGCTGGAAAGACAAACGCTCAGCCAGCCAATCAGGAACCTGGAAACGAATCAAACACTCAACCAACCAATGAGGAACCTGGAGATGAATCAAAGAGACGCTCAGATCTCCAGAGCGCCACCAGGACAGGTTTGGAGGAGAAATCAGAGAAGAAACTCCAGAGACCGACGTTATTTTTAAACCTGACTTTATCTCCATGAGCAGCTGAGCCAGAATCACATCCAGAACCTGAACCTGATCCAGAACCAGGTCTCTACACACCCACTGATCCAGGAGGTTCTCCAGCTCCTCCTGTCCTCCTCATCGTGTGAATATGACACACTGGGATCATTAGAGTGTAGACCTGAAGACCTCAGATCGAACCTCGGCCCGGTCAGGCGGGTCGTTCATGTAGAACCGGATCAGTTAGAGCCGCTCCAGAACCGAACAGTCCGGATCTGTGAAGCAGTGGAAGAAGAAGATCAGTTTTTTTGTTACCTGTGTGAAGAACGGCTCGTAGATCTCCACGCCGGAGTCGGAGCCCTGCGTCAGCACCTCGCGGCCCCTCCTCCAGGTGTAGTGGACGGGGGGGTTGGAGTTGGCCACGCAGCGGAGGAACACGGTCCGCTCAAAGTAGAACTGCTCCTTGGACTCGCCCACGCTCTGATGGACCGTGATCAGGGGGTCGTCCAGGTCTGAGGAGGAAGAGGAGGAGAAAAGGAGGTCAAAGTCTGTTAACCCCGGCTTCTCATTGGCCGGAAACACATTCAGGGAACCAATCAGAGGCTGCTGTGACTCAAAGTATAACGGCCATAACTATCTCCCATCATGCACTGGGGCCCGCTGAGTCACTGCGTGCTAAAGAGTTCCTGGTTTATTTCGTGTAAAAGCCTCGGTGCCCTGAAGGCAGCACTCAGCCGCGGTGCGTTCAGGTTCCACTTAAAACCCGGTAAGAAACGTCCTCCAGGAGATTTGGGCTGTTACACAAAAACGGCGAGGAGCAGATACTGTTTCCCTCTGAGCGACCACGAGGGACGTCTCCGTGAAGAGACGCCAGAGGAACGATCGTTTGGCTTTACTGGAAATATCATCAGAGAAGAAGAAGAAGAGGAGGAGGAGGAGGAGGAGGAGGAGGAGCGGACGTCTCCACAGAGGGAGGAACCATCTCATGTTTGTGTTGATGGTGTGTGTGTGTGTGTGTGTGTGTGTGTGTGTGCGTGTCCTTACAGTACACGTCGACCCTGATGGAGCGGATGGCCGGAGACCCCAGTCCGTTGTCAGCCTTGCAGTAGTAGCGCCCCCCCTGGTGGCGAGTGATTCTTTCGATCTTCAGAGTGTCGTTGTTTGTAGCGGCGTCACCGGGACGGTCTGAAGCTCCGCCCGCCGTCTTCGTCCAACGGATCTGCGGGAAGAAGACCAGACCATTAAGACCACTTCAGTCAGGACCAGACCAGACTAGACCAGACCTTTAAGACCAGTTCAGTCAGGACCAGACCAGACCAGACCTTTAAGACCAGACCTTTAAGACCAGTTCAGTCAGGACCAGACCAGACCAGACCAGACCTTTAAGACCAGTTCAGTCAGGACCAGACCAGACTAGACCAGACCAGACCAGACCAGATCAGACCATTAAGACCAGTTCAGTCAGGACCAGACCAGACCAGACCAGACCTTTAAGACCAGACCAGACCAGACCAGAACAGACCTTTAAGACCAGACCTTTAAGACCAGTTCAGTCAGGACCAGACCAGACCAGACCAGACCTTTAAGACCAGACCAGACCAGACCAGACCAGACCAGACCTTTAAGACCAGACCTTTAAGACCAGTCCAGACCAGTCCAAGAGACTTTCATGTTTTCAGATTTTTTTCAAAGTTCTTCAAACAAAATTTAACTTCAGCAAAAAAAACTCAAATATAAAAACACAGAGATGTTTTCATCAGCTGTGTGTGTTTGTGTAGTTGTGTGTGTGTGTGTGTAGTTGTGTGTGTGTGTGTAAATGTGTGTTTGTGTGTGTTAGATTGTTTAACAGGAGTCTTTAGTTCGATGCCAGAGTGTATTACCCTGCTGCAGATTAACTCCACTGTGTGTGTGTGTGTGTGTGTGTGTGTGTGTGTGTGTGTGTGTGTGTGTGTGTGTGTGTGTGTGTGTGTGTGTGTGTGTGTGTGTGTGGTCCAGATCTGTCCTCATCAGCATCTGTTGGTCAGTGTTCCCTCCCTCTCTCCCACCTGCTCCATCTCTTCCTCTCCTCCATCGTTACATCTTCATCCTCCTCTCTCTGTCCATCTGTCCCTCTCTGCCCCCCCCCCCCTTTTTAAACCACTAAATTATCGTTTTTTAATCTGAATAAGAAAATAATCTAATTAAACCTCTGCTCAGATTCTTAGTTTCTGATTTTAAATGTCAGTAAAATAAAAATATTCTCCTCTGTGTTCGATCGTAGATTTAAACGTTTTAATCTCGTCAACATCTGGAACAACTTTCAGGTTTAAGACAAAGACCAGAAGGAGAACTGGACTAAGTTCTTAACGTTCCGAATTTTGTCGGACGGCGAAAATTGCTGCTGTTCAGAATCAGTATCAGCTGTTCCTCCACAGGTCTTTTCAGGTCTTTAGACTGTACGTCACGAAGGATTATTGATTATTGATTATTGATGATTGAATCGTAAATATTGGACAGATGTTGTGATGTTGACTCTAAAACCAAACCTCTGTCCTCCATCTCTCTCTCTCTCTCTCTCTTTCTGCCCCCCCCATAGTACAGTCCTCCCACATGTCGATCGCCCGCTGCCAGCTGGAGTGAGGCGGAGTTTCAATCGTCTGTGGAGCAGACAGACGGTTAACCGCCTCGAACCAACGAACTGACGAACGACTACAGAGCTAAAAATACTCTGAGAGAGAGAGAGAGAGAGAGAGAGAGAGAGAGAGAGAGAGAGAGAGAGAGAGAGAGAGAGAGAGAGAGAGAGAGAGAGAGAGAGAGAGAGGGAGAGAGAGAGAGAGAGAGAGAGAGAGAGAGAGAGAGAGAGAGAGAGAGAGAGAGAGAGAGAGAGAGAGAGAGAGAGAGAGAGAGAGAGAGAGAGAGAGAGAGAGAGAGAGAGAGAGAGAGAGAGAGAGAGAGAGAGAGAGAGAGAGAGAGAGAGGGGGGAGAGAGAGAGAGGGAGAGAGAGAGAGAGAGAGAGAGAGAGAGAGAGAGAGAGAGAGAGAGAGAGAGAGAGAGAGAGAGAGAGAGAGAGAGAGAGAGAGAGAGAGAGAGGGAGAGAGGGAGAGAGAGAGAGAGAGAGAGAGAGAGAGAGAGAGAGAGAGAGGGGGGGGAGAGAGAGAGAGAGAGAGAGAGAGAGAGAGAGAGAGAGAGAGAGAGAGAGAGAGAGAGAGAGAGAGAGAGAGAAAGAGAGGGAGAGAGAGAGAGAGAGAGAGAGAGAGGGAGAGAGAGAGAGAGAGAGAGAGAGAGAGAGAGAGAGAGAGAGAGAGAGAGAGAGAGAGAGAGAGAGAGAGAGAAAGAGAGAGGGAGAGAGGGAGAGAGAGAGAGAGAGGGAGAGAGAGAGAGAGAGAGGGAGAGAGAGAGAGAGAGAGAGAGAGAGAGAGAGAGAGAGAGAGAGAGAGAGAGAGAGAGAGAGAGAGAGAGAGAGAGAGAGAGAGAGAGAGAGAGAGAGAGAGAGAACAGACCCTGGATCAGTGAGACTACAACCACCATGTTTAATGAACACACAAACACACACACTGAGTACTACACTTCACACTTTAAACTGGAGCCAACATCTGTGTGTTTGTTACTATGATGATGATTTGAAGTCAGAGGCTGAAAATACTTCAGTACTCTGAGTACATGAAGCTGTAAACTCACCTACTCTCTTCCAGCAGACGCTTGTTTGTAGAGAGACCTCAGACCAGTCCATTAGGGACTACAGCGGGGTGCCGCAGCTCAAGGAAGAACATTTAAGATCATTTCTTCATGGAAATACAATCAGACCGAGACGCTAAGACAGAAGAACTACCGCGTCTGTAAAATGATTAATATGGTGATTATTACTTCAAGGAAATGATGAAGAAATGATCATAAATGTTCTTCCTTGAGCTGCGGCACCCCGCTGTAGTCTGTAATGGACTGGCCTGAGGTCTCTCCACAAACAAGCGTCTGCTGGAAGAGAGTAGGTGAGTTGTGTTTAGTCTCTTTGCTAAAGAAATGAGTCAAAGTTAAAAAGATGTTTGGTGTCTAGTACTATGGCTGTGACCCTATATGTACTAACCTGAGTAGAACATGGTGTAGTTCCATTCAGTAACAGAACCTCATTGGAAAATTATCTGATTTAACTTTACTGTGCTCTTGTTTAAATATATTAACTCAACAGCACATAAATTCATACCTGTTAACAAAATCATGATTTTATTGATAATTCGGCTCAATAAAAACACCTTTACCTTTTCATTTTACTACAGTAGAAGTTTATTGGCCCAGATTATAGACTACAGAAGTGGAAAACACCCCCGCTGAAGTTTATGTTTTCTTATGAGTTAGAACAACTCTGAATATAGTACTATGTCTGTGACCCTATGTGTCCTGTTGATGAAGTTAGGTGCTGTTCTGAGCATTATTTGTGGCTATAGAGTGGTGTTTTGGTTGAGGTAACATTCATCTCTGGAGGGGGGGTCTAACTCAGTGTTACGGTGGGTTTGACCCTAAATTAATTTTATCCCTTTAACAGGAACATCTCAGCGGGGGAAACAGGAAATAAAATATAATAATCCTAAATCCTTCCTGTCAGATAAAAGCTTCATGTTCACCTCACACTGTTTCATCTCAGAGGTAAAACTAAAACTCAGATTTCTGTCATTTTAACGTCAAAAAAACGAATCAGAATTTCAGCAAAATGACAAACTGAGACAGAGGTGAGGAGGAGAGGAGGAGGAGGAGGAGGAGGAGGAGAGGAAGAGGGGATGAAAGAAAAATGCAGAGGAAGCTGAGCTCTGCAGTGACGCAGAGAGTCTGAAAAAAAGAAACTGTGTGTGTGTGTGTGTGTGTGTGTGTGTGTGTGTGCGAGTGTGTAGATTCACACTGTGTGCCAGCAGCTGCTCTATTTTTAGCCTCACAGACTGACAGCAGAAAGAGAGAGAGGAGGAGGAAATGTAAGAGAGCGAGCGAGCGAGGGAAGGAGGTGAGGAGGAGGAGGAGAAATAAACCTTCAAACACCTTCAATGATTATTGATCATGATCAATATGATCAGCTGTGGAGACACCACTACAGATGTTTGACACTTGAACACGGGTCCAGATTCTGAAACAGTCCGGTCCAGATTCTGAAACAGTCCGGTCCAGATTCTGAAACAGTCCGGTCCAGAATCTGAAGAGTCCGGTCCAGATTCTGAAGAGTCCGGTCCAGATTCTGAAACATTCCGGTCCAGATTCTCATGAACCCAGCAGGAGGTCAGGTAAGAAAACCTGAGAAACCTCCTCTGGACCAGAATCCCATCAGGACCCGGCAGTCTGTGCTGCGTTCAAGGACCCAAAAACAGGAGAGGAACAAACAACTCTGACAGTCAGGGCGATTAAAGGTGCAGTCTGCAGTTTTTAGGGGGAGATAAAACACTTTTAAAAAAATCTGATTTAAAAACTTTAAAATACAAAAAAAAAAAAAATATCATTCATGATCAAAGTTCAGCTGACTGAGAGTCTGAACAGAGAGATCTGACAAACCCGACACTAGACTAGACCGGACTGGACTAAACTGGACTAGACTAGACTGGACAACAAAGAGATAAACTAGAATACAATAAACTAGACCAGACTAAGCTGAACTGAACTACTATTAACTAAACTACACAAGACTGGACATGACTAGACTGGAATAAACTAGACTAAATAAGACTCGACTAGACTAGACTAGACTAGACTGGACTGGACTGGAATAGACTGGACTGGAATAGACTAGACTAGACTAGACTAGACTGAACTGGACTGGACTGGACTGGACTGGACCGGACTAGACTAGACTAGACTAGACTAGACTAGACTAGACTAGACTGAACTGGACTGGACTGGACTGGAATAGACTAGACTAGACTAGACTAGACTGGACTCGATGGGACTGGACAAGACTCGACTGGACTACATTAGAGACTAGAGTGGACGAGACTGGACTGGAATAGACTAGACTGGACTCATCGGGACTGCACTAGACTTGACTGGAATAACCCAGACTGGACTAAAGTGGACTGGAATAGACTATAAGGGCCTCGTGGAATTGGATTGGACTAGACTGGATTGGATTAGACCGGATTGGATTAGACTGGACTGAAATAGACTGGTCTGGACTAGACTGAAATGGACTGGACTAGACTGGACTCGATGGGACTGGACTATACTTGACTGGAGTAACCTAGACTGGACAAGACTGGACTGGAATAACCTGGACCTGACTGGACTGGACTGAAGTGCTAAAGTGTGTTTGTTTTAAGAGGACATAAACGGAGTCAGATCTAGTGTGTAACACGTCTATTCTCTGTCACAGCTGTTTGTGTGTGTGTGTGTGTGTGTGTGTGTGTGTGTGTGTGCATGTGTTTGTGTGTGTGTGTGTGTGTGCGTGTGTTTGTGTGTGTGTGTGTGTGTATATTGACAGTTAATTAAGACTCGTCTCACACTGAGCAGTCGAGTCTTTAATGATCTGTAGCTCAAACACTTTTATTGTGAAATCAACAACGATCATAAACTCCCCTAAACTCCCGGGTCGGCGGTTCTCCGCTGCGTTGTCATGGTTACCTGCGGTCGGGGGTGTCCCGTCACCAGACACTGCAGCTCCAGGGTCTGCCCCTCCCTGATGGTGTAGACTCTCTCGCTGTAGCGCTCCTCCTCCACGTTACAGGCCTGACCTGAGTGTATGATGTGGACTGAAGGGGGTGCTGTGGAGACACAGACACACAAAGGGTTAACTCAGGTGAGTCACAGGTGAACTCATCGCCGTGGTTACGCTTTGACAGGAAACTCAACCCTTTCAAAGTAAAAGTTCACTCCTCGACTCTGGGACAGAACTCTCTTTTCATTTCTGTTTTTTTTTAGGCAGAGTGGCGGCGGCCTTCGACCTCGGCACACAGCGGGTTTGTTCCAGAACTTTGGCGTTCTTCCGGGCCGCAGAGAAACCCTCAGATCTCAAACTGGAACCCGAGTCTGCAGGTCGAACTCCGAGCAGCTTCTTCTTCTTCTGAGAGTGAACGGGCCGTCGGGGAGCCGTTAGCCTCCAAACAGACGCCGCCTGCCTGCAGCAACTCTCTACCTGTTGTCATGGGAACCACACGGCGAAGAGGCGGCGTGGCGTTCCGAGTCCCTGAGGAGCGCGGTGAAGATAAAAACAGCGTCTTCTAAACGTTTAAAGTTGTTTCTCTGATATTTTCCAGACTGAAGATCTGAGAGGAGACCGAGGGAGACGACAGGACGTCTGATCAACGCCGTACAAACGCCACCCTGAGCTGGACCGGGACCTGAAGTTCTGATGGAACCTGAACTTCAACAGAGCTGGAGGTCTCCTCATAGTCCAGGATTCTGGACTCAGAGACAGACTCAGGACCTGACAGTCCCTCCAGATCTCAGGGGTCTCCTGCTAAACCTCCACCTGCTCGCTGCAGAGACCTCCTGCAGGTCCAGGTGAGTTTGGAGCGCGCTCAGTGCGTGTGTCAGCAGCTGGGAGGCGTTCTGCTCGCCGACCACACAGATGTATTTTTACTCTGCTGCTATTTCTGCGTCTGAGAGAGAGAGAGAGCGGACTCTGAGTCTGAGCGAACACAAACAAAGACTCAGTCAGAAACAGTCGGTAACCCGCAGGTTAATCAGCTGTTCAGACGGCGGGGACCCTCCGTCTTCAGCGGGGATCATAATCAGTTTAATTTTATAATGATTGTGTTTAAATGTGACCCACTGAGACCCGGCTCCAGTCCTGATCCGCTGCTGTGATCCCAGAACTGTCTGTCAAAGATCCACAGACCTGATCAGGACTTTCACTGAGGTTTCTACATGTTTTATGTCTACGTCCGCGTCAGGGGGGCAGCAGAGAAGACGCCGCTCCATCTTTAGACCGAAGCGACCACGAGGCGGCGGGCAGAGCAGCAGCGAAGACGATCAGACGAGAATCTGAGTCAAAGGTTTTCATTAAAAAACTTTTTCTGCTTAAAGATGAAAAAGTTAAAAGTTTAAAAACATTAAAATTAAAGTTTCAGTGACGACTCTCAGACTCTGATAAAAACAGGACGACGATCAGAGCGGCGCTGAATCTCCACGTTCGGTCGTTTCTCTAAATCCTCTCCGGATTATTCCTGCTCCACACGAGACGACGCAGCGTTTCACTAAATGACGATGATAAATCTGCGGTTCACCTGCACGCAGCTCCACAGGGATAATCCCGTCAGGTCAGAGGTCGAATACGACTGTCACACCACCAGGACCAGCATGCACTGCAGCCCGGGGACGGCGGTTTAGACGATCTTCCTCTGAACTCGTTTTATTCATGAAACAGAAAATCAGGAAACTCTGAAATCTTCTGTTTCTCTGCAGGGACAAAATCTGCGTCACGTGACCAAAACAGGATCTGCAGCAACATCTAACATCGAACATCTACATCTATCATTAACTCGACGTTCTTCAGGAGATCATCTAAGAATCTGAGGACAGATGAGGAGCAGCTGAGAGGAGCAGGAGGAGGTGATGAAGAGGAGGAGGTGTGTGGAGGTTTCTGTTCGTCCTACTTTTTGTCTCTTTTCTATTTTTAGATCTGTGTTTTTTTTCGTCTCCGTCCTCCGCTGACTCTGCTGATGATGTCATCAAACCCCAAAACACACACACACAAACACACACACTTATACACACACACACCTACACACACAAACACACACACTCGACTGATTTGTTCCCAGCATGCACTTCAATCAGCCGCAGCGTGAAGAGGCAGCAGCATGAAACCGAACGTCTCCAACAGAAAGCAACAGGACGAGTCACACACACTCTCACACACACACACACACACAAACACACTTGGCGTGGACCCTCATTTCCTGCAGTAGCGGCGGCGGCGTTGTAACGGCGACAATAATGTCCCATCAGAGTAAAAAGTTAATGACTGTTCTCTGTTTCCTCGTTCTGACCGACGCGCTCAGGTCGGTGTTTTATTCATCAGAACTTCGCCGTCCACGACCAAGAACATCTTCAACAGAGAGAGAGAGAGGTCCATCAAGGTCTGAGACTGAGAAGAAACTTCAGAAGAGGAACAAAACACTGACAGAAGTCCTGAATGAAGACCTGACTAACCCTGTAAACATTAAACATTAAAATCCACTCCCTCTGTGAGACCGACGACAAACATCCGACATGGTATCAGTGCGACCGTTTCACTTTCATTTACGACTAAAAACAGACGTGTGTGAATTAGAAAATGTATTCAGGGTCACATGTGTGAATAAAAAATAAAAAAAATCAACAAATGTTTTTTTTTTCCTGTAAATACGGCGGTGAAGTTAGTTTCAGGTTGGATATATTTTCCTGTAAATACGGCGGTGAAGTTAGTTTCAGGTTGGATATATTTTCCTGTAAATACGGCGGTGAAGTTAGTTTCAGGTTGGATATATTTTCCTGTAAATACGGCGGTGAAGTTAGTTTTAGGTTGGATATATTTTCCTGTAAATACGGCGGTGAAGTTAGTTTCAGGTTGAATATATTTTCCTGTAAATACGGCGGTGAAGTTAGTTTTAGGTTGGATATATTTTGCTGTAAATACGGCAGTGAAGTTAGTTTCAGGTTGGATATATTTTCCTGTAAATACGGCGGTGAAGTTAGTTTCAGGTTGAATATATTTTCCTGTAAATACGGCGGTGAAGTTAGTTTCAGGTTGGACATATTTTCCTGTAAATACGGTGAAGTTAGTTTCAGGTTGGATATATTTTCCTGTAAATACGGCGGTGAAGTTAGTTTCAGGTTGGATATATTTTCCTGTAAATACGGCGGTGAAGTTAGTTTTAGGTTGGATATATTTTCCTGTAAATACGGCGGTGAAGTTAGTTTTAGGTTGGATATCTGACGGACATTCTCTGAGGATCGACCTTCTCACTCTCACTCAGTCACGAATTCCTCCCCTAATTTAAGGGATTGTGTAAAAATGTCCTCATAAAGAAGGTCGTCCATCGAGGTTTGGTCCTCACAAGTGTACAAGAACACACATACTTCATGTTGGCCAGCACACACGTGTTCTTGTTTTTATATCTCTGTGCTGTTTGCTCATCATTTGGATCAGAATGTTCCGAGTTTATTTGTGGAAATGGAAATAATTTGGACTGAAGATTAAACTGATTTTTGTTTGTTTGTTTTGGATCGAGAAATAAAACAAAAGAAATATCGACGCTGAGAACAGGAGAGACTTTTGGGACTCGGTTTGGATGATTTGATTCCTCTGAAGATTATTTATCTGCTTTTTTTATTTCACAGAGTTTTGGAGCGCCGGAGGAGGAGGAGGAACTGGATGAGACATTTAAGGATCTATTTCTGACATCTGACGAATCAAACGAGTGAAATCCTGCAGATAAAAATAATCAAATCTGTTTTTCTGGTCCTTGTTGAACTAAAATAAAGATCCACTTTTATTTGCTCAAACTTCTGAATATTTTAACAAAGTTTGCAGAGCAGCAGGACCCGGATTTTGGGTCTAACGGTCCCTGTCCTGACGAGTCCGTGACCTTTTTACAGCTGATATAAGAACGTCGGTTTAACCCCGAAGTGTCCGAGGGGTTTCCAGCCGTTTGTTCTGGTAAAGAGGCGCTGAGGCAGTTTTCATCTGTATTCACCTCTCATCCCTCCATCCTCTCATCCCTCCATCCTCTCATCCTGTTCTGGCTCAGGTATTTTCCATTTCCCCTCCTAAAACCAGGTATTAGTCTAATCCCTGCACTCGCGTCCTAATAAGTGATGAATCGTGCCTGAACCCGGCGGACCGGCTGATCCCGGCTGAACACGGAGCAGCATACAAAACACACAAAAACACACAAAAACACACACACACACAACGCCTCCTAAACTCAGGAATTACACCGGCCCCGGGGTCTAAAGCAGGAATTAGATCAGATGTAACGCCCGGGGATAAAGAGAGCGGCGAGGTGACGAGTTCACCGTGTCAGGGGGCGAAGGATCGTGGATCTGCACGATTATTCGGGGCAGGAACGTTTCCTCGTCTCTCACCTCACGTAACATCTGGACCAGGATCACACAGGTGTGCTTTTACTCCTCCTGAAGGCCCGGCAGAACTCTGAGGTTCTAGATTTGGGTTCATTTGTAATATTTGGATGAATCCATCTTCACCGTGGTTCTGGGTTTATTCCTGGAGACTCTGTTTGGTTAGACGCTGAACCTGAGCTGGAGCCTCAGGACAGAGTCTGCAGGTGAGACTCCTTCAACCTGCAGCACTGTAACACACAAACAAACACACAAACAAACACACAAACACACACACGGCGAGCTTCAGAGGTCGAGGAGAGAGCGCCGTCAGAGGTTTGTGTTCAACATCTGAACAAACTGACCTGAAGGCCTGAAAACACAAACATGCAGCAGCAGCTGAATCTCCACACCTGCTTCAGTCATGATCTGATGATCAGGAACACCTGAGCTCCTTCAACGAGCTCCACGAGGAGACTTCAGCTGCTTCAACATCCACTCTGACAGGAGCGAACTCAGCGCCGCTGCTCATCATCCAAACAGCTGATCTGACCTTCAGAGAACGTCTCACAGCCTCCATCACTGCTCCTCTGAAATAAACTACATCTGTTCATGAACCTGATCCACTTCACAGACGTCCAGGTGAACTCCTCTCCTGAGACCGAGCAGGTCAAACTCATCCTCACTGATCAGCTGCTTCAGGAGTTTCACTGAAGGTCATAAAAATCTACTCAGAGATGGAAACCTTCATCTCTGACGTCAGAGTCAGGTTTGAATCCAGCTGTAAACGAGCTAACTTCTGCAGGACAGACGTCTAAACCAGCCTCTAGTGGACACTCAAGGAACTGCAGCGTTTTGGTGCTTCTTAAAGACGTGGACTCACGGGCTTCCCAGCTCATTTAGAAGGAAACAACGATTCAACAGATTTACATTTTCAGATGTCAGCAGATTAAAATCTTAAATTATACCCACTTCAGTTAAATTCATCAAAGTACCACCGGGGGTGTCCTAGAGCAGCTTTTCGATCTAACAGGAAGTTTACAGCCCGACTCGTTGAGAGTAGCTGCATCACATGACCGATATTTCAGGGTTATGTGTAAAAAGTATCTGCTGAGTGTGACAACGATCACCAAGTTCACTAAACGCCTCCCGATCTTCATCTGATCGTCTCCTAAAAGGTCGTATCCTCCGATCGTAGCTGATCGTAACCATTCAAGTTAACGTGTCAATTTACACCGACTTCTTTCCGTCGGACGCCGCAGCATGGCGGATAAATTCAGTACAGATTAACCCGTGCTGGAAAGGAAGTCGGGCACAGACACAAAATAAAACATCCGGCTTCTTTTCAAAATAAAACGCTCCGTGTTTCAGGAGGATCGTATTTCACACCATGCAAACGGGCGGAGACGAACAAGTGAAAGGTTTTTAGACGTCATTTCACCCCGATGACACCATGGATGAGGAGATGCTGATTCTAGAAGTCTAGAAGTAGATTTCCTCCTCTGGAAGGACACAATCTACTGCTTATATGTCTATGTGTCTGTCTTTAGAGAGACAACTCGTTATCGCGCAATTAAACCTGAATCTGCAGGTTCTTGTGAGTTCTTGTGATTCCCGCTGTCCGTAACCCGCCACGAAATTCACCTCACAAACTGATCCGGTAGGAATTGGCCTATGGCGAAAATCACCCCCGTTCCGGATGCGGTGGAAGTCCCGGGTACACATCACATCCCTAAACCCAACGTCCCCTCACAGCAGGAGAGTTTAAAGGTCAAAGTCCCTGTAATACACGTAAACAAGCGCTCGTGTTTCACTCCTATTCAAGTTCAAATTAACATCGTCTTTTACAGGATTATGTCTCCACGTTTGTCTAAATCTAAATTAAGGTTAACCAGAGCTGGTCCAGACTTGGTCCAGACTTCAGGACCAGCAGTCTCTCTGGGACCTCCTCTCCTCTCCCTGCTGAGGTCACATCCTGACTCTGGTCTAGATCATGGTCCCCCAGGAGCTGCAGTCTCTCTTTTCCTCCCCCCGTCGTCTCTCTCTGGAGGAGGTCATGTGGTCTAAGGTCCTTCCTCTTGGTCTCATCCTCTTGCGTACAGACTCTGTTTCCTGCGTTACCATCCTGCACGTTGTTAATGATTCTGAGAGCAGCATCGATCTGGAGGACCTGCAGCCGGACTCTCCAGGACCAGGACTCTCATAAAGGTGTCCTTGGGTAGGATACTGGACCCTGAACTGGTCTCTATGGAGCAGCCATCAGTGTGAGTGAACGGGTGAATGTGAGAGGGTGATGTAAAGTGCATTAAGAGGTCAGAGAGAGGAGAGGAGCGCTGTAAGTGCAGACCGTCATCATCATCATCATCATCATCATCGTCGACGACAGGTTAATGGACGGAATAAAAAAGGCCTTAAAATAGAGAATAGAGAGAGAACACACACACACACACACACACACACTGTCCTCTGCTTCTATAGAGCTCATCTATAATTCAGAGCTTTAATATGATCCATAAATAAACATGAATTTGTCATGAGTGTCGAAACGGGACGGAGGCGAAGAGGAGCAACGTTTGATTCTGTTTCCAAACACGCCGACCACCTCCTGCTGAGAAAATCAGGGATCTGTTTCCTCCCCTTTAAAGCTCTAATCCCTCCATCCCTTTAATACAGGAAGTGCTGTCACACACACACACACACACACACACACACACACACACACACACACACACACACACACACACACACACACACACACACACACACACA